AAATCGAAATCTTCTTCGCCAAGTGGGAGGCGCAGGAACGATTCTAGGGTTTGGAGAGAGAGGTGATTTGGGGGTGGGAAGGTAGGGAGGGGATAAGAATTAAGATGGAAGGGGAGAAAAACAAAAAGAAAGAGGGGGAAGAAAGAAAGAAAGAAAGAGGGATAGGTCAGTTTTTTCTCTTTTTTCTTTCTCTGTAGTCTGTACAGTGGGAAACAGGGGAGACGCAGGAAGGAGAGAAAGGACGCTGCTACGTTACCTTACGGTGGAAATCGGAACAGTCAGACGGCCACCTTGAAGATCAAAATCACCAAATTACCCTTTTCCGGTATTTTAGAAATTCCCTCCTTTGGAAAATATTTCTTCGTTAAGTTTTGACACATTGAATCAATTAATTTTGATTATGTTTATAGTTTGTAAAAAAACATGTTTTCAACGGGAATAGAATTACGATCACCAAACAAATACTATTAACGACTCGTTGACTGCATTTGACGGTAAGATAAATAGTCTATAGTGATTTATTTTTCACTAAATAAATATCTCTATTGATATTGAGGTTACATCGAAACGAATATATTTAGTCGAAATCTGTACTCATATAACTAGACTATACATGTGAGCAATTGTGAAATGTTGATAAACTAACCAATAACGCCACATGCCTTTTGTATTAATAAGTTAAGTTGGTACATATGTTCCATGTCACGCGTGTGTAAGTCGGTAGTATTACTATTCCCAAATGGATGTGTAGCATTTTGTTCATATACAAGTTGGATTTATAGATTACTTCTAATTACACCTAATCACATAACATTTTAATTTTAATTTTTCAGAGTTATTATTGAGAGATTCGGTTTGTTGTGGTTTACGCTTCAGAATTCGAATAATAATCATATATATCTTTTAAGGATGATTTTTTAAGTAATATTTTATGAGTTGATTTATATACATATGTGACCATCATATTTATGCCATATCCATATATGTGAATGAGCGTTATGTATTCAACGAAAAAAAAGATGAGCGTTATGCTTGATAAGCATTATACATTTCCATAATTATTTTCCACATTATGCAAGGGTAGTTTGGTCCATCCATGTGAAATATCTGAGGGCAGTATCCCTCTCGGCTTCCACCTCATATATACATTTTTTTCAATTTTCCCGCAAAAATGTCCGTTAGTATTGGCGGCCCAACCAATCAACGACCATCGGACCAGAATTAATTATTTCCCGCGATGTGCCCGAAAGAATTCCGCTGCGCTGTCACGCTGACTCACGACAGCAGAAATTCAAAGCCCCAAAAAAATTCCGGGAAGCAAAGCCGACGCGCGGCGCGTTTGTATCACATCGTTTTTTTCCACTAAGCCAAGAACATTCCAGAATGCCATCCAAAACCCTTTAGTTTAGCATAATCTCATTGAGTAAACTCAATTAAGGTCTCGTTTAGCTTCACAAATGGGATGACACAACACAAATTAATAAATTATTAAGTGTTCCGTGATCTTTTGGATGTACGTAATTTTATCAATTATTTTTGTTGTATGCATTCAATGATCACAAAACGCAACAATTCAACGTACTTTTGCGAAGACATATGTACATACCCTAGTTATTAACGCATGGAATGAGCATAGAAGGGGATCACGCGCGCCATTGGTGGTGTGATAATAGGCGTGCTAGTAAATTGGCCCAATAAGAACTTGATAGACTGGTAAAAAGAAAGAAAACATGTGGGCCTGTAATGGGCCTCTCAGCTTCACCACTATAAATCCCTCTTCCCCTTATTTCTCTCCCAAGGAACATCCTTAGTCTCGAGTCTCGACTGTAGTAAAGCGACAGCGTTCATACATGGACAAATAGTTATATATATATGGTGGTGTATTCGGTGCACCCACTTTTTCGGATGCACTGAGTGCACCCGCCTCATAATTGTCATTATGACCATGCGATTCATCTCAAAACGGTATCAATTGTTGCTTATGATATTATGAACAAGAAACACATGAATTTGAAAAAAATCCATTCAAAATTTACTTTAACTTGAAGGATTTAGGATTTAGGGTTAGGGTTTAGGTTTACAATTTGGAATTTTGGGTTGGGATTCAAAATTGAAGGTTAAGGGGTTAGGGTAATGGATTGATTATGATTCTATGTCATATCATCATATTATATTGAAAGTACTAATTAAAGTTTAAAATTTGATGTAATATGGACGCTTTTAGAGTTCAATGCACTCAAAAAAGTGAGTGCACCGAAGTAGCTACCATATATATTTTCACCAAAGAAAAAGTTATATATATATGTCGCCGGCGACCAATACCCCTCGAACCCAGAACCCGACGAGGTAAATAATTAACCGAAACAGTAAATAATGATTAACCAGTACGACATGCTCTCCGTCAACATTAAAAAATAAGACACATCAACCACTACTGATGATGAGGACGGTAATAACTAGCGTAAAAAATCATTATACTTGTTACATAGAATGTAAAAAAAAAAAAAAAAAAACAGATCAACACAAAGTAAAACAAAGGAAGATGATGATTGCATCCATTACGAGAGAAAGAGATTTATCTTGAGAAGATCGATCCGGGAAATGCCAAAGGATTGAGGTTGCCCTGTTTTTTTCCCCTTACTGGGGAGGAGAAAGAGAAGGAAAGAACAAGAAACCCAAACTTGATCAGTGTTGTGTCCCCAAACCGACTCCATCATTTGGGCCGAGCCTCATGGGCTTGGGGGCCATGAAGCTGCTCCGGCCGCCGGCCGGACGGCGAGGTGAACCATAATCGGCTTCCCATAGCTTCACCTAACTGCTGCAGCCTGTCTTGTAGAGGGAACGCGAGTGGGTATTTATAAGAAGGAGATTTTGGCCTGGATTATTTTAAGGTTAGAGGAAATAAAGAAAAAAGGCAGTGTCCATTTACAGAAATGCGATTGGCGGGCATCTTCCAAGGGATATGCGGCGACCACCACCAACACGGCGTCATCATCATCCCATTTAGGAGTGGGCATTCGGTCGGTTCGGTTTCAACCGAACCGAAATTATGAATACCGGGTCTTCGAATTCTCCCAAATCTCAAACCGAATTCAAACAGAATTATAATTCGGTTCGATCGGTTTAAACCAAAATATAATTCGGTTTGGTTTTTCACACAAAACCGAATTTGTGAAGCTACTTGTATTTTCTCACTTTTAATTTATTTTTCACCCCTAATATAAACAATAAATATCAATTATATACATCATCAATGATAAAACCAAACTTTTCAACACATAAGTCATAAAACATTTCAAATATTTAAGTCTAAAAACAACTACAAACATAAAAATCCACTATTTGGAGCTTGCAATTATAGTATTTCGGTTTTTCGGTCGGAAATTCGGTTCGGTTGAAAGAACTTGATTTCCGAACTATCCATATTTTCCTTCCGAATTCCGAACCGAATAACATCAATTCGATTTAATTTGATTTTGATTCGGTTCGGGTTTACCGAACCGTTTGCCCACCACTAATCCCATTTCAGCGCCAATATTCTTTCCTCCTCCTGCCTTTTTCCCTAAACTAGTGTTGTGTCAGACCAGTAGTGCATTGTTTCCTCCCTCCCCTTTTTTTTTCTTCTCTCTCTTTTTGCCTCTACCCTTTTTCCAAAACCTTGTGCTTGGAGCATTGTATCAGGATGTCAGCAGATGAATGAATGTTCCAACACTTTTCTCCGTATCCTGAATAGACTTTTGGTCCAGCGGTGTGTAACAATGAAATGCTTGGGATAACTATGAATCGAAGTGTAAAAAAATGACAGTTCTGTTCAAATCTTCAAATTATTAAGACGGGTTTTCATCGAATCCAAGGTCTAACAATATCTGTAATATGTATCTCGTCAATTATTACAGGCGGGTTTGAATGGTGTCCACGTGGCAGCCCGTAAGTGACAGGTGGTTGCCGCACAACTCATCAAACCTGATTTTGTATTTTATAACAATAACATATGGGTGATGTGAGAATCGCATATCATTGACGTTACTATCATGTGAGAGCCATTCATCCGAATCACCTATTGCTAATTTCATGTCATAGATTAGAGAGAACATTCCAATCATTTTTCGACTAAGCTACTATCCATTTTTGGGCTTATCCGTGCACATTTTTGCTTCTAGGATGCATTATTGTGACTTCCTGATAAATCACGGCCCATTTCTACACTGCTTTATACCGAGCATGTTTAATTTTGAATTCCTTACAAAACTTCATTTATTTTTCACACCAATATTGGATGTTGCTTAAGGCTTTACCAATATTACTAATTTTTGTTTGGGGTCTGCATGACACATGGAAAACCTACATGTGCTAAAATGGGACCTCCTTTGGTTGGAGAGGTGGCACTTATAAGAACAGTTTTGTGGTGATCAGACAGCGCCCAACAAGAAAGGAATGAAAGATCGTACCTAATTTTGAAGGGTAAAGCACTTAGTAGTAGCACTGAAAAGTGGGGAGCCACATGCTTTGATGATTTGGTCGCTTCAGTATTTATTCATAGAGTAGTGAATGGGCTGTGAAGAATCTAAAGTCAAAGAAAGTGTAGACCCGAATATGCCGATCCAGCTTGTTAGTGGAGTGGAAACGAAACCATGATTTAATAAGAGAACGGCGGCAGGATTATGTGTCAAAAACTTGCTCTAGTAGGTTTGTTAAGAATGATTCGAGAAAAAAATATTTTCGACCGTGAATCGGTGAAGATAAGTTCATTGTTATACGTCGAGAAACGAGTGTTAAGTTAAGAAAAGAATCGTTGACTTCATGTTCTGTAGTTGAAATGCATTTAAAATTAGAATTATATATTTTCAAGTGCGAAATCATGTTGTTGTACCACTATTCATTCATTATCTTATTTATCATTGCCATCGAAGGACAATTTAAGATGGTTGTTTAGTAAAATTTGTAAAAATCAATATTCAAAATTCAAAGAGGTTAATGTTATCTAGATTAGAATCTCCATAAGCGTCATTGACATCGAAGAGCCCCACTTCCAGGGGAAGAAAAAGGAGCAGCCAGGAGAAGTGTTCTTTCAGGCTTCCTTGCTTACACCTTTAGGTTAGGTCTCTCCATTCATTCACTTTTTTTTTTCTTTTTCTGGTGTCTTCTTCTCCCCATTTCATTGGAAAGCTCAATGAAATCAATAAAGGGTTGATACTCACTCATTGGACACTACTCCAAAGTATATGCTTAACTCACTAATGCCCCTATTGAATCATCAAAAGCTAAATTGTAGATGGAGACCCTGCCTTCCATGCAAGTAAAAGAACCACACTGCAAAAATATTTCCCCCTAAAATTTCCCTTTCAAGAGCTTGTGCAGCAGTGGAGCATATTCTGATAAGAAAAAGAAACTATGGGCTGGATATGTTTACATGAGGACGGTTAGTATGTGCTGACGTTGTTAGATTATTGTCGACGTTTATGAACAATACCACTGTACCAATTTAACGACCGAGGTTGCACGAACGATCCAATCGTACCCAGTACGCGCTGATCATACCCGTGTCAGCATTATAGTGCACAAGGATTATTGATCATTTCCAGGAGATGAGACAAAAATTTCCTGGTAAGGAAAAATGAAATGCTGCAAAGTGACAATCTACTCAGACAAGCAGGAAAAAAAAAACCCCTACTGAAGACAGCATATTCCCTCCTCTTTGTTCTTTACTTATGCTCCAACCCATTATATTACTACATATATTCTTATTACAGCTAAGCACAACCAGAGCCCACACCCACTTAAAAACAGCAAAAGTAAAGTAAAGGAAGAAGAACCCTAAACCAGAAACTAATGAACAGCCAAAACCATACATGAATCTCTAAAGGAACATTGATCGTCAAGTAACGAACAACATTCTTGAGTGTCACACAAGTAAACCTTGATCTTTCAAATTGTTCACCAAAAAACAAATCAAAAGCTAACATTCGAGACCCTTTTCCCAGTTCTATAAAGACCGATCTTCCTCCAGAGATGAACTCAAACTAAAACCAAATCATCCATTCCATTTCCACTTCTAACTTCAGCGATGGCGAACCCGTTTCGAAGCCGTCCGGCAAATACGACGACGCAGCAGCAGCATGCGGCTGCCAGGCCCAAGAGCAGCCTCCTCCGCATCTTGATCTTCGCAATCTTGGGCCTGATCGTCATAGTGGGCCTGGCCGTCCTCATCGCCTGGCTCATCGTCAAGCCCAAGCGGCTGATCTACACGGTCGAGGGCGCCTCCATCCGCAACTTCAACATAAACAGCGACCACGTCAACTCGTCCTTCAGCTTCGCCATCCGTGCCTACAACCCGAACAAGAGAATGTCGGTCTACTACGACGCCGTCGAGGTCTCCACGGCGTTTGACGGCCAGACCGTGGCCTTCAACACGCTGTCGCCGTTCCACCAGCCCAAGAGGAACGTGACGGTGCTGGAGGCCCAGCTCGAGTCGCGAGATGTGGCCCTGTCCAAGTCCCTTTCGAAGGACGTCCGGGCCCAACGGGCCGACGGGCAGGTGAAGGTCAATTTGCGGATCAGGGCCAGGATCCGGTTCAAGGTCGGGGCCATCAAGCTGAGGCACCAGACCGTGAAGGCCCTCTGCCCCGCCGTGCCCATAAGTTTCCATTCCGGCAAGAGTTTCCAGATAACTGAATGTGATTTGGATTATTGACTTAAACCTGATTTTCAATAATTGATTTATTGATTTTTTTTTAAATACTTGCTCTTTTGTCTTTTGGGTGTTTTTTTTTTTGGCCTTTTGAGTGAAGATTTCAAGGATTTTTTTTATGTACGAAGTTGTGTGAAAGAACGGCTACTGTGATTTTGTGAACTGTCATTCATTGTATTTGAGGGGGATCTTGGAATTATTTGTAACTTGATTACTATTTCTCAGTATGCAGATTTGTGGAAAGTTTTTAACTTTTTGTTTGTTGTTCATAATAGTTCATGATCGTGCATTCGGTTTACTCTATCTTAGGACAATCATAGTTAGTAAATACTCCGTTAATACACATATGTATTTTATTCGTTTAAAACTTATGTATCCGTATTAATGTCAAGCCATTCCATTTTTTCTCGTTCGTTTGATGGTTCCCGTACTAAACACGTAATAAACCTGTATAACACGTTTATTATCCGTATTTTACAAATTAAATTGTTAACTTTACTATTATTTATATATTTATTTATTTTAAAATGATTAATTTCATATATTTATGACTATTAACGTACTATTAAAAGTAACTTTAGCTTAGAGACGAAGTATAATACCCGTACATATTTATTACGTAACTTTCCCGTACCGTATTTTACTAACTATGCGTGCAATATTGTACTGATGAATCATTCGGTTTCAATAATATTGTGGTACAAAGCCACACCACTGCCTAACATCAGAATAGACGTCATGCAACATGACCGATGCATCACCAACATGTTGGCATGAACCAGCTGGTTCCAATAACTCGACTTATTAGGAGAGAACCCCATGTATGGATCTTAAACACTTCCTTACATGCCTCTCAAAAGAAAGAAAAGTCATGGATTTGGAGTTTCCATAGGCCCACTATATCATGTGGTTTAAGACAGCGATTAATATATTGAGGGTGATGAGGATTTGAACACGTGACCTTAAGAACAAACCAGTTCTGATATCATGAATCATATACCACTTATTAACACGTGAAAGAGTATTGACTCCCCCTTTTGATCATTGCTAGTGAAGAATGGGAAGTCTAACTTCTTTAATATGTTGGAAAATTTTATTGTAAATGTAATGATCAAGAGTGGGTAAAGGCAAATTAAAATATTTTTAGTTTGACATTTTTAATATGGGGTATAACAACGTATAATGAGAGCTTTGTTTGGCACATTATTCATTGATATTTGCTTTATCAACTTTGTTAAGATGGCCATCTCTAGCTACCTATTTATTGATAATGGGAACATTCTTTAATTTCCACATGAAATAACAAACAAGACGTGCTTTAAACCCATGTGCTTAGCCGTGACTTCAAAAGGACGATAGATATAGATGGCATTATCCTCCCAAGTTTTAACAAATAGAAAATCGATCCCACAATCTATGTCTCGGGGGCTTCTAACCAAAGGGGACCCAACCTTTCCCAAATGATGCAATAGAAATCAACATTTGGTGCCCTAAATAACAAACAGAACAGTCGCCAATTATTCTCTCTATCAAGTACTCATTAGTCCTTCCATTCGAGTTTGGCCATCGATTTGATTCCTAGAAGGGGTGGATTTGGTATAGGGTTAGCAAGTGTTCTACTCTTTAGCTTCTCACTACTTTGAAAAAGTATTGGTAGATCATGCACGATCATGTTAGTTGTATCTAAAAGAAGTCATGGGAATGAAGTGTTAAGTAAGTTATTTGAGCGACTAAAGTATGAACTACGGTTGGCTTGTTAGTATGTGGTATAAAATCGACTATGGAATATTCTATTCCAACAATTTGAGTAACTGAAAGCACTTTGTAATTGACATGGTATCATAGTCTTCTGTTCGAATCACGACGACCACATCTGTTAAGCGTATGATATTCAGACCTGTGCAAACTTCAAACTCATATGTGTTGACTTTCGTTTGAGAGAAAGTGTTATTATGTGGCATAAAATCCATTATTGAACCTCTCTCGATAACCCGAATGATTGGAAACGACTGATTCATGACCGGATTAAGGGGTCGTTTGGAGAACAAGATTTGGATCGTGGATTTATTGAATCTATAGATTTAGCAAAATGTTATGTTTTTTTGCTACTTTTTGCATGGTGGATTGTAACTTCAAAGATTGTAAATCTATAAAATCTAGAGATATCAAATCTCTCATAATTAGAGAGATTCTACATCTTGATTTTGGAGATTTTCTCTCTCCTATTATATCTCTTATTTTTTTTCATTTATCCCACTAAATACCCTTACCAATAAATTCTCAATATTTTTCGAGCCAATCTAATTATTTTGGTGAAGGATAAACATGTTATGTGATAAAAAAAAGTAGAATTTCTTTTTTCATTGAATGTTAACAATCATAGTTACCAAACAATGAACATTTTCAAATCTTTTTTCAACAATCAAGAGAGTTAAAATCTTTGGATTGTCTAGAATCTAGAGATTTAGACTCCAATTCTCCAAACGAGCCCTAAGTAGCTTATATTAGGAATATCATATCCCTTTCCTTTACAAAGGGGAACAAAGATTGTTTTCTGATAGACCTTCTCCATTATAATTTTCATGGTTCATATATATATATATGCATGGTCATGGAGTGTTGTAGGAAAAGAACATTGATAAAGATAACTATCCCTTATAGTAAGGAAAATGAGCATGTGAAGAAGGACGAGGAGAAGCTGTTGAAAGACAGAGAACCTACCTATTTTAACTCTTTGTGTCCTTCAATTCCATTAGAATTGACGATATGAGTTTGGTTACATATGTATTGTCATCATAGGTTATGGTCTTATTCAGTTATCTTCTTTCTCGAATGGAAGCCCCCCTATCACATATATGTTAGTATCCCATCTCAATTATGGTTCTTAGTTGAATTACATTGGTTGGTGATTGAAAACATCTATACATAATGTGACTGGACAAATTAGTGTTGTCAATTAATTAGATTTGATATTCACGATATAACGTGTCTTGACTCATCATGTGTTGGTATTATTCTGCCTCGTCGTTTTCTTCCTGTAAGTATTACTGACCTGAGCTGATGTACTCATCGCATAGTAGTTTCTCAGAAAACGATTGGTTTCAAAAACTCAAATTGTTGGGGAAAATCATGATAGAATCTTATGACATTCGCTTACACCCCTGTTTAATGAAAGTCGATTCACGGATTTAGACAAATCGTTAACATAATGTCAACAAATTCTCTAATACAATTAATATCAAGTACCATTAAATCATATTAATTCGAGTTGTCGGATGAATTTCAGCCTAACTTCTTTTGTAAAAATTGGACCAAAGATGTTTACTGCTGGGCTACACTCATGTCCCATGGGTCTCCCCTCCAATTGTTCATGTCAAAAGGCAAATAAGCTTTCCTTATATGCATTCATCCATTTGGATCCAGTCCTTTCCCTTTCACTTTTCTGCTTAACATTGGATACTTTGTCTTTGTAGTTTTTTCTCCCCTACTGTTTAAGATAATTGGATATTGTTGTTTGTTTGGGTGTGTGTCAATAATGGCGATAAGAATAGAAACCGGCCGCCTGCATGCATTTTTGCTCGAGGGTGGGAGAGAAAATTAACATTCATTTGCTCCCTCACATCACATGGAAGCCTCGTGCGAGGATGAGGTCCAGAGGGAAACACCAAATTGGGCATACTTTAATTAACCACGTCTAGGCACGTCAAGAGGTCGGTAACATTATTTTATGTGTGCTGGTGAGGAAATCTTATAGGAGGGTTAGTAAACCTAATTGGTCATTAAATTATGATTAACTGCACAAAACCGCCCCTCGATTTGCAAGGTGTGACAAAGTGAATGTGTCTACTTAACCTAATTTTCGTCCAATATGCCCCTTTTGAATCTCATCACGATAGCTCATAGCAATCCAAGCATGTGTCTATTTAATCGGTACGTACCTAACCGAAAATCCCATTCCAAAGTCTAAACCGATTGACTTGTCCGTACGTACAAACTCTTCTCTCTTCTAAAAAAAACACAAGTTTCTTGAAGAGGGAGAAGGGGAAAATGCCGTCACTAAAAATTGTACACACGATCTTACAATGGGATGTGTGCCTACTCACTAGTTAAGATTACCCTTTTGAAAAATTTTCTTTCGTTTTAAACTTTAGAGCGCAATCAGATTTTGAGAACCATCCTCTAGTTAAGCTTACCCTTGTTCGCATTGTAGAACAATCTTACTAAACCCAGCTTCCAAACAAACCACTCTCTCTTGTAACGTATTTAATTTCAAATTAATGTGTTCAATCAAATAAATAAAAAAACTCATTACGCAAGTTATTTATTGGTGTATTTCATTATATATCCCAATATTTAAAAGAGCCCCCCAACTGCGTAAATATCACTAACAGAACACATTTGTCAAAACTGGAGAAAAAAGTATATAAACTAAGAGGAATTTTACAATGCTATATAGTATTGGTGCTATAGGTTTTTTCTTTTATGGTATAACTTGAAGTTGTACCTTTAACGTTATGGTACAACTTTAGATTGTACCTATACTCTTTTGTCAAATTGTTTTATGGTACAACTTAAACTTGTACTTTCATTTGATGGTACAAGTTTAAGTTATAAAGTTGTACCATAACATAAGAGCACAAATTCCTTTATGGTACAACTTTACATTAAAGTACCAATACTTTATAACATAATAGAAGTGCTCTATAAATTAATAGCCTATTAAATAATTAATTGTTAATCAAACCACAGACCAGAGTCGCTGATTTTGTTGGGAGATTGGAGCGGCGGAATAATGCTTCCCACGACGACGCGGTCAAATAGGCTTTCTGTATATAAAATATCACACTTGACCAGCATTTGGTCGGGCCGTGGGCTAGCTAGCAATAGCATAGCATAGCATAGCATGCATCTTCGACTTTCAGAAAAAGGAGATGGCCGATGGAGTTGTTTTTGTTTATTCAATATACAGACGACATATACACGTAGTACTGTTAAATTAATACGAACGTACTCTGCTACAAATTTATTTATGGCACCTCTCTCAGTCTCTCTCCGCCGGCCGGCTGATGAGTTTAATTCGCCGCCGACATTATTGGCAGCAGAAACGATCGAAGTGATGAAAAGCATCCATGAACTTCCTATCCGGCGGCACATGTACAATTATTTCCCTTTTATGGACGATTTTCCTGTACGTTCTTGATCGGCCGGCGCTATAGCTAGCTAGCTGTTCCAGATTTCTCTTCTTAATGCCTAGCTTACAGTCCTTGTAGTATATTTTGTACATTTGGGCTCGTACTTGTAAGGTCACTTGTTGAAACATGGAACCCATGAGGTTAATTAAATCCCAGTCTTCTATATAGATAGTAAGTGAGATCCAAGAGATAGATGTACATTTGAGTGCAACTGTTATACGTTATTAAGTGCTTTCGTCGCAGAACCTTCAATGTGTTACGTTATTTTTGTTGGGGTTTCGGAGAAAATCGAACCCGCAAATTATGTCAATTGATTTTTCTTTCTCTCATTAAGTCAAGTTACTGCATGCTCAGAACAGAAGTCTGCAATGAAAAAATCAAGTCCACTCTAATTATTTGGCCAGCAAGTAAGCCGAGTGTGACTAGCTAGCTGTAACAATTGTTGTGTAAGTTTTTGCAATCTCGATGGGATAATTTAATGTCTTTTTTCTTCAATTCATAAACACGATTTAAGGCAGAAATGACATGGGTTGTATTGCTAACCATATGTGCTGTAATTACATGCTACAAATTATCATGAAAACCAATTGAGGCCTTTTGTAGCAAAATGCAAGGGAAAAATGGATTTTTTTTTGGGAGTGGTTTAGAGTTTGATAGATGATCAAACAAGTGAGTTCAGCTTAAAAAGGTGTGTGGTTGGTTGCCTCAGAAGCTCAAAGTACAAAAAGCGCAATCTAAAACCTCTCTTAGTCTCTTCAAACGGACCATTTTCGCATTTAGAGGAGCAATCTATAGCTAGCTTACAGTTTAACGAGGCAACAAAAAGAGGTTTTGTCGTTTTGATAATGATGATTAAGGCAAAAAAATGAAAGGGGACTAATTATAGACCCAATATTAAACTATATACTCGAGGCTTATATATATTCAGACTGGCCAAACCTTTTCTGTTTCCTTTTCAGTTTGTGAGGAATGGATGAAACATTGAACTAATAGATTGTATACAGAGCAACTTTAATCATTGAAGACAACAACAGACTATGAATCCCTTGCAAAGAAGTTTTGAACTTGAATTAGTGTGTTGAGAAGACCTGTCATGTCCCATGATTACTCCTAATTAAGGTACTTTATGGATATCCTTATTCTAATTAAGGGTGCCACAAGTTTTCCCTTTTACGTGTGTGAAAAATTGTGACACATGTTTGAATCTACGAGCTAGTGTGCATTTTCCTTAATCACCAAAACCGAAATGATTAAGGGCGTAATAAATAAGAATTTAAGCTGGTTTTTTGGACTATCTCGGAAGATTATAGTGTTACAAATTATAATTACATCACTAATACATGTAAAAGCAACCAAGCAAACAACAAGTAGGAAGCGATTAAACAAATAACTATCTACTTAATATTGTCGAATCTTCCTTCATTTCCGAGTTTTCTTCTTGGTACGACACACATAACGTGAAAAAATGCGATGAACAACTAATTCGAGAGCGAGACAGTCCTCATATCTTGAAGACGCTTCACCATAGTAAACAAAGTTTGCGATATATTGCTGAAGTGGCAAGACACAATCCAACATATTGTTCTGTCGTGGCAAATGCCTCGTAATCACCTAAGTGATATGATTTTACCAAAAAAGCACATGGGAAACATAAAATTGTGCAGGACAAGTGGTTTGCAACTTGCAACCAGTCCTCTCCTCTACGACATAGTTAGTAAAATACGGTACAAGAAAGTTACATATAAAATACGTATGAATATTTTATTTCTTTTATAAGCTAATGTTACGTTTAATAGTACGTTAATAGTCATAAATATATAAAATTAATTATTTTAGAAATAAATAAATAAATAATAATAAAGTTAACAATTTAATTCATTAAGTATGGATATCAAACTTATTATACGGGTTTTATACGTGTTTAGTACGAGAGCCATAAAATAAACAGAAAAAAAAAATCAAACGGCTTGACAATAATTCGGATACTGAAATTTTAAATGGATAAAATAGGTATATGTAAATATTCGTGTATTAAACGGAATATTTACTAACTATGCTCTAGGTCCTACTATCCGTAGAAGCTGGGCCCGTGGCCACTCTTCCTTTCCGCATTTGCCCGTTGCATATGTGGTGGGAGCGGGCTGGGCCGGGCCCATCTGGGACTCCCAAAAATCTTGCAGGCTGCAACTGCCTCCATTTATTCATTTGCGTCACCCACGGCCATTAACCTCGCACTAAAGAAGGGAAAAGTACTGATTGGCTCCCAACTTAATTCGAGGAAAATATCCGTCCCGGCACCGACCGGCGCCGTTTGACGGGGTTAGGTAAAAAGCACAAAAAAGGCGAGAGAGAAGGAGGACCGCAAAAACCGTTGTCAGAAAGTTAAACTCAACCGGACAGGACGAGTACTCGCATATTTTACTCCTTACATTTTGGTCCTCTTTTCCAGCTTATGTTAACTTTCAAGTTTCAAGCAAGTCCCCTAGTTCAAACTGTACCTTCAACACTCTTTGTACTTTCATAATACAAAATCAGTAGAATCGCTTGATATTCAGATTGAGAGAAAAAAATTCGATTTGATATTGAACTCCTTAATCAAAGATAAGATATCAAAGATTGAAAGTTCGTCAAAGCACCTTCATAATCTAGATCGCTGAAATTCGCTCATTCTTTTGACGGACTATAAGCTTTCCAAATTGTCATATGTCAAGTGGAGTATGTGATCAGGTTAATCAAAGACGAAGTTAAAATGAATTATTTTCATTTATTTGGAGCTGGAATTTATGTGTAAATCAAAATTTTATTGAGTTTCGTACAATTAGTAAACGAGTTGAACACATTCTAGATTAAACATTCGACGCACATTAGTTTAGGGACTGATTTGTACATATACCAAATGTTAAAAACCTAAAAAAAATAAAAAAACACAAAGGAAAAAACAAAAACAAAAAGGAGAGATCCACGGGGGCTCCATCACCGGCTTCTTCTCCTCCTTCACTTGCCGTTGAGCTCTTAATTAAGACGAAGAAACCTCTCCTCTCCCACTCCATCTCTCAGATTGCGACGCCCTGCCACGTTTCCCTCCCTCTCCGTTTCCTCCATTACCTTCTTCTTCTTCTGTCAAGTGTCAATCGCGTTTTCGCTACGGCAGCTGCCGAGGTTTCATCGTCTTTAATCTTTATCCATATAAAAGCTCTCCTCTCTCTCTCTCTCTCTCTCTAGAGCGACTGTTAAACTGAGAAAATTCCCGCTTACGTGACCTTTCTCGCTTCCTTCCCCATTTATTACTCCCAAAGTCTCCTTCCTTCTCTCCCTTTCGATCCCCTCTAGCTTTCCGTTTCCTTTACTTCCACTCCATCGCCGTGGAAGCCTTCACCGGTAAGCTTCACCACCGAATCTCTACCTTATAATTCCACCATTCGTTTGTTTTTTTTACCTGTACCGGATTTGGATTGTTTGGTGAGCGAGCTATTGGGAGGAGCTCGGATTTTTAGTGATGGTGATTTAGTCTTTTCCTCTACTCTTTCTTGTTTGGTTCCTGAGAGCCAAGAAAAATAGGCGGAAGGATGGGGAATCGGAGTGGTGGTGTGAATCTCTTGTTCGACTCTGGACATTGGAGAATCCGTCGGGCTGTTGAATTGGTGGAGCCTAGCCTGTGTCGGCCAGCCGGGATGGGGAAATGCGGCTTCGAGAGATTCGGCCTCTTGGCTTGTCCTGCATTTGTATAGGCCGGCTGATTGGGGATTTAGGGCTTTGATTGTATTAGATTCAAATCCCTATCCGAGTTGATGACGGGAATTCTTATGTTTCTATGAAGTTCCATAGAAGTTAGAAAGCGGATCTTAGATAGGCTGTTTTCTTCATATGATTTCTGGTTTCCTTTCTCAGGTACTTGATTCAGTAATTTTATCAGTTACTTCAATTGGATTGCATTTATATTCACGGTGGTTTCTCTTTTCGTTTGATGCAGTAAGCAGTATACCTGATTGCATTTCCATTAGTGATGGTTTGTCCCGTTCAGCTTAAGCAGAAGATGGGTTGAGAGGGTTTACTTGCTTACTCCACAGTTTATCTGGATTTCGGTGACTATGGCTATTGCTGCTGGCCTGCAAAATGTTTCGGTACTCGATTCATCTTTCCTTAGGGACTCGCAGTCGGGATCAGTCCGCAACCATGGCAATGATGGGAGGGGTAGCACCCGAGCGGTCCTGAGGATGTGGAGGGAGCTTGAGGATGAGCATGGGGTGAGCCATGGGCAAGGTAGGGTTGGTGAGAGATTGCTGCAATACAGGGGTGAGGTATTGAGCAATCTGTCCAGAGGGGATGACGTTTCTGATGGGAACCATAGTGGTAGTGATGAACATGAGGAGATGAGGACTGTGAGTGGAGGTGAGAGTGAGTATGGACTTGAGGAGGATCGATCCGATCTTGGGGAGACAGAGAGGGAGAGAGTGAGGCAAATTTTTCGGGAGTGGATGAGTAGTGGTGCCAGAGAACGTAGTATACCTCATGGCTCAAGGAGAACTGGGTCAAGGGCGGAATGGCTGGGTGAAACCGAGCAGGAGAGAGTTAGAACCATACGGGAGTGGGTACAGAGGAATAATCATGGTCCTGCTGCTGGACAGATTGAACAAGTTCTTGATGGTCTTAATCTTCATCGTAGTGAAGGCCCACCAGAGCAGCAACCCAGAAGAGGGATCCGTCGACTCTGTGGGAGACAGGCTCTCCTTGACATGATTAAGAAGGCTGAACAAGAAAGGCAAAGAGAGCTTCAAGGTTTGCTGGAGCATAGGGCTGTTACTCAATTTCCTCATCGTAACAGGATTCAGGTTAGCTGCTGTTGAATTTGCTTATTTGATTGTAGTTGTTTGTTACAAATTTACAATATCCACTTATTCTCTGCTATCTATTAAGGGTAATCGTTGCTTAAAATACGCAAGGTTCTTGTTATGGACAAAAATTGATTTGAAAAGTTATTTCTTGTCAAATGCGTTGTAGCTAATGATTAATAACGTTTTGCAGTCGTTACTCAGAGGCAGGTTCCTCCGGAATGGCAGAATGATTGAAAACGAGAGACCTAGATCCACAGCAGCACGTGAGTTAGGTTTGCTGCGGGAAAGACATTCAGTAGCCGATTTAAGGTATGGTATATATGTGTGCACTGGATATCTAGCTTCTCAACTTACATAAGCTCCTCCCTCTTTCTCTTTTCCGGCACTATTTGTACAATATGACCTGAATCTAAATTTACAGTGGAGTTACTACATCTTTTTATATTTTCAATTGAGTTCAACTTATTACATTGTTATTGTTGATTGTTCTTATGACTGCGAATGTTTTCTTAATGTAGGGAAGGGCTATTTTCCAGACTGGACCGTTCAGCTTCTGGTCAACTAGCCACCAATGCTTCTGATACCTCGTCTAACATCGAAATAAATGGGTACGGAGCTGAGCATTCAGGAGCAAATGATTTACAGAGGGCTGCAAGTGAGTCTCCTCGTCAAACACAGTCAAGTTTTGGGGAAAGTAACAGCTGTATAACGGCAGATGATAGAAGCACTACTGGGTCTATCACGCATCAAGATGTGGTTGCCGAAGGATCTGTTGATTTTTTAGAGGACATGTCTGGGCAACCTTCTCAGGATGTGGACCCGAGTGAAGATGAGCAATCATCTGGTGATAATACAGAAGAAATGAACAGAGATTTGCAGGAACCTACATTTCCACCAACCATGGAGAATGGAGGACGAACTCCTGGTGCAGGTGAAGCATTTTCTCAACAATCTGAGTCAAATGAGATGGATTATTCTGAAAGCAGTGCAGTTGATCATCCGAATAATCATGCACGATCAGAAGAGCCTGAGAACCTAACTTTTGAAAGTGAAGCCCCCGCTGATGATTGGTTCGGAAACCGTGATGATACAGCTGAGGCCTCTGGAGAATGGCATGAAGAAGATGGTGGTGAGTTTCAGGAGGATGTGCAAAGTTGGTTAGAAGAAGAAGAGCCTTCTTCTTATTCTCAGGATACTGCTGCTGTTGGAAGGATGGATCATCCATTTTATTATACTGATGATGATAATGTCTACAGCGAGGAGATCAGGGAACTTCTGAGCAGGTGTGAAATATCATTACAGGGGCCTCTATTCCTCTTTCGGTTTCTTCAAACGTTGTCAAATGGTTTTAACGTTAGTTTTTTCAATTCATTATTCTTGCAGGAGAAGTGTGTCTACTCTACTTCGAAGTGGGTTCCGTGAGAGTCTCGACCAATTGATACGGTCTTATGTGGAAAGGCAAAGTGGTAACTCTCAGCTTGACTGGGAACTGCAAGAAGAAACATCTCCTAGCTTACTGGAACAGGAGTTGGCTCATCAGCATACGACTGTTGATCAGAATGTCAGTCGAGGAGGTCGTATCCCGAATCCTCCACCTTTACCACCGTCACTACCTGTCCAAAGGCTGTGGGACCGGGAATCACAGCATTACCACTGGCCTCAACATCATGAAATGCATCCACGCTTTGGCATTGTAAGTTATAAACTGCGGGTTTTGAGTTTCGGAAATTATGGTTGGTCGTTCTATCACCTAATATGAGTTTGAAAATCGTGAAATGAACCGAAACATGTTGTGGGATGGAACGCAGGAGTGGGATATTATCAACGATTTGAGGATCGACATGGCTAGGCTGCAACAGAGAATGAACAACATGCAGAGGATGATGGAAGCCTGTATGGACATGCAACTCGAGCTGCAGCGCTCTATCAAACAGGAAGTCTCTGCTGCTCTCAATCGTTCCCCTGAATCTCCAGGTGTGTAGTAATCCAGAGATTTTTCAAGTACGAGCATTTCTCGTCATTACCAATAACATTTGGATGGTATGTTTTCGTTTGCTTCAGGGACATGCGAGAACAGTTTCCCGGAGGATCCATCGAAATGGGAGCACGTGAGGAAAGGGATGTGCTGCGTATGTAAGGAGAGCAGTATTGATTCCTTGCTCTACAGGTACGAATAACAAATCTCCGCTACCATTATTAGTGCAGGGACGAGTTTATGAGCTTTTGCACTAATTCCCTTCCCTTTCAATCCCTTTTGTTCTGATGCAGATGCGGGCACATGTGCACATGCTCAAAGTGTGCCAACGCGTTGGTCCAGACCAACGAAAAGTGCCCGATGTGCAGAGCGCCTGTAATTGAGGTCATCCGAGCTTACTCCATCTCTTAACTCGATAGAAAAGATACGTCAAAATGGTGTGTTTCTTTAGCAAGTAGAGAATTGGAAGAAAATCTGGGAGGGAGAAGTGTCTGGTTTTCTTTTTGAAGTCGCCAGGTATTTATCTGTTTTCCCCCTTTTGATAGTGGGTGTCAGATTGTAGTTTGGCTTTTGCAAACTTTCTTCTGTTTACTATATATATACAAATTACTTTGAATGTATGTGAATAACAAGAGATGGAACAAGTATTACCATAGTTCCACATTTGGCTACGATACTGTTGCTAATGCAGCAAGCTGACTTCCTTAAACTACAGTCTTGATGTCTCAACTGTTAGATGCATAGTGTCATTTTCTTTTGAGTAATGTTTTTACGTATATTATCGTCGTATGCGCATTCCTTGACATGTAATCCAACGACGTTAGCTCGTGTTGATGTTCAACCATCATAATGCTAACCGACTACAGGGATGATGATCTGGAAAGTGCCAGAGAATCATCAACGTGTTTGCTGTTTTTCAACCACCGATTCAATTTATTAGGTTGTTCCCCTAAGTAAGAGTGATGCAATGTGAAGTATCACCTACCATATTATCGACATAACTATACATTCAATATATTATTTTTTTTAGGGGTGCTATACGGTCCGGTTAAATTGGATCAAATTGATCCGGTCCCAGTCCGGTCTTTTCGGGAATATAAGGATCAAAGATTGGATTGGATACACTCCGGTCTTGATCCGGTCCGGTCCCAATTTGATTTTGATTTTAGATTGAGTTTGTAGGGATTTGAGTGTTGAGGTCTCTTATTCGGGTTTTTTACCTACAAATCTAAGTCAGAATATGAGATTGGATTGTTTGTTATCCGATCCCAGTCCGGTCCCGATTCGGGTTATACGGTCTGGTTTCGGATAAAATCAAACAGTTCTGGAACAAATTTCCAACACTAATTTTTTTTGTAGTCGACATAATTATATTAATATATTATCGGAAAATCAATAATTTACACGCATAATATGAATATTTACACGTATCAGAAACTGGAGGTTCTAGGTAAGGAAACCCTATCCTGTCCCTTTCTGACCAAACTCGAAGAGCTACAAATCCTCCGCAGCCCACCAGATAAATCCACATCTACCGTCCACGTGTCCTCGCTCCCTACCATCGATCTTCCCTCCACCACCTCCACACTTCTCGAACCACTGCTTCCTCCTCCGCCGCCGTCTCCTCCACCGCCGCCGTCTACCACCACTTTGACGAACTGGGTGCCTCTACACAAGGGGCAGTTCACGTGACTATTCAGCCACGTGTCGACGCACTGCACGTGGAACACGTGCTGGCAGACCGGTATCATCTTCACCGTCTCCTCCTCCTCGAACTCCCCCAAGCAAATCGCGCATTCCGCCAGATCGTACTTCCCGTCCCCGCCGCCGCCGCCATCCCTCCGGTAACAGTACGCCGGCAGCGAATTCACCACCTCCGGGTCGAGCCCTTTCTTCTGGCTGCGGCGGCGGTAGTGATTCCCACCCTCCGCCGACCCCGATTCTGCCGCCGCGGCCGCAGCATCGCTGGCGAACCTGCGGATGTATAGGGAGAAGAAGCCCATGAAGAAGATGGCCGTCAGCAGCACCAGAATCGTCAGGGCCATGGAGGAGTCGATGGTCGTCTGGTTCGGGTAGTGGAATTTGTCCACCGGCGTTCCTTCTCCGGCTGCCACCGGCGGTGCCGGAAGAGACACCCTCGGGTCCTTGGTGCTGGTATCGCTGCCGGCCGTGACCAAGACCGAGCCGGCGACCGAGTCGAAACCACTCGAGAACGCGACTGGGCCGCCGCCGCCGCGGCGCGTGAACTTGATCTTCCGATTGTTGTGGTTCATTGTTTCTAACTTCTAAGGTCTACTGACGGAGCTGAATTTACTATATATATATATGAAATGGAAGCTGCAGTTTGAAGCGAAGAAGAAGATAAGGTTTTTAAATGGGCATGGGAGAGGAGGAGGTGTTCATTTACTCTATGTATTTATGATGTGAAATTAGCAAATTAGAGGAGGGTTCGATTTGGGAAAGGAACAGAAAAGAGCGTTTTGGAGGATACTGGGAGAAGTGGGAAGGTTCCAAAGATGTGGGACCTGGGGGATTTAGAAGATCGTTACAAGACAAAGGACGAGGATGGTGATAAGGATGAGATATGAAGTTCTCCCTGGCCCGATAGGCTGCTATTGCGCGGTGCATCATTTTTGTTGTTGTTTTGTTTAATTCGTTGAAGTTTGTCTTAACTAGAAAACACAAAACCACGGCTGCAGGCTGCCGAAGTTTTGGGTTTGCTCTGGGCGGCAAGTGTTCACAGAATTTCAACGTCAACTTGACTTCTCATAAATTGATTATTCCCTACCAAGTTGCTTCAATTCGTGGCCTCATACGTTTCTTCTCGGCAACGATAGGCTCTATAGGGTCCAACACGTCGTGACCAAATTAAAGTCCCATATTCTTTTTCATGCATCTCTAAGCTTCGTCCTAATATTATCAAATTTCGTTCTACACTATTGTGGATAGGGGTGTTAAAACGGTTTGGTTATCGTGACAACCGTTTTAATCGGTACTATTTGGATAATTTGGTTTGGTTAATTTGGATAATTGGTTTGATTTGGTTAAAGTTTTTAGCTTGTTTGATTTAGGTGGTTTGGTTTCAGACACTCCTAACTAGGGGTGGCTATACGGTCCGGTCCGGTTAAATTGGCCCAAATTGATCCGGTCCAGTCCGGTCTTTTTGAAAATATAAGGATCGAAGATTGGATTGGATACAGTCCGGTCTTGATCCGGTCCGGTCCCAATTCGGTCTTGATTTTACATTGAGATTGTGGGATTTGAGTGGCCTAAGGCCTTAAAGGGTGAGTAGTTGGTTAAGTTTTGTACTAAGTGCAAAGGTTTGTGACCGTTTATGCAAATTACCCTTAAGTTTTGGGTGTTGAGCTCTCTTATCCGGTCTTTATCCGGTTTTTTACCTCAAATCTAAGCCCAAAGATTGGATTGGATTGTTTATTATCCGGTCCCGGTCCGGTCTCGGTCCGGGTTATACTGTCCGGTTTTCGGTTTTTAATCCGGTCCCGGTCCAAATAGCCACCCCTACTCCTAACTAGTCAACCAAATTAACCAGTTAAATAATTAGTATTATATCTAACATATATTATATACACATAATACTTTGCATAACCATAGAGTTAACGTTCATCCCTTTTAGATTCATAAAATATAAAGCTCAATATTACTCATATAGTGTATATTTGTATATGTAAAGTCTAGACCACAATATATGGGCGCCTAATTTAGATAAATTTCATACATCATGATGAATGAAAACTTGAAAGGAAGGTCATTTCCAGCCTATATTAATTGCTAAGAAACTAAGTCAATTTACACAAACACAACAATTCATTAACCCATAACATTGTCATAATTTTTAGTTTGGTGAATACTTCTATACTAATAGTAAGATAATTGTCTTAATTGCATGTATTTTTGTTAAGGATCAACTATAACTACGTGTTGATTGTTATGTTTTATTCATTATATAAATTGCGAATTGTTGCATTAACCGGAGAATTTTCATCGTGAATGAGTTAATCTGGTTAACCAATTAATCAAACTGATTAAACTTTAGTTTGGTTAATTTGATAAATGTGTTTTATAATGATAATGTAATTTTATATTAGTTAATCTGATTATCAAACTGATTAAACTTTAGTTTGATTAATTTGATAAATGTGATTTTATATTGGTTAATCTAGTTAACCAATTAATTTTAGTTTGGTGAATTTGATTGTTATATTAGTTTGGACGGTTTGGTTATGATATTGTATTCCATGGTTAATAGAATTTAGCCTTATTTGGTTTGTTTATAAAAATGATAACCACCCTAATTGTAGACGATTAAAGAATGAAGAGAGCATTAAAAAGGTAAACCGATTAGTTGATTGTCGCCCTTTCAATCCGTTGATCTACATATACAAAACCGGATCTACCCAACTGGCCTAGCCTAAACCCCACAACACCTAGACTAAACAAAACACAACGCTACAACCCAAATAGATCACAAAGACGGAAAATGACAAATGCCAAACGGTTGCCACTGCTACAAACATTATCACGTTATTAGATCCAAAAAAGAGACCGTCTTTCTTCACTTGCCCTTGGCGGCCGTGGCGGTCTCGTTCTTCTTCTGATACGCGGCGTACTTGGCCACCGCCTTGGACCCCTCCGCAACCGCATGCTTCCCGAGGTCACCGGGGAGAATCAGCCTCACCGCGTCCTGCACCTCCCGAAACGACATCGTCTGCTTCCGCGACACCCGCGACGTCAGGGTGGCGGCCTCGTCGGCGATCCGCTCGAACATGTCCTTCATCAGGCTGTTCACGATGCTCATCGCCATCGCCGATATCCTCATCTCCGGATGCACCTCCTTCATCACCTTGTAAACATACCTCCCGTACCCTTCCCCTTCCAAACCGCCGCCGCCTCTCCGCTTCCGCTTCCTCGCCTTCTTCTCGCCGCCACCTTCTTCCACCGTGCCTTTCTCCGCTTCTTCCACCGTTTGTTGTGTTTGTGTGGCTTCTTCGGACAAGCCGCTTGCGGGGGCGGCGGGCTCTTTTGGGGATGGTGGTTTGTTGTGTCTTTGGACTTCGGCGACGTCCGGGGTGACTACTTCCTCGACGGGGATGGTTCGGACGGTGGTGGTCTCTTCTTGTCGTTCGACGACTATCGGCTGGTCGACGGGGGTGAGGTGTACGTCGATGGTTTCCTGGCTGTCGACGAGGTTGTTGATGTCTTCTTGCGTGGCGTCGTCGACGTCTTCCTGGGTGTCTCCATCGCCGGAGAGGATGGAAACCTGGACGGTTTCCTTGACGACTTTTCTGGTCGACCGGACGACGCCCACCACCCTTCTCTTGGATCGCTTCGGTGCCATTTACGTACACTGGAAAAAATTTAACTACCAATTACTGCTTCTTTGTGGGTCTTATAAAACGGTTAACAGATGGAATGGGAGTTTACTGGAAGGAAGACAGGTGGGGTGACGCGTGTCAGCCTGTGGGGTGCTTTGCATGGAATGAGGAGGGTGACGTGGATTCGCGGTGAAAAGAGTGCTGGCACTCACTGGAGGTCTCTGGACATTTTTACTTAATTTTTTTTTTCATAGATAGTTTGTAATAGGCAGTTCATTACAGTGCTGGGAAAAATAAAAAGCGGTAGTCAACCAAAAGGGTCGCTACCGATCCAAGGGCCGTTTGTGCCACACGATGGGCAGCCCTGTTAGTACTACGAGGAGCAAAGACAAACGAAACAAATGTAAAGGAGGTCTTCATCAAGCGTACTTCTTCTAGTACCGCCCCACCTCGATCATGGCTAACGTCGTTCTCCAGAGCTCGTCGGATGACCAATTGCGAGTCCCCACAAAAACAAACAGAATGATGGCCATTGTGTAAGCTCCATATCATCGCATCTCTTAGCGCCAATAATTCTAACAAGAAAGGATCAGACAGACCTTCATAAAACTTACCGAGCGCACTGGTGATTGTACCATTACCTGTAAAGCCGACAAATCCGACACTGCCGCCTACTCCCTGTCGCGTTGCACCATCGAACCGGATAAGGAGTCCACCAGCTGGACACACAGGCGCTGTTGTTGGAGGTCGTGGTTGCCGCCGGACATGCGATTGATCATGGGGCGTCGCAGCAGCCTCACGCCATTCCTCCACTTGTTTCCCAAATTAGCGGAATAGAGGTCCTGGTAAGTATTGGATGTTGTCGTAAGCCGTCCAGCACCGGCCTTTCCAAATGCGCCAGGAGAGAAACACTATATCTGCAATATCCACTTTAGAAAGATGCATATTTAACAGAATATTAGCCCAAGCAATGTCAAAGGAAACATTCTGCACAGCTAGCCGAACATTCTCCTTCCCTGCAAGAAGCCAAAGTTCACGGGCAACCCTGCATGAGAAGAAACAGTGAGACATGGTTTCGGCATGGTTTCGAATTGCATTACCACACCCTACTTGCCATCGAAGACCCTTCATCAGCAACTTACGCCCTTCGAGCACTCCCTGCCAAGCCCATGATGGGCGAGAACCAGTGGGGGCAGTGAGAAACTGACAGTGGGGGTGGTACCCTTGCCCGATAAAGTCTCGCGAGAAGAGAATCAGGGGCCTTGAGAACCTTCCAGGCCTGCTTGGCCAGCATTGCCACATTAAATAGATCAAAATCCTGGAAGCCTAGCCCCCCATGAAACTTGCTGATGCAAATCGCAGACCAAGAGATCCAATGCATCCCACGATCCTTGTCTTGGCCCCCCCACCAGAATCTAGCAAGTTGGCTATTAAGTCGTCGGCAAGTAGTGGATGGCAGCCTAAAAGAATACATGGTGTAGACGGGTGAGGCGGAGCCAACAGCTTTAATAACAACCTCCTTCCCAGCTAGCGAGAGCGCTTTAGACCGCCAACTCTGGACACGGGCAGCAAGCTTATCCTCCACAAATTGGAATGTCAGAACTTTGGAGCGTTGAATTTGAGCAGGGAGCCCAAGATATTTGTCGAGGGGGCCTATGGACGAGATGCCGAGGGAAGCCCCCAGTGCAATCGACTCTTGATGACTCATATTGGTGCTGAAACACGCCGATGATTTCTGCAGAGTGATTCGCTGCCCACTGGCCTCTTCAAAGAGCTGTAATAAGTGAAGCAGATGCCCACATTCCGCCGATGTAGCCCTCAAGAACAGGTAAGTGTCATCGGCAAAGAAGAGGTGTGACAGAGTTGGTGCGAGCCGGTGAATCTTTAGACCATGAAGCTGCTGGGAGTGAAGAGCATTAACCAGCAGAGTCGAGAAAGCCTCAGTGTAGATGGCGAACAGGAGAGGCGACAGAGGATCCCCTTGGCGGATGCCCCGCTGAGGCTCGAAATACCCATGCTCGCTGCCATTCACTATCACAGTAAAGGAAACCGTCGTCACACAAGCTTTGATCCATTTCATCCACTGTTCACAGAATCCCATGGCCTCCATCACAGCAAAAAGAAATCCCCACTCAACGCGATCGTAAGCCTTTTCCATGTCGAGTTTCAATGCCATCCATTTATCCCGGCCATGGGTTTTAGTCTTCAAGAATTGCATCACCTCCTGAGCAATCAGAATGTTGTCGGAGATGTCACGGCCTTTAATGAATCCGTTCTGAGAGTCTGAGATCACTGCTGGTAATATAGCACTAAGCCGGGAGGTGAGAATCTTGGAAATGATCTTGTAGAAGACTTGACACAGACTTATCGGCCTCATTTGCCGCATCACTACTTAATTACATCTACTGCTTTTTTATTATTATTATTATTATTATTATTAACGAAATTCAGAAATAAGGAAACTTACCCACAGTGTGAATAAGTGATTGAGGGCGGCGGCGGGTAATGGCAACAATATGGCGATGAGGTGTGGTTTTTTTTTTTTTTATAGAATTTTTTTGTTTACGATAAAATATATCCCAATAATAATAAAAAAGGATAAATTGATAATTTTAACGTTTAAATAAGGACAATTATCGTAATTCTAGGGCGACATTTAGACTGCATTAATTAGTATCTGGAAAATTTGTAGCGCTTGTTCATATCGCGCCAGGTCTGGTCGGTTACTTACTGCAGTCTGCAGTTGCTAGTCGGATAAGGACGGTATTATTTTTGAATTTTGATTTATATTTCCTCTGTGATTAGGATATGGCTTGTAACTGGACAATATTTGCTCAAACTGGGCTTCAATAGGCCCACCAAGTTATAAACACGGACGGATCGCTTTGGGCCGCCTCCCAAATCAATGACAAAACGTTGGACTATAATTCCATTCGAAGGTTGGGCCATTTATGACCATACGAAGTGGGTTTTTTTTTTTTAAATATAGTAACATGTGCGGACCATACGAAGGTTAAGGTACTAATCTCTGGTTTGTTGTTGTGCATCTGAAAATGAAAACTAGCCGTGATGCCATCATATTACAGCGTCATCCTTATTCCTTGGAATAGTTACCGTAACATATCCTAGCAAGTCCGAACCGACTGCACACTGGCAAATCTCCGACTCCGGCCAAAAAAGTTCGTTTCATTGTAAACGCACCTCCCAGGCTCTCTATCAAGTGAATTGGAAGAAGATGATGTCCTGCAGAAGTGAAGAAGGCTGAAGAAGTGAAGACTCTGCAGGATCGAATGAAGAAGAAACCTCACCCAGAAACGAAACGTTTCTGGGTTCCCTCCACTCAACTTAAACGAAGAGGCAAAGCGGCGTCGTTGTGGAGTCTCGGGTTTTACCGTTGAGTGGACTGTTACCGTGGCGAATGGAGAGAAGACAAGTGTCATTTACTTTACAGTCAATTTAAATTTCCGTTTTCATTTTCTTTTTGCTGGGTTTGTAACGTGATGAACACAGTTCAGGATTGGTATATATATCAAATGCAGAGAACAATGATTCTCTGGCGCGTTCCCCATTTTGTGCCGCATTCTTCTTCTTCCTCTTAACCCTAGCTCAGCTAGTTCTATATGGTATCAGAGCGGTTACTGGTCCAGTAACCTTCCATGGCGACTCACAACAATACTCCGCCTGGCACTCCTGGAGGCATTCCTTTCGGCTCTTTTTCTGGAATGAGCTCTGGTGTAGCAGGTGGAACCAACAACAACAACGAGCGCTCAGATCCCCAATTCGGTAACCCCTTCTATATCAACCCCAATGAGAACATTTCTCAAGCTATAGTCTCTGAAGTTCTGGATGGTCCCAATTACCAAATGTGGCAGCGAGCCATGAGAATGGCACTCAAAACCAAACACAAAATTGGTTTTACGACGGGTCTATCGTTTCTCCAGGAATTGGAAACCCTAATTATAGTACTTGGGATGCTTGTAACACTCTTGTACTGTGCTGGATTTTGAATTCTGTGGACAAGGAGATAAGGAGAAGTGTTATGCAACATGATGTTGCTCAAACCCTATGGGAAGAGCTTAAGGCTCGATTTGGGTATGCTAATGCTATTAAGTTGTCTAATCTGGGTGATCAAATTATTGCTTGCAAACAAGGAACTATGAATGTTACCGAATACTACACTGCTTTGAAGGGTTTGTGGGAGGAACATTTACAGTTCAACCCAATTGTGGACTGTAATTGTGCTCCTCAAAGGACTCAACCTTGTGCTGCAGTTGAGGCTTTCAAACAGAAGCAGGAAACAGATTACCTTATTAGGTTTTTGAAAGGTCTTCGCCCTGAGTTTGATGTAGTCCATACTCAAATTCTGATGATGAAGCCTTTGCCAACAGTAGAGGTAGCCATTAATGATGTACTGCAGCATGAACAGAAACTGAAGGCAGACAAGGGCATTACCAGGAGTGTTCAAACTGTTGCTTTGGCTGTATCAGGAGACAATTCGGATGAGAAAAAGTTCTGTCGTTATTGCAAGAAATAAGGTCATGTTAAGGAAGAATGCTGGAAGCTGAAAAACAAAAAACTCAGGATGGCTGGAGGTGTAGCTGCTGCTGTTTCTCAAGGAGAACAATCCAACGAGGGAGATTCAACTGGTTCAGAGTCTAAACACAGCTTAGACTCTAGAAGTGTTTCCTCAAAGGATGCCCTGCATTTCTCACCTGAAGAACTACACAAGCTGAGGTATCTGTTGCAGTCAGTTCCCTCTCCCAGTCCATCACCACTCAACTTAAACGAAGAGGCTAAGCGGCGTCGTTGTGGAGTCTCGGGTTTTACCGTTGAGTGGACTGTTACCGTGGCGAATGGAGAGAAGACAAGTGTCATTTACTTTACAGTCAATTTAAATTTCCGTTTTCATTTTCTTTCTGCTGGGTTTGTAACGTGATGAACACAGTTCAGGATTGGTATATATATCAAATGCAGAGAACAATGATTCTCTGGCGCGTTCCCCATTTTGTGCCGCATTCTTCTTCTTCCTCTTAACCCTAGCTCAGCTAGTTCTATACTCTCAGCCGGCATCCGTTCGAACATTTGATTGTCACGATGCTCATTGTCATCCCGGCCGTCTCCGGGTGCAGTTCCTTCGTCCCCTCGTACACGTACGAATCCCCCCTCCGACGACCACTGCTCATCCTCCATTTTTCGTGTTATTATATTATAAATATGTACGTTTGGTTTTCGGTTATTTTATGAGAAAATTGAATGCTCTCAACTTGCGGCCAATTTTTACATACGCATCACAAAACAACACTATTTGTACTACCGCAGTAATTGCTATAAACGTAGCCGTGACAGCAACCATATGTACTTCATGATCATATAATACCAAGAATCAGACAGACAACCTATATAACGCGGTTTCCCCCTCCACTTCCTACGTTCGTACAAATTAAAATGGTCCAAAAAAAAACAAACAAGAAGCTTTAGCCTGTAGTAATATATATATAGCGACTTTCCTATCTAGTTTAAGACAGCCAGACATTTACCCCCGCGAAGAGATCGAGGGGGAAAAAAAACACAAGACCGTGTGCCGGCTGCACACTGGCAGGCAGCTGGTCGTCTGACAAATGACGATTCGATCTCCACCGCTCTTTAATTCCTACCGGCGGCCGGCGGGCCATCCCTTCCTTTCTTGTTATCAAGAGGAGTATCGTTAGAAGACGAAACTTCTTCCAAATTTTCCTTTGCTCGCTCTTGTTTTTTCTCATCATAATTTGATTGTATTTACTAATAAGTAGAACCGAATTCAAGCTATATCTTAATTTTATATATGGAGAGTATATATCTAACAATTCGTTAATTAATTCCCAGTTAGGTTTATTTTACCTTATTTTTTCTATATCTGGGAATTGGTTTCTGACTTCTGTATGCATAAGATTCATCGCTTAATTTTAATAGTTGAATTTATTGACGAAATGTGAAGTGTTATTTAACGTTTTTTTCTGTTAAGATGCTAATATAAATTATTTGATATTTACTAATTGTATTAGTTTCATTGATATTCCCTCCAATTCCTACCGTTAACCTCCTTTGTAGTTTGGCCAAGAGAAAAATTAACCCAAATATTGGATCAATTACTACATATGAGGTGATTCATACACTTAAGTAACTCAAATAGAGATAATCCAATAACCTTATACGTGTTGAAATCGTATGAGTTAATGGATCCCTTTTCTTGGTGGGATTGAACCAGTTTTCTCCTTTCTTGGCGAGAAATGACCAGGGGGTTTTTTTGCTAAAATTCTGCTTACCATTATTCATATCCTTCTCAACCTAAATACACCAACGTTTCTAAAATGTAAAGCCTAACTTTGTGGAACTAACTCCATGATCTCCTCTACTGCTGCTACACTTTCTCCACTAAACATGGAGATGCTTATTCATAACTCACCACTAACTATAACAACTTGCACCACTAACTCTAACAAACTTGCTACGTGGCTTAAGGCCTTGCTCTTGATGGGCTGGGCTAATTATTCCTCATAATCACGGTAGCGAGTGTTGGGCTACGAATGTCGAGCTGACTGACGAATTGTACACTCATCATAACCCGAAATCAATACTGACCCATCCTTAACGAGAATTCGTTCTTTATATGAGGGACAGATAGATCTCACCATCTAGTCATTCATTTCTTAACAAACTCTCTAACGTCTTCGATCGATTTTAAAACATTGGTACTTTTAGTTTTTTTTTTTTTACAATTTGAAATTGTACATTTAACGTTATGGTACAATTTTAATTTGTACCTACACTTTTTTGTAAAATTCCTACATGGTACAAACTAAAGTTAATAGTTTTATGTTATGGTACAACTTGACAACTTGAAATTGTATCATTACATAAATGTCAAATTCTCTTACTTCAATTTGTACATTTAACGTTATGGTACAACTTTAAATTGTACTTTAAAGTATAATGGAATTAACGAGCTATGTTCAGCTTTGTAAATCTATTAACGTAACCCATAAGTGATATGGAATGCGTGGAGCCTGGTTCTTTTTTTTTTTTTTTTCTTCTTCTTCTTCTTCTCCATGCATGGATTGCTCTTAACTAGTGGTAGAACTGAACATTTGATCATCGCTGAGATGTTCATGTCAAACTCCATTGATAATAAGGTAGGAAGAGAGCACTACTAACCAAACTCATTAACTTCCTAGCTATATATTGTTGAAACTTACCAATTTAAGACCCATTACTTACTTGTAGCTTGTAGGTGCTCATCATCATCAATTACAATTTGACTTCCCCCTCTCAGACTCACCAAATTGTACTAGTTGGATAGATTTCACCTAACAAATGCACTAATTACCTTCCCCTTGCGCCTAACTAACTAAACTAACCACATGCAAATGCAAGAGGTATATATAAACAAATTCAAATGAAACTGAAATTCACTCAAAACTTTGTCATTAATTATCCACTACGAGGAAAATGGGTATAATATATATTATTTGTGAATATGAGAAGCATAGAGAAGGAATCCAATGCAGCATGTCAATCAAGTAAGAAGAGGAATCCAATTATCAAAATGAATAATCCTTTTTTTTTTTTCCTTTTCTTCTTGCCAGTAGTAGTAATTGATGTTCATTTTGCACAGATACAATAATTCATTTGTGGTAATTCTAGCCGTAATCGGATACAATTTACATAGAAGGTTTACAGAAACAAAGAATCATCATCATCAGTAGGGGGCAGATCAGATTAAGACTACAGCACTACTACTCATGTTCAAGTGTTGATGAAGAGAAATTGTATAATCAATTATAATGATCATGATTAATTTAGCTAGAAACTATGGCGGCGCTTCCTTCTCACCCGCCGATCATTTCTCGTACTGCTGCTAGCTTCCGTTTCGGCGGCGGCAGCCGGCGGAGGAGGAGGAGGAGGTGTAGAGGTTGAAGTAAAATTAGTTGCTGATCGGAAGAAAGAGTCTACCTCTTCCCGGTTCACGTTCTCGAAGAACTGATCGTCCGGCGGAAGCTTCCTCTTCCTGTTACCAGGTGCCGGTTTCTTCTCCTTTCTCGGTGTCGGCGGACAGCTTTGGGCCCTTATCAGCCTTGTTGTCGGAGTTCGGAACCCTTCCTCCTCCTCCTCCTCATCATCATCTCCTTCTTTCTTCTCCGGAATCCCCGCCGGCTGGCCTTCTTCTTCTCCTTCGTGTTTTTGGTGGGACATGTCGCGCTTTTCTCGGAGAAGCTGCTGCAGCGTATTCGGCGGTATTTATATGAATTAGATTTTTAGTAATAATGAAAGAAGATATGTGCAGAAAGGGGATTATTGCGAGGGAAGCTTTGTGACGGAAAAAAGACTCTACAAATGGAGGAAAGATGGAAGATATAATAAGACAGCGAGAGCGAGAGCGAGAGGGGAAAAAGGTGCACTACGTTGACGAACGGACACCAAAAGTGTAGCCAACACGATTTCCTTTTAATTAATGTTTAGGTTGAAATTGATTTCCCGATTTATCCTTTTAACTTCTTACTTACGGCGGGCCGTCCCACTTCTGCTTCTTCTTTTGCAGCACTACACGTGTCCCTCATCCTGCTGGTGTGTATTAATATTTCCGACGGCAACCCCAAAATTGATTTTCCCATGGTAAATTAGATATTTTAATTTTAGCCAAAGTACGTACTTTGAGTAAAACATTCCTTCCTCTGGAGTGCAGTAGTGAGCGTATAGTGAAAGTGTACCCTTTATTTCTCTCTTTTTTTTTTCCCCTCCTAATTAATTGTCACACTCGTGTGTTGGTTTGGGCGAAAAAATTGAAAATTGTGGGTTTTAAGTTTAAATTTTCTACGTTTGTGAGTTTTGAGGACAAAACACAAGAATTGGAAAATACAAGGAGGGGTGTGAGATTTTTAATAATAATGTGGAGGATGTTATATTGTTGCGTAAGAAAACCAAACTATGATAGCACGTCAAACTAAACATAACAAAAAGAAAATGCACAATATTTACGTGATTTTCTTAGTGAGTATCGCTAAGACTAGTTCATAGAGTGAGAGAGGGGCTCTCTCAAAGTCAATAATATTAGTTTGCAGCAAGAAGTATAGAAAATCAACAAATAGAGTTCGACCTGTCTATATTTATACACAGCCGAATCAGTTTAGATCCAAAGCAATGACCCAGTTTGTAATTAACGATAATTAAGTAACTGTTAATTACAAACTAATCCAAAACGATCAACTTCATTCCCCCTCCCCCTCCCTCATTATTTCTATACCATCCATTCTTAAAGTTGGATGTGGATATGTGATCATTACCAAGATCATTACCAATTAAGGGATGGATTAGTGCGACAAACGAAGCTTCTATGTAGCTATATAAGATTCACAATTTTATTATAATTTCATTTGCTAAGTAATTATGGTACATGGTGATTTATTTGTTTGTTTATTAAACAAAGTACCAATTAGCATAAGGAAACTTCTCAATTGTTGCTCTACCAGGCGACACCCGTATCTTAGCTAACTTATCGTATTCCTCACATCTTTCTTTCTTTCTCCGACCCAAATAATTATGATTGGCAAAGACAATTTAAGTTCGGCGCTACCAAATACACCAATCCCCAAAAAGATTCACATTAAACAAACAAATATAAAACCCATAACCGGTGTTACAAAAAAAATATTCGTGAAGCCCCATGTGAGCTTGGATGGGTCTGGTAACCATACAACTTACCTAGACACCAAAAAAAAACAATTACCATATAATATTATTAACCACACTACTTATATGCACTTATAGTGATAACAATTTTCCTACCTGATCCGCTCCGTTCCTCCACATTGTCGATCCGTTCTACTGCATCAATATCCACACGTACTTCTCCTATTTTGACCATTCAAAAACCATATTTTTATCTCCAAAAAGTTTTAATACTCTATTTTTCAGCTATTTAGACTCGATTATTCCGTCTATTATATTTTTCAAAAAAAAAATAAATATCAACGTTCTTTTTCAAATAACATATAAGAAAATGGTCTACCCGTCCATCCCATCCTCGAACAGGTATTACCCGACCTCACCCACGCTCAGGATACGACGAGTATAGGTACTATTACCCGCTCCCCATCCCATTGCCATCACTAATATATATATATAATTCATATATGAAACCCCAAATGAATAAAACAATTGATTAGATGAAACAGAATCCAATATTTGCAGAAACACAGCAGCTGCCGCCTGCTCCAATTTGCCTTTGATGGAAGAAGAGAATCCCATGAAACAGAGAGAAGACTGACTCTGAGAGAGAGGAAGAGTACGTCCTTATCTACTACCCTCTCGTCGTCTCGCAGGCTACACTAATCTGTCGTCTTCCTCTGCCCTTCACTTCACATGTCGTGTCATTATCCGTCCATCCATCTTCCTTCTCACTTGTCTGTATTAAAACCCATTTTTGCATTGGATTCCCTTTTTACAGACCAACAACAACCCCCCTACCTTCCGCTCATTCATTCATTCATTATTGTGTATTCAATCCCTACAACGTCCGGAAAAAACCACCCACTTGAATGAACGAAAGGTTACACTTACACACGACATGACACCACATTCCCCCCGGCGTTTCCTTCGATCGTCTGCTTCTGCCGCCCATACTTCTCCTGCACAAACTACCCGTGGACAATCGGCTACTGGTTAACCGACCTGGTTACACCCGAAACCAGGCGGTTATCCACTAACCGATAATCGAGATAACCGAAATTCAGTCGGTGTTCGAAGGCTGGGTGATATAGTTTTGGTCTTGGGGGCTGTTCGGTTGACTAAAAATCGAGATAACCGAAGGCTTAAGCCCTCTTTCGGTCGGTGGTCGGTAGAGTTGAGAGGTGGTTCGGTTGATCGATAACCGACCATTCGATTATCGGTTATTGCCGAACCGACTGGCCCTCCACCCCTATTTGGGAACATCTGATCGAAAAAAAATCATTTTAAGTTATGAGACAGTTGAATCATGGTTAAGTCATGATTTCAGTGTAAAAATATCATAAGTCATAACATTTATATTGTTTAGAATATTTATTGTTGGACCTCTAATACCGCAGCAAATCCAGAATTGCCCTAACAAAAATAATATACTTCTTACTTAGATTGTGTTACTGCGGGATTTTTTCGATATAACTTTCGGTATGATTTTAAGATCGTTAAATTGACACCCTGTTTTCCTGTCGAGGTAGCATTAGCAACATGCGATGGGTTCCCCAGTTTGTTATGATGGGCTTTCGGCCTTATTGTTGGGCTTTCACTCTTATTAGCTTTTGTCTAACTGTTCCCAATGGGCTTGTTACGCATGGTCTTCTTTGTGTACCAGTTAGAACTAGCTTGCATGCACTCGGCCCAAAGTTCGCTCACTCTTCAACCTCTTTTGTACTTAAAACTAAGGCCGGCTATTTGGTCCGGACTTTTTGGGTTTACTCGAAATCGGACCGGGATCAGATAGCAAACAATCAAATCACATCTTCGGTCTTATATTTGAGGTAAAAAATCGTTTGGTACTGGATCGAAAACCGGATAAAGATCGGATAAGACAACGCAACACCCAAAACTTAACCAACTCCTCACCTTTTGAGGTCTCAGGCCACTCAAATTTCCACAAGTTCAATCCAAAATCAAGACCGAATTGGGACCGGACCGGATCAATCCAATATTTGGTCCTTATATTCCCGAAAAGACTGGGCTGAGACCGAATCAATTCCGACCAATTTAACCAGACCGGACCGTATAGCCAACGAAAAGAACTCGAGATATGGGGTAATCAATTGGAGGCATCCTCATCATGTTCTTGTTTTGTAACCGAAGTTTTTTTTTTTTTTAATAAGTAAAGCACATAACAATGTTATAATCCCCACATCTTAATATTCCCCCCTGAATTGTATCTAAACTTTAGTATAATATAAGCAAATAGATATAACTAGCTAATCTAGTTGAACAAGGAAAAACACAAACAAACAAGGCCAATTTTAATTAAGTTTCTCATCAGGAGGGCAATGAAGCATCAAGTTCTTCGCTAGTTTAGGCGAAGAAGGGCGCCCTCTGTGGGATCCCCTTTCTTGGTCTCCTCCTCGGGTTGGACGTCGATCGCTTCGGCGGAGGAGGCGGCGGCGGGCTAGAGGTGGCCGCCGGCGAAGGAGGTGGAGAATCCTCGTTTTGCTGCACTACACCATCTTCTTGTTGCTTTTCCTCACGCCATTCCTCCCTGCAGCTAATTCCTCGTCCCGACCTAATTCTTTCCTCCATTATTTCATCCCCTCCTCCTCCTCCTCCATTTCCCTCCGCCGGGATCGTCACCTTAAAGCTTGCATCGCCACTCCTCTTGATTCTTGCCAGCTGCACATGTTATTACATATTTAACCAAATGCCCAACAATATATATATATCATGCTTGTAACTTGCAAGTTAGAGTATACATATTATCGGAAGGAATTAGATAATTCTCAATCCAATCCACTAATTCATTAAAAATATCCACTTAATTCAATCCATTTAAATTCAATCCATTTGATTCAAATCCAATTAGATTGGTGGATTCATGGATTGATCCATGGATCCAAATGACAAATTATGATTTGGTGCCTATACTTTTTATATTTTACATTTTGGTACCTAAAATTTAATTTTTTTATACGGAAAATATCATTGGAAAATTACGTTTTGGTACCTAAAATTGTTCATTGTGATATTTTAGTACCTAAACTTTTCACATTTTACATATTGGTCCAAGGTTGATGATGTCATTTGGATTCCTGGATAATCCACCAATCCACTTGATCCAATCCATGAATCCACCAATCGATTAGATCCATGAATCCGATCCATTTGCCACCTCTAGAAGGAATCCTTCTACTTTACTCTGAACTATTGTTGTTTCAGAATAGAAATCGAATTTTTGTCGTTAAAGATACAAATTTACTGATTTAGTTTGTACCATTACATAAACATACAAATTCAGCTCGTGTCATAAATGAATTCGAATTATGCATTACAAAAATTTAATAGTTCCAAAGCTGAATTTGTATAATAACAACATTAAAACTACAAATTCGAATTGTATAATTTGTAAATCAAAGACACCGATGCCATAATATATTTAGTTATATTAATCAACAATTATCGTTAACTTTGTGCTACAAGCATCGAGCTGCTTCTAACACACATAAGACAGAGATATTATCGAGGAATGTTTTTTTTTTTTTTTTAAATAAGATTAATGCTGAAAGCTATTTAAGATAGAGGATAGGCTCGAAATGAAAATGCAAAAAAGGGGAATGCATGGGTTGAAATGGAACCCTCTTAATTAAATTACCTTACACCCCAACGAGCAGAAACGACACGGATCCAGCAGGCTCCTCCCACAAATCTCACACAAATGCGTAACGCCTTTCCCACTACTACTGCTCCCGCCGCCGCCGCCAGCCCCACTCCCCGCGCCGCCGTTCTTCGGCAGCGGCCGCTCGTTCAGGAACACAACCTTCGCACTGTTGATGACGTACGTCTGGACCCCACCGGTGTCCAGCAGGCTTTCCACCTCCGCCACCCTCACCACGTCGTGATACGACGACCGCCGGATCTGCAGATGGCAAAAAAAAAAGAGGGTAAAAACGGCGGCGTTTTTGATTAATTATGGGATATATATATGTATTATGTATATATATACTTGGATGACGGCGTGGTCGTGGTGGCGGGAGGAGCGGCAGTAGAAGCAGAAGGCGCCGCCGTTGGGGCAATCGAGGCAGAACATGTTGCACTCGGTGCGGGGCCCGTCCTTGTGACGGAAGCAGCCGGAGAAGAACGACGTCGTCAGCAGCGGCTCCAGCCATTCCGGCACCACCGCCACGTGTCCGGCCTTTTCCTACGTATGGTGCACCGGCGAGACATTCGAATTAATATAACGTAATGGATTAGTAGTAATAATGAATTAATTACATACGCTCCTCGAAGCCAATTAATTAATTAATGAGATTGAATAAAAAAGTTTTGTTGCTTTCGATTTGGTTTTACTTTACCATTTGGATTCTCGAAGATGGGGGGGAAGATGATCACGGGTATATGCAGCAATGGCGGCTGTATTTGGACTTCAGTGCAGGGGGGAATTTTAATGGAGAATTCATGAGAGGAATGTAATCCAGGGTATATAAAGAGGAAGAAGAAAGACTTGAGGTTTTGATATATGGAAACAGAATTAATTAAAATTTGGTCAAAGGATTAGTCATGAAAAGAAAATTTGGTCAGAGAATTTTGTATATACAAAAAAAAAAAAGCCCGACTTTTTATTTATTCTGCATGTCAGCATGTGTAACGTACGGTTGGAATGGAGATGGTGCGGATGGCGTTTGCTTTGTTGGTTGAGAAGAAATTGTATAGTTGAATAAAACGTTCAGTAATATTTTTAGGGCTGAATTAACACTTTCATATACCGTTAATTTCAAGAACAATACTCTTTTACCGGATTATGAAAACTTTAGTTTAATAGTGATTTAGTATTACTAAACTAATGTTTAGAACCATCGGTCATGATCGTTGTCAGAACTTGAACGTACATACATCGATCAAGTTCAACTAATTTATCTTATTCACTTAATCTTATCTATATATCGGTTAAAATATATAATCATTGGCATCCAATGAGTTGTAGTTCTTTTAAGGATCGGTCAGGACACTTATTTGACTTAAGAATTCAATGTTACACACATTTTTGGTAATATGCGGTTTACTAAACTCGTGTTATTGGAATAGGCTTAAATATGAATCTTATATAATTTATTAACACACCAAAGCCAACCCATATTAACATTAAGCTTGCACAACTTCGAATTAAATGTCGAGACTCAATGCGACATTGAATTCAGACGAAAAATAATTTTAGGTGTCAACACTGCGCCATGGAAAAAAAGAAACTACGGAGGACGACGCGTTCACAGACGTCTTTGATCATATTGGAAAAGGCGGTGGTTGGGCTCCGACAGAGGACTCCTATATTATTATTGATTAATTAACCTAAAATTTAGTCATTAATTATATTTTCATTTCATCAATTCGTAAGAAATTCAGAATTAAAATAACTTATCTCAGAATAAACTTCAAAACAATTTATTTGAAATTTAAAAAACAAATATATCTGCTTACTTTTAGAGACTAATATTTTTGTATTTAATATGGTTATGGAGGCAAAATAATAGTCATGAAAAGGATACATTAGAGACCAGAATATCAGTTGCGATACTCTAACCAGCAACAGACAATATTTGTCTCCAAATCTAACTCGATAGAGTATTGGTGATAGCGATACAAGAGACAAATGTGTAATCTGCATATAAAATAATACAGAGACAAATAAGTAGTTTATAGAAACGTATTTCCTTTATCATTATATCTGTTTTTTCTTGTAGTGACTCTAACAATTAATGTTATTAAGTTTGGCCTCATAGATCTTAACTTTGAAGCCAGAGCCATTAAGCCATTTACTAGCAAGGACATGAGTTAAGAGGGATGTGACCCTCTACTAAGAGGCCATGCGAGGCTACGAACGACATGTCAAAAGACAAAAAAATGACTAAGTATGAGAAGTTTCAGGGCGCGAGTCGACAAGCCTCTAGGCACGAGTTGACAAGGCTTAGGGCACGAACAAGAGGTCCTTGACCGAGAAAGCAGGCCACGAGTCGACAAACCTCAGGACAAAAATCGACAAGCCTCAGAGTGCGAGTTGAGAAGGCCCAGGGCACGAACAAGAGGCCTTTGGCCAAGAAAGTTCAGGGAGCAAGGCGTGAGTGAGAAGTCATTGGTCGTGACTCGTGAGACAAGGGATTGATGGAACAATTGAAAAATACTAATGAGTAAATGACTTTTTAGCTCTAGGGTTGGAGTTAGTTTTACTACGCACGAATTCATTAACAAAGCACAACGGCCCAATTGTGGGTCAGGCCGACACAAGGCCGTTCCGTCTCCTGATTATTTCGTGTGCCCTGGGATGGGCCAGAATTTTACAGCCCTCAGCCCAGTGAACTTATATGATTCGATCGTCTGATCTTGATCAAACGTCGCATGGCTCGTTTGCTTGTTGTATTTGAAAATGAAGGTTTTCAGTTTTCAAAACCTTTGGATTTATGATGTATTTGTTTTATTTTGTATTTGAAAGATAACATTGTTTGTTTAGTTTATGTTGATCATGGATTTAAGGGGTCGTTACTCGTTTGGATGAGGAATTCTAATGGATCAATCTGACACAATTGTCTCGTTTTGAGTCAATTGTGCTAGATTGATCCGTTTGGCAGCAGAAAATTTGGATGAAGCAATTTGGGATGGGGAATTCTGAATTGACTCATTTTGAGCCAATTACAATTGTCTGGGGCGGGGGCAGGTAGGGGTGGGCAACGGGACGGGACGGGATACCCGTCCCGTTTTAAACGGGTACCCAGTCCCATTTGGAGACCAAAGTCCATCCCATATCGCAAACCCATATGGGAAACGGGTGCCCATTACCCGTACGGGACGGATAACGGGTACCCATACTACCCATAAATATCCAAAGTTTAAATGACATTTTACCTAAAGACAATTAGTCAATTACATCCAAAGCATTCATTTCAAAACACAAAATGGCTGCACAAGTAGCAACTTATACCAATTCCTACAACCCAAAGAAGGGATGACGATGAAGATGAAAAGGAATCAAGGAAGGGGAAAGGACCAAATAATAAAACCCAGAAAGAGAACAAGTTCTGCTTCCTAGAAAGTGCCATGATTCAGTAATAATAATAATAACAAGTTCTGCTTCCTGGAAAGTGCTATGATTCAGTAATAATAATAATAATGTTGTTTCTACTCAAATCAATCCTCAGTTTGGCAAAATAGGGTGGGGAAGGTGGTGAATTTTGCAGCAGCAAGCAAGGGTGCGTCAGCGTCTCAACTCTCACGGGCTGAATTAAATGGATTTTGTAATTTTAATGGATTTTGAATTGGGTTGGGCCTGGGCGCATGAGCTGAATTATATGTCTATGTAATTTGGATGGGTACAACGGGTACCCATATTACCCAAACGGGTATTCGCGGGTAATCCGCGGGTAGGGATGGCAACAAAACCCGAACCCACGGGTACCCACCCGACCCAATCCGGTCAACGCGGGTAAAACCAGTGGTGACGGGTTTTGGGCCGGGTTCGGGTTTAAACCCGCTACACTATTCACCGGGTCGGGTTGGGTTTGGGTTTAGGTAAACCCGCCCCATGGGTACCCGCCCACACACATATAATTACTTTTCCGGTATATTTAATATTCTAAATAATATATCTTCCTTAAACAACTAATCTTCTTTATATTTGTGGAGACATGTATAATTTGTTCTTTCTAATTGTTTAGAATGAAGTTGATATTATGAATTGAAAAATGAAGAAACTTAGTTGACGAGGAAAAACTTTCAATTAATCTTATTGTTTATAGATGTTTATCTTTAATTTTGAACAATTTGTATTGATCATTTGCGGTTTGCTTGTATGCTCTAGATTGGTGTTTTTTGTATGATTAATTTGTATGAGAAAATTGATGTTAAACTTTTATTTGGAAAGAAACTTGTTATTGTAAATTTTTTACTAGAAAAACCCATGGGTACCCATGAACCCGCGGATACCCAGCGGGTTGGGTTGGGTTTGAGTTTTTCAAACCCAACGGGTTTTACCCCGGGTTTTTTTGGCGGATAAACCCATGGGTTTGGGTTTGGGTTTGACAAAACCCGCCCCAACCCGACCCATTGCCATCCCTATCCGCGGGTACCCATATTAGGATTGTACAATCCCAAGTCCCATCCGTTTAAAACATTACGGGTAATATGGGTACCCGTAACCCTAAAAAAAGGGGACGGGTACGGGTATACCGAAATACCCGTTTCCCGTTGCCCACCCTTAGGGGCAGGTAATCTGAATTGACTCATTTTAAATGACACGTTTTGTAAAATGAAACAATTGGTCAAATTGTCTCGTTTTGTACCTTGGGTCTCAAATACTTGTCTTCCATGACTAATAAATAAAAAATGAAAATGTTGTATTTGCAAATATGTGGGGTCCACGAATTTAGAGCTTAAAAAAAGTCTGCCCCACAAATTTGTATACATCAACAAAATATAGATTTTTTTATCAAATACATAATACTTGATATTTGGGTGCCAAATACATCACCCAAATCTGATACGTGTAAACGAGACATTACCTTACTTTAGATCAGATTCAATCTAGCCGGCGATTTCTGTGGGCACCTCGTCCCAATTCTATCGATGTCGAACGGCGGCGGAGGAAACCGGTGCTTGTTAATTTCTTCCCTCCCTCCTCACGTTTCTCTGCTATGATTGAGAATGCAATCTGATCCGATTTACAGCCTCATCGGATGCAATTCACCGTGAGGAAGTTTCTTGACGAGATCCATTAGGCAGGAGAGTACTTGCCCAGCCGGCTTCTTTCTCCGTAGAATTTCCGGGAAAGCCTCTGTCTTTACCTTAGCGAAGGCCAAGTAAGTTCTGAAGTTCGGTTACTTCCTTTGCTTGATAGATACCATATACTGTGCTCTTTAGTAATCCTTCCCATTATCTGCAATGGGCGTTTGAATTTGCTAGCGATTGGAGATTTCGTTCATTGTAAGTTTCAATTTTACTTGTACTCGGATGCGCGTCGATTGGGTAGTTCGAAAGTTTCACTCTACAAACAGTCTTTTGCTGCCCAGCTTTTGTAGCTTGTTACATGTGCTAATGAATGTTTGCTCCTTTCCTGCGACCGCTGAAGCCCAATTTGAAACCAAGTCTTTGCTTGTTACTATTCTTCTGCTGCTCCTCGCGACTTGGGAGCATGGACTTTGATGCTCCTTCATTTACATATTGGTTCTTCTGCAATCTTATGAATTGATCCTGGAAGTATATAGTTGGTGAAGCTTCAAGATCATTTAGGACATGATATGGCATTGTATTTCATTGCAAGCATCTTTATCCTGCATAGGAAATCAATGCTTATTCATTGCCTACTTACCTGCACATTTAGACTGATGATTGCCTTATGTAGTGGTTTCTAAATGTTTGTAGTTGTTATTTCATTCAGTGTAGTACCATAATTTGATATCGGACGTTCCTATGTGGTGATATCTAATGTGATATTATGCTGCAGATACCTGATGCTGGGTTACCATCCACCAAGGTGTTAACAAAGGTCATGCTCTTGCAACCGGAAATCAACAGACCAACCAGTATCTTGCTGTGTCAAATATGCTTCCCAAGAACATTGCACCTACTACATTTGCAATCAGAAGAACTCAGCTTTCGTGTTACATTGTGTCTATCTTCCTCGCGTTTGTAGCTATTTCCCTTCTCTCATCTATTTCCTTCCACTTTTATTCAACCTCATCCCAGCCGTTTCTAAAATCCCAAACCCATATTAACACTGCCCAAACTTCCCTCAAAGTCTATGTAGCAAACCTCCCTAGATCTCTTAACTATGGTCTCTTGGAGAAATACTGGGCTTCCCCTGTACCTGATTCACGCATTAGCTCTGATCCAGATCATCCCAAGGACCAAACTAAAGCCATGGCATTCACTAGAGGCACCAAGTTTCCTCCATACCCTGAAAATCCAGTAATCAAACAGTACAGTGCTGAGTACTGGATCTTAGGGGACTTGATGACACCAGAAGCTTCACGAACCAACTCATTTGCCAAAAGGGTGTTTGATGAGAGCGAGGCTGATGTCTTCTTTGTACCGTTCTTTGCTACGTTGAGTGCAGAAATGGAGCTAGGAAGAGGAAAGGGCACGTTTAGGAAGAAGGAAGGCAATGAGGATTACCAAAGGCAGAAGGAGGTACTTGATTTTGTTATGAACTCGGAAGCATGGAAACGGTCTGGGGGTAGAGATCATGTTTTCGTTCTTACCGGTAATGTTTATTCACGTTCTTGATAAACTCTTAAGTTTTGTGATTTAACTTGCTATTTAATCTGCACTGGGGTGTTTACTAAGATTCAGGTTTTTGTTTATCATGTATATGCTAAACCTACATACAAAAGTTCATTTTGTGTATAGGGTATTGCAGACCCAGTAGCAATGTGGCATGTGAAAGCTGAGATAGCCCCAGCTGTTCTCCTGGTTGTTGATTTTGGTGGTTGGTACAGGCTAGACTCAAAATCATCTAAAAGCAGCCTGCCTGGGCGGATTCAACATACTCAAGTTTCTGTGCTCAAAGATGTGATAGTTCCTTACACACATCTTCTTCCTCCATTGCCCTTATCTGAAAATATGAAGCGCCACACTCTTCTATATTTCAAAGGAGCCAAACATCGGCAAAGGGTGAGTGAGTATTTTCTTTCATTCATTCACGACATTAGCAAGGTGTTCGGTATATCTCCTTGTTTTTTATTTGCAGTTTCATTTGAAAACTTATGCAGGGTACTTGGTGTTCATTAGTCATATTGAGAGTAAAGATCTAAATACTATTTCTGAGCCAAATTAAATCATATTATTTGCAGTTCCTCTTGTTCTTCTGAGTTTATCAATTCGTTTTTTCATCTAAAGAAAAAAAAAATTATGGCAATTCATCATTTGATGTTTGAAGCATAGTACTGTTGAGGGTTTAGATTCGTCTAATCAGCCATCAAATGCTATCTATCGACAGGGAGGGGCAGTTCGAGAAAAATTGTGGGATTTGCTGGTTAACGAGCCTGGGGTGATTATGGAAGAAGGCTTTCCTAATGCAACTGGAAGGGAGCAATCAATCAAAGGGATGAGAACATCAGAGTTCTGTCTTCACCCAGCTGGAGACACCCCAACTTCTTGCCGGCTCTTCGACGCCATTCAAAGCCTATGCATACCGGTCATAGTCAGTGACAGCATCGAGCTTCCGTTCGAAGGGATGGTGGATTACTCCGAATTCTCCATCTTCGTTGCAACCAGCGACGCCTTGACACCAAACTGGCTCGTGCATCACCTGCGAAGCATCTCCGAGAGACAGAAGGATGGATTTCGGCGGAAGATGTCCATGATTCAGCCAATGTTTTGGTTGGACAATGGCCAGCCCGGTGGCATCGGGCCTGTTCATCCAGATGGTGCGGTGAACCACATATGGAGAAAGGTACACCAAAAATTACCCATGATTAGGGAAGCTATTGCTAGGGAGAAGAGGAGACCGGCTGGTGTATCTGTTCCTTTGCGTTGTCAATGTACTTGATTGAAGAAGAGCCTTAACAAGCTAGGTACTGCTGATGTTTTGTTCTGTGCTTTAATTTCTGGATGTGGATGAAATGGTCTAGCTAGCGACTTGCCGGTCACACAGGTTTTGGTTTTCTTCGATTCGCCATGGCTTAATTGTTTCATTGATTACCATATGTTGTGGAAGAGATACATAAGTACTGTAGTGCTATTCATCTAGTCTACTCTTCTTCTAGTATCTTTTCCCATCAAGTATGACCTTTTTTTTTTTGGCAACCACGGTTCTAGACCCTTTTCTTCACGCCTATACGCCATCGTTTGTGTAGATAGAACTCCATATTGGACATTTCGCTTCAACAAACGCTGCAAAAAGCTGTATTAGCAAAAGAAGAAAGCTTCCTGTTGCCGGCAAGAAACAGAGGAAACGCTAAAAGCAAACGTAAAAGGCGAAAGCCGAACCTCCGCCGTAGCAGCAGCTCACTGACTGCGGTTCCCTTCACCCAAATCCACAATCCAAGTCTCGCGCGCTGCATTCTGTTCTGTTCTGGTAAATGGTAATGTACGAGCAAATGGTCCAAGTTAGCGGATACGTTATCATTAGTTGTCTAAAAGTTGTGTACTCTTTTGTCTCTACCTTCCTTCCTTATTCTGCCGTTGCCAGATTCGCTGCTCGGTCGCGTGGCTGTCATTTTCCTTTTCTTTTGGGTCCCTTTTTCGACCTCATATTAAAGTCGAGCGCTTTTTAACAATCTATCTAGTTCTACCCATAAAAATCTGAAACGGAATCGCGTATTCTTCTCTGTTTTCGTTACAGTGGAAAGTATGGCTAAGTTATGGGCTCTTCTTCTTCTCGCCGTTTTAGCTTCTTCCACAGCCGGCAGGGTGATCTCCAGGACGACCAAAGATGGATCGGAAGTGTGGGGTTACGAGAAAGTCCGACCCAGTAAGCCCAATTTTGAAAATTTCTACCCCCATTGGTATCCGTTTTCCTTTTCTCTGCAGCCAAACAGAGCAATTTGAAAATGGAAAAATGGAGATCCCCACCTCTAAAGTTGTTGTCTTTTTTGCTGTAAATCAGAAGCTCACATGTTCTGGTGGCTGTACAAGAGCCCCTACAGGGTGGAAGATCCTTCGAAGCCATGGCCAACCATTCTCTGGCTCCAAGGTGGACCTGTGAGTTCAAATTTCTTACTCTGGTTCTGTTCCCTTTTCAATTTCCCCCCATTTTTGCCGGAAATGTGTTTGGTTGAAGTAATTGATAATAATGAATTTGATTCAGGGAGCTTCAGGAGTAGCGATTGGGAATTTCCAGGAAGTCGGCCCACTTGACACCAATCTCAAGCCCAGGAACTCAACCTGGCTCGCCGTCGCCGATCTGCTCTTCGTGGTAACTAATTACTCACCTAATCAATTCATTCAAGCCAGAAGAATAAAATTTGAATGCAATTCTGAATCTTTCTTTTTTTGCAGGATTCGCCGGTGGGGACGGGCTACAGTTTCGTGGAAGAAGACGGGGCACTGGTGAAGACGGACGTCGAAGCGGCGGCCGATTTGACGGTGCTGCTGCAGAACTTGTGCAACAGAGACGAGAAGCTGCAGAGCAGTCCTCTGTACATCGTGGCGGAATCTTACGGCGGCAAATTCGCCGTCACGTTGGGTTTGTCTGCACTGAAAGCCATTGAAGCCGGGAAATTGAAGGCCAAGCTCGGCGGAATAGCGCTGGGAGACAGCTGGATCTCCCCTGAAGATTTCGTGCTCTCTTGGGGTCCCCTGTTGGGCTCTGTTTCTCGCCTCGACACCAATGGCGTCAAATTAGTCAACAAGTAAGCCAGCTTGCTTCCAATCTAACAAAGTTAAGATCTTTGACCTATGTAGCATCGACCCAAGAATTAATAATGGAAACCCAGATTGGCGGAGGGGATAAAGCAGCAGATTAGCGAGGAAAAGTTCTTGGAAGCGACGGATGCTTGGGGTCGCCTAGAAGGAGTGGTTTCTGATTACTCCAACAATGTGGTAAAATCTTCATCGCCATCATTAACTAGAAGAACACCCACTTTACTGATCAATTCAGTGTCCTAATAATACTTTGTTGTGGGATTAACCAGGATTTCTATAATTTCATGCTGGATTCCGGTATGGATCCGGTGTCCATGATGACGACAACCACCACGACGACGGCGGCGGAGCTTTTGCTGGGGAAGACGAGGAGGAGCTACGCCAGGTACTTGAGCTCGCCGGGGGAAGATGGGGTCGACATTGACACATTGATGAATGGTGTTATCAAGAAGAAGCTTGGGATTATCCCTGAAAAGCTTCAGTAAGTATAATTAATTAATATCTATATATTTGTAATTGAACTAAAACTAATGACATTCTTCATTCAGATTATTATTTCATGATTGGGCTTTTGGCCGGGAAATGAATTTTGCAGATGGGGAGGGCAGTCGGGATCTGTGTTCAATAGCATGGCGGGTGATTTTATGAACCCAAGGATTAACGAGGTTGCTAATTGTTCTTTCTTAATGTACTAAAATATGATAAAAAGAGGATTTGATCTATCATTTAGCTTGAACGTTTTAGATTCTAATTTGAACGTAACTATTCATCTGCGATAAAACTTTTGTTTCTCATAACCATTATTCCGATAAATTGATTCCTTTCTGATTTGGTAGGTGGATGAACTCTTGGCCAAAGGTGTCAACGTGACTATATACAATGGGCAGGTAAGACAGTTTTATTTTAATCAAATTTTCTTCCATAGAATATGTTTATTTACATATTTATAAATATAATTAAAATGCTTTTTCCTCAATAAATTATTTTTTTTATTGGACCCAATCTTATCATATGCACCCCAAACTAGGCAACCAAATAATAATGTGGAAAGTTCATCATGGGCCTCACCCAACTGTTCTTTTGGTTTCTAGTTCAGTATTTTTTTTATATAATTAGTTGGACTACATGAAATGGAAGTAATAACTTAAAACTATTACCATTAACTCTGATTTTTGTTAGTAACTCTTCGATTTTATGTGTTTGTAGCTGGACGTAATCTGTGCAACAAAAGGGACAGAAGCTTGGGTGCAAAAGCTCAAGTAAGTAGATCACTTATTGGTTTGTGTTAGTGTTGTGGTATATGATCCACGATTTGAACCTCTCCCAACAACTCGAGTTATTGGTATCAGAGCTTTCTGTGACCGAGAGGTCTTGTGTTCGATTCTCGATGACCCCCATTTGTTAAGCACATGATATTCTTGTCTTCAAGCCCGTGCAAACTTCCAGGAGTTACAGACAATCATATCTTGTTTATCTGATGTTAATTGGGCCTGAAATTGCATGCACAGGTGGAAAGAGCTTTCGAACTTCACAGCAACAAGGAGAAGTGCTCTGTACTGTGGCGAAGGTGGGACGAAGGGATTCCTTAAATCCTACAAGAACCTTCACTTCTATTGGATCCTTGGAGCCGGCCATTTCGTAAGTTCCCCTGTTGTTTCGCCTTCCATTGTTTTTTTGTTTTTGTTTTTATGGCCTTCAAATTAGAGTGTAGCTAGCTAGACAAAGAAAGATCGATTTATCCATCTGTTGCGCGCTTAAAATTGTGTTCTTTTCGATGTGCAGATTCCAGTGGACCAACCTTGCGTTGCACTGAACATGGCTCGTGAGATCACGCAGTCGCCGGCGTCTCCCGTGGTTGGAGTCCCGATTCGCAGACTGTAAGAAAGGGAAGTGATGGGATCGTCGGAAAGCCGGCCGGGATCATGGGGAGAAAAACACATGTAAATAAGGATATAAGGAAATTATTGAAATCCGGCTAATGTCGTACTGTCCTTTCAATTCTTCGGCAGAATAGCCATTCATGATCATATCTGTATTCTATTCATTAATCGAATAATATCCGCTACAAATATATGATCGTTTTGATCCCAATAACTCGAGTTATTGGGAGAGGTTCAATCGTAGATCATATATCACAACACTAACACCCGGAAGGTTTGGCGACACTAAAATTTGAAGGTGTACCTTCATTAATTATCGTTCTCTTATTACATCAAACAGTGTGGTGGACCGTCAAACGTACGTCATTTCTCAGTCGGCAGGCTCTTGAGAGTTGAGACTTTGACTTTCAGAAGACTCATTTCTTTTCAAAAGGGTCCTGTCCTATCCATTGAGGGGGAATTGGGAAGTATTACCGTAGGGTCAAATATTTGCTTTGGGAGGCCAATTACAGTGTACTAATTAAGTCAGTCACTTCAGAAGCAACATGCAATTGTCACATGCACAATGTCTACGTTAACCCAACAAGGACAGATATCATGGCGGCAAAGGCAATACATAGGAGCTTTTGTATTGAAATAGTTAGGAGAATGATAATCGTATAACTATAGCTTAACAAATAGTGTATTGAGATAATGCCTATATTTAACCCGGCTTTTAGAAGTGCTTTTCGGCTTTCAAAAGCTGAAGCAGGGCCAAACACCTCTAAAAGCTCGGCTTTTGAAAAGCCGAAAAACAATTTTGTATAACATAAAAGCAGAAGCTCCGATTTGGAGCTTCTGCGAAAAGCTGTTTTTGAAAATACAAGATTATCCTTATCATATTTTAATTTTACTTCAGAAAATATAATTTTCCTTCATTTATATCATTTTAAAAATAAAATAAATTATAAAATCATATTCTTTAATATAAAAGAAATCTAACAAGACCCATTTTGACTACTTTTTATTGTTTGGAATTTTTTTTTATTTTATATTTTAAGTCCTTTATAGTCATTTTACACAACCGCTTATATTAAAAAACACTTCTATTAGTTTTACTGTCAAACAGTAAACTGCTTTTTTAAAAAAATACTTATCTAAAAGCTCCAGTCAGAAGCTACTTCTGCAAAAGCTACGGCAGGGCCAAACGAAGCTAATGTAATTTTAAAATAAGATTATGTGGTCCAATGGTAGTGATGAGTAACTGGTGGACTGGTGGTAGCTTTTCACTCGACCTCAACTGCTCAGAGGTTCAGGAACCCAACCAGAAAAAAGCCTGGCCCAGTTATGGCTTTACGTATTACCGACCCATCACATTTGCCCACACGCAATCTCAATTTCAGACATACAGGACCGTAACAGGGCCCATAAACCCAGTTGGAAAGGGTGAAAATACAGTTCCAACTTCAATTGATGTACAATATCGCCACATAGTTATTTCTCTACTTAACGCCCATTTGAATTGAAGAACTAATTTAACGTATCGGATGGTAATGGCAATTTGAATTTATTTCGTCGGGAATTATCCGACTGATCTACGCTGGGTGGATAACACTCGATTCGTTGTAGTAACAGGTGGAGCATGGCTACTACTTTTACTCTATTTCAGTTCGTCACGTGCCACTTCCATTTGTCTCAATATCTATTTTTATTGATCCTATTTTGATTTAAAAACTTCTTTAACTTCAACTTTGGTTTGATGCTAACTTATATCTTTCACCCCAATGATATTTTTTAAATAAGTGTAAGACTTCATTTTTTCAACTAGTTGAATTCAATTAATATATACCTATTATCTCTATTTATTTTTATGAATTTCGAATTTGAAATTTCAAAATACAAACATTTCAAAAACACACACTCATTAAAAATGAATGAATAAGGATTACATTAGTTTAACAAATAAAATGTGGCGAGCATGTGAAAAATCCTGGCCTCCTCTTGCGCGCAAGAGAACAGACTCGAGCCAGAGTAAGATATTATGAAAGACAGCAACATTTAACAATCGTGATTCTTGAGATCAACAATGGCCCCCTCGATTATTAATCTAGCTCACCCTTCCTAACTCATATAGATTAAGTCAATCCCCACATTTCATTTCCCCATCAGCAGCAGAGCAACACCAAGTCACCAACCATGGCTGCTCCCACAAAATCTAGCCTCCACAACAACCTTCTCTTCTTCTTCTTCCTCTTCTCCATCTTCACCACCTCCGTCGTCACCGGAGCCCACCCGCTGGACCAGCTTAGCCCGGAAGAGCTCACCTCTATCCAAGCCATCTTCACCGCCACTTACCCACCTGATCCCTCCCAAAAAAACACCACTTTCCACTACATCGGCCTAGACGAACCCGACAAAAACGCCGTCGTTTCATGGCTCCACCACCAGCAGCACCAGCCCTCCTCCGCCTCTCCGCCGCCGCCGCGCCGGGCCCTGGTAATCACCCGGGTCAACCGGGAGACCCACGAGATCGTAATCGACCTGGCGACCCGGACCGTCGTGTCGGATCGAATCTACGACGGGTTCGGGTACCCGACGGTTACTTTCGAGGAGCAAGTTGTTGCGAATCTGTTGCCCATGGAGTACGGCCCGTTTAAGGAATCGGCGGAACGGAGAGGGGTTGATTTGACTGAGGTTACCTGCTCCTGCTTTCCGGCGGGGTGGTTTGGGGAGGAAAAGAAACGGAGGGTGGCTAAATTGCAGTGCTTTTCGACCAAGGACACCGTTAATTTCTACATGGTGCCGTTAGAAGGGATAACGATGGTGGTCGATTTGGATGCGATGGAGATTGTGGACTACATGGACAGGGATGAGGCTCCGTTGCCGAAAGCTGAGGGAACGGATTACAGGTTGTCGGCGGTGGATCCGCCGTTGGGACCCAGGCTTAACGGCGCCGTCTTGGTTCAACCCGATGGGCCAGGTTTCGCCGTCGATGGGCATACCGTCAGGTCAGAAATTGATTTCTCTTCCCCTCTTTCCTCTGTTTTCGTGGTTTGTGGAAAACAGAGTTCCCCTGTTTTTGGATGAACAAAATAAAAGCTAATAGAAAAACAGAGCTCTTGTCATTTGCTGACTTTTAATCCATTTTTAAGGGTATTTTAGAAACCTAGCTGTTGAGTACTGTAACCATAAATGCTAAATGGCTAAATTATGCATTTGGTCAGTCAAATTACATAAATTTGTAATGTTTATCAACCAAATTATTTTTCTTTCTTAATCGTTACTAATTTTACGAATTTTTTTTACTGTTAATCACTCTCAATTTAACTCGGTCAATTTGTTGTCGCCTAACGCAGCTGGCTAGACTGGAAGCTGCACGTGTCCTTCGACGCCAGGCTGGGATCCATGATATCCACGGCCCAAATTTACGATCCAGAACAGCAGGCCCACCGGAGCGTCTTGTACAGAGGGTACATATCTGAGATCTTTGGGCCGTACATGGATCCATCTCCGAACCACTACTTCAAGTCGTATTTGGACGTCGGGGAATATGGGTTCGGTTTATGCACAGTCCCTTTGGTCGCCGGCATCGATTGCCCCGCCAACGCCGTGTTCATGGACGGTTACATCGCCGCCGGAACCGACGGCAGCCCGGTGTTGTGGCCCAACGTCGTTTGCATATTCGAGAGGCATTCAGGGGATGTTATGTGGCGACACACTGAGCTTGGCATTCCAAACAGAGTGGTAATGAATTATGCGCTTAATTACGGATCAATAGATAATTTATTAGTTGCAACAACGGATAAACTAATGTACGTTTATTTTTCATACAGGTGACTGAGACTAGAGCGGATGTGAGCTTGGTGGTGAGGTCGGTAGTGACTGTTGGCAATTATGATCACATTGTAGATTGGGAATTCAGGCCAAGTGGTTCAATTAAAGTTCAGGTACGTCACTAACTATCCAATCAATTTCGACCTAATATCAATTAAAGGCCGATTATTTACTTTTATGTCAATTGTGTCCCTATATTTTCGATATGAAAGTTGTATCCTACAATATTAAGGTCTAATGTAATTTGTGTTGTTTCATGCAGATTGGGCTAAGTGGGATTCTAGAAGTAAAGGCATCCACTTACACCAACGTGGACGACATAAAAGACGGCGAGGAAGCGTACGGCACAATTGTAGCGGACAACACAATAGGATTGTACCACGACCATTTCTTCGCCTACTACCTCGATGTCGATGTCGATGGCGTAGCCAATTCTTTCGTCAGGAGAAAAGCCGTGACCAAAAGAGTGACCAACGACGATAAAAACGTTTCGCCCAGAAAGAGTTATTGGACCGTGGTTCCGGAAACTGCCAGGACCGAGCTGGAGGCCCGAATCCGGATAGCCACCGAGGGGCCTGAGGAGCTGGTCGTGGTTAACCCGAGCAAGAGAACCAGGAACGGGAACCCAAATGGGTACCGTTTGGTGCCCGGTCCAACCATAAACCCGCTCTTGACCGAGGACGATTACCCACAAATCAGAGGTGCATTCACCAATTACAACATCTGGGTTACTCCTTACAATAGGTCGGAACGTTGGGCGGGGGGTCGATTCGTGGACCAGAGCAGGGGGCAGGACACGCTGGCGGTATGGACTCAGAGGTATGCATACTTCATAGTAAAATCGCAATTAAACCCGACTCGATTGACTTATTAAGTATTTTAATTTAGTCGTAATCCATTTTATCCGAATTCAATAGATTAGTGGATTAGATTGGATGATGTTCTGCTCTTATACGTGTGCTTATTGTTGTTAGGGATCGGGAGATTGAGAATCGAGACATAGTGGTGTGGCATGTGATCGGATTTCGTCATATACCTTGCCAAGAAGATTTTCCGATGATGCCAACATTGAGCGGCGGATTTGAACTTCGGCCCAATAATTTTTTCGAGGCCAGCCGGGTTCTCAAGGTTGTTCCTCCGTCGCCGGTGACAATTGGTAACTGCACCGCGGCGGTTGCTAATCGGATTCAAATTTAATAGTCCATAATTGCATCTAAAAAAAAAATAAAGGACTGGTGTACTTAGTAGTTAGTACTATACATTGCGCCCATCTTGTAGTTTAGATATCAAATCTATGCTATTTGAGATGCATCTATTTACTATTTTTTTTTTTGTCATAGATAGAGTTAATAAAATATCCTCATAGAACAACAAGCAGCAATAATGCGACAGTTGGCCAATAGTCAAACTGTTGATGAGAGGGTCTTTTGAGTCACTAAATGGGTAGTCCTATTGAACATGCGAGGAGTAATTTAATATAAAATATGTGAAGGTGCTTCATATTCAACATTCTTTAATTTATTTTAAGATTTAGTTGGCGGTGCACAAGCAAAATGTATTACGAGGAAATATAGAGAAAAATGAAGTCTATGAAGTAACCAAGGTTGTCAACCCGCGGGTCGACCCACTTTGACCCTGACCCGCTGAGAAAAACGGGCCGCACACACCCGCCGGGTCGACCGCTATAAGGTACCGGGTTGAAGGTCAAATTGTATCATTTTTTTCTTTGGTTTGCGAAATGCGCATATTTTCCGATTTTTCTTTTCGCCTAACTCAATCTTTGGAATCCTAAGTTGAATATTTGAATATTGATGTATATAAGTGTGTGTGAATTTTCACTTTATGCTATATCTAAGTACGATATGTTATTTTGGCGTAATATTATATGTTATAACTCATATGTGAGATAAGATTTGATATAATTTATAAGGAAAAGTACAATATAATGACTCTTTCTATAGTTTCGGGCCAAACCGGACTAAAACGGTTGACCCATTAACCCTTGACCCACTAGCTCGACCGGGTCCGGGTCAACCCGCGGTTTGACAACCTTGGAAGTAACGCTTTGGATATATTATTATCGGGGCTATTTTTGACAGTATCTAAAGGAGTACCATCACATATTTTGAGATTTTTTTAAAACCATTTTCCTTTGACTTTTAATGTTACAGATCACGAATTCGGTTCGAGACTGTTCTCCACTAATAATGAAGTATTGAAGTCTATTAATCTCTTATTTGCACGGACATTTTTAGGAGGGAATTTTAGTAATTATATTCTTAGGCGATTTTTTTTTTGAAAGATCATTTTTTTCATTTCATTTTGAAGACTATAGATCACGGATTTGCCCTCTAGCTATTCTGTACGGATGATTAAGTCTATTAAGCACCGATTTTGGAGGTTTTATCCCGGGACCAGTTTGACATATTTTACCATCACATATTTTAGGCGATTTTTTTTGAAAAACTATTTTTTTTTAGATTTTGAAGTCTACAGATCACGGATGCAACTTTAGGCTTTTCTCCACCGAGGACGAAGTCTATCAATCGGTGATTTGTGCGGACTTTTCCGGAAGGGAAATTTCGTTATTTTTTTGGCAATTTTCATTTCTTTGGATTTTGAAAGCTACAGATCGTGAGTTCGCCTAAAGCTATTTTATACTGATGATCAAGTCTATTAAACACCGATTTGGGCGGAATTCTTTCCCAGACCATTAGTATCTAAAGGGACACCATTGCATATTTCAAACATTTTTTGACATGTAGTGACAATGAACCATCTCTGCATTTCATCAATCCCTCTATGACATATATGGTTTGTGCTTCCAGAGCAACATGCATGTTCAAGTTCAACAATCTCCATTCCATGGCATGATGGGTTGTTATAAGAGACCAAATTTTGTTTTGTTAGTACCAGTGTACCACAGATGATCTAGTCTTACTAAAGACAGAAATCGGCTACTACGTTATTATTCTCATTGCTAACATGCAGAAAAGTACTATCTCTTGTCCCATTGCCGGATTATAGCTTATTCGGGCCAAACGATGCCAACCAAGTCGCTAGAACCAAACGTATGCATCAAAACCTAGCTATGATACCTCATACCAGCTCGCTCTTTCTAACTAGCACCTTGCTGCGATATATATATATCCCACAAAGTAATAAGAGAAACGGGAAGCAATAGCTAAGTCATCCCATGGCGAAATTCCGGTTCCGTATCCGCTACTTCCTCCTCCTCCTCACGGCGGCTGCAACTGCATCGTCGTTCAAAGTCCCCAGGCTCAGCATCTACGACCCACGGCACCATCTTGCCGGCGGCCAGACTTCGACATTAACGGCGGCCATGGAAGGTTTCGAGTCCCATTTCTACAACCAAACGCTGGACCACTTCAACTACCTCCCGGAGAGCTACGTCACTTTCCGGCAGCGATACTTCGCAAACTCCAAGCACTGGGGCGGGCCCGGCGCTCCCATTTTCGTCTATCTCGGCGCCGAGGCAGCCTTTCCTCACAATTTCTCCGGAGGCAAAAGCTTCCTCATTGAAATCGCGCCAAGCTTCAATGCGCTCTTGGTGTATATTGAGGTACTTGATTGATTGCTCCCTTCTTTGAACTTCTTTCTTTATATGATGACCTGACTCAAACCCTATAAATACTCGAAGAACTCATGGGAACGGACGGTTGAATATGTTCTGTGACAACAGTTTCGGGAAATTGGAGTATTCGATAATGCAATAAAACAAAAGCAAGTTATATTCATAAGTTTCACCAGCCACAAATTTACATGGTTCACTAACACACGGTGTGTTAGCTAGTTCACGGGGAGGATAGAGCCCATTTGGTGAAGGAAAACGGTTACAGACGGTATCTAGAACGGAGACTCAAATAACATTAACTCCATACGCTGTGAATTGAGAGCGTTGCCAGATAATCCGATTCAAGTCATATCAACATGTTCGGTGGATTTTTCTGATAGTTATATATATATGATGATCATTCGTGTTAACTTGCTTGGGATGAAATGTTTTCTTGGTGGGTTAATTAATCAGCATCGATACTATGGGGAATCAATCCCATTCGGATCGAGCGAAGAAGCGTTCAGTAACTCGAGCATGCTTGGCTACATGAACTCTCAACAAGCTATCGCAGACTACGCGGAGATCATCTTTCACATAAAGGAGCAGTCCAACGCCGGCGATTCTCCCGTGATAGTCGTCGGAGAATCCTACGGAGGAAGTAAGTAAACCAAAGATAATATACACGACGTAACATGGACATTTTTGGACTCCTTTGTTCTTTAATCGGAAGTTGAAGGACTAGAATGAAACTTTTTGCTCCATAAATTCTCCAAAGATAATACGCTATTGTAATTTTTCAGTGCTGGCAGCGTGGTTCCGATTGAAGTACCCGCACCTGGCAATTGGAGCACTGGCTTCATCGGCCCCAATTCTTTACTTCGACGACATTACGCCGCAGGATGCATATTTCAATGTTGTCACCAAAGATTTCAGAGTAATTCTCTTCATTATCAGCTAATTTCCTCGATTATATATTAAGCGTACAATATACGTAATTATCACTTTTTATGTACATATCGTGTATGGTGAGTACAGGATGCTAGCGAGACGTGTTACCTAACAATAAAGAAGTCGTGGGCAGAAATAGACGAAATGGCTTCCAAACCAGATGGTCTCTCTATGCTCAGTCAAAAGTTCAAGACCTGTGTGTAAGTTACCGTTTTAGCCTAGTTTGTAAATAGTATAAGATCTAAATTGAATCTTTTCAACTTGAGTTAATGGAATCAGCCATGCTTTAAACTGATATCAGAGCTTTCTGATAATCGAGTAGTCTTGTTCGAATCGAGACGATCCTATACCGCTCCTAAACTACTTTGTCGCGTTGAAAACATGCATGATTTAGGCCGTTGAAGAATTCGACATCTCTGACGGACGAATTGGAAGACCTCTACGCTTCAGCAGCCCAATATAATGCACCACCAAGTTATCCAGTGACCCAGATATGCACCGCAATAGATGGATTTGGGCCCAACAACGATACTCTTGGGCGCATATTTGCTGGCGTCGTTGCTTACTACGGAGAGAAGCCTTGTTACATCAACGAACCAACTCAGCCCTCTGAAACCGACGGCGGATGGGATTGGCAGGTATTCAATCTGGGCTTCTATTTGTTCTTGGTTTTTTATTTTTTGTTCAAATGGTTTAGTTGGTCTAAGTGGAGACCATCAAGGTGAAAAATGTCTATTTCATTGACTCAGCCCAATGGTTTTCTTGTAGACGTGCAGTGAGATGGTGATACCGATCGGGTTTGGGAATGACACGATGTTTGGATCCGATAAAGCTTTCAACCTTACCAAATTCTCAGATGACTGCAGAGCTCGCTACGGCGTCTCGCCTCGACCTCATTGGGTCACCACCTACTACGGTGGACATGTACATTCTCGATCATTTTCCCCCTCAATCCATTTGTGAAGAGAGTATTAGGTTTCTTGATTCTTGGAAATAATTTCTTAATGGTGGTAAAGTCATGATTCAAAATGGGAGAGTTTAAATTAGAAAGTCACAACAAGCTATAGAAATTTAACTCGGATCTTAGATGGAGAGTGGAGTTGATAGTATACCATCCTATCACCTTTCAATGTCTGATTAACATATGATCCACATTTTATAATATAAATCAAATGTTGAAGAGGAGAGGAGTGAGGATTTTGGATCCATCATATACTACACGTACCTCCACCGCTTTTTCTTAACCTTGATGGAATTAATCACCTAATTGTGCAGAGCATAAAAAGAATTCTTAAGAGATTCGGAAGCAACATTATCTTTTCAAATGGTCTGAAAGATCCCTATAGCACTGGAGGGTAAGCTACAATTTCAATAACCGTATCTCTTTCTTTTAGGAACAATGAGAGCCGAGTTGTTTTCATTTATTCAAACAAATTCAATGCACAAATCTTACAGGGTGCTAGAGAATATATCGGACTCTATCCATGCCATCTATACAACTAACGGTATGTTCCATTCTTACTAGTAAATTATGTCTATTTTACTTCTTTTTCTCTCTTGAAGCTCATGATGTTTAGCTAACTTGTAGGGTCACATTGCTTGGATTTAAGCGCATCAAATGTAACTGATCCAGAATGGTTGACTGCGCAACGTGAAGAAGAGATCCACATTGTGCATGGTTGGCTAACGACTTACTATAAGGATCTTCAGGTCATTTAATCTTTTGTATCGTTGGGTGGATTAGAGAAAAATTGTGTATCCGCGCGCCAATTTGGATTGATGGTAATTAATCACGGTTGAACTATTAAGTGGTATTCCATTAACTTATGTGATGTGTGGGAAGTAAAATGGTTAGGCATTAATGATCTAAGTGATCAAGATGCAAGGGAAGTTCTGTCTGGGATTCTGGTTTTGTTCCTCATACTCCTTTCCTCAAGAGTTGGCTTGAGGTCGCTTGATGGGAGGTTTAATTTCCATCCATTTGGAGCAAAACAAATCAAACCAATTTTTGTTGTTGTTGAAGGAATTAATGGTAAATAAAACTAAAAATAAATACTAAAGTATGAACAACTAATTTAAGGTAGTAACAAGACTTTCTACCGAGAAAAGAACAATTAATCAGAAATAGCTACTATACCACACGTTTAAAAGCAGTACCGTACGGCGTACGTAGTAATAAACTTCGTCATTACTTACTAAATACTAATTAAATTCTATTATCTGATTGGTACCGGATACGATTATTGCTAAGGATTATTAACTTGTAGTGGTTGGTGTCTTATCTTTCTCTTCCCATTAGTTTACTATTGATAATGGCACGAAGAATGGCGCACTAATCACATAAGACAAGAAGCAATGGACACGAACAATGGTACACTAATTAGCTAGCTAGGTCTCTTGTTCTCATTGCTAACGGGCACAAAGTACGTACTATCTCTTGTCCCCATTGCCGGATATAGCAAATCGGCGGTATATATATCGTCGGAGACAGGTTGGTAATTGTTCATCACGTCCAGCTTATTCGAGACAAGCTGGGCCGGCAAATCGATGCATCAAAACCTATGATACCAGCTCGCTCTTTCTAACTAACAACTTCGCTGCGATATATATATCCCACAAGTATCGAGTAGAAGCTGGTAAGAGAACGGGAAGCTAGCAAATTAAAGCAAATCATCCCATGGCGAAACTCCGGTTTATCCTCTACTTCTTCCTAGCCGCGGCTACGACGGCGTCGTTTGAGGTCCCCAGGCTGACCATGTACGACCCGCGTTACGCATCCCACCATCTTGCCGGCGGACAAGCTTTGGCCTTGCCGGCGGCCACGGAAGATTTCGAGTCCCATTTCTACGACCAAACGCTGGACCACTTCAACTACCTCCCGGAGAGCTACGTCACTTTCCGGCAGCGATACGTCGTGAACTCCAAGCACTGGGGAGGGCCCGGCGCTCCCATTTTCGCCTATCTCGGCGCCGAAGCACCCTTGACCCACAATTTCTCGGCAGCCGGAAGTTTCCTCATTGACATCGCGCCAAGCTTCAATGCGCTCTTGCTGTACATTGAGGTACGTACGTACTCAATTTGCTCCCACACCTCAAAACTCTATAAATAATTCGACCAACTCATGGGAACGGATGGTTAAATCTGTTCAGCATCGATATTACGGGGACTCAATCCCGTTTGGATCGAGGGAAGAAGTGTTCGGGAACTCGAGCATGCTTGGCTACATGAACTCTCAACAAGCTATCGCGGATTACGCGGAGATCATCCTTCACATAAAGGATCAGTTCAATGCCAGCGATTCACCTGTGATAGTTGTGGGAGGATCCTACGGAGGAAGTACGTAAACCAGAGATAATACGTTACCTATAGCATGGAAATTGTTTGAACTCCTTTGTTCTTAATGAAAAGTTTAAGGACTAGAATGAAACTTTTTTGCCCCCTAAATCCTCCATGTAAATTTTTCCAGTGCTGGCGACATGGTTCCGATTGAAGTATCCGCACCTAGCGATTGGAGCATTGGCTTCATCGGCCCCAATCCTTTACTTCGACGACATTACCCCACAGGATGCATACCTCAATGCTGTCACCAAAGATTTTAGAGTAATGATCTCTAATATTAGTTAAATTCCCTCAATTATAGATAGCTTACTATATACTTGTTAATTTTTATGTACGTATTGTATATGGTGAGTACAGGATGCTAGCGAGACTTGCTACCAGACAATAAAGAAGTCGTGGGCAGAAATAGACGAAATAGCTTCCAAACCGGATGGTCTCTCTACTCTCGCCCGAAAGTTCAAGACCTGCGCGTAAGCTGTCGTTAATAGCATTGTTTGTAAATAGTATAAGATTCATAATTAAATATTTTTCAAACAATTTGAATTATTGGGATCGGCTGGGTTTTAAGATGATTTTTTTTATAATGTGGGTTTTAAGATGGTATTAGAGCTTTTGATGATCGATCGATTTTTGTTCGAATCGAGATGACCTTCATTATTAAACACGAATCCATTTTCATACGAAATGACATGTTAGTAAATGGTATATCCGCGACTATAGCTCTCCTAAACTACTTTGTCGTCGCGTTGAAAATATGCATGATTTAGGCCGTTGAAGGATTCGACGTCTCTGACGGACCAATTGGAAGGGCTCTACGCTTCAGCAGCCCAATATAATGCACCACCAAGTTATCCAGTGACCCAGGTTTGCACCGCAATAGATGGACCTGGGCCCAACAACGATACTCTTGGGCGCATATTTGCTGGCGTCGTTGCTTACTACGGAAAGAAGCCTTGTTACATCAACAAACCAACTCAGCCCACCGAAACCTACGGTGGATGGGATTGGCAGGTATTCAATCCGGGTTTATTTTTGTTCTTGGCTTATTTTTATTTATTTATTATTATTTGGGTTCAGATGGTTTAGTTGGTCCAAGTCGAGACCATCCATGTGAAAAATTGTCTTCACTGACTCCGCCCAATGGTTCTCTTAATTGTAGACGTGCAGCGAGATGGTGATGCCAATGGGGTATGGGAATGACACGATGTTTGGATCGAAAGGAGCTTTCAACCTCACCGAGTTCTCAAATGAATGCAGAAAAAAATACGGCGTCGCACCTCGACCTCATTGGGTCACCACCTATTATGGTGGACATGTACATTCTCGATCATCTTTCCCCCTCAATCTATTTGTGAAGAGAGTATTACGTTTCTTGATTCCGGGAATGAATTTCCTAATGGTGGTGTAGTTGGGATTCAAAATGAGAGGGTTTAAATTAAAAAAGTCACAACAATCTATTAGAATTTCTAACTCGGATCTTAGATGGGGATGGAAGTTGATAGTCTACTATATTATCACTTTTCAATGTATGATAATTATATGATCCACATTCATTTTATAGAATAAATCAAATCTTAAAGAGGAGGGGAGAGCGTTTCAGTCCATCACATACTACACGTAGTTTCACAACTCATTCTTAACAATGACGTAATTGGTTACCTGATTTTGCAGAGCATAAAAAGGATTCTTAAGAGATTCGGAAGCAACATTATCTTTTCAAATGGTCTGAAAGATCCCTATAGCAGGGGAGGGTAAGCAACAATTTCACTCACTATAGAGCACTTTATTTTAGGAATAATGAGAACCCGGTTGTTTTCATCTATTCAAAGTTTCAAACAAAATCAATTCACAAATCTTACAGGGTGCTAGAGAATATATCGGACTCTATCCACGCCATCTATACAGCTAACGGTATGTTCTAATTGTGTATGTTTAACTTTTTCTTTTCTGTTTGTTTCTCTAGAAGCTCTTGATGTCTAGTTAACTTGCAGGGTCACATTGCTTGGATTTAGGGGCATCAAATGTTACTGATCCAGAATGGTTGATTGCGCAACGCAAAGAAGAGATCCATATCGTGCATGGTTGGCTAACCACTTATTATAAGGATCTTCAGGCGGTTTAGTCTTTTGTATTGTTGGGTGGATTAATGAAACTGGGTATAATGCAATAAATATAGTGTTGACTGACATGTTGTTGTTTCTCACTCCTATAAAGAAGGGTAAAAGTGTGTTGACTTTCTTGCTAATAGGGGGTACTTTGTTCCCTCTTGGTTGCATCATTTCCATGTTCCGATCATGTGATGCATCAGTGGATTTTGTACGATATTAAGAGACTTTCGCGATTGGTTTTGAATAAAGGTTAAAACGCGCTGTGTTCATGTTTTTTTAATGTAGTGGCAACGGTGGATAAGAGACATACCAAAGTGGATCTTGAGACCTCTTTGGTTCTGGAGAAAATATAAATACAATAATTAAGTGTTGTTGAGATCTTTTTTTACCTAAACCTCACCAAGATTAATAATCAATATATCTACCACCAAATAACTATTAGATAATGGATTTAGGTATCGTTGTTATATAATACATTCTAGTTTCTACTTAAATAATAAGCAAAATATAACTACATCCTTCAGGTCTCAAATTCTTAACTACTTGTCATATATCATCAAAACCTTCTCTTGTTGAAACTCGCTATAGCTTATATTCATCATAATTAATGAATTCTTTGAAAATAATATCTCGGGTTCTGAACGCTAACTACATTATTGTGTGCATATTTGATGTGAAAATAGACTAGATGTTGTCTAAAACTAGATATAATTTTTGAGTTTTTTTTAGAATCATGGTCATTAAAAGAAGTATCTTAGCATTGACGCTTATCTAAACTTCAACTGCAAGTGTTAAAAGGACATTTGCAATGGTCACGTGAAAAACACTCTTTGGTATTTAATTTGTGACAAAATCATAAATCATTATTTGATAGGATATATTGAGATTGATAGCATATGAATGCATCTTACAAATTTTTCGGGATATTGAAACCAACAACCAAGGAAGATAAATACATTTTATGTTAGCTATAATCATAAAATAAAAAAAGATGGACTTAAAAATTGAAAAAACACTAAGGGTTGGTTGGAAGTTGTGATTCTTCAAATTGATGTATTGGGACAATTAGTGTATTATCATTTGATGGATTGAATCAATTGATGTATTAGGTAAATATCTTGTTTGGAGGTTTAGATTGTGTTTTTGTTCCAAAGGTAAAAAAGTTAGTATTGAGTGATTGTGAAGAATCTCAACAAAAAGTAGAGATTGTAAATCCCTCAATATTGAGTGATTGTGGTGGGGCCACCAAAAGCGTAGGTTTAAGCTAGTACCAATCAAAGAGACCAAAAGGGTACTGGTCATTTATAGAGGCAATTAAGAAGCCAGCAAGGCATGCAGTTAGCAACTAGATCATTAAAAAAAAAAACTAATGGGCTGAAATCCCAAAAGATAAGAAAAATCGCCTTCCTTCCAAAATGGTCCTTCGATCCCAAGCCAAAAAAAAATTCAATACTTGCAAGCAATTACAAATACATTTCGTCACTCCTTACTAATTAAATCCTTAATTATCATAATTGGTATCTTCGTTGCCGTTATTCTTTGTGTTTGATAAATGTGTACCAAATAAGCTTAAAAGAAAGACCAAATTTATTTTGTCACCTCTAACTTGTAGTGGTGTCTTATCTTTCTCTTCCTATTTGTTCCATCACCATTGATAATGGCACGTATAGTGGAGCACTACTACATAAGATAAGAAAGACAATAACCATATAATGTGGGTAGGTTCTGTTGGTTCAATTAGGATCACAAAAGGGGTCCCATGTTGTTGTGCATGAAATATTAACTAAGGTGGATGTTATCACTATCATCAAGGAACATTAACCATGATTGCAACACTAATTGAAAATGTTGCATAAAACAGACAATAACACCAAATATTTCTCTCTGATATTAATTAAAATTTAGTTTAATAAAATTAGAAACTTAAACGTTAGAATATGTCACATAATTTCTTTTTTTAGTATATATATGCAAACGCTTCCAGATCGATATCATGTTGTTTATACATTTAAGCAGACTATATATCTTGAGGAGCAAGAGGTTGCAAAATGATGATTTTAAAGAAGGCAACCACGATAAAAACTCAAACCCATTGCTGCATAATTGCCTATCTGTTGATGTGACTTGAATCGGACTATCAGCCGCTACGACTGGTAATCGGGTAGGTTTAGACCCACATGGAGAAGTACTATAAATACTTCTCATAATCCTCTGTAATCTGTAATCTCCTTGATATAGTGAAACTGGCTCTCTCTCGCCCGTGGACGTAACTAACACACATCGTGTTAGTGAACCACGTAAATCGTGTGTCTGTGTTTTTCAATTCTCGCTTGCGTATTCTTGTTTTATCGATTCCGACAATTTCCCGATCCGTAGCAGCGCGTTTATAACCCTACCCATTTACAAACACATTTGTTGATCAAAAGAGAAGTCATCTCTCTTTCTACTAGCGCCTTATTGCGATATATATACATATCCCACAAGGATTGAGGAAATATCAGAAAACAACTTAGTAGTTAATTAGACGCTGGTAAAAGAAGAAACGGGAAGCAAGCAAATCGTCCCATCATGGCCAAATTCCGGTTCCATATCCTCTACTTATTCCTAACCGCGGCTACGACGGCGTCGTTTGAAGTCCCCAGGCTGACCATGTACGACCCTCGGTACGATTCGCACCATCTCGCCGGCGGCCAAACATTGGCCTTACCGGCGGCCACGGAAGATTTCGAGTCCCATTTCTACAACCAAACGCTGGACCACTTCAACTACCGGCCGGAGAGCTACGTCACTTTCCGGCAGCGATACGTCGTCAACTCCAAGCACTGGGCCGGGCCCGGCGCTCCCATTTTCGTCTATCTCGGCGCCGAAGCACCCTTGACCCACAATTCCAAAAGCTTCCTCATTGACATCGTCGCACCAAGCTTCAATGCGCTCTTGCTGTACATTGAGGTACTTAAATTACTCCCGACGAATTCATAAACACGAATGGTTCTATCTGTTTGGTGGTCAACAATTGATAAACTCCAAAGGTTCGACTAAATATTTTTCTTGGTGGTTAATCTGTCAGCATCGATACTACGGAGAATCCATCCCATTCGGATCGAGGGAAGAAGCGTTCAGGAATTCGAGCACGCTTGGGTACATGAGCTCTCAGCAAGCTATTGCGGACTACGCAGAGATCATCCTTAACGTAAAGGAGCAGTTCAACACCGACAATTCACCGGTGGTCGTTGTCGGAGGATCCTACGGAGGAAGTACGTAAACAAAACAATAATACATTAAATTGCGTACATATGGACTTCTTTGTTTCTTATAAGAAGTTGAAGAGTTAGAATGAATTTTTTATTATTATTGTGTTGATTGGCCTTTGGTAAGTGCTGGCGACGTGGTTCCGATTGAAGTACCCGCATCTAGCTATTGGAGCATTGGCTTCATCGGCTCCAATTCTTTACTTCGACGATATTACTCCACAGGATGCATATTACAATGTCGTCACCAAAGATTTCAGGGTAATACTCTTTCAATCATAAAAATTACTCTTTCTATTGTAGCACACTCTTATCACTATTTAAGTGTTTACCTGCATGTACGCGCCGAGTAACAGGAGGCTAGCGAGACGTGCTATCAGACAATAAAGGAATCGTGGGCAGAAATAGACGAAACCGCTTCTAAACTAGATGGTCTTTCTACTCTTGGTAAAAAATTCAGGACTTGCGCGTAAGTTACTACTGCTTAATCTTACTAGTTCCGATTTAATGTTAATTAAGCATACACAAAGCCTTATAGAATCTTATAACAAACATTGAAAATGACCGTAAAATGCATTGGTTTGGTTTTAGGCCGTTGAAGAATTCGACATATCTGACGAACAGTTTGGGTGGGCTGTACGCTAGAGCGGCCCAATATAATGCGCCACCAAGTTATCCAGTGACCCAGATATGCACCGCAATAGATGGATCCGGGCCCGATAAAAATACTCTCGACCGCATATTTGCTGGGGTCGTTGCTTATTACGGGGAGAAGCTTTGTTATATCAACGAACCAACTCAGCCCTCTGAAACCGACGTCGGATGGGAATGGCAGGTATTCTGTTTGGGCTTTTTCTTGTTATGGACTTGTTTTTTTATCTGGATTCAAATGGTTTAGTTGGGCTAAGTGGGCACCATCCAGGTGAAAAAAGGCCTTCACTGACTCAGCCCAATGTTTTTTCTTGTAGACGTGCAGCGAGTTGGTGATACCAATCGGGTTTGGGAATGACACGATGTTTTGGTCGGAAGATGCTTTCAACCTCACCGAATTTTCACATGACTGTAAAGAAAAATACGGCGTCGCACCGCGACCTCATTGGGTCACCACCTACTATGGCGGACATGTATATTCTCATTTTCCCCTAAATCTCCTTGTGAAGGGAGTTACGGTTTATTGATTCTTGGATGACTTTTTTATAATCTAGATGAAATCACCTAATTTTGCAGAGCATAAAAAGGGTGCTTAAGAGATTCGGAAGTAACATCATTTTTTCCAATGGTCTGAAAGATCCCTACAGCAGAGGAGGGTAAGCTAATTCTTTTAACAATCATGAGAGCTCGACTATTTTCATCGTTACTACGAAAACCAAATCGATTCACAATTTTTTCAGGGTGCTAGAAAACATATCGGATACCATTCATGTCGTTTATACAACAAACGGTATGTCATATTCAACTAGTAGAATTGGCATTTCATGCTTTCTTTTTTAATTATTTTCCCGTGTTGAAGTTCATGATGTTTTGTTAATTTGCAGGGTCGCATTGCTTGGACTTATACGGATCAAGTGTAACTGATCCAAAATGGTTGACTGTTCAACGTGAAGAAGAGATCGACATTATGCATGGATGGCTTACAACTTACTATAAGGATCTTCAGGTGGATTAATGAAATTGATTGCAAGAACTACTGTTAGCTAAATGTGATTATATTTCAATGGTTCGCCCCAATGTACGCAGAGACACTCCAGAAAGATCGAGTACACAAGAACAAACACCTATCTATATGCATGACTACTAAACATTGACAACATACAATACAACGATTTATATACTTCAAAAAACAGCAGGACTCAGAGCCTGGTCAGGACACCAAACAGTCTCCTGATCAGGACATCCTGACACCGTCCAGATCGGGCCATCGCCAATCCAACGATCATAAGCGAACAACTCATTGACATATTCATACAACACACTAAAAGCATTTACGTGTGAATATGCTTAACACGTCGCTTATGACTATGCTATAACGAGTGTTGTGAATATTCATAACACGTGTAATGTTCTACAGAGCACATATTCTTAATACTCCTAACACGTTTCGTGAATACATTTTTAGTATCGTGTGAGAAATTTGTGTTGTTCATAATAAAAATAATTGAATTATATATCCAAAATATATTGAAATGGATCTTATTTTACGCAAAAATAAATTAAGGACAATTTCCTTATCAAAAAGACTAAGGGTCGTTTGGATGTGGAAATTTGGAAACGTGGAAATTTGCTTGAATTTCCACATTTTACAAAAGCAAGAAATTGGTTGTGGAAATTGAGTGAAATTCACTACAACAAATATAGCCTTTTGTGACCATTTTCATTTAACTAATTTTTTTTTTGGTCGGCGAAAATTAATTATTAATGACCAATTATATTTTGGTAATAAAACGTTTGATGAATTGGTTACTAACTAGAAAAAGATTTTTTATAACCAAATTAAAATTTATACGACCAAAAAAATTAGTAGCCGAATGTTCAATTCTTTTTCTAACCAAAACAATTTGTTTATCATCCTTAATGCTTTTTAAAGTAACTAATACTTTTGGTCGCATAAACATATTAAAATGGTCACTTATAAGAACAGAATTTTTATGATCAAAACAAACTTTACAAAACTAAAAATATTGGTCATAAAATATTAAATACTTTTTCTGGCCAAATATAATTGGTCATATTTTCTCCCAACTTACTATTTCTATTTTTTCTTTATAATGTCCGCACCGTTTCTTTTAATGGAACCCATCGCCTTTCTTTTTGGTATAAAAACACATCTGCTTTATGTTCACTCTGTTTGGGAAAACCCATCTCCTTCAAACCATTCTTTTCTGTTCTCTCCTCAAGTATCGACGTTGCCTGAAGAGTTGGGAGATTCTAATCTGAGGTGAGTAACGCCATCGCATTCACTCCAGGAGGACATCGCCTGCAGGTTAGTAACGCCATCGTTCCAAAACCTCCACTTCCTCTTCGATTTGTACCGTAGTTGAAATTCGAATCTGAGCGGCGAATCGTATCTTCTTCTTTTCAAAACTCGATCTATCTGAGCGAAGACTCTAATTCCTCTCGTCATACTTCTGATTAGAGTTCAGATCGGTGAGCGGCTTGAATCGCATCTCCTTTTGGTTGATTATACTCAGATTCGGTGATTACTTCACTTTATCGTCTTCGGTGATTATTTGCCAGGATCGATTTGTCTCACGGCGAGCCATTATTGTATGGTCGTCTTCGTATATATGTTTGTTATGTATCCTCTGTAATTGGCTTCCCCGTAGGGATTATTTGACGATAGAGTTTGGTCCAAAGACTTGTGAGCGAGTTGATGGCTCTGTTTCTGTTTCTGATTGTCAAACTGCAATTGCACGATTCAACCAAGACAAAAGTCGATTCGTGTTCTTGTTATCAACACGATCTTGTGGCCTTGGCATCAATTTAGCTACTGCTGACACAGTTATTCTGTATGCTAGCTTAACTAAGGCTTCTCGTGAGGAGACAACGGAGGAAGCTCTTGATCTTGCTGTTCAACGTGCCAAGTCGAAGGGGTTGTGCAAGACAGGGGATTTTGTTGTAGCTCTCCACTAGGTCAGCACAGCTTCAGTGATCAAGATCAAAACGGTCAAGTAAGTGGTTTTAGTTACTTGGTACAGAGAGCAGCAGATACTGCTGATAATTTGGGTTCAAGCAGTTGAGAATTCATTTGAGTTTCTGGTTCTTCTAACAATTTAGAGTTAAAGGAACATGGATAGTTTGCTACATTAGTTTCGAAATGCATGTAGTTTAGTAGTTGAACTTATCTATTATTGCGGTAACTCAATGAGATAGATAACCATGTTTGGTCAAATTGAACTATGAACTGTTCCCGTTTATGTCCTTTTAATCTAATCCAACTTTTGTTTCGATTCGATTAATATTTAGTTCATAGAACTTCTGTGGACTAATGTCGTGTGAGCTTGCTTCTTCTTCAATTATTGAAAGCGAAAGACCAACCAGGAACCAGGTCAAGATAACCCCCCCCCCCCCCCCCCTAAATTAGTGACTGGTTTTCTGCCGTCATTTGCTTTTCTTATGTGATCAGTTACAAAATCATGGCTTACATAATTTTGATCATTTTCTGTAACAGATTTTTGAATGGGACCAGGAGGGAAACGTACGTTTGAGTATCCCAGCCGAAGTCTAACACCCAGAGCTGGACAGAAACATGCAGCTGAGTATGCTAATTCATATGCTATGCAGTACAAGAGAAACAAGACAGGACATAATTCTAGGAAAGGTATGATTTGAAAGAGATTTTGTGACTGTAAGATTGAACTTGGTTTGGTTGCTTGTTTTATCTTCCAAATCGATAGCAGAAGCTCTTTTAGAGAGAATGGTACTAACAATTGTTTGCTTGTTAATAGTTAACTCTCAACCTCAAGCTGCCGAATTGAATGTGGCTCCAACAGTGGAGGTTCCACTTACTGATGGACCTCTTGGAGATGATGAATATGAGCAGCATTTGGAGGAAGCACTTTCTGCCTCTGAAATTGGTCTTACAGGTGAATTTTTGCAATTAAATATCCACTTCATTGCCTTACTATTCATATGTACACCTGTAACTAAAATTGCCAAGTGGTTTTGCTTAAATGTATAGATCAAAATCGAAAGAAGAAGAAGGTTAGAGGTATAACAAGAGGCTTGGAAACGGTGAAACTGGCTGCTGCCATGGGGAAAGAAAAATTTCCAATTACAATTGATGTCTCACAAGGTCGACCAGTTAATGGTGTCCAATCTGCCAAACTTTCAAGTGAGCTTGGTTTGATAAGTCGGGAATACATGGATGAGATCCCTATCCGCTGGACTAAGGATTTCAAGAAGAACCATCTGCGTTCAGCTTATGACAGACTAAATGTAAGCTTAATTTATTTATAGTGATTGCATTTTATTATTTGGAGTTGGTATAATTTGTTTATGATTGTTTTCTTTTACCATGAACACATTTTAGAGATATTTCGAACAAGGGGCAGAAGAAAGGAGCTGGGTGATCTCTCAAGCCAAAGTGATTTCTTTGGCAGATTTTAGTTTCTCATATTTTTGTATTTTTTTCAATGAATTAGAACTGCTATGAACTTATGTAAGTTGGTATTTGGTTGGAAATATAATGTGACCATTATACCATTATTGTCCTAAATTGGTTGCATTACGTTATGCTAATATAACCAAATTTATAGCCTTTCTCAACTAATATATATATATATATATATAACCAAATTAGCAGTCATATTTAGAACATTTTATAACCAAAAAAATGGTTACATTTAGAACGTATGGTTACCATAAAACATTGGTTGGAAATAATATTTGTGACCAATGAAAATAGTTATTGTTGAACAAATAAATTGGTTACATTATATACTTTTTAAAACCAAAATGACTATTCATATTTTGATTATATAGCGACCATAAAATATTGGTAAGGATAAGAGTTTCATAACCAAAAAATTTGGTCACTTAATGATAATTACATTAGCAATGAAGAATAGTTTTGTAACCAAATTCTTTGGTTTTAAATAATTGCTATTGTGACTTAATCATTTGGTTGGTAAATTATATATGAATTGGTTGGTTTTCATGTTATTTGTGACCAATCAGGTATTCTTTTGTGACTATTTTGACAGTTTTTTTGTTACCAATTGTCTTGGTTGCAAATTAAAAAAATTTGTGACCAATTGCGACTTTCGTCACAAAAATACGATGTATTGTGACTAAACCGAAAATTTGGTCACAAAATGGTTTTCCTAACGCGGCAAATATTACCAAAGCTTCTACCAAATTTTTTTGGTCACAACATAGAATTCGCGACAAAAATTTCACATTTAGCGACCGTTTTTATTCGTCACAAAAGGCAGTTTCTGTTGTAGTGATTCCATTTTTGGGAAATGGTTTATTTTTGTGAGAATTGGTGGTATGGAATTTTGAGGAAATACAAGAATGCCCTCTTTGATTTATATACAAGGAGTGGTTCATTACCAACTATTGCTACTGTGTTTCTACTAACGACTAGTTGCTGCTACTAGCTACTTGTAAGTTGTAACTAACTCTGCTACTATTTAATAACCGCTGCTAACTACAAAATCACATGCCAATTAGTGTGCAAGTACCATTAAGACTTTGTCAAAAAAAGTACCCATTAAGACGAGATACCATTTTATACATTTATCTCCCAAAGAAAGCAAAGATAAAGAGAGCAGCATAACAATCTGAACTATTCTCATCCACCATCTGATCAGAAACAAAGTAATGGAATCAAATAATTGAAACCATAATGCACTACTTCCCACTTCTCTGCTATAAATTTGGGCCACAGTTGACTCTGGTTTTTGTAGCAAACCAAGCCATTTCTTTTAGCCTTGGATCATACAGCAACAAGAAATGTGTATCATGGCTTCAATGAAATGCTATCGACCTACTAATCATGATCCATGCAACCAGGCTAACCAGTCGCAGCACTCCCACAGACAAACTGACCATGGCCATGACATGATGATGGTGCCATCCCCTGCTGCTAACTGTTATGGCTTCTGCTGCTAACTGCTAATACTGCTACTAATTAGTGAGAAGTAGACTTGTGCTGTTGTTTTTTCTGTTGTTTTGTGAATGTCGATCAATTGCTATGACAGATAGTTCCATGCATGTATTACCTGCCTTTTTCACATATCATCACATCAGTTGATGTCCTGTTCACTTCCCATTTTGTTTTCTGTTTTTTGTTGTGAAAATAGGAATCAAGAAACAAATAGCAGAAAACATGTTCACTTCTAATTTCTATTTTCGTTGGGAAACCAGAATGCCATAAATGAGGTAGCTGGCGGAAAACAATAAAAAGACGTTTTGGGGAAACTATGACACGGGTTTCTCCCCGTTGCCTGGCGGAAAATTGTCACTGTGCACTTATGAGTCCCCCTGTTCGAATCCTGCCAGCTACTTCTTTTTTTTCCTTTCTTGTTTTGCAAGCCTGGGAGGCTTCCCCCAATTCTCGTTTTAGCTTTTTTTAGTTAATTTGCTTGGCGGTTTTGGCTTAGTAATTTCCCATCAAATAGTAATTTACCATGTGTAAATTTTTTAATCCAAACTTTGTTTTTCTATGTATACCCACCGAAATTGTTTACCCGTTTACAAAATTTCACTTTTCTACATTGTTTAACCTCAATTATAAAATATATGAATTTAAATTAAATAAAGATTAAAAACATTATTTTATTTTAAACGTGTTTATAATGATAGGATTTTGTGTTTACTCACTATCATATAAAAAATAAACTAGTATATACATTGTTTCTACATGTATTGTGTTTATTAGTGGCTAAACTATTGATTCGTGTTAAAATATATAATCATGACTAGAGTTGTATGATACTCAAGTTGTGGCATGGCTTTCAAGCTGGACTTATTTGAATTTTTATGTTGTACTAGTACTTAATTAATATAAGATGTTGTACTTGGTATTGTGTTTATTTGTAGTTTAAAAACTATTTAATTCGAATTAAAAATTATAATCATGGCTAGGGTTGTATGATAATCAAGAATCAGAAAACAGAATGAAGCAACTAAACAGGATTTCTTTTTAGAACTCAGTTTCAGAACTCACCAAAATTCTCAGCTAAACAAGGTTTTTTCAGGTTTTGTTTTCCAGGAAATGGTCAGCTTCGTTTTCATTTTATTTTTGTTTTCTGTTGTGGCAGCTAACAGAAATGGAATGGCAAGTAAACGGCCCATGAGTTTCCAAGCTATTTCCCATAACAAATAGTTCCACACAATTAGCGTCCACAATAATTCCATGCAATTTTGTTCACCCAAAACTATAGATTTAAATCTAGAATCAACAGTTAAATCCTAACTTGACTAGCGACGGACCCTAATTAATCGACAAAGAGAAGAGAAAGTACCTGAGGACGGCTAAATCTGACGTCGATCCCGTAGAAAAACTTTAGGAATCGCATAGGTGTGGAATGTGGATTACTTGGTGGCGGAAGCCGGTGGGGGAGAACGAGATCGTGGTAGCGGCGGAGAAGATTACCGAGCTGGTGATTGGAGTTGTTGGGGCGACAGGGGAAGTGAATTCGGAGGCAGCGGCGGAGACGGTAGAGCGACTGAGAAAAAGCTTCTCCTTCTCTCGCGGGGTACCACCGAAATCGGATTTCAATTTTCTCTGAGCTTGCCGTTATTCTTCGTTCCATGTGGTCGTCGTTGTGGAGCACTTGGTATCAACGAGAGGGAAGAAAAAAGAAGCAAGATGCGGGAAGAAAACGGAAGGAAGAAAGAAGGGTCAATTTGGGCAAGAAAATTGCTTCAATCGCAGTAATTGAAATTCCGGGGGGTGGGGGCCGTAATTCTCATTCCTGCGTCTGTTGTAATTGGGCCAATTCCCACGGCCCAATTTCCATATTTATTTTTTGCTGCCAAACATGGAATTTCCAGCCAATTACTGCATAACGTGGGAAAGAGGGCCAATTCCCACGTTCAATTCCTTTCTTTCCTCTTTATGGACACAAATGACACCATCAACCCTTTAGTTGTCTTTAATTTTGCACTAAAATGACGTGACCGAATCATCATACCATTTGATCATTGCGCTGTCCAGGAACCTGGTGACAGCATTTGTCTTTTGATTTTCCTTCTCCTCTTCATTTCCCCACCACAGACAATGGGAATAAGAAACCGGAATCAATCATCACCATCATATTCATTTTATTGTGCACGTCCTATATATAAAGCACATATTTTCACCATTTCACTATATCTTGTAGCGTAAAATTACGAAAAAAATGTACGCTACTGTACGTACGCGATCTAACGATTTGAGATCATGAAGATCCTTGATTCAAACGATATTACATTACACAGCACACAATTAGCTAGCTATCCATCGCTCTTCATGATTAACCGGGCGAGGCAATCCATTATAGCTAGTGATGATCACCATGGAACAAAAACACACGTATAGGGCAAAATTTGGTTGCTAGATATGTATTACCAGCTTCATATAGACGCATCCAATCTTTGGTCCTTATATTCCCGAAAAAACCGGACTGGAATCGGATCAATTTGGTCCAATTTAACCGGACCGGACCGTATTGCCACCCCTATCACGCATGCATGCACAAATACTATATATAACCTAATCATGGTAACTATTTCAACTGCACTAGATCTGTGTAGTACTTAGAAAGCCACCTCCCGATAATTTCCAGCTCAGTCTTGCGCTGCTTGATTAACCAATCGGGGTCACTTGGCCTTGATGTCAGTATATCCAGACTATGAGATCCTGAAATACGTGCAAGAACACAAAGAATCAACTTATGGAAGTTTATTGGTACAAGTTGTAACACAAAAAAGCAGGCATGATTTTCATTTTTATAATTAGATATAAGTAGAGAATTTCGATGGTTAGATTAGGATAATCGCGATCCATAGCAATCGCGTAATGGTTTGATGATGGAGCTGGGTTGAAACTAGAAGGGCGGGCGCTGTAGCTGTACTCAATTTTGAAATATAGATAAAGTTACATGTAAAATTTGCACAAATTTAGGAATTAGAACAGTCGGTGAGGTTTTAGCCCCTTCCCTCCCACAATTACGACAGTTTAAGTCAGCCCCCATTCGTTCGGATTTCTGGTTTCGCCACTGTAATGGTTGATATAGGATTGTGTGATTGCGTTTTTTTTTTCTTTTTTCTATTCTCTTTCATTTTCTTATTACTAATAATATTCACCTTTATAATAAAACTAGGGTTGTGTGATTGATTTATGAGATGCGTATAAAAGAATGATTTGATATGTTTACAAGATTGAGTAAAAAAAAAATCATATAACAAATAAAAAAAATAGAAGCTAATTATTTACATGAATGCGTCATCCTTAATTTATATGGTTGGTGTGGGATGGGGAGCGCAGAAGCAGGGTTTTGGTTCCACTTTTTTCCGACATGTGTCTTCATTGTCATACAACTTTGCATCCACTGACCAAAATTGTGTGCATGCATCCACTACTTAATTAATCAACTTAATCAATAAACAAATGGATAATTAATTAGTATGTAAAACGTGGTAATGTGTACCATTAACGGTAGACAATGCTATAATGCTATCTGATATGTCCTCCAACACCCTGTGAAAACATTATTGGTGGCCAAAATCAACATTAGCATCATCATCATCAATTCATCATCATTATCAAATACTCCAAAAAAATTGTTCAAAGAACAGAAGGGGAAAAAAATGTAAATTACGTACCCGCCGCTGCTGTAAGGATCTCTCATCCCATTTGAGAAGATGATGTTGCTAGCAAATCTACGCAGAGCCAGCTTCAAGTCCTGCTTAATTAATGGTAACATATGTTTGATCAAATATGTAACGAATTTACGAATAACGTTACATCATGGTAGTGACGATTATTTACGTACGTGGCCTCCATAAAACGTGGTGACCCAGTGAGGCTGTGGAAGGATTCCAAATCGGCTCTCGCAATTCTTGGTGAAGCTGTTGATGTTGAAAGGCTCCGGCGGGAACATCGTGTCGCTATCGTGCCCTATTCGGAATACTAGCTCGCTGCACGTCTGTCATGTCATCGACCATATTAAGTTCACTAAACCATTCGATTTGTTTACTTTTAGCAACCGTTTCTTGGTCGCAAAAGATCTTTCTTTCAGTGAATTCTCTATAGTAAACAATACAGTTATGTATATACCTGCCATTTCCATGCACTGTCCGAAGCCGTAGGAGGAGAGGAGTACTCGTAGACATCGTAGCAGGAGCTGTCTCCCTTGTAAGCAACGACGCCGGCGCGTATCTGCCCCAGAACGTCGCCGTCCGGGGCTCCGTCGATGGCACGGCAGACTATGCTGACGGGATATTCCGGCGGTTCGTTGTACTGCGCCGCCTCCGCGTACATGGAGTCCAAGTAATCCTTCAGATCGAACGTCCTTCTCAAAGGACTGCCACACGTGCATATATAAAATAACACGTACCAGAAGAGATAAATATTTAACACTGTACTCATCGTTAATAATGTACGTTTTTTTTTTATACTAAACGTGTTAACTTACCGGCAAGTTTTGAATTTCTTGCCGAGGAGTGAAAGGCCGTCGGGCTTGGAAGCCACTCTTTCGATTTCAACCCACGACCTGCGAATCGTCTCGTAGCAGCTCTTGCTATCTTCCTGCATGGGACGTACGACATCACTAGAACGTTACTTTACATATTCGAAAGTGTGTGACCGATCGATATTATAATTGATGATTTGGTGTTTTTGACCGATCGATCGATGTTACTTTGAAATCCTTTGTGACGATGGAGTAGTAGCCATCTCCAGGCGCAACTCCATCAAAATAGAGAATTGGAGCCGACGAAGCCAGCGCTCCAATCGCTATGTGTGGGTACTTGAGCCTGAACCACGACGCCAGCACTGCAAGATTGTGTCTACCTTAATTATCAGATTTATTGAGCGTATCATAGAATTTTCCAATGAAATAAGAACTTACTTCCACCGTAGGATCCTCCAACGACGATGACGGGGGAGTTCTTTGCCGAGTAAGTCTGCTTGACGTGGAGGATGATGGCGGCATAATCCGCAATCGCCTGAGCAGAGTTCAAGTAGCCGAGGGAAGTGGCGTTTCTCGAAGCTTTCTCCCACGAACCAAACGGGATGGACTCCCCGTAGTAACGATGCTTTTTACGTGGATGGCAAATACACACGTTCATGACATATAAATATCGGAGAAATTTTAAATCACAATAACTACTCTTTAACATTAATACGTAAATTATCTAACTTCTATATCTCTGCGCGATACATAATATAACTCGCGGTGAATCATAAACCGTTTTTCATATGATTTAATTCGTCGTACCTCGATATATAAGAGGAGGGCCTTGAAATGGGGAGCATTCTCAGTGAGGAAGCCAATATCGGCCCAGGCGTAGTCGATCCTGTCTTCGGGGCCAAAGTAGACCAAAATGGGAGCGTTGGTATCGGCGCCACCCCAGTGTTTGACGTTGACGATGTACCTCTGCCGGAAAGTGGTGTAGCTTTCCGGCTTGTAGTTGAAGTGGTCAAGCGTCTGGTTGTAGTAAAACGTCACGAAATCATCGTCGGCGGCAGCGAGCTGCCTTGCTTGCTTGGAGCTCTTTGGTCTGTGGATGCCAAGTCCGGCGAACTTGGCTTGTGTTGGAGGGAAGTGAAGCGTTAGGAAGAGGAGGAGGAGTGATAATGAAATGATTAATAGCGTTGGTTGGCTGAGAGTTTTCATACTAAGGGAATGGAAGCTTTTGTGTGTTGGGAGAATGAGGATGTTTTGTTATTTTATTTGTGGCGATGATTCACTGTCCTGGGCTCAGGCCTATTTATAGTACTTTGATCAACGTGCTGGGCCCATTAGGTTGGAATTTTGATGAGGGAATAGAAACGTGGAGGGCCCACGTGCATGAAACAACAAGGAAAAAAGGCCAAAAAATAAGTGAAGAAAGAAAAGCAAACAAACACTAACACCCCCAGTTGACTCGTTGACTTGAATGGGGAGGGACGACGTCAGAGGCACAAATGAGGATGTAAACGAAAGCCAATCTATGGGCTCGAAGTTTGCACAGACCCACCATACCTTGTGCTTTAATCAATTTTTAATATTGGGGGTCGTGGAGATTCGAACACACGACCATTTGGCCAAACCAAGCTCTGATACCATGTCAAGAACTAGTTGGTCCCAATTACTCGAGTTGTTGGGAGAAGGTTCTGTTGGATCTTATATCACTCTCTAACATGTACCGCCAAATTATTTGGTAGAATACTGATTTTTATCCTGAAAAATTAAACTCGAACCAAACTCAACGAAATAATATGGATATATCTTGCTACAAATATATTGTTATAAATATTTAACACATCATATTCAGAACGGTTTTTTTTTATCTCAGGGTTAAAAGCGAGCTGATCCTAAAAAATCGTAAATAAGTTTTTATCCACACCCAATTCAAAACTTGTCATCACAGAGCATTTTCCCCCTTCTTTCTCTTTGACTGGATTTGGGATTTAATTGAACATTTTGCAAGTCCAGATTCAACTGTCACCCCGATCGACCATCCCCCTTATGATTTTGAATTTAATCTTTTGTGAAATTTTTTCAGTGGCAATTCGACCCATCCATGGTTGGAGTGAGAGGGGAGAACATGGTCTTCATCTAAACCTCACTTGTCGACAAAGTAAGATTGAACTAAAGTTTGTTTGTTAATCGTACTTGGTTGATTCGTCACTTTTGGCTAGTTTGAATGTTGAATCTGGGTGAGTGGTTCTCATATATAAATCCTACACATAGTTTTTATTTAAATTCATTATTTGGACTCTTCAGTTTTTAGCTAGGTAGGTCGTCTTACTGATGTGGTAAACTCGTAACCTGGTTTGTAATTGTCAAATTCATATTTTTGTGCTATTTTGTTAACATCTCCCAAATCTAATATAAGCCAAAATTATTGGAAAAAAGAACAAAATTTTAAATTCACAATTAGCTAAATCAAATCGCTAATCCTTCTAATTTTAAGAATTAGTTACACTAACAATGTATTTTTTTAAATCATAGAATCCAAATTAGACCAACCCCTTATTCGAGAAAACTAATTCCCTTGAGATTATTAATTTATTATCATGAATTAGGTCTATAGACACTAATTGGATATATAACCTCAGTTTCATTATACGCTCCATTAGAAAAGGAGAAGTCTTTTTTTTATCATTAATTGACGGCAATATTTATTGGGATAACTTTAGTTGTAGTGTAAGGTGAGTCATGAAGCTACTCATATTATAGATTGTAAACTAATGGCCATATGGAGCTCGTGAAGGCCTACGGGTCGCCAAACAAGACCTTAAAGGATAAAGACACATCTTCAAAAAAAAAAAAAAAAATATCGGGAGACCTGAGAACTATTATTGGGCACCATTATTAATTCGAATGGACACCACTCAATTACAAATCGTAATGATGTTTTATGGACACTTTGGCCATTAGGACTCCGCACTTATCCAAAAATATGCCTTGCTCTCGTCACTCTTTTCTCTTCTAAATTCTAATCCTTCGATATCCCTTTAATTAGATCTTTCTCTTGGCATCTCATAGGGTATTTTTTTTTACACAAACGATATTAAGGACACACTTGAATAAAAGTGTCATAATTGTGTGTCGCCTAAATCACTCAATAATTTTTTTCTCTCACTCAAGAATCGAGAGAAACTTAAATCATTCCCTCGTGGTATATCTGGTCGCGTTTAACACCCGATCTACCAAAAATATCATGCTAATGACAAAACCTTCATTCTCTACCAAAATAATATGGTAAATATATCTTACTAAATGAAAAAAATAGAAAGAGTTAGTAATTATTTTTATATGCATATCCAAATTAACATTTATACCTCCAATTGCAATTTAAACCATTCATTTACTTTCCAAAATACTTTCACAACTTGCACCAAAAAAAAAAACTTTCACAACTTCATAATTAGACCACCAATATATATTTTTCTTTTTTTCTTCCACCCTTCATACTCCTTCCAAAATTAAAAATTTCCCGTAAATAAAAATTCATTTCCCATTTACCCTTCACTCCCTCCCCCTATATAAACCGTTCTTTTGGTCTCACATTTTCCCCCACAAAATTTACCAATCCAAACAAAAACAATGGCTAGAAGGAGGTTGAGGCTCGCGTGGATTCCAAACGAAGCCGCCAGAAGAGCCACGATGAGAAAGCGCCGCCAAAGCCTGGTCAAGAAAGTGAAAGAGCTCTCCGTCCTCTGCGGCGTCCCAGCTTTCTGCGTCATTTACTGTCCGGACGAACCGGAACCAACGGTCTGGCCACCCGACAGGGAAGAGGCCGAAAAGCTGCTGGCCCGGTTCCTAGCCGCGCCGCCGTTCGAGCAGTCCAAGAGAACGACCAACCAAGAAACCTATCTCCTGGACCTGGTGGGAAAGCTCCAAGAAGCCCGGGGGAACCAGCAGAAGGTCCTGAACCAGCTCGAGCTCGCCTACCTTATGGACCAGGTTTTTCCTGAAATAAACGTGACCATTTTTTCGATTTAATTGCTATTTGATTATTTATTTTTCTCTGTGTTAATTAACGATACGGTTTGATTCTTGGAATTGATATATCTTAACCAGGTTCACTACACAAGGAGGGGGCTGGGCGGGTTGGACCTACATGGGTTGGACCGGTTGTCGGTTCTGCTGGAGGAGAGGCTGAGTGAGATCAGGAAGAAGGCTGAGTTCTTTGAAGTTGAACTGAATGGATCCTCGTCACTAGGGAGAAATAATGTAACCAACGTTGACAATGACAACGTTGTTGTTCCCGAAAACAATATTGATTTGTTGTGGCAGGAGGACTTCATGAATAACATTATCAATCAGGATGGTGGCGACGACGGCAATGGCAATTAACGGTGGACGGTGGAGTAGTAGTAGTTTGAATTTCATATTTATTGGAGTTTCTTTTCAATGGCGGTGGGTGGGCGACATAGGTTTTTTTTTCCTTCTGTTTCATCGTTGTAGTGATGAACACAGTTATTTCAGTTATTGTGTAAGGTTCGTTAGATTCTGGTCTGATCAATAAAAGGGAATCAGCCTCTTAATTTCAAGCATATTAGCATAATGTAACAAAAAAAAAAAAAAACCCCCCTAGCTAGCGTGTGCATGGAAGAGTAGCTAGATCGAGTAGTGTGATGATAAACAAGAATAAATTATTTAAATAAAATTATCGCTAAAATGATTTAGATGGCCGTTCAAAGTGAGACTTCGATTTTTATCTAACACAAGATAACAAAAGCAATTGTACTTGCTATACATTGTCATATACATGACTCTATATACTCAAATGTCAAGCATGTATGATCTGATTTGAAACTCGTTTGATGTATATGGATTGCGAATCATATCCGATCGAATAATCATCCATATGTATTCCTAACATATTCGATTTAAAAATTGTTCGGTGCATGAACTATGAAATTGTACCGGTAATCAACTCAATAAAACAAGTGTTTGGAGGAATTTATATTAGACGTAGAATGAAAAAAATATTATCGTGGTATGTTGCAATATGTCGTTATAAAATCGTATAGATTTGATAATTTGTGCTTGGTTTAACCGGTAGTCCGGTACAGTGCATGCTGGTCAGTGTAGCATGACTAGAAACCCTGCATACGCATCCCTTGAAAGGAAAGGCAATATTCCCCCCTCCCTCCCCCTAGAGATAATCACACCCTCCGGCTAAAGTCATATACGCGTAGGGATGGCAATTTGAACCCGCCTCGCCGGGTAATATTCGAGCTGACCCGCGATGGGGCGGGTATTACCCGACCCGCATTAGCGTGGGGCGGGGCATGGGTATCAACTTCCGACCCGCCCTGTCCCGCCCCGCCCTATTCTTACTCCGTTTTATGTCAATTTTTTACCCCATCCATTCATATATCTCCTATTTTGACTTTTATTCAACTATTTAGATTTGATCTTTCAACTAAATAGATTCAATTACTTATTATATTATCACTATTATTCATTCATCAAGTATTTTCCCCTTCGTTTTATCATAAAAAGTAAAATTGTGCGTGCATTTTTCTCAAATAACATGTAAGAGTGGGTAGACCCGCCCCGCCCTGTTCTCGCGCGGGTATTACCCGCCCCAACCCGTACTAGCGTGGGGCGGGGCATGAGTATTGAGGTACCCGCCCCGCCCCGCCCCATTGCCATCACTAATACGCGCCAGTGGATATATCTTAACAACTGTATTAATTATCTAATATAGGAAACATAATTAAAACATGAATCCACCATTTATTTATTTTTTCTTGATATTCATGCTTCTCCAGCTCTAAGACAACTGTCTTTTTCTGTCCAGATTGTATTGTATCACGTACGTATCACGTCGCTTGTCGTCTAACTCTCTAACGACCACTACTATATAATAATAATAATAATAATAATAATAATAATAATAATAATAATAATACCATAGCATAAGTTTTTCAAAAATTTGCATCACATGGTTATAATCACATGCATGATGTAAATTAAGATGATAAGTATGAAGAATTTTTTTCCACATGCCCCAAAGAGGAAATGGGAATATTTTTACCTTTACCATAGAAGTATAGTAACCAAAATGGAATTCAAGCATGCCCTCATTAACACATCTCCATTATCACATCCAAACCCAAATCCTCTAACTCTCCAATATAGAGAGAAAAAAACAACAAAATTCGTTATTTTCTTTTTTCCTATTACGTCCATGCATGCACTCAAAACACCCTTCACTTCCTCCCCTATATAAAACCCTCACCCCAAAACCTCCCTTCCACTACACAACAAAAAAAAAAAGAAGGAAAAAAATGGCGAGGAAGAAGGTGACCATCGCCTGGATAACCAACGCCGCCGCCAGGAAAGCCTGCATGAAGAAGCGCCGCCTCAGCCTGATGAAGAAAGTCCACGAGCTATCCACCCTCTGCGGCGTCCAAACTTTCTGCATCGTCCGCAGCCCCGACGACGACGAGCAACTCGCCCCCGTGGTCTTCCCTCCCGACGACGAGGGAGAAGCCAGCCGGGTGCTGACGAGGTTCCTCGCCTTGCCGGCGTACGAGCGGTCCAAGAGAACGACAAGCCAAGAGAGCTACCTCGTGAACCGGATCGGCAAGCTCCAAAGTCGCCAGAAGCACGTCTTGGAGCGGATGAACGAGCTGGAGCTGGCGTATCTTATGGACGAGGTTTTCTACGGGAAAGGGGTTGGTGGGCTTGGGCTTGATGGGCTGGATTGCTTGTCCTTGTTGCTGAAGGAGAAGCTGAGGGAGATTAGGGAGAAGGCTGAGTTCTACGGGAGAGACCAACGAGGTAAGAGGGAACAGCAGGGTCCCAAGAAGAAGGCTAAAAGAGATCGTCTTCAGGGAGTGGAGGGAAACGGTGTCGTTGTGCCTCAAAGTTCTGTTACGAATGTGCTGCCGGTGTCGGGCGGCGACGGTGGCGGCGATTTGTACGACGTGGTTGCAGGGTTTCTTGGGGACTTTGGCGGCGATTTCCAGCTCCAGTCAGGTGATGATGAGAGCAATGGTAATATTTGGCCGTTTGATGGTGTTTTCCCTCCGATGGATTAGTATAGTTTGTTTCAAGTTCTAGTTATGGTTTTGTTAAACACAGTGGCTTGGATTGGGTTATTGTGATTTGGTTAATTTTTGTTCGTGCTTTAATAGGGATGAGATTAGGTGCTAACCCTTATAGGGGTTAGCACCGTAATAACTAGCAAAAAACGCTACTAAAAATAACGAAATCACTACGGATTATTATAAAATCAATACAACATCTAAGCTAAATCACTACTAATTCAAACTAGTAGTAGTTTTTCCTTTGGTTAGGACGGTGCTAACTATTGTACAATTAGTATCGTAGCCGTTCCCGCTTTAATACAGTCATTAGTAATGGACTGTGAGTTAACAGAGTTGTTGGATTATGATCTTTATGATGTTGGCTCCCCCCCCCCCCCCCCCACCCCCCACCAATTTCAGCGTAAGTTTATCAATAAAAATGGATATTGTTAGATTCATAAACAAAGAAAAAAAATTGATGTTGTATATTGAATTACGAATTAAATTCATCGAATAAGTGTACTAAATACGTCTATTTCAATTCCGTAAAATATACATACGGAATTGAAAATGGGTGTATTTTAAGGGATTGAGATTCCATTTTGTGACCTGATTTCTGGTAGCACAATGCGAATTCAAATTCACTTCCAACAATTTTTTAAGCTAAATTCTTTTTCTGTTATCATGTTTCCATAAATTGTGTTTCTGTTATTGGATTGGCAATTAAATTCATTGAATACATGTATTGTACATATTATACATCTTAAATACATACTTAGTACGTGAGATACCGAACAAATAAGAAAAATTATACGGTCAAATAAAAATTAGAGAACAACTTGAACTTTTAAATGCATATAAAATAGTATTAAAATGGATAATTCAATGTACTTGAATCCATTCTATTGAAAACAAAATACAAATTGGAATTCGCTTCCTACAATTTTGAAACTTGAATTATTTTCTCGACTTATCGTATCTCCATAAAATTTGCTCATATACTATATTAATATATTTTGATGAGCAACATCATTATATATTATAACATTTGGTTATCCAACATCACGTTTTTTGCTCTAACTCTTTTTTTTTCTTCTTCTTTCCCCCCTCTCTTTCTTAGATTGTTGGTGGCTAGCTACAACCTCCTTCTAGTTCTACCGTTTTGCTTGTTCCGTTCACTCCATATTACTGTCCATCCAATTCGCTAGCTAGCTAAGTTGAATCTTTTCAGATTTTCTCTTCATTAGATAGCTGATCTTGCAAAGCATTTTCCTGCATCCTTTAGGCATCAAACACTTTTCGACAACGAATAAGCCAACCTGAGAGTCGCTACATCGATTAATTTACAAATTAAAATGTGAAATCAAAGTGATCCTGAATAGAGATGATTGGCCTCTCGCATGTTACTCAAGCTCACACTGTATTCCTTACTACAACTTACACATAATCTTGCTCCATTCTTTAAGTACAAAACCTATATATAAGAGATTCACTGATCTTAACGATCTAAATCATCCACCAAACAAACTTCCATCTCATTTTCTCAATTCTCAATTTATTGATCTTGAATGACAAAATTTTCAATTAGAGAGGGAGACAACAAATCATGACATTAAGATGAGATATGCCTTCTTTTTTCTTGCTTTATTACAGTGTTGAAGTGAGATGAGAAAAATTACTTATGAGTTTGATCCTTTAATTGTCTTATATAAAAGTTTAGTGGCCAATGTGATATGTATACAAAAGTTTGATGACCAGATAGTTAACCCATTTTTTGCTGCATTTGCGTTAAGTCCTTTTACTTTTTTTCCTTACACTTTACCTGTCTCAGGTCAAACCCCTGTCACCACCGTTAGGCCTTTTGTTTAGTGTTATCTTCTACTCGTCCTCAGCCTTCCGTCAGCCCTCCTCCGTCGACCGAGCTCTACCCTCCACCGATTCTTTTTCCAGCTTCCCGATTTGATTAGGACGACGTTGATCCGGCGACCTGAATCTGCGCAGGCAATCGACGCCAAGCTGCCTGAATTCTCGTGAGCTGCCGACGGGTACCGACTCGATCGCGATTGACCGCGAGCTGAATCAGAGGCAGGGTAGGTCGTCTTACTGATTCTTTGCTAGTTCGTGGCAAAGGTTAAATCTTTGAATTTCTTTCAGTTCCTTTGAATCGGGAAGTTAAAAGCAAATCATTGTTCTGCTCTCTCTGAAATTTTGGCAAATTGAGCAATAACATCTTGCATTGGTGGTGCTCTTTTCTATGAGTCGTTTGATTTGGCATAATTAGGATTTGCTCAGCGGTTTTGATGGCGTAGTTGGGGTTTGCTAATTAAGCGGCTCTAATAGATTTGAATGTCGAAAGATGTGTCCTAGTCATTATCATGGAGAATGCTGGCATTGGTATGCATTAGTTTCACGACTGATTCTGGTTGGTAATTAGCTGATGATTATATCAGAATGGATCTCTGGGGATGCCACCTAGCACAGAAGTTGGTTCTGCCTCTTTCGACACATTACTTGCTGATATTGTTTACTAGCGAATATGTGCTGATTTGAAGTTGTTGGTTCTTTGCTGTTTCATGTTCGACGAGCGACCTTAATAATTTTTACTTGTCAGCCCGATTTGACTATTCGTTTTGTGATGTCTCCTTCAGTATTTTGTTGGTGAGGGGTGTTATTTAGTCCCTGGAATGTAGTGAAACCATGAGCTAATTTTGGCTCCAGTTCATCTTCATGTGATAGTATTAGTCCCTTTCATATTGTACATTCTGCTTCGAAATGGTATACTTCGGATCAGAGTATCAGATGTTTTTCTCCCTCCAGTTTCCTGGGTTATGTGATATCTATATTTTAGCTTCCCATTTGTCTTGCCATGATTAAATATTTCTGGCATAGTAAAGAAACTGAAACTGAGAACATGGTTTACGTTTTGACCAGAATTTTCCTGGCACAGGATAGACGTATCCCAAGTGTGAAAACCAGGAGCTTCAAAAGCTAATCCAGGAAAATGCTTAGAGCAAATCGGTTCACAAATGTCGCCCGTTCAACCAGAGCTTCATTGTTCTCATGTGAAGTCCAAGAAGCTCGAGCTGAACACCGTATCATCATCGACCTGAGGAGCCGGCCTCAGCTGGCTTCCGTTCGCTTCCTTGACTTCTATCAGGTACTCATGCCCATCTTCCTAAAAGAAAATTATGAAGAATTCCAACTCTCTTTTTTCTGTAATATCTTGCTTTTGGAATTTGTTGTTTGCTTAATGGAGTCCAAAACAATGTGAACTACAGCTTGGTAACAAAGCAGCTATTGAGAAAGAGCGTGCCAGGATGTAAGTTTTTCGAACTTCTTACACTTCACTGGTGCTTTCTATAGAGTGTTGGGTTTCAATTGATACTGGATACCACGTGATTTAGGGCAGTACAGATGAGATGAATAGAGGGTACTTTGCTGATATGTCAGAGTTCAAGAAGCATGGTGGAAAGGTACCAAGGTATTTTGTGGTTGAGTTTTTTGAATGGTTTGGGATGACTGTATTATTCAACAGTTTGAATCTTGTCGTTGTAGATTGCTCAGGCAAATAAGATAATAATTCCTGCAGAGACGGCAGCTAAGTTTCCAGACTTCGAACTCAACTTCTCTGATGGTAGAGCCTTAAAGCTCCCTACTAGATTCGGTGGGAGTATCACCAAATCTGATGCTTCTGATTTTCCGAATGCGACTCTGCTTTGTCTTTCGTTTAGAGCAAGCTCTCAGGTAAAGTGAGAAGTTGGAATATAATTTACATTTTCGACTCTTGAGTGTACTTTTGATTATTCCGCTGCAAATGTGCTAATCATAGCACAAACAATGACAAGGCATGCAATTTGATGGTTCTGTGAAAATGTCTTAAATGAACGTCCTCTCTCTTGATAGGGAATGATCGACTCTTGGACTGTTCCTTTCCTTGATGCATATCGTGATGGCAAAAATATTCAGCTCTATCAGGTACTGAATTTTATTTTGTTATTTATTAGTGATTTTTGTATGGTACTTGGAACTATAATCTCAGATCATATTACTGTGCTTCAGTTTTGTTTTACAAAATTCATTTTCCCCTTTCTATTTGTTGCAGCTAATTTCTTGAAAACATTGTCTGTCCCTTAATTTCTTGTGCTTCAGTGCATTAGATTAGATTAGATGTACTTTAGTTAGCAAAGAGAACCATCTCAAAAGTCACCTTCCATATCTGATTCCTCTCAGTTTTCGCCATTCTTTTAGCCCCCATAATTTTAGATATGTCTGACGAGAGACTGTTCTGGTAGTAAGCAGCCCTAGGCAGAGATATCGTTTCATTCATCATTTTGGTTGGATTGGCAACTTGATTGTTGCAAATCAACCTTAACTCGCAGATGGATTAGTCCTCTCTTTGTTGACAAAAATTTAGTACCAGGAGCTTGTATCTCCATTGATTTACCGCGCTTCAGTGTATTAGATTAGATATCCTAGAATTAGCTAAGAAAAACAAGATGGTTGTGAGTCTCCTGCAACAAATGGTTGTAGCATCTCTGTCTCATAATAGTCTGTTTCCCTCATTTGAGTTTTAGATATAGATGACTACAGACTATTATGTAGCATCTCTGGCCAGAGTAAACTGATGGGGGTTTGACAATAAACAGTACCTGAGGCCGAGATATTGTTTCGGCCGTCATTTGTTTGGATTGATGATTCGATTGTTGCTCGTCCACATTTGCTCGTTATTGGATTTCTTTTTCTTTTCTCTGCAGAAAGTTCTCTTAGCCTTTATTATTCTAGCTATTATTCAGTTTTAGATATGTCTGGCTAGAGACTGTTCGGGAGTGTCCCTGGCCAGATGGAACGAGTGGGGTTTAAAAGTACGCTTTACCTGAGTCCAAGATATTGTTTCAGTGCTCACTTATTTTGGTTTGATGATTTGATTATTGCTCGTCCACATTGGCTCTTTACTGTTTTAAATACTTTTTCTTTGTCTGGAATCTTAACATCTTGGAAATTTGTTTCTCCTTTGATTTATTGTGCTTCACTGTATTTGATTAGACATCCCTGAAGTAGGAAAGAGAAACAATCATGGTTGCAATTCTCTGCTACAAGCCTACAATTGAGACTGAGAACGTTATCAGCATGCATCTCAACCCTCATCTTATGTCTCTGATTCTCTCAATTGCGCTTGTTAAGTTTGAGACGTGTCTGACTAGAGACGTTTCTGTAGTGTCTCTGGCCAGACTGAACTAATGAGGGTTTAACTGTAAATAAAGGTCGAGAGATCATTTCAGTCATCATCCATTGATGATTCTCCTGTCCACATTGTGCTCGTTATTGGATTTTTTTTTTTCTTTCTTGCCAGAAAATCTGTTATCGCCTTGTAGGATTTCTCCTTCATTCCTTTTCTGTTATAGTTGAACAACTGGATTTCTCATTTTTGGTGGCTCTCCTTATGGTTGTATATTTGGGATTCAGGGCTTTGGTTCATATACAATTTATGGCTAGGACTTAGGATCCACCCCCTAACTGGCGTACCTGTCAGTCTGTTTTTTCAAGTAAAGTAAGTTCCTCCTTTGATGAATGTTTATGAAGGGGTTCTTCATTTTGCAGGTGTCATTCATAGACTCATGGCTCCTATGTCGGAGTCCAATCAAGCGTCTGCTGCTCCGGACTATGAAGAAATCCACCATTGACGAGAGTCGAGCACTTCAAAAACAAATTGCTTATTCCTTTGGCGACAATTACTACTTCAGAAAAGAACTCAAGATACTGAACCTTCTCACAGGGTAAGCTTAGTGTTCTCTTGTTTTCCCCCCAAGTTGTAATATTAGCATTGAGCAGCTACTAAGGATTAACTCTGATGCCTTTGTTCTCTTTTTCAACTCTTCGCAGGTACATTTACTTGCTGGACAAATTTGGTAGAGTTAGATGGCAGGGATCTGGCTTGGCCACCGAAGAAGAGATCTCCTCCCTCCTCTCATGCACGTCGTTACTCTTACAGGATTGAAGTTTCCTTCCTCTTCACACGTTCATCCTTGGCATCGACGGAATTTTGAATAACTGAGTTGAGGGCCTCTGTTTACTTAAGGAGACCCAGGTAATAAGCTTTCAGAAACCAAACCAACAATGGTAATGATAGTATACATTATTCGTTTTGCTTTTTATTTTTATTTTTATTTTTGTAGAAACATGATTCCTTCATACATCTTCGTCCGACCTGTGGTGTAACCGTGTAAGTTCCAGCATAACCTTCTCCTAAAAACTCGAGTTATTGGGATCAACTGGTTTATGACATAGTATCAGAGTTGGTTTGACCAATTGGTCGTGTGTTCCAATTTTCACGGCTCCAATATTAACTATTGATTAAAGCACAAGGTAATGGTGGGGCCTATGCAAACTTCAAGTCCTTGAGTTGGCTTTCGTTTGAGGGCTCTCAACCTCTGATATCCCAGTCTTTGGAGTTATTTATTGTCACATGTAATGTGCTACAAGTTCTATAATGACAAAGGAAGGTTCCTAGGAAGAATGGTTATGATTCAAGAACTACCCATAAATCAGAATGTGCCAAAATGTGTTGTATTCAATGAAAGAAGATAAAAGAAAGATAAAGCCAACTCTCATCAATCAATGAAATAAAGGAAAAAGATGAAGCTTTTATAGGAATGGTTTGTGACGTAAATGTCAAGATTTGCAAAGGAGGTTGGTGACCTAGTTTCCTAATTTTGGTACAGAAAGAGGGCGAGATTGGGTGCCTTAACAACAAAGCAAGGCCATGTGTTAATGTGTCCCTTCTGGTTTAGGGTTCCTGCTGATGCTCATGGCTGATACCCCACTGTTGTTCACAGCGGGGATGGAATGGAATGGCTGATAATTTTCTTGGATGTGATGCCACGTTTCAAGTAGGGGGTGTCAGTTCGGGTCGGGTTCGGTTACCCAACCCAAAAACCCGAAACCGAAAATCACTAAAACCGAACCCGATAAGGACTTGTGGGTTTTGGTTACCCGAAACCCAAAAATTTCTTATCGGGTTCGGGTTCGGTTAAAGCAAAACCGAAACCCGAAAACCCGAACGCCTAAAAATACGGACTGAGTTCTATTCATTGGAGGTTTTTAGCCGGAACCCGAAAAACCGATAAGCAAAACCGAACCTGAAACCGAAAACCCGACACCCGAAATGAACCCGAACCCAAAAAACCGAAAATATATATAATTGGGTCGTTTTCGGGTAAACCCGAAAAATCGAACCGAATTGACACCCTTAGTTTCAAGTAATTTAATCTTCTGGCTTCTTTTAAAAAAGTGGAAAATGCCAAAAAAAAAAAAAAAGGATATTGGGCCCTGCAAAAGAAGCTGATTTTGTGCTTAGTGGCGAAGTTGGAGGATCTTTTCGTCCAATCCTTTGTTTTTCCCAAAATAATTCCTTTTGCGCATATTTCGCTGCGATCCACGGTGGCGCTTGCGGTGGCGAACTGGTAGTGGCGGTGGTTGCACTAATGAAATCTCTACTATTTACCCTCTTTTGTTAGCTGGGTAGGGTCGTTTGTGCTTCTTTCTTTCTGTAGCTATCTTTCACTTCTTCTTTGCATTTGATGGATGCAAAAGGAATTCACAATGAAACATTCCACGACTATGGTTGATGATGTGACCCAAACCGGTCATAGCTGTAGTGGAAAATGCACGTTGATGGTATTTTGGAGGTCACATGATGGATCGACCATATAAGAATTGGGTACATGTAAAATATACTATAAATAGGACGAAGATAGGGAACGACACATGCAACACAAGATATTGAATGGAACCATCGTAGATGAACTAGAACATATCACTGTACCAAATTGTGCAATGAATTCCTCCCGAAACAGTCTAATCTACGTCAGGATGATTATGGATGAATAGAAACTACACGACTTATGTCAATCCAACTTTTCGTCATCATAATTATATTAACACACTTTCTAAAAAAAAAATCATCGCTAACAATACATATATATGAAAGATATCTAAATATGGATTCTATCGATATTGTAGTTTCTTATGCAGATATAATATGTTGCTAACGACCGAGCGATGACAATCCACCACGGAGCACCTATTGTAATGAAAATACCAAGGTTGTCAACCCGCGGGTTGACTCGGATCCGGTTGAGCTAGTGGGCTAAGGGTAATGGGTCACCCGTTTTAGCCCGAAAATGTGGAAAGCATCATTATATTGTACTTATCCTGATAAATTATATCAAATCTCATCTAACATATGAGTTATAACATATAATATTACACCAAAATAACATTTCGTACTTAGATTCAACATATAGTGAAAATTCACACACACTTATATAACATTAATATTCAAATGTTCAACTTAGGATTCTAAAAATTGAGTTAGGTGAAAAGAAAAATCGGAAAATAGGCGCATTTCGCAAAACAAAGAAAAAAATGACACAATTTGACCTCCAACCAGGCTGGTACCTTGTAGCGGTCGACCCGACGGGTGCGTGCGGCCCGTTTTTTCACCGGGTCAGGGTTAAAATGGATCAACCCGTGGGTCGACCCGCGGGCTGACAACCTTGGAAAATACTAACCATTTGTGAAAGTAGGAAAGTTAAATGACCATAACAGCAATAAATTATAAGTTCAGAATAAACGCTTTATCCAGTATCGGGGAAAATGAAAAAGAAGGAAATAATTGCGGAAAATATCCTCTGCTTATCGCCCTCCTCTGCTAAAGTTCTAAGCTTTTTCCCGTCTCTCTCTCTCTCTCTCTCTCCCTCTCCCTCCCTCTCTTCGCAACTTCCTCTCCTGTTTCCTTCTCGTTCGCCGTTCGTTACCCGCCGTATTTTATTTATTCATTTTTCATTCTCCATTTTGGCTGCCTGACCGGAGACCAAACAAACCGTATTCCTTAGTTCTTTTCTTCTTCGTCGTCTTCTTTTCCCCCCCTCAGTAGCCAGAGAGAAACAGAATAGACTCTGCTACAGAGATTATCCGTTACAGAGACCTGACAAAGAGAACAATAATAATACTAATATGTCGGCGTCGGTCTTTCCGGCGGTTGTCGTGTTAGTCGCCGCCCTGCTGGTTCAGTCAGCGCTGACGGTGGTCGGAGTAACTGGCGGCGGTGGTGATTATTTCCCGGCGGCGTTGAGTCTGGAGCGGGGAATTCCGCAGCCGAGTCGTAGAGTGGGTCTGGGTCAGCTGAGTGCGCGAGACAGTGTCCGACATCGGAGAATGTTGCAGTCTACCTCCGGTGGTGTCGTCGATTTCCCCGTTCAGGGGACCTTCGATCCTTTCCTCGTTGGGTTAGTAAAATCAATAATCGGAAAGCTTTATTTCTTCCTGTTAATTTGGGATTTGCCAATCGCGTGATTTTTGGGGAGTTTGATAAGTTTTAAGCTTCTTGGTAGGTTTGATATGCTTGAATTTGCTTGTTATAGCTTTCGATTTTTGGAATTAGATCGATTAATTGACTTCGAGTTCCTGTTTTCCCGCTACCAAAGTTTCCTTCTTTAGAATTCCGAGTAACTACCCCTCTTATTTTCTTCAATGGGTACATCTGTGAAAGGGGTCCTGAGTGGCCTGGGAATAATCTTCATTTGGTGGCGTTCTTCACTCTGGCTTTTCCTTTTCCTTTTTGTTCATGTGATGGAACATATTCCATTGATATTCTCGCTTATTCCAGGCTGTATTACACAAGATTGCAATTGGGTTCTCCACCAAAGGACTTCTATGTACAGATAGATACAGGCAGTGATGTTCTGTGGGTGAGCTGCAACAATTGCGATGGTTGCCCTGTTTCAAGTGGCCTTCAGGTGATCTTGATTTTCATCTCTTGTCTAGGTTTGGAGTCTTTTTGTTACCATAAGTTCTCCACTTTATTTGAAAACCATTAGTGTACTGATCTTATCTATTTGTATGGCAGATTCCAATGAATTTCTATGACTCTGGTAGCTCATCAACTGCTTCGTTGATATCTTGTTCGGACCAACGATGTGTCGTAGGACTGGAAGCTGCAGATTCCGGGTGCTTACAGAACAAGAATCAATGTGGTTACACCTTCCAATATGGCGATGGCAGTGGCACATCAGGGTATTATGTAGCAGACATGTTACATCTTGATACGATTGTTGGGGGTTCCGTGACTACTAACTCAACCGTTCCTATAGTATTTGGGTGAGCTAAAGCTTAACTTCCCTCTAGACTAGTCTTTCCAGTGTGTATGTGTGTGTGTGTGTGTGTGTGTGTGTGTGTATTGGAATGTGCTAGCATTAGCCAGCTTATGGATCGATAAGTGGTTCTATTGAGCAGGTGTAGCACTTTGCAAACTGGGGACTTGAAAAAGCCAGATAGAGCAGTTGATGGGATCTTTGGTTTTGGACAACAAGGGATGTCTGTGATCTCCCAACTTGCTTCACAAGGAGCAGCACCAAGAGTGTTCTCTCACTGTTTGAAAGGTGATGATGCAGGTGGTGGCATATTGGTTCTTGGAGAAATCGTGGAACCTAATATTGTCTATACTCCACTTGTCGCTTCACAGTAAGTTTTTGCTCTTCTAGTTTCATGTCCCAAAATGGTGTTGTTCCACTGGTGAATGTCAAATCCCTTTTCTCGAGCTTTGTTCTTCAGTATATGGAGAATTTGTAGCTATGGTCATGACAGTTTGCTTGAATATGTTTACAAGTTGAAGATTTGGGCTGTAAAATATGGATAGCTTGTCAATAGGTTCATAAGAACGAAGCTTGAACTCTGTTACATTAGGTTAGTTGGAATTTGTATATGTACAGATTAGTCATGTGTAATTAGTTTTAGACTGTTGCCGGAAGATGTAGGCTTGTGAAGTGATCCTTTTGATCAACTGCTTAGATGATGATGGGCTTCCCAGCTGCCATCTTGCTTGTACTCTCTTGCAGCTTACTTCTTCAATTTCAGCGAGTCTGGTTGGCATCATGCTTATTAACTACTAAGAGTCCATTGTCCCTACTCCACTGGTGCCTGACTATCAAATATTTAGGACTTCAAATCGTTCTTTGATTTGACAGTTGTTTTGTGTTAGTTTCCCCTAAAATGCTATGCATTTCTTAGTGCAGAATTTCTAGTTACAGCAGCTTTAACTGACTGTTATATCTGAATTTCCAGGCCTCACTACAATGTGAATCTGCAGAGCATATCGGTGGGCGGCCAAACTTTATCTATCGATCCATCTGTTTTTGGCACATCAGACAAGAAAGGCACTATAGTTGATTCCGGAACAACCTTGGCGTACCTTGCAGATGCAGCCTACGATCCTTTTATTAGTGCCGTAGGTTCCCAAAATAGATACTTTATAAGTGACATTGGCAAGAACAATTATTCTTCAATTGGAAATTCACTCTGTAGGACTCTTCTCATGCAGATAAATAGTGATGTTTCACAGACTGTGCGGCCAGTTGTTTCAAAGGGGCAACAGTGTTACTTGATAACCACAAGGTTCACTTCCTAAATCTAGGCCTCCTTTATTTCTGAGTTGATTGTGTTGACTTTAACCATAGGCCTAACCTAGAATCAATTGTTTTGATTGTGCTTTTTAGAGTGAACGACCTCTTTCCTCAAGTTAGTTTACACTTCGCTGGTGGTGCATCCATGCTTTTGAATCCTCAAGACTACCTTGTGCAGCAAAATTCTGTTGTGAGTATTGAGCTTATTGTACTTGTTTCGGTTCAATCTACCTTGGAAGCTTTTAACAATATTTACTTCACTTTGCATGATAGAATGGTGCTTCGGTGTGGTGCATTGGTTTCCAGAAAATGCAAGGTCAATCAATAACAATCTTAGGAGGTATTAACCCGATAAACGATTCTTCAATGGTCCTCAGTTCTAATAAGTGATACCTACCACCATAAAAGATGATAAATGGTTTCACTCTTTATCTATCTTTCCTTTGCAGATCTCATTCTGAAAGACAAAATCTTTGTTTATGACCTAGCTAATCAACGGATTGGATGGGCTAATTATGACTGTAAGTTGAACTTACATGCTTAAACTAGCTTTGAGTAATGTCTCAATATTAAGTTCTCATCTAGTAACTTCTAAATTCTTAACCCGTTGATCAACCGCACCAGGTTCAACGTCGGTAAATGTATCTACAACCGAAAACACCGGCAGAACAGAATTCGTGGACCCAGGGCAGCTGGGCAACAGCGGTTCACAGCAAAATGCACGTCTAGACAGACTTATACTACCAACTGTGATGATAGGTTTACTTCATTTGCTCTTGCTTGGAAGCTGCCTGTTCTTGTAGCACATACCCTGGTAACGTGTTAGTATTCTCTCTTCCACTCATCATCGCTCAGGCCGGTCTTATATTTAGTGTGGACCGGCTGCAGTAAGCCCTCACTGATTGATTTGTCTTGGCAATGGCTGCATCTAAACTGCTGGGATAGGAAAACTGGAAATATATGTATAGGTCTTTTCCTCAGTTTCCCTCATGTTTTAAAGATCTTGTTCTGTTATCTTTGTAAATTTTGTGTTCATACGTACAGAGTAGGTCAGCAGCCCATGATTTACTATACATCAGGTGAGTTTGATGTATCCATTCCACTCAATTTGAAACCATTGGATTGATCCATTCATATGTATCCCACAGTTTCATGATTTCATCTCAACGTAATCACCATGATAGTGCCAACAACATAGCTTTCAATAGCTTCCAGATTATAATAGGGCCCGGAGGGCGACACTTCCTTTGACAATATCCTCAAGAACAAGTGGGCTTTGTCAACGGTTTAGGTGAATGGTTTTTGCTTTGCTGACTGCACTAGGTCTCAGCAGGCAAGTTAAAGGTCCTCCCCCTCTTACATCTTCCATCCAGGTGTTGCTTCAAGAACAGGCGACTTCCAGACATGAACTAACACACGAATCAGGGAACAGTTTGCTATACCGCGTATTCGGCTGTTGTTTTGTACAGCTGCTCCGGATCGATGAATTTTGTTACATTGACAGACATTGAACGCGGTAAGATCGATACCCGGATTAAGACGAGTTGGAACTTATTTAGTACCTTTGAACCACTAGCTAAATGAAAGAGCAACATTTTGGTGCAATTTAGAGGGCAGTTATAAAGCTTCAGGCTTTAGCTCAGCTAGTATCAAGATTAGGGCTGTCGGTTCGGGTCGGGTAACCGAACCCGAAATCCATAGAACCCGAAAACCCTAAACCCTCTCCTTAGGCAAAACCGAACCCGAACTCGAAACTGTCATTTTCGGTTTTCGGGCACCCGAACCCGAAAATTCCACTAACGGTTTCGGTTTGGTTATAATGAAACCCGAAAACCCGAAAACCAAAAAGGAATGGTGACTACTGCAAACACTTGTCCATTAACTAGCTCCATTCATTCTGCCAAATACACTGCATATCCACCAAATTTTAACTCATTAGACGAGAAAGTAAATTACACTTGACATAGAAGATTACACCAGCTAATGAACTACTAAAACCGAACCAACTTCAACAAACACCATGATCTGCAGGAATAGATAGTTCCCCAGCAAAGCAATCACCAAAGAGTGCCAAGGTTATGCAACTTGTCAATAACCTGATGAAAGCCCTAGAAGTTGCTGCAACTATGCAAGAACTTAGTTTAAGTGGTTTAATTAGAAAACATGACATAAGGAAAGAAAGAAAGTAGAGACAGGAAGTACAACAGTTGAGGCGAAGGCTGAAAGGCCAAGAGGGCAGATAGGAAGTACACCAATAGACTAATTATGCAGCAGCAAAATTAAACTTCTCATAACCTATTTCATTGTATGATTCCACAACGTACTAAAATCAAGAAATTAACAATAGATAAATGGAGCAAAATCAAATCTCCACTATCATGCACTAAAACACTAAGATCATATAGAGGTAGCTAGCCAGTTAGAACCCATCTTCGTAATCAATTGTTCAAGCAAATCAGCTTAGAGTCTCCCCAAAGAGCCATTATCACAACACCCTTTTCATCCTCAGCATATGATTCCTTCCTTCCAATAGGGCACCATCTGAATACTCAGAAACAATCAGTTCTTCATATGGTTAGCAGGAAATTAAACACATAAACTGAAGCAGAAGCTAAAAGTAGCAGTTAGGCTAGGTAGAATGGAAGAATCTGCCGACTCCGGGAGGCCAAAATGGCATTCACCTGCACTTGCACCAGCACCTTCCTTCCTTAGTTTTGGTCCTTGAATTTGTTCTCATTGTCCAAGGGTACTGCTCTGCTGACCATTGTCATGTTTCTGCTGTTGTAGGCGACGAATGGAGAAGAACATGAAGCCCAAACCCCAGCATCGGATTACTCACTGTCACTAGAACCGCCAATCTCACACCAAATTCATACAAGCAAATCTATATCTTAAAGAGCAACAGAAAGTGGAGTTGAGTTCGGAGAATCGAGCAACAGATAGAGGAGCTGCTTGATCTCGAATCGACGATGCAAGGAGAGGAAACAAAATATGGGAAACCCTAAAACCAGATCGAAGAAGAGTTGCGTTACCCAGATGCGCCAACAAGGAAAGCTTCAATCTGTAACGAAGGGATGATTTCGCCGGCGCCGACGAAGTGATGACAGTGTAAGTTCGGCGAAGGGCTGGCGAAGTCTGTCCTCTCCTCTGTGAAATCCGAAATGTCACCGTGAGAGGCCAACTACAGCTTCGGGTTTTCGGGTTCTTATTGGTTTTTCTGGTTATAGCAAAACCGAAACCGCTACAGATAACTTTCGGGTTGAAAACGAAAAACCGAACCCGACAGCATTGTTATCGGTTCGGGTTCGGTTAAAACCGAAAACCCGAACCCAATCTGACACCCCTAATCAAGATGCAAACATTCGATGTGGGGGAAAGGAAAATCCTCGCCGGGGAATTCCCCCGTTCAAGCCTCAACGCCGGCGGGAAGCTAACCCACCGCCGGGAATCTCCATATTACACGTAGACAAGAACAAAACAAATGAAATGATGGGTCCCTCTTCCCCTCCTACTCAATCGGCTGATCTGTTCAAGATAACTAGCCGTTAGCCCGCTCCCTCCCTACATCGAAGAAAAAACCCTTTAAATGCTTCATTAGCTCCTCCCCCTGACAACTGTGTCTCTCCCCCGAAAAAACTATAATTCAAATAACGAAAATTCAAATGCAAAGATTCCCAATTTCCCATCTCTCTCTCTCTCTTCCTTCCTTCCACTCCTTCACTTCACGTGGTCCATCATATGCAACAGAGACCAGAGCGCAGCCACTTAACACCACCACCACCAACAGTACAAAAACCCAAACTTTTCTTTCCCCCTCACACTTGCCCTGTTCCATTCAATAACCCACCATAAACCCACCTCCTCCTCTCTACTTCCTCCCACCTTTCTTCTTAAGTCTCACATCCATGGTGGTAGCTGGGGGGATCAACAACAAGCACTTACCCACCACTAAGAAGAAGGAGAAATGGAAGTTCCCCTTCTTCTTGCTCTTCTTCATCCGCCTTTTTCTGATTCAATCCGTATTGGGTCAGGACTGGGACGGCGTGGTGGTGACTCAAGCTGATTTCCAGGTGCTACAAGCTTTCAAGCAGGAGCTGATTGACCCAAAAGGGTTTTTGAGGAGCTGGAACGATTCCGGCTATGGAGCTTGCTCTGGCGGGTGGGCTGGGATCAAATGTGCGCAGGGGCAAGTCATTGTGATCCAGCTTCCATGGAAAGGGTTAGGTGGGAAGCTCACTGACAAGATTGGGCAGCTGCAAGCGCTAAGAAAGCTTAGCCTTCACGACAATGTCGTCACAGGGACAATTCCTCAAACACTTGGCGTGCTCCCTGACCTCAGAGGGCTCCAGCTGTTTAACAACAGGTTCTCTGGCTCTATCCCTCCCACTTTAGGTTCTTGCCCTCTGCTTCAAAACCTAGACCTGGGTAATAACTCACTGGCTGGTAGAATCCCAGATAGGTTAGCCAATGCGACCAAGTTGTTTAGAATCAATTTGAGTTACAACTCGTTGTCAGGTCCAATCCCAGCTAGCTTAACCCACTCTCCTTCCCTCGTTTACCTTGATCTTCAGCACAATAACTTCTCTGGTTCGATTCCTGACTCTTGGGGTTCCAGTTTTAGCCCAAAGAACGGAACTTTTTCCCGGCCCGTGCTTCAGTACTTAGTCATTGCCCACAACTCCCTCTCTGGACCCATCCCACTTACCATTTCAAATCTTTCCTCGCTCCAAGTTCTGGACTTTGAGAGCAATTTACTTGATGGGCAAATCCCAGAAGGAATCGTTAATCTGAAGAACCTTTCTGTCCTCAACTTTAGGAGAAATCAGTTAGATGGTCCAGTTCCTGAGACACTAGGAGAGATCCCCACATTAACTAGGCTAGATTTGTCTGAAAATAGGTTGAGTGGTGAAATCCCAGTTTCACTTGCAAACTTATCAAGGCTTAGCTCATTCAACGTCTCCTATAACAATCTATCTGGCCCTGTACCCACGGAACTCTCTAGAAAGTTCAACTCGACTTCCTTTGTGGGCAACATTCAGTTGTGTGGTTATTCTGGAGCAACTCCATGTCCATCTCCACCTTCACAAACTGTCCCAACTCAACCACCAGAAAAGAAGAAGAAGAAGAAGAAGCTGAGTACCAAAGACATTATCCTGATTGCAGCTGGGGCACTTCTCATTGTGCTGCTGATACTCGTGTGTGTACTCCTTTGTTGCTTGGCGAGGAAGAGAACAGCAGCGAAGGCCAAAGAAGGCCAACCATCGACGACAGCAAGAGCTGCTGCTGGCGTGGCAGGAGCCGAAAAGGGTGCCCCTCCAACTGCTGCTGAAGTCGAGGCAGGAGGAGAAGCTGGAGGAAAGCTAGTCCATTTCGATGGGCCGATGATGTTCACTGCTGATGACCTTCTGTGTGCTACTGCTGAGATTATGGGGAAGAGCACTTATGGAACTGTTTACAAGGCCACATTGGAAGATGGGAGTCAAGTTGCTGTGAAGAGGTTGAGAGAAAAGATTACCAAAGGTCAAAGGGAGTTCGAAGCTGAAGTCAATGTGCTTGGCAAGATCAGGCACCCTAACCTTCTTGCACTCAGGGCTTACTATTTAGGGCCAAAGGGGGAAAAGCTTCTTGTGTTTGATTACATGTCAAAGGGAAGTCTGGCAACTTTCCTCCATGGTAAGAACCTTTACAAACACAGTTCATATATTCGAAATCACATCAAAGCTCATATCTTTCCATTGTCTAATAATGCAGCTAGAGGACCGGAGACCCCAATCGATTGGCCAACTCGAATGGGAATAGCTCAAGGCATGACTAGAGGACTGCTCTATCTACACAACAACCAGAACATCATCCATGGCAACCTCACATCAAGCAACGTGCTCCTCGACGAGAGGAACGAATCCAAAATCGCAGACTATGGTCTGTCTCGGCTAATGACAGCAGCAGCAAACACCAACGTGATTGCAACAGCTGGTGCATTGGGCTACAGAGCGCCCGAGCTTTCCAAGCTCAAGAAAGCCAACACCAAGACTGATGTTTACAGCCTTGGAGTGATCATCCTGGAGCTTCTGACTGGGAAGTCACCTGGTGAGGCGATGAATGGAGTGGATCTGCCACAATGGGTTGCCTCCATTGTCAAAGAAGAGTGGACCAATGAAGTGTTTGATGTGGAGTTGATGAAGGATTCTACTGAGATTGGCGACGAACTGCTCAATACGTTGAAGTTGGCTCTGCATTGTGTTGATCCTACGCCTTCTGCAAGGCCGGAAGTTCAGCAAGTGCTTCAGCAGCTGGAAGAGATTAGGCCGGTGGCTGGTGGTCGTAGTTCAGGAGCTTCTGGTGATGATAGAGCTGCAGTTCCTTCATCGAGTGAGTAGAGAGGATGATGGATGGTGGGGAAGAGTGAGTGAGTGAGTGAGTGATTATTAGGAAAGTCCAATTCTTTCATTCTTGTTGGTTTCCTAGTGCTGGGATTTTGATTTAGTTAGTATTTCTGTAAATACCACATTTGGTTTGAGCTTTAGTTTGAGAGGATGTCTAGTCGTTTGTTTCTTCAAACTTCCCCCTTTATAATTTTGGTTTCCGAGGTCTTATTTCTTTAGCATATGGAGAGTACGTGATTGTGATTCCTACAGTTGTAAAATTGACTGCTATTGAAGGAATGGCCATTGTTGTCATGACTTGTTGAGTTCAACTCGTGAGTTAAGTCATTTTGAATTTTTTACGAGTTGGTTCGAACATTATGAGTTGTGACTATCAAGCAAACTCGACTAACGACTTTTGAGTGAATCGATCTATATCTCATGAGTAGGCTTGTTGAGAATTCGAGATCAATCAACGATGGAACATCTTGCTATGATTCTTTTTTCATCGTAACATTTAACACATGTATCATGGTGACATAAATATTAGAATATTTAATTTATAAATTATTCGAGTTTGATTTAGGGGTTCAACTATTTAGAATGAAAATGAATTGAGTTCGAACCGAGCTTACTAGTTGATTGAGGATTCGGACTCGCGATCTCATTAATGAGACGATTCGAATGGAGCTCGAATCAAACACGAGCTATGATTTTAATAATAACGAGCCGGACTCAAACTAAGTAAAACTCGACTCGACTTATTTATTAACTCTTATACTAAGTGGCTAAAATTTAGGGGTGGGCATTCGGTCGGTTCGGTTTCGACCGAACCGAAATTATGAATATCGGGTCCCCGAATTCTCCCAAACCTCGAACCGAATTATAATTTGGTTCGGTTTGGTTTTTCACACAAAACCGAATTTGTGAAGCTACTTGTATTTTCTCACTTTTAAATTATTTTTCACCCCTAATATAAACAATAAATATCAATTATATGCATCATCAATGATAAAACCAAACTTTTCAACACATAAGTCTTAAAACATTTCAAATATTTAAGTCTAAAAACAACTACAAACATAAAAATCCATCATTTGGAGCTTGCAATTATAGTATTTTGGTTTTTCGGTCGGAAATTCGGTTCGGTTGAAAGAGCCCTGATTTCCGAACTATCCATATTTTCCTTCCGAATTTCGAACCCGAATAGCATTAATTCGGTTTTGGTTCGGTTTAATTTGGTTTCGGTTCGGGTTTACCGAACCGTTTGCCCACCCTAGCTAAATGTCTAACCCAAGTAGTAGTACCATCCCAAAAATATTTTTTTGCTACATATGGTTACATCATATGGGAAAAAAGGAAGAAAAAAAAATTACTCTAAATATAATTTCCTAGACAGAACAGGAAAAAAGAGTTCCAGTTGTAAACGAAGTCTTTTTCTTCCTCTATATTCCTATTAAATTCCGAAACTCGGGATTATTAATACGTACTCGTTAAGAAGGCGAAATCCTTGCTGCCGCGACTACACGACACACTCTCTCGAGTCTCGGCACTACCTGTGTACGTTCGTACCATTGACACCGATGGCGGCGGCGGCGGCGGCGGCGACGGAAGCTGGGATATTCGAGCCACCGACGGCGGCTCTATACGTCGGCGACGTCGAGGCACAAGTCACGGAAGCGCAGCTCATCGACATATTTTCAGGCTTCCATGGCTACCTTTCGGCTTCTCTGGTCCGTAATAGCAGCTCTCTCACCAACAATGGAGGTCCTCGCTGCTATGCCTACGTCAATTTCTCTACTCTTGAACAAGGTTTGTATGTTTTCTCCTAGCGCTTGATCGGAGATTTTGAACGTGTAATGTTGGTGATAGAGTCATTGCTTGGGGCTTAGGGTTTGATATATGAAATACTAATGATCGATTTAACGGATTGATTCAAAAGTTATGGTATTTGGAAATTAGTATATGATGATTTTCCATTGAACAAAACTGTGCGGTAATGGCAACCATGAGACTGATTGGTGTGTAATTGCTAGTATTCAACGAATCATGTACATTTGTATGGTGCTGGACGTGACTTAATTCGTGACTATGGCGACCATGAGAAACAAGTCAGTCGAATAATTTTTCTAGCGTCAATCTTTCTATAATTATTAGTGTTCTTGGTATCATATCAGTTAGACGACACAACACTGGTTAAATCGCGTATCAGCTACAATGCATAGCATTTGTTTAGCGCTAAGTCATTGACTATGGCGACCATGAGACAAAAATAATCGTCGAAAATTCTTATTGTTTCCGATACTCGTGAAATCATCATATTTTAATAATAAAATCGATATGATTCTAGTAAAACAAATTTTTTTTTAATGGTAAATCACTAAATCAATATATTTCATGCTATGTTTATTGTTTTGATGAACTAACCCTTGTTTGATTCTATCATTTGGTCTTTTCTGTTGTGATTTGGGCCTCCATCCCATCCTTCTTCTGGGCCTTAGACACTTGTTTGTCTCCTCTCTTACAGCAAGGCAGGCCATGGAAGCAACTAATCACAGAGTTGTCAATGGAAAAGCAATTAGAGTGATGGAGGCCCAATCCAACGCCGAAACACGAACCAGTGGGATTGGCAACATTTTTGTCAAGGTAAATTCATTTACTTAACAATTGGCACTTTATTTTCCAATAACTATATCTTATGATGATAACAATAATTCCATTGATATATAATTAATTATCAAAATTCTCTCTTAAACCTACAGAATCTACACGATTCCATTGACAATGCAAAGCTGGAGGAAATATTCTCCAAGTACGGGAGGATCCTGTCCTGCAAAGTGACAGTCTCTGAAGATGGCAACAGCAAAGGCTATGGCTTTGTTCAATTCGAGTCCCCAGAATCTGCCTCCCTTGCAATTGAATCCGCCGATGGCTCCATCGTTGAAGGCAAAAAATTGTACGTCTGAATTTAAAAGTCTTCTTCATCGATCGATCCATTCTTCATTGCTTGTGATAATTTTATTCTCTTTTATGTATTTTTCCATTTCGGTTTCCGCAGATCCGTTAGTAAGTTCATGAGAAAGGAAGAGCGATTCAATCCGGAGAATCCCGAAGAGTACCGAAATCTCTACTTCAAGAACTTGGACGACAATGTGAGCGAAGAGATGTTGAGAGAGAGATTCTCGGAATTTGGAGAGATCACAAGTCTCCTCGTCTCCAAAGACGAGGATGGCAGATCCAAAGGGTTTGGCTTTGTCAATTTTAAAGAAACAGCCGCGGCACAACAAGCGCAACGGTCCATGAACATGATCCAACTTGGTACTGTATATATATTATGTCAATCAAAACCATCTTAATTTTTTCATTCTTTTGTCCAACAAAATAATCTAGTAATTTAACGTGAATTGTATACATACTATATAACACCATATTTTCATCGTGCTAGGTTCCAAGGTGTTGTACGTAGCAAGGGCTCAAAAGAAGAGTGAACGACAACAATCACTGCGGCAGCAATCTGAGCAGCGAAGTGAGTGGTTGCAAAAATACAAGGTACGAACAACATGCCATTCTAAGACGTGAATTGTCCGTTCTCGTAGTCTAACACTAAACATGTCTAGATTGAACAAAGCTTTAAAATCTGTCTATATCGCCAAAACTTTTACAGAACTGCAACTTGTACGTGAAGAACATCAACGACGATGTGGACGATGCCCAACTGCGCGACCACTTCAGCAAAATCGGCAGTGTCGTCGCAACCAGAATCATGAGAACAGAGAACGGCGTAAGCAAAGGCTTTGGGTTCGTCTGTCTGTCCACTGTCGATGAAGCCGCCAAATCTGTCACCCTTCTCAACGGTAAAATTAAGAAATAAAAGCCCCTTATGTTACCTGAATTCATGTTCAGTTGTTCTGTTAGCAACTAACCACTTGGTCCCAATAACTCAAGTTGTTGGGAAAGGGATAGTTAAGCCTTTTAATCTCTTATACGCCCCCTCAAACAAAAGCCGATGCCGAATTATGGATTTTTACGGTTTGCATAGGTTGAACCCTTGTGCTGCCAAACCACGAGACTTTAGTTTGCACAGGTTGGACATACCATTCCTTGTGCTAAACGAATTGGCATGAAATGGGGGTCGTTATGAGGATTCAAAACCATGACTTATCGGTTCTAGACTCTGATACCATGTTAGCGAACTAACCATTTGATCCCAATAACTCGAATTGTTGGGAAAGTGATAGTTGAGCCTTTTAAAGTTCACCCATTTCCTCACATTTTCACGTCAATAATCATACGCTGTCACGTTTGCCAGGAAGTCTGTTCCATGGGAAGCCTCTGTATGTCGCCATAGCCCAAACCAAAGAAGAAAGGAGACGGTTCCTTGAAGCCGTCCACGCCAAAAGAAACGCTGCAGCAGCTCCCCTGTTTCCCATTCCACCGTTCGCCTTTCCTCCTTTCCTCCCGCCGCCGCCGCCGTTTCTCCATCAACCACCGTTCCCATTCCCTCCCATGCCGGGTTTTGCCTTCCCACCGCCTCTGGTAAGTAACAACCGCGGGCTTAGAGCTATTCCTCTGTTTCAGCTTTTTTGTAAACGGTCTATAACGTAATGTCGTGGTGGTGATGTTGTTCACTGTTTTTCAGCTACCAAATCACATTGCGAACTGCATGGGCCGTCCTCCATTGCCATTCCGTCGACAAGGCCGCTTCAATAACGCTGGTGCGATGTTCCGGAGACCGGGTTTTGCACCGATGGCTGCAAACCGGGTGCTACCACCACCACCGCAACAGGAAAAGCCAGATGAAAAGAGCAGGAGGGACTCTAATCAGAGCGAAGAAGAAGATTGGAGCAGCCATCTTGCTGCTGCATCGCCACAACGACGAGAAGAAATGATTTGGGATCGTCTCTTACCCTTGGTTCAGAAGCTCAAGGTACAAAATTTGTTCTACCAAAATGTAGAGCTTGATAACGGAGCAGCAGAGACTAACTTATGCCATATGATTTGGGTATATGGTTGTATGCAGGGTGAACTAGCGCCTCGAATTACTCGGATTCTGATGGAGTTGGACCATGCAGAGCAGCTCGTGCTGCTCGAATCCGCCGAATCGCTGGCTGCTAAAGTCGAGGAAGCAGAGAACACTATCAACCAGACAAGCAACAACTAGCTAGTAACTGTTGCAGTTTTGAAGCTTTGCAAGAGCATTAGACATTCAATAGTCGTCGGCTTAACTAGATGCTGCTCTGCTGTTTTGGACCTTTACAAGCATTGCATAATAGATGGGATAATATCAATATATCTATAAAGATATTAGGATCCCTTTCCTTTACCAATTGAGTTACTTCTCAGAAACTGCTTAGAACTTCCGACTGTTTCCCTTCTAGCAAAAATATATACTTAGTAGAGTTATGATAATTTGGAACTGTTCAGGTCAGCCTATCATACGCACAAAAGTAGTCAAAATGAGAGAGCTTTTCCCTATGTAATTACGAGCTCCCCTACCCATCTACAACCTCAGCAAACTAGCAGTAGAACATGACGTTCTTCACGTTGTCCTTGATCTTCGGAAGCGGCTGGACTTCTCTCGGCATCCCAGGTGCGCTCCTTTCACCTGATGAACTGCCATCAGAAGCATTTCCTTCTATGTAGTACCGAGCGCGAAATGCTGTCAGATGGGCATAATAGGCAGGCGGCACTGCAATGGTGAAGTGAACGGAAAAGCTCTTAGTCATGTAAGTGGGGGGTAATAACAGGCAGGCATACTTGCAATGTTAAGAAATTCGGTCACCAAGCGCTAACAGTTTGAAGATAAATTACTTACCAACAGACACAGAGCGAGTGCACCTAGCATATCTGGAAAAAACACATGAGAAAGACTTGAGTTTATATACAATCAACAGAGTTGTAATTACAAGGATAACATGGATTCGCGGGTAAAATAAAGAGGAGGTTATAGGACTTCTAGGTCTGAAGTTGCTTACGTGTAGCATAGGTTGTTCGTCAGAACTTGCAGTCCATCAGCGGTGAACCCATTCTCGTCGAACAGAACGTGGTAGTGAGAAGGTTTGCTAGTTCCCTGCAGCAGCAGTTATAGAGGAAATCAACATCTCCACAAAGGTACCAAAGCGAGATTGGAGTAGGAAGTTTGACGTGGATGGGGTATAGAACACATGTATATACCTGAATTCCAGCATGGCTATTAAGGTAGAAGTCGAATTCAGTTGGGTGGCAGATTTTGGTATCAACCACGGTGCCTGTACAGGTAATAAAAAAAATCAAGTTACCTAACATGTACAAAAGGAAACCGAACAGATTACAGAAAGTTATATTGAGATAACTTATCAGAAACCTGGAAGAATGTTGCCACTCCTGTCTGTCATGCTACGATTCTGATGATCTTCCGGGAAGAAACGAGTGTGGTGCCTCTTCTGCACCACCACAAAGGTGATCCGAGGAAGATAGCCTTGCTCCAATGACATACAAGCCTGCGGGAAAGAGAGACCATAGCTTAGACATAAACTTGCAGCACCATCAACATCTTTGACCTTAAGAAGTTTGCATAATTGAAAATATGTGACATGTTACCTTTCGTATGGCATCCACCTCATGTAGCAAAACCTGGCTGAATTGGCCCTCACTGACACCATCTCTGCAATTTTTTCAAATAAAAGTCAGTTCAGTTTAGCAATTCTGGGAAAAGGACAAATAAGTACAATGGCAGAGCATGCCACAATCATATAAGTCTTACCTGTAGAATAAGATCCTATCAGGTTTGACTCCAGTTGATCTTCTAAAAGCTATGAGAAGTTCTCTGCAAAGAAGCAAATATCGAACTGAATGAGAAACCAAGACAATTATCAATGACAACGTAGTTGTAAATTTAATTCTTTGTTGCAAACCTGATCATTCCCCCATGAACCACACCCCTGGTTGGATCTTCATAGGTCTTGTAAAGGTCCAAGATGATTTCCTCTCGACTAGTTTGCGCAGAAACTAGTCCCCTGTACTTGGTTACCTCTGGCCAATCCATTGAAGCGACAACCTGAAAACAAATGGTTTAGTTGTTCAGTAAAAAGAGAGAACACTGCTTTTACGATGGGAAGTGACCTGGGCTTACAGCAGCAATAGATGGTGTTGAATCCTCTCCAGGCTGTGCGTGTGTAACATCAGCACCAAAAACAATGGTTGGACGATCAGTGAGAAGAGGAATCCTCCTTTGGATTGCATCATTCAGCACAGTGTTCCGCCCACCAACCTTGTAGGACAACCATCATTCAGCACAGCATTATCAGTTGTTATACAAAAATTTAGTTCAAATCAATAGCAAAAGCAAAACAAACCAACCTTAACATTGATCTTCAATGACACATTCTCCATATATTGCTTGGAAAATTTTGAGGCTTGCTTGGGCTGACAGCACTGCGTCACAATCCCCAGCTCTGTTTCACAGATTCGCTTGATTGTACCTAGTAAGAGACAAAAGTACAAAAGAGAATTTTTCAGGTCATCTCACAACCAAGTGCTCTACGAAAACATAAATTTCAGGTTATATACAAACCATAGGAGCCGGAATAATCAGGCAGAATAATAATTAGCAACTGAAGTTCTTTGCCCTGTTGAGTGGCCTGATAGTGAACATCTGAAAGAGCTTTCTCGATATGCTGGGGCCTTTCTGATCGAATAGGAACTAGAGGATTTTTGTTAAAAACCTGTAAATTAAAGAACAAGAGAGAGAGCGAGAGAGAGAGAGAGAGAGAGAGAGCGGAAGAGAAAAACAAGTAAATCAACTGGCCATAACCTATTCAAACCATACAGCACAATCGAGTGTTCAGCTTATACCATTCCCTTGCTGATGCACATGTCAATCAATTGTCCACAAAAGTCAATTGGGAAATCATTGTTGAAAGAAGAGAAGTTCAGACAAGTCCAGTAGTCTACTGTTCCACCATTGACCATTTTCTGTAAAATGAACAATATATGTTATATGCGGGCATTTCTGACAATGTCTTCATACTACACCAATGAAATAGCAATTTCAACAAACAACAGATATTTCGATTGAAAAATCTTGAATGCCAGCATCCATGAACCTGTGACAGATGCAACAAAGTACATACTGATACATCCACTCACAATCTGTATTAGTGTGATAACGTATACTAAATAAATATCTGTATCTTAGGAATGAACAAACGAAAATCCCTGTGAAATCAAGCTAAGCCTACGGCTCACCTTGTTAATCATGTTCCATTGACCCATCTGAGGACTCACGCTTGCTTCTCTCCCAGAACCATGATACTTAAGCTGGAAAGAACCAGAAGCATATAGTTAACATCAATTCCAGGCCATAGGCAAAGAAGAGATTAACAAAAATAAATTCAACACCAACCATTGGAGGATTAAGGACTCTAGCCTCAATTAGCTCAGGCTGTGGCTTAACTTGAATGCCAAACTGCTGTACAATCTCACTGTCCTTGAAGCTTTTCTCAGCCACAACCTAAAGAAGACGTTAGTCAGCAAAAGATTCACTCCCCAAGCAACACGCGTATGTATATGCATTATTACTGTCCTAAAAAATTTACCTTCGCAATGTTCCTTTCCCTTTCATGTGGACGTTGACAGGTCGCCCTTAACAAAGCAGTAACTTGTCGCTCATTGAGCTTCTTTGTATACCTTTGACCTTCAACAATCTTGCACAGCTGTAGCAAAATACCAAAGGTTTTCAGGTTACTATCAAAAGTAAAGACACTGTTCCCCTCTAAACTCTAGTACTACAAGATGAATACCTCGATTGGGAGGTAAAAAAGCTTGGGTGCATGACCAGCTTGAAGAGCAGGCAAAGAAGGATATTGGAGACGAATTTTGTATTTTTGTTGAAAATATTGAGCTACAGAGATCGTAGTATTCTGCTCATCAAGAAGAAACCTGCAAATAACAAAAACAAAGAAATTAGCACAGATTAGTATCTCCCATATATATCCCACATACATACTAACTATAGTTGCAAAGTACATATGCAATGCATATCGAAGAAGAAACTGCTCACATTGTGTGGCTTGCCGGCTTGCTAGAGATGCCAGTGATCTTGTAGGTTTTGGTAAACTCCCCATTGTTCATTTGTACCTTAACACCTCTCATGGCCTTTTTGAGCTGTGCAATTCAAAGGGGAAAATGTGACAAAGCAGTCAAATGAAAAATATAATCCAACATGAAGCAAAAAACACAGGGCATAGCCTAAAAATCCTATATCACTAGTATAAAACAAAATCCTTCAATGAATATAATCGTATGTTCCTTCCACCTCTGATACTAATTTATGTAAATTTAAATTCCAAAATAATATCGTAACACAGTATTTAGTCTAGTGGCAATTCCATCATACACTTCCCAATGGAACCAATTGACCCTTTCAGGACCCAGAACATGGAATTCGACAAATGAGTGTGGACAGATTACTAGAATGGATGTAACTACCTTGATACAATCTTGTTCAGATAGAGGCTTGGATGGGTTCTGAATCCGGAAGTTCTTGGAAATGAAATCCATGACAGGAACTGGCTCATAGAAAGATCTGGCAGAAACATCTGCAGTAGAACAATCACACAAGTCAATTCGCTGAAAAGAACATAAAATGTTTAACAATGTAAGAGCAACAGACCAAAAAATTAGAACCAAAAGCTAGATACCAATATTAAGGGACAGTCCCATCTGGGTTGGCCTCAGACTTTGGTAATATCCTCTCCAGTACTCCACACCATCCCCCAGGGTGCCTTTTGGCCCAAGTGAAGTGGAGCAAAATGATCTCCCAACCACAGTGTAGCTACATTACAAGCATTTTGAATCAGTTATACTGTCCGCTTAGACACACAGCTTAACCCACTTGTATGTTTACAGAAACAAGTCGATAAGACAGAGAATAAAACATCAGTTATCTCTAGAGAATAGGCAAGTGAGCAGAGAGTACTGTGCGGAAGGGTTGTGTCTAAGAACCACATCCAGAACTTGAATGGTCTCCTGTGGTATATCCCGCTGCCTGCCATCTAAGAACCGTCGCAGATGGTCAATATCAGGTCGGGATGCAAACTTGATTGCCACCTTGAACACTCTTTCCCTCCTGAAAACCCACAAAGCACAAACAGCAATGCCATACAGAGAATCATTCATCTAGCAGGAAAAAAGCCAACACATAATCAAACAACCCAACAAATACCCATCCAAACAGTGTACCAGAGGTCCTATCACAATCAATCTAACCTAATTATCAACAGGAAGCAGCATTTTACCTAGGGGCAGCAGACGACCCAGCTTGGTTATCAGACTCCAACTTCACCTCGAACTCTCTCGACTCAAATGGCAGAGCCCCAGCAGTGAATAGACTTTTCCTACCATCATAGGCCACCATTTTGTTCCCCAAATGAGATTGACGGTATAACTTGTCCAGTGTAGAAATGACATCTCTGTTGACCTTCTTCGAAGTAACCTCCGGGGTAATAGTGACCTAAAACCAAGCACATTCGTGAATTAATCATCCGCACAATAGCATATTCAAGCATATAAATTCAGATCCCCCCCTCAATGCACAACCCTAGGAGTTTTTTTTTTACAGTCAGCTCTTCTTCGCAATCCTCATGAGATGGGGGAAACAGTAAGGAAGAGTAAGACAGAATCAAAACACAGCAAATGTGTGAGCCACCACACCGTGTTAGACTGTTAGGTAAGTGGTCCAGCACCAGAATGTCAGTTTTGAAACCCTAGCAATTAAGAACGTATTCTAACCCCACCCTTCATCGTCAGCACAGGAAAGACAACGCAGAATGCACATGAAGCAGAGAGCAAACGCGTTTGAAATCTCTTTTTTACAAAAAAACAAAAACGAAACAACCAAGAGGACGAAACTTACATCGTAATGGCGGAGATCGGTGTCCTGAATCTTGACGAGGAAATGATTCGCACGAACCATGCACTTCCTCCCCACAGTCCCGTACCCGGGCCTCCTCGGCAGAGCGATGGCCTTCGAGGACACCGGCGCCGCAGCCCTGGACGCCGTTGACTCGGAGACAACAAGTTTACCCTGAACCTCCGCAGCCAGCTGCTGTACGGAAGACGAACTCGACGACGAAGCCGCCGTAGGAGGAGGAGGAGCAGCGGTAACTCCTTGCGGTCGAGCTGACGGTTGCGCGCTGGCAGGCGGCGGAGCAGGGCGGGATGAGGAAGGATTCCCCAAGGCAGGGAAACCAGAGGCGGGGGAAGGTGCCTGAGCGCCGATCGAACCAAAAACTTGTGCCGGAGGCGGAATGGCGTCTCTATCTCCGCCTCCCCGTCCCCGACCCCGACCGCCGCGACCACGTCCGCCACCGCCAGACTGTGCAGGGGACGGCGGCTGCTGATCACGGCCGGAATCCGGACGCCGACCACCACCGCGACGCGACATTGTGGTACTGGTGTAGCAGAGAGACCAGAGAGAGGGTGCGGGTGGTAGAGGAAGCGTCTCCGAGGAGGAGTTTGCAGGAAGGGGAAATAGGAATATGGAAAGTTCGAAAGAAAGAGAGAGAGAAAAGGGGAGCAAGAAGGATTTTTGGGAACGGGCGCGGTTACTGTGTGACGAGAGTGGAGTGAGGTGTGGGGAGAGGGAAGAGGCAGAGTGTGTATATTTATGTTAAGAGAATATTATCCTGGCGAAGTAATAGAATGGAAGGGAAAGTGTTAAAAGACCATTTAGCCCACAATGTGGAATTGCAAAATAAAAATTCGGAAATGAAATTGATTTACTTGAGACTTGAGAGATAACTATCTCTTCGTTAATGTACCGTAAGTCATCAAATTATTTTGTTTGGCATCGAAGCTACTTACAAATTATGTTCAGTACCAATTAGTCCGTATACTATTAATCGGCCTCAATTAAACGGTTGTCATCGATGTATTGTGAGATACCACTGGGTAGAGCGGAATCCAAATTTTTTCTCGACTGGTTCGTAAATGTTTTTATTCGTTGTTGTAACACTAAAAGGGAGAGAAATGGACAAGGTCAAAAATATAGCTCGATTACAAATATGGATAAAAGTAAATTAGCGTTTATGATAACTAACAGCAAATTGCAAGGTTCCAATTATTATTACAGGGCAAAACTTGAGCAAGATCACGAGCACGGAGGAGGTTGGAATGAAGTAAAAAATTTAGAACACTCTAGAATCTTGTGTTAATCCTTGTTGTGAAAGACTTCTAGTGGTAATTTTTTTATGGTAAAAACACTCCTCTTGGACTATGAATGTAGTGGTGGAAAACAAAAGTAACCTCACCATTTTCTTTAAAGATGGCGACAAATGTATTGAAGCGTACAGAAAATGTAACAAGATTACGAGAATAGAAAAATTTTACAATGCTATATAGTATTGATGCTATAAGATTTTGCCTTTATGGTACAACTTAAAATTGTACATTTACGTTATGGTACAACTTCAGATTGTACCTATACTTTTTGTACAAATTCTTTTATGGTACAATTTGAACTTGTACCTTTATGTGATGGTACTTCAAGTTGTAAAGTTGTACTATAACATAATGGTACAAATTGCTTTATGGTACAACCTAAACTTATACATTTAATGTTATGGTACAACTTTAAGTTGTACATTAAAGCACCAAAACTATATAGCATAGTAGAAGTGCTCTACAAGAATATCAATGTACAATTTACCGTTTCCGCCCATTTGGGTTAGGTCAGTAACAATTTTTTTAACCTGAGGGACTAAATCCTAACAATATTTTTAGATAAAGGACTGATTAGTCATCCCAGGCAAAAACAGGGGCCCAGCTGGAAATGACGTGGGCCGATTTCGCAGGGCCAGGACGTCAGGCGAGGCGCGCATGTCAGAGTAGGGAGGGCGGGGCTCTATGCGTGGGCGACGGTTTCGCCTTCAGGACGATCATGCCCTTGCACAATCATCTTAATACCCAAACTACCCTCGCAAAGAAACTGGAGAAACGGGAACAGCCAATGGGGTGGAAGGAAGAGAAAATTTGGACCTTTGTGTAATTTCCCCGGCTTGGGGCTGGTCTAGGGCAGGTGGCCCACGGGGATTGAGGAGTAAGGCGAAGAGTTAGTTATATATATTTTTTTAATGGATAAAAGCAATCATTATTTTATTACTGTGTTTGATGGGCTAATTAACTGGTTTTACCACGTGGGATCTCGGTGCCCGGCTGGATGATCTACACATAATATAATACACCGAAGGGAAAAACGGGAGCCCCATTTCAAATTTCCTGCAACGAGAGTGAAAGTAGGAAGGACATTTTGGTCTTCACAATTATTTTTTTTTATTCATTAAAAAGATATGTACTAGGATTTGAACCATGACCATTTTAAAGAAAAGCAAGGATCATAACCAATCACACTAAGTACATTTGTTGTATCCTTTTAAATTAAAAACATATAATAGCAGGGTGGAAAAAACTCTTCCCCCATTTCAAATTTCATGTTCCATGAGCGTTTGTAGGAAGAGTAGAATAGGGAGTGTCAATTTTTTTCTCTTTCCTCTGTGGAACGGGCCAACTTACCGTACACATGCGGATTTAAACGAGTCCAGGAGTGTCAATTTTTTTCTTTATACCCTTTTATTTATCCGTGGTGATAAAATATATATGAAAAGGCAAAAATAATACTCCTTTTTATTGTTAAAAATAAAAAATTTAACAATAGACTAATGCATGGTATCTAATGGGCTAACCGCTAACCATAAAATAAAAGAGTTGAATGGGCCTGACCTACATGGGATTTGGTCATCAAGTAAAACAAATGAACATCATGGGTTTGCCATTCTAAAACAAGCTATTTTCTCTGGCATAATATATATTATGCTATTATTTTATATCTTAGTGGCTAAAATATAATATATTTTAAAGTTATTCAATATTTCAACCTCGATCAACCCAATTAGTCCAATTTTTATCATTTCAAATATATATTTTATAATTATTTGACATCATAATGATCAAATTATAGTGTATTTTATAGGGAATCGTTTGGTATTTGTTAGTAAAAAACTAAACATAAAAATCTATTTGGTAATTTTAAACATTAAAACGATCCTCAACATTTTTAGTTCCTTTTGAATTTATATGGTTTTATTCCCGAATAAGTGATGTGCAAATGGCGAATTGTAGTCGTCTTTTTTCTTTCACTATTTTTTATTTTCAAATAGAAAATTTAAAAGTAAAGAATAATTAGAATTTGGCATGGGTCGGTCAAACAGGCTGAATTTCAAGTTTTGGCCCATTTGTTTTATGCATTGCAAATTTATTAGCATGTTGATGGAAATGGCTTGGAAAAAAGACATATAAGTTGTATCTTTGAAGAAATGTCCTCAAATGTTTGAATGCTTTGTGAATCAGGTTCTGTGACTTTTGTGATGGTGTATGTGCTTGACGATTGCTCGATGTTGTAACTACTTAATTTAAGAGTAAATCTTTTGATTTTCCCTATGAGTTGTGATACCAGTTCTGGTGGTTGCAGCATGTTGTCGTTGTTGGCCTGTAAAAGTTGTTCCGCCGTGATGCTAAATACCTTTCTTTCTTTTTTAACAAATTGTGTAGTAGTGCTATGAAACAGACCACCCATGAACGCTACGCTTATTATGGTCTGTTCTTACTTCCGGTGGTGAGAAATTGTGAATTGAGAATCATATTCGCCTACCGCACTGTGTCTGGTTGGTGGCTGCTTACTGTGCTCTCTAGAGTTATGAAACAGACTACCCATGAACTTTACCCTTAAGAGTCCATAACTTTGCGAAAAAACAAATATAGGCAATCAGAGGTGGTGGATGTGTGATGATTTTTTATGGCTTAATTGTTTGTGAATTAGATATCTGATCTTTGTATGATTAGAGGGGATGTTTGCTTAATAGAATAATCCATTTTAATTCATGTTTATTTTTAACATGAACTTTAGTAACTCAAAACCTTCGAGACACATATCACCTACTGCATTGTATCATTTTGCCTGGGTGCTTAATGTGTTGTCAAACTTCTTTGTTGCTGATGCATTTACTAACAGTGGAGTTAAGAACCCATGAATGTTTCCGTTTGACACAAACAAGAGGACTTACTTCTAAATCGTGCACTAAAGATGATTGGAGGAAACATCTCTGTTGCAGTTGATACACTGGAGACCATAACAAAAGCAACGTATAACATCAAAACCAACCATCTGAACTATTAGCATTGTTGCTTTACTCTTTTTTCGTGGTTGAGTCTCCTTCAAAAAATTTAGTTTGATTTTAGAAAATTTTGCTTCTGCAGTCCTGTCTTGCCACCAACGCGTTCAGTAGATGGAGATGGCAGAGGCGAAGGCTATTTTGTGTTGTTGTTGCTGGTTTAGGGATCGGTTTGTGAAGAAGAGGGAGAAGAGAAGGGGAAAGGGAAATGCATGAGGGGGGGATAACTCTTTTCTCCGACAAAAATGGAGTGAAGAAAGGAATTATGATCAGTAAGGATATAGTTATCTTACATAACTGTGTCTATTCTGTTTGAATTGAGCTTGGGAGGTAGTGATAAGGACGAGCTGCAACCAATTCATAGTGATAAGAGTGCTATGAACTGTGATCATGTCTTATTTCAAGTTAGAAGGTAGTTTCAGTATAAGGATTATTTAATTTGACAAGTTGTTTCGTCCATGATTCTTGGTAGTTTCAGTGCCATTCTAGCCATTGTTTAGTCTGTAATTTTTGAGAATTGATGTGCGAGTAATGACTTTCACTTAGCTTCAACTATTATGTGTGTATTTATTGGCATGTGATAGAATTCTCTTTTCCTTTTCTTTGAATTCAGTTTCATACTCTAATTGTATCATTTGTACATAGGCAAATCATGCTCGAGATGACAACTTGCTGATATGGCTGGTGCAAGGAATGAAGCCATCATTAAAATTCAGACCGACAACGGGGAGGGATGCCCAGGACTAATTCAATGATGATTGATGATGGTATGATAAAAACTGCAGTCTGCATCAGCACCAATTTCTAGGCCTAAGTAAAGTTATTCAACCCAGAACTCTGCTTAGCGCTAAAAATTGCCCTCACCCAACCTTTATCCTGTTTGACCCACTTCTGAAGAGTCAAGATATATTACTAATTCTCTCCATTCGTATTTTCTTATTGACTCTTTCTGACCCTTTAGGTTGGGGCGGGGCGGGAAGAATCAGATTAGTGGGCCGGTCTTAATCAAGTGGAATCCCAATCCCTTAACTCTCACTTGCTTTCTCTCCCATTCTACAAGTGGGTAACATACAGTAATCCGGCCAACGGGCCGGGTAATAAGCTAGTAATTATTAATTAGTTAATTAAACTGAATCATTATCGGGACCAATTACGTACTTAATTACCATTTGTTCCAAAAAAAAAACGGCATTAATTAGTTTTTTAAGCTTGGTTAAATTCCATGGACGTCGTGTGGGGGCATATACGACAGCGTTCTCGACAACTTCAATTCTTGGTTAAAGTTTGCCATCAATTGTTTAAAATATAGTTAGATTGGAGGAGAAGTCGCTTTTTTTAATAAGGGAAAGCTTGCTTGGAAGAGCCAAGCAGAATCAGCTGGATAGGAAAGGAAGGAATGGGAGAAAGAAGGAACTTGGAAAGGACGAAGAAGAAAGTAACTGATTAGTGGAGAAGTAATGTCGAGAAAGGAAGGAATGCCAAAATAAAGTGATAAATGGGCTTAATGGCTAACTTTAGCTCCAAGATGGTACTACGAAGTACGAACTACTCTCAGAAAAAGAAAAAGAAAAAAAAATTGGTATTGCCTCATGTCCAATACTTTCAATGATGATAAAGTGGATAAAACATATGGATCCATGTGGGACATAATGGAAAATTCATATCAAGCTCTTCTTTTGTGTATTATAAGTACGATAAGAATAACGTTTATGATACGATGATTAAACTATATCAACTCGCTCGATAATACTTGATTTAATCGATATAATAGTTAAGTAATGTTCAACATTATCATGATGAATGATGTGTCAACGCCATAGCAGCTTAATTGCCTTGTTCAAGTGGATTCTAAAGTTAATATTCACGTTAAAGTTTGCTTAATTTATCTGATTGTTCCTCTTCGGTGCCATTGTTCATGAAGATTGAAAGTTGCAACTTCGCCATCTTGTTCCGCTCGCAGCTAAACCCTCCTCCAGCGCATAGGGGAAGGTAGGTCCGATTAACAATGCCCGAAAAGGGAACAATAGAATGATGATTTTGATGGATGGGCCTGAAGTTAAACCCAATGAAATGACTGGCGAGCTCACCCATATTAGACAAAGGCCCAACTGTGGACTCTTTTTTCTGTTTTGTCGAAAGATAACTCGTATTACTGAGACAAAAGAGTTACACTATATTCACCTGGTCGCACGCAAACAGGACGAAAAATCAAAACCAACTAGACTAGGAAACAATGAGAGGGCTTTTATAGCCACCAAATGGGCCACCCTATTCTCATAACGTCCTACAAAGCGAATAGAAAACAAATGCAGACATCGAAGCAACATATGAATCTCCTCAAAGATCGCCCCGCCACGAAGATCTTGGCCCAACTGCAGACTCTTCCTTTTATGTAACGTAGATTTGTCATAACTCATAACTCATTAAGAACTATTTAGGCTAAATTGGAAGTTTCTCACTTAAATTACTAGTAAAGTCCACGTTTGTCACTGGAATTATTTTATTACATCTGTAGTCACTCAAATTAGTTACACGGTCCAAGTTCGGTCACTCCCATTAACCTCCGTTAGACTCCGTTAACGAAGACCGTTGAGTGATGACGTGGCTAACAGAAATGTTGAGTCACTTAATTTTAACCAAAAACAAAAAAACTGACATGCCACCTCAGCAAACCTGCCATGTCATTAAATCTAACCCATATCATATTCAACCCAATAATCCAACCATTTTAGTTACCCCCTCCTCCATTTTCTTCCTCACCAATAGTCGCCGCCGCCACATAATCATCCTCCATCCCTCCCCACTTCATTCTTCCCCTCCCCTCCACCCCTCATTTTCGCCAGCTCCCCCACTCACTGTTACCTCCCAACGAGTCCCCGACCACCTCCTCCGTCAGCTCAACATCATACGCGCCACCGTCAACCACCTCACCCGCCACCAGCCTCCTCCTCTCCCACCACCATCGACGACTTCGAGGCGACAATCCATCCCGCCGGATCCGCTCCTCTACGCTAGCCTCTCCCCCAATCGCCTCTGCATGTACACTTTCTATAGCATCTCTTAATTCATTCATAAAGGAACACAAGAACATCATCCGTTGAGGCTCGTTATTCCAATAGGGTTATTCTACTAACTGTATAAGTTGTTAGTATATACTAACTAATATTGTATAAGTTGTTAGTATATACTAACTAATATCCAAAATGTATGAACTAGTATTCAAGTCGGCTGATTTTACCAACTAATGTCCACAATCAAACCAACTAGTATTCAGCCAATCAATTACCAACTAATATCCACAATCATACCAACTAGTATTCAATAGGGATACTCTTATGTGTTATCTGGATACTAATTATGTGTTGTATGAATACTATTATATGTTGTCTAGATATTAGTTTGTGAATTTGGGATACTGGTTGATGCATGGTGGATATCAGTTAACAAACATTGAATACTAGTCTGTACTCTCTAGATACTAATTCATGTATTTTGTATATCAATTAGTATTTGCTAACGAATCTTCAAGTTAGCAATTTAGCTTTTTCGCATTATTCATACTAGTGGAAGTCCATCAAGTTATCCCTTTTAAAAAGAACACAAGTACGTAATTTTGTTAAAGGTCACCCCATACAAAATATAAAAACAAATAGTAATTAAAGAAAACATATGACTTCTACTCTTTCTAAGAAAATATATGAACGACCCACAAAAAAAAAATTCCACAAAATATCTCCGAGGTGTTTTCATCTCCTAAAAAAATTCTTAGTTGCACTTGATTTATACGTTAAACAAATATCTTTCAATATATAACCATTACACAATTATTCATAAAATTAATCACCTATTCGATAAGAAACTTGTTCTTGATTAAAGTCAAAGTTGAAAAAAAAAAAAAAAGTCTTGCAGTGCTTTTGGGTTGCAACAAGTACACTTTTTTAGAGTTTGGATGAAGTATGGGTATATTGGGTTTCATTGCACTTTGTTTTAATGTTATACATTTCATAAGAAATTACTAGTCTGTAGTGTGATAATACAAAAAACTTTTGGAAAATTGCAAACTACTTTTTGCTTTTGGTTGCTGGTAAAAAAAATTCCAGAGTCTCTTTCACACACACTATGCGATAGGGGTGGCTATACAATCCGGTCCGGTTAAATTGGCCCAAATTGATCCGGTCCAGTCCGGTCTTTTTGAAAATATAAGGACCGAAGATTGGATTGGATACAGTCCGGTCTTGATACGGTCCGGTTTTGATCCGGTCCGGTCCCAATTCGGTCTTGATTTTACATTGAGATTGTGGGATTTGAGTGGCCTAAAGCCTTAAAGGGTGAGGAGTTGGTTAAGTTTTGTACTAAGTGCAAAGGTTTGTGACCGTTTATGCAAATTACCCTTAAGTTTTGGGTGTTGAGCTCTCTTATCCGGTTTTTATCCGGTTTTTTACCTCAAATCTAAGACCAAAAATTGGATTGGATTGTTTACTATCCGGTCCCGGTCCGATCTCGGTCCGGTTTCCGGTTTTTAATCCGGTCCCGGTCCAAATAGCCACCCCTACTATGCGAAGCTAATGCTACTGCAGATGCGATGGCAAAAATTGGGCCTTAATTTGGATCTGGATAACGAATTGGGCCATCACCTGCTACGTTCTCCGACCAGGCACGTCCAGAAAATCACCATATATCTCTCTGGACTCATGCCAAATTGGGCAGCCCAAAGACCCATGTGTAATATAGAGAGAAAGCCCAATATTAATCATTCTTCTGGCCCAGATCCATATAAAGCTCAATAGCAGTACACCAAATCTTAAAAGATAAGTAGAACACCTAATAAAATTATGGGTGATGTATATTTTTTATCTAAATTTTTTTAGATTCTTTTATATCATCCAAATATATTAAAATGCTATTAATTAGTAAAATATTTTGTAATGCATCAAAATGTTTGTCATTTTTATGTTGTTAATAATTTTGTTAACTCTTTTTTTTAGTTTAAATTCTAAAATTTGGAATGTTAACCTTAACACGTCTCTTCCAAGTCAGTATCATGTTGCCAAGTCAATATTACCTTAACATTTGGCTAATTTTTAGTATTTTGATTGGTTTGGCTAATAAAAAAGAACCCGAAAAAAGATTTGGTTAATAAATAGTCATTACCCTAAAATTATCAAGGAGACAATTCATTGATTCAGCTCTGTAGAGTGTAGACCCTCTATTTAGGGTCGTTTGGATGGGTTAATTGTTAATGTGGTATTTGTAGAGTCAAATAACTCATTTTATTGTTCATGTGGTATTTCAGTGTTATTTCAGTGGTAATTGAAATAAAGTATCCCGTTTGGTTGAACCATGCAAATATGGTATTTGACATGTGATATTTGGTAAAAATAGTTATTTCCAAAAAAACACACATGGGTATGAGTTATTTTAAATAACTCATTTTTACAAAAACTCTCTGCCCGAATAATTCATTTCAGTAAAACGCTGTCAAACGAGTTATTTGTGTCCAAATAACTCATTATGAGTTATTTGAACCCAAATAGCTCACAAATAACTCATACAAATACTCCATCCAAACGACTCTAATTTCAATGTTCATACCCTTATAGTGACATAATAACCTATATTATAGAGTTTAGAGCAAGGACATCATTTCAGTCTCAACTTCACCTCATTATTAATAACGAAGTCAGAAGCGTTGATTCATTATATTGCCGTTTTCTTTCACCAAAAACCATCACTTTCAAATTTACTATAAGCTTTACATACATTCTTAATCATGATATAAACGTTGAAGTCCATCATCGACCATATATGAACAACTCCTTCAGGGGCCACTCTACAACCTGAATCCAGATACAAAAAGATAATTTTCTTTGATTTGGTAAGTAAACACGTACGAACCATGAACAGTTAAAAGTTGGCAGCTAAACACGTGGTAATTGGACTCGCCGTATTATTTGAAAACGATAGTAAAGGAGGGTTTACTGCTTTTGATATAACAACAATAACATAGCTAGAATTGCTATACAATTTGACCACAGCTTCTATTTCATTGCTGCTACTTAAAAACGCACCGACTTCCCGCATCGCGATCGGCCGGTGACAAATTGTCCACTTCCATTAATTAGTTCGCTACCTGTTTTCCACTTCTCGCCGGCCCTTTTAACTTTTTTTGGATGATAACAACAGCACTACGACTGTCCATCGTCCCCTCGTTTTCAAACTGAGTTGTCGACTTTTTATTGCTTATCTATGGACAGTTTTCAACTTGCACGCACATATCAGATTTATGAAATTATTCAGTTTTAAGAAAATGGTGTAGAAATTGGCAAACTCGAGAAGCCGCATGCAGTTTTCTAAACCACCAGAAACTTCAATGACATGTTTTTCTTTTTATAGGCATGAGGCATGACTGGACCGTGGTGCCTTAAGGATCGTTGTGTCGTAAATTTCAGAATACGTAAGGCTATTTATTCGGATTGGGTTCCTGAATATCATCACGGCAGGAACTATTTAGTTATGATAACTCGAATTTAGGAAATGTTGGATTATAAATCTTATCTCATTTACTCAAATTCGATTTACAATGAAATTTGCATAAATCCAGCAGAGCCTTAGTAATTAAGGTGTGGTGGGGTTGATGCATGGCGGGAGCCAAGGTCGGGGGAATTGGGTCTCAGGAGGACCCCACTTGGCGATAAATATGAGCTGGAAATATTTAGATGATTGCTTTGAATTTCGATTAAGGCGACCTCATAGTAAATCATCTCATCCAACATACTAAAGTTTCTCATATATATATATCTTCACCTTGACTCCGATGTATCTCAGTCATTCATGACTCCACTCAAGTTCAAGTCCGACTACGCCTCGTCGAAGTCGTTTTTCCTTCCTCAGCTGGCTTTCGTATCTCCGTATCGCCGGCCACTATGTATTCACTCTTGATTGTATTTAATTAATAAATTGGTCATGTATAAAAAAATATTTTTCGAAGAATTCAAGTACATAATTTCAGAGCGCCGAAAACCTTATACCATGTCGAAATATTATTCCTCGATATTGTAGAATGCGCCATATTATATTATATAAAAAATGAATATAAATTACTCAAATAAGAAGAAAAAGATGGATGGGAAATCAATCAATTATGAAAGAAAACGAACCACAACAACTCCGGTTGACTTAAACAAACCGAGCTTAATTAGAGGACACCTAATACTTTCAACGGGATATGTTCCCACCACAAATGCTAGCTAGCTAGCTATTTGGTGGATGTGTATATTTAGGGAACCAAAGATCACCTTTTCGAAAGAAAAAAAAAAAACACAAATATTAGGTGAATAATGTAAACGGAGACCCACCACTAATTACCACACAAACTGGGCAAAACCACCAAAACCACACATTAGTAGATAATCATACCGACACCTTTGCACCCATTACCAAAAAAAAAATGGCGGTGAGATAGACGCACAAAGCATCCACACCACACCAACCATGTCTATAAATACAAGCATCCATGGCCAACATTGGAGAGTATTAACACAAATTACCAACCTCCAAAATCCACATTCTTCCTCACTCTACACATAACAACTTTCCTTCCTTATAGCATCACGAAAGAGAAAGATATGAAGGTGAAAGTAGAGTCCACCACCACTCTCAAACCAACTTACGAACCCACCACCACCACACGTTCTCCTCCAACCTCAACCCACGTCCCTCTCACCGTCTTCGACAAGGTCACCTACGCCGCCCACATCGCCGTCATCTACGCCTACCGTCCACCCACGCCGTCAAACTCCAAGATCAAGCTCGGCCTCCGGAGGGCTCTATCCGAGTACCGCGAATGGGCCGGACGGCTAGGCCACGACGAGGACGGAAACCCCGTCATCCTCCTCAACGATGACGGCGTCAAGCTCGTCGAAGCCAGCACCGACACCCGTCTCGATGAGGTCATGCCCTTGAAGCCATCTCCTCTCGTTCTCAGCCTCCACCCTGCCTTAAACGACGTCGTGGAGCTCGTTCAGGTCCAGCTCACGAGGTTCAGCTGCGGCTCCCTCGTTGTCGGATTCACCGCTCATCATCTTGTCGCGGACGGTCATTCCACCAGCAACTTCCTCGTTGCATGGGGAAGAGCGTCTCGTGGGCTCGATTTGGGCCCGTTGCCGTACCACGACCGTACCATCTTCAACCCTAGAGAGCCTCCCATTTTCGAGTACGACCACAGAGGAGTGGAGTATTACGGTCATCATGATCGTTCTTGTTACTGCAACGAGAACGATCGTGATTCTCTCGTGGACGATATCGTCATCCACAAGGTTCATTTCACGATGGATTTTTTATCCAAGCTGAAAACGAGGTGCGCGACCAGCAGCAACAACAAGGCGTACAGCACGTTCGTGTCGCTGGTGGCGCACCTCTGGAGGGCGGTGACCAAGGCTCGGGGCCTGGGCGGGTTCGAGACGACCCGGATCCGGATCTCGGTCGACGGTCGGGCCAGGATGGTCAACCCGCGCGTCCCCAACGAGTACTTCGGCAACTTGGTGTTGTGGGCGTTTCCCACGTCGCGGGTGAAGGATTTGCTGAGGGAGCCGCTGCCCTACGCGGCGAAGCTGATACACGACGCCGTGGCCGGGGTCAACGACGGGTACTTCAAGTCGTTCGTTGACTTCGCGAGTCATAGGGTTGACGAGGAAGGGTTGACCCCCACGGCGGAGATGAACAAGGCAGTGCTGTCCCCAGATTTGGAGGTGGACAGCTGGCTGAGGTTCCCGTTTTATGACCTGGATTTCGGCGGCGGGTGTCCTTACGTGTTCATGCCGTCATTTTTCCCGACGGAAGGGATGATGTTCCTGCTGCCGTCGTTCATCGGCGACGGGAGCGTTGACGCGTTCGTGCCGCTTTTCAGGGATAGTTTGGACACGTTTAAGGAGGTCTGCTACGTGCTGGAATAGAGGTCAATTGGTATTGTATTACCGCGGGGAACGTCGACGTGGTTTATTCCGCGCCATGCATATATATTGTGGGAACGGCTACTGTGCTAATTGTACAATAGTTAGCACCGTCCTAAACAAGGGAAAAACTACTACTAGTTTGAATTAGTAGTGATTTAGCTTAGATGTTGTATTGATTTTATAATAATCCGTAGTGATTTTTGCTAGTTATCACGGTGCTAACCCCTATAAGGGTTAGCACCTAATCCCATCCCATATATTGTCGTTGTGTTTTTGTCGTCATGTGGTCTTTATTCGGACATGTTTCTATACGTGTATATATATACACGAGGCATTTTAGTGTGCTTTATAGTATTGGTGCTATAAAACGTTTACAACCATTAGATCATGTTCAAAATATATCAGCCATTAGATTTTATTTAGATTATTAATATATTGTTTTATTTGTTTATGGTCAACCGGTACAATCGGTTGTACGTGAAAAAAGTTCGAAACCCATTTTCTTATCCTTCTCCTCTCCGAGCAGATCTGAGACCCTCTTCTCACCGCCGACATCCATTCTTGCTGTCACCGGAAATGCAGTTACCGACTCCAACTCCAGAGGCAGCGAATCTCTTCCTTTGATCTCGCATCGTCTCTCTATTCTTTGACCATCCCGTACAAAAAATCGGAGCGTTTTTTTTATTATGATCGGAGCCCTCTGCCAACGGCGACGAGGTTCTTACCTCGAGCAGCTACTCCCGTCCTAGCCCCGATCTGGTCCCGCTTACGGATTTCAGGCCGGCGGGGGCATGCCTGCCGGTGATTCTGAGTACGGATCCAAATATGGTGGGAGGACTGAGATCGGTGGCGGAGGCAGATATGGCAGGAGGATTGAGATCGAGTACGGATTTGGCAGCGATGGCGGCGGGAGGACAGAGACTGAATACAGATCTGGTGGCGGTGGATACAGTGGGAGGACAAAGACTAAATACGGACCTGGCAGCGGCGGATATGGTCGAAGAACCGAATATGAGCATGGATCGGGTTACGGGCGTAAGTAGGAGTTCAAGTATGGTGGATCGGGCTATGGGCATAAACAGGAATCTGAATATGGATCGGAATAAGGCCGGCAGCCGGAATCCGAGTACGGATCTGGCTATGGCCGTAAGCAGGAACCCGAATACGGCTGGCAGCCGGAGTCTGAGTACAGATCTGTTATGACCGTAACCAGGAATCCGGGTACGGTGGCAAGACTGAATCCGAATACGGGTCGGGTTATGGAGGGAGGACTGATTCCGAGCATGGATCTGGTCATGGTCGCCGGGCTGTATCAGAGTATGAAGCGGTGGTGGGTCAGAATATGGAAGGGGAAAGCAGAGCTATGGAGAGGAAGGTGAACGTTATGAGAGGCATCAGGAGACAGTGCGTATGGCTCTGGAGGTTACCGGAGACAAGATAGCTCCGAGAAACCTGCTTATGGGATGCGCCACAATGATGATTACGATCACGATAACAAGGAGGAGTCTCGCAGCCAGTATGGCTATGGTAGTGGTGAAGAAGGCTGTGGCCGCAAGAAATATGTAAGCTTTTCACACACCCTTTTTCATTTGGCTGCTTGAATATCTATGTGGCTTCGATATTGGCATATTGCTAAGTAGTTCATCCATTTCTGGTTTACTTTCCAATATGGAAGTTTCATTTTTGTTCGTTGCTGCAGTGACTGATTTTCTACCACAAGGTGGAAGCTTTTTATGATAACTATATCTTTGGTATTGGGAAACAAGCTGAAATTTGGTTGTATAATTGGACCTGATAATTGGTGCTTGACGAGTTATAAGTGTAGAGGTTATTGAATTTTGAAATGAGTGATTAGTTTGTGTAAGTTACTCTCTATTGCTCCTTTTATTGAACCTCCTAGTTTTAGTTATGTTTGGCCTCGCTCTGTTTGTTGATTATTGGATGGTTTTCTTCTCTTTTTCCATTCTCTTGAGGTTTCTCTTTCTACATTTCACTGATGGAACTGGTGCACATTCTTTTCTTACAGGGTCATTTCAAAGAGCTCTTATTAGAGCATGCACCACCTCCTCCCGCCCTTGCTGAATTCGCCATTGCGAACTTGATCAAGATGGGTATTCCACAAAGAGCAGCAGAAGGTTCTATAGCAATTTGCTCCTGCCACAGAGAAGCTAAAGTAGGTGAATGGTATATATGGCCAAGATGGGGTAGATGCTTATCTCATCACCCCATCTAGCTAGATCTTATCATAATCTTTTCCCAATCGAGCCATTCATCGAGGTATCTGCACGCCAATTGGAATTGAGCAGAGTAGCTTCAAAAACTTGCTTCAGTTGTCGAGAGAACCTTCTCACTCCTGGTAGGTTATGCTAATACAAATGTTCTATTTGCAATGTTATCTGCTGGAAATCAGTATACGTGGATAGTTTTTGGCAGCAGACTCGGGTAGTGAGTTACTTTAGCAAGAAACTAGCAGTATAGATCATGCACGACTGAAGTTGGTTATATTTAAGTTTTACGAGCTATTTCTCTGGTGCTACCACTTGGGGGCTATAAACTCTGCTGCTATTCTCTGGTGCTACCACTTGGGGGCTATAAACTCTGCTGCTGGCACTATACTTACTTTGGAGTTTGTAATGTCTTGACTGTTTCTTGGTTTTCTGAAATAGTTTTGTGAACATAACAGTGGAATCTTCTATGAACTGCATTGTGTTTCACTCGATACTTCTTGTATTTCATATGTCAGTAGATTCTGAAAGTTTCACGGCTGGGAACCTCACGGTCGTTAGAGCAACCGTGAAAGAAGAAATTGTCCCCCCAGCACTCCTCCTGGAGTTCTCATGCTCTGTGTTGGATATTCTCACGGCCGTGAGATTAGTCCGGGGAAATATTAAATTGATCCCTTGTCTCCAAAAGTTCTCACGGCCTACTTAATTGTATCACCCGCCCGTGAGATTGGGTCATGAATTTGTTGGGGAAATATTAAATTGATCCCTTGTCTCCAGAAGTTCTCACGGCCTACTTTATTGTATCACCCGCCCGTGAGATTGGGTGGAAATATTAAATTGATCCCTTGTCTCCAGAAGTTCTCACGGCCTACTTAATTGTATCACCTGCCCGTGAGATTGGGTCATGAATTAGTTGGGAAAATATTAAATTGATCCCTTGTCTCCAGAAGTTCTCGCGACCTACTTAATTGTATCACCCGCCCCTGAGATCGAACTCGCGACCTACTTAATTGTATCACCCGCCCGTGAGATCGAACCTGTGCCATTGGCCCTCGAAAAAGCATCCTTAACCACTTGGACTGCATCAATTTATTTGGTACATTCATAGTCAGATTAGTATTAAAATCAATTAATAATTTACCTTTAAGGTTGAGTGACTGTCTCTTTATGGTTATGGGTTGGTTTACGGTATATGATTGAGTGAGCTTTTGATTACGATTTGGGTTGAACCCATCTAATTGTCAACCAATGTGAGATTGGGTTTAGGGTATATGGTTGAATGACCGTCTGATTAGGTTTTGGGTTTAACCCATCTAATTGTCAACCAATGTGAGATTGGGTTTAGGGTATATGGCTGAGTGACCGTCTGATTACGATTTTGGGTTTAACCATTGTAATTATCAACGGATGTGAGATTGAATTTAGGGTATATGGTTGAGTGACTGTTTGATTATGGTTTTGGGTTTAACCCATCTAATTGTCAACCGATGTGAGATTGAGTTTAGGGTATATGGTTGGGTAACCATTTGATTACGGTTTTGGGTTTAACCCATCTACTTGTTAACCGATGTGGGGTTGGTTTACGATATATGATTGAGTGAGCTTTTGGATTACGGTTTGGGTTGAACCCATCTAATTGTCAACCAATGTGAGATTGGGTTTACGGTATATGATTGAGTGAGCTTTTGATTACGGTTTTGGGTTTAACCCTTCTAATTATCAACAATGTGAGATTGGGTTTAGGGTATATGGCTGAGTGACTATTTGATTACGGTTTTGGGTTTAACCCATCTAATTTTTAACCGATGTGAGATTTAGTTTAGGGTATATGGTTGAGTGACCGTTTGATTACGGTTTTGGATTTTAACCCATCTAATTGTCAACCGATGTGAGATTGAGTTTAGGGTATATGGTTGAGTGACCGTTTGATTACGGTTTTGGGTTTGACCGTTCTAATTGTAAACCGATGTGGGGTTAGTTTACGGTATATGATTGACTGAGCTTTTGATTATAGTTTGGGTTGAATCCATCTAATTGTCAACCAATGTGAGATTGGGTTTAGGTTATATGGTTGAGCAACCGCCTGATTACGATTTTGGGTTTAACCCATCTACTTGTTAACCGATGTGGGATTGGTTTACGGTATATGATTGAGTGAGCTTTTGATTACGGTGTGGGTTGAGCTCATCTAATTGTCAACTAATGTGAGATTGAGTTTAGGGTATATGGCTGAGTGATCGTCTGATTACGGTTTTGGGTTTAACCGTTCTAATTTTGGGTTGGATACATCGACTGTAAATTCCCATAAAATTCGTACATCGGCGAGCTACCCAGCCACAACATTCCCTTCGTCACCACCCCATCACCGAGATCTGGGGGTTCTCGATCCAAGTCTCAAGCGCTTCAATCAGCTACTCCTCCGCCTGCCCAGCCACCACTCGGTTCACCTCCGCCGCCACTTGTCCCGACCCCTTCTCATCCCACCCATGTCCTCCGTCGCCTCCAGAGTAGCTCAACGCAGATGCGCTAGGACCATATTAAAGCGAAAATTCGTACTGCTCGCTCAGCTATGAAAGGGTGCGTCGTTTGGAAACTGGCGCCCCCTCCCTTCCTAACCCGTGCTGCTGCTACGTCATTCTCTCCCCCCTCGCCTGGTGGCTAGTTGTTTTGTGAAGAACGACGTAGTTGAGGTGCGTGGAATGCTCTTCTGCACTCATTCATTGAATTGATGTTCTTGTTTTGTCGAGCTTTTTTTTGGGTATATAGTGATCGTTGTTGGTGATCTTCAATTTTTCTGTTGTTCTTTGATTTCAGTTCAGCTCGATTCGCTCCATCTAGAAGCAAGGACGGAGTTCGCGTACCGCGGCGGCGGCGGCGAAAGAGGGTATAATTTTTGCGCCTTCTCTGTTCTGTGACTCGTAAGGGACGGATTGGCGTTGAGATTTGGTCGTATATTTTGGGTTTCCTTCCGATTTCAGAGCTCTAGAAGGGTTGGTGTTTCTTGAGTAGCTCTGCTTCGAGGGCATCCATAACTTGGATTTATACATGGCTTTCTCGTTGTAGCCTTGTTCCGTGTCTGTTCTTCTCTCTTCTCGCCAAGGGTAAACTAGCATTCTCCTGTTTATGTATGTTCTCCAATTGATTGTTGAATGCTAAGTTGTTACCCTTTACTGCTGTTGTGCTAAGTTGTACCTTCAACTATTGTTGGTAGATGATCCTATGCTTAGATAGTCCTCCATGGCTGTTCAGGGCAGAGACCAACCAAAGCCAGTCTTCCATGTCTACTATAGCTTCTGTAGGCTTGCATCAGATTGTTGATTTCTAGGTCGATACAATTTGTTGACATGTAGGTAGATTGCATTAAGCACCCTGAATTGGGTATTGGGGGAATAACTGATTTTTAGGTCGATACAATTGATTAATGTATTGTTGGATTCACTGGGTTGTGGGTGGTGAAAATGTGGATTTTAATTGTCTCTAAACTTCATTTTGTTGGTTGTTTTTAGTTGAATGCAGAAAATCAGAAAATTTTGTCCAAGTATGATCTGGAGCACAATGCGCGGATGAAGAAGATGTATAGGCGACGAGCTCTATAGGCAACAACTTACTTGAAAGGTACTTTCTTTGCTGGGATGACTACGTCACAACGTTGTGAGAGCATGAACTCTTATCTAGACAAATTCTTGCAGAGTAAGATGAAGTTGTTTGAGTTTGTCAAGCATTTTGACATGGCACTTTTGTATAGGAGACAAACTGAGTTATTAAGGACCCCCCATCCATTTCGAAGTAAAGGGAATGTGAAGCAACCTCAAGTGAAAAGACGGTTGTGCAAGTATTGTAGGCGTCCTAAATATACAATCAGAAATTGCCCGCTGAAAAGAATGGCTGAAGCAGGTGCAGGTGATAGTCATTTCACGCAACAAGAACACAACTTCGAGTCCACAGGAGCAGGTGAAAGCAACTTTCATGTGGAGACTCAAGAATCTGTTCTACTTCCCAAACGATCCAAGCACAACCTGTAATGCTCGTGTCTAGCTTCAAAGAACATTATGACTCATCTTTTCATAAGCTTGTAGTTTTCAAAAACAATATGTTATGTTTCTTACACCATTATAATAAGTACGAGGGTTAGTTCTACAGGTGAATGTATCTCACGGCCAATTCTGGAAATCTCATGGTCGTGAGACGCCCCGTGGATGCAAAAATACAGGTCTCAGTTTTTCAGGGATTTTCACAGATTGGATGCAACAATATCACGCCCGTGAAAGAAGTCGTGTTTTTGGATTTGAAATTCTGGAAATATCACGGCCGTGAGAGAGGCCGTGGATGTAAAAATGCAGTTCTCAGTTTCCCATGGATTTTCACGGGTTGGGTTCGACAATATCACGGCCGTGAGATGAGCCGTGTTTATGGAGTTGAAATGTTGGATTTCTCACGGCTCATCTGTAACTTCTCACGGGCGTGAGATTCACCCGTGCAATTTTCACTTTGCTCGTTCAGACGCAGGGTGCCTCACGGCTTGTAATTAAACTCTCACGGGCGTGAGAATAAGCTGTGATATGGAAACCACTCCGATTTTCTCAGGGGATAGTTCAACAGGTGAAAGTCTCCTACTGGAAATCTGACACCTCATACTGGTAATCTCACGACCGTAAAATGCTCAAGTGAGATGTAAAAAGTAGTGCTTCATTCCTCAGGTAAATCTCACTGCCGTGAGATGTCCCGTGAGATGCAAAGAGCAGTTCTCACTATACCAGGAAATTTCACGGCTACTACTTGACATTGTCACGCCGGTCAAAATCTCACGTGAAATTGAACACACACAACTGCCACTCAAACGTTCTCACAGCTCATTCAGGTAAAATAACGGTTGTGGAATTAAGATGTACCTACACTTTCTAGAGTTGTACCTTTACACTAAACATGAAGTTGTACCTACACTTTCCTAAAAATCTTCTATGGTACAATTCACAATTGTACCTATACACTATGGTACAACTTAATGTTGTACCTACACTTTCTAACAAATCCCTTTATGGTACAACTAAAAATTGTACCTATACTAATGGTACAACCTTAAGTTGTACCTACACTTTCTCAAAATTCTTTAATGGTACAACCCAAACTTGTACCTATACCATGGTACAACTTTAATTTGTACCTACACTTTCTAAAAATCCTTCTATGGTACAACCCAAACTTGTACCTAACTACACTTTCTAACAAATCCCTTTATGGTACAACTAAAAATTGTACCTATACTAATGGTACAACCTTAAGTTGTACCTACACTTTCTCAAAATTCTTTTATGGTACAACCCAAACTTGTACCTATACCATGGTACAACTTTAAGTTGTACCTACACTTTCTAACAAATCCCTTTATAGTACAACTCAAAATTGTACCTATACTAATGGTACAACTTTAAGTTGTACCTACACTTTGTGAAACAAATTCTTCAATGGTACAGCTGAAACTTGTACCTATACGATATGGTACAACTCTAATTTGTACCTACACTTGTATACATTGATTCATTATTTACAAGATTGCCATTAATGATGTGGGACCAGTCATTTAGTGGGTTTACCTCCTCAACAGGTCGCCTGTTTTTTTTGTTTTTTATAGCATGGGTGCTATAGAGCACACTAGAAGGGCTCATATATACACTTGTATGTAATTTTTCTTTTATTATGTTAGCTGTGGTGGGAGAAATTAGAGCCGACTGTAGCACGGGAACAGAATGAAAATACGCGCATTCAAGTTGTTACATGAGTGAATAGTGATATATAGAAGGTCTCTTTTCAATTCGATTGAAGAGACCATTGTAATATTGTAGTGTGGAGAAAAGGTGGTGATGATTAGAGAAAATTAGAGAAGAAACTTGTATTATGTATGAATTGTGTTTTATATTCGCATTTGGTGCACCATTAATTTTTTTTATATATATATTTTGAAACGAAAATGAACGTCATTATTTTCAAAGACATGTTAAAAGGGGGAGATTACCTATTTATTTGTTAGTATGCAACATAATATTCATAGTTTGAACTTCTCCCAACAACTTGAGCAATGAGGACCGACGGTTTCTTGATATGGTATCATGGCCTTTTATGATCGAGAGATCTTATTTTTGAATTTTGATGACGCCAGTTTGTAAAGTATTATATAATTTGATGTTTGTGCAAATTTCAAACTCGTGTAAGAATTTGAGTTTAATAAAAATATATGATTGGAGTGGATATTGGTGGTACTATGGGAGAGAGTCGGTCCATTGGAAGAAATAACTAGGAAAAGTCTTATTTAGAGCTCTCAATAAATTTTCATAGAAGTAGGAATGATTTAGTATAGTTTTAATTTTTAGAATTATTCACAAATCAAATATGTTCGTTTGAACTGTGTTTATAAGAGACTTGAGTCATATCTTAAGATTGTTGTGCAAAGGAATCAAATCAAAGTGTATTAAGCATGTGTTGGATTTGGCTCTTCGCGTGGCTGGGAGGCGGGACTAACCAGAATACACCATATGGACATATATATATATATATATATATATATTAATTGAAAGAAGAAACCCACTAAGGGGCCGGTATTGTGCACTCAGATACACATTACTGTACATACAGACTCATGTGTACTGTTTCAACTTGGATTGGACTGGGGTGTTTGCGGGTGCAGGATGGTCACTCATTGGGTCCTGATGGGATTTGCTTGGTTTAGTTGTGTTTTTACCATAGTTTGTCTTCGTTGAAGTTTGGTCACTTGGATCCTCTCCATCCCACTCACCCGAGTTGATCACATGGCAAATATTTGCCCCTTCGAGTTCTAGGACTAGAGAGGCAGAGACTGCTATTTTGGGTTTCACTTTTTGCTTGAGATGACCGTTGATGGGAGGGGGTTGGAGTTAACGCATGGAAGCAGTGAGGCCACGTTGGAGAGAGGGAAGCTGGGGCGAGTCTGCACTCTGCAACTTCCTTGGTTGTAAGCAAGGCCACGTTGCCGCCTCGATTCTTGGAGCTCAGGCCAGGAAAAAGCAAACACAGATAAACTCTTTCCTACTCCGCTACTCCCAATTTTTTCCTGACACCAGCTCACAATCCCATGCCGTTCTATTTTCTACACTCTTCTTTTCTATTTCAATAACAACCCCAATTTCCTCACTCTCTCTCTCTGCGTCTTTCTCCCCTTCTCCTAAAGATGCTTGCTCGGGATATTGTCTGTTCGTCTTCTGGGATTATAGACATCAGCCTGCGGATCTCGAATCCTGCGCTCATCCTTTCTGCCCTGGGCTTGATCCTCGACTGTGGAAGACCATCGAGACGAAGAAGACGATCTAAAGGTACGTATCTGAACCGGGTTTGAGGAATCCCTCTGTTACCGTTCTTCTTGCCTTTGGTGTGTGTATTTAACTCTTTTTCTTCTCTGTTTACCAGATAGTGTGGTTGATTACAATGGATGTTTGGAAAGAATGGAATCCATTCTATGGAATCGTTGGCGCGATACGGCTAAGGAAGTAATTCTTTCTCATTGTGCTTTAATATTTCTTGAGCCAGTATTATCGAGAGACAACCGATCTTTGTTGGGTTTTGCTATGTTCTACTATTAATGGATCTTAATGTTGTGAGCTTGCGTACATGTATGTTTGTTTGATGGACGATGCGATGAAAGGAGTTAGCTTGGATTTGACAGATGATTATTGGTAAGTGATGTGTCAATTAACCTCTCATGCATAGTATTTTTTCCAGTATGCATACATCCTTCCATTGCGAAGAAGCCGATCTAGAGCTCTAGATCGGATTCCGGTTCCTGAAATCCCTTAATGACCAAGAATCCATTATGTTAATCATCTTTTTTTTTTTACTTGAAAGAGAGTATCTCACTATCCACCTTTTTCCAGATATGTCGCGGCGACGACGGGTGATCAGGTCTCAAACAACCTAGCTTACGGGTGGTCTATGCGAGCGAGGGGAAAAGATAGAACCCTCAGTGAGCGAACACCCCCAACCAGGAGCCAAATCAGTGGTCCAATGCAACAAAGTCCCTACCGTGTCAACGAAGCTTCTTTTCCAGAACCACGAGAAGATTTGTTAGATCTGTTGTATTTTTTGCCGAGAAGTGTTGAGACAACGGATTGAAAATGGAGATTCGACGGACAAAACAACTCCGGAAATAAGGATATGCAACTATATGTTCCCTTTTAACTATTGAAGTTACATGATTTGCAACTATATGTTTCCTTCAAATATTTCACTTATTTGTGTGGCTGCTTTATCATTTGTTTTGGTACTCTGTTATCTCTGTCAGTGGTTTCATCGATTGTTTGGATGCCAGTAGTTTAAAATCCACGATCATTCGTTTGTGTAGTCACCAGTTGCTGTTTTCTGAAATTTTGCAGCTCTGATATAAATATGTGTTGGTTCCTTCTTTGGGTCACCTAACGAGAAATTTCATTCGTATTTACTGTGGTTGTCTACTAAATATTGCAGTCTTTGGTACCCAATATGTTTTCATTAGCTATCTATTCTTATGCTTTCAACTTTCAATACCCTTGCAGTGTCAGCGGATTGAAGCTTTGGCGCTCTATGTTACTTTCTTTCCTTCTCTTCTCCTCAGGCATAACTGTGACAGCTAAATCCTGTCCAATGAGAATGATTTCAATTTGTGGCAAACCTTATTGGTGGTGCATCTGTTTGACTTTTTAGTTTCTTTATATCCTTTTAGTTTGTTGTATCCTTTAGCTTAGGTTGTTTTTTCTCCTGAGGTTATAGTTCGGTCCCTTTATGGTCCTGTGCCAAAATTCTCATGGTCAAACAGTTCCACAGGTTCTCTCAACAATGAGCTATGCAAATTCTCACAACATGGCATGTGTAATAATTTGGTTTTGGCAGTGATTGTACGTGCTGATAGACTTCTTTGCTTCTCATGTAAAGTTTTAAACAACTCTAGGTAACTAGATATGTTGTGGCCTGTAAAATGACTTCTTTTATAGTCAATGGTTAGCACCTACAGTTGTCTTGCTAGAACTTTACTCATGAAAACTTATGCATCATAATTGGAGATACTAAAAGGTCATCAACCTTTACCTCGTGTGCCAATGAAAATTAGTGGCGAATTTGCTTATTCAACTTAAATTATACTTCACTTGGATGTGAATTTCTTTTAATGCTCTTTTATAAAATCATCTCTTTGAATAACTCCATTGGTTCTAAAGTCCCAGCGCTCCGCGCGGGCAAGAAAACTAGTTAATATATATAAACCTAAAGTGAAGTTACTATTACCTAAATTCCCTTTAACAGCCTATCAAGGTTGTCAACTCGCGGGTTGACCCGGACCCGGTTGACCTAGTGGGTTAAGGGTTAATGGGTCACCCGTTTTAGCCCGGAAATATGGAAAGCGTCATTATATTGTACTTATCCTGATAAATTATATCAAATCTCATCTAACATATGAGTTATAACATATAATATTACACAAAAAATAACATGTCGTACTTAGATTCAACATATAGTGAAAATTCACACACACTTATATAACATTAATATTCAAATGTTCAACTTAGGATTCCAAAGACTAAGTTAGGCGAAAAGAAAAATCGGAAAATAGGCGCATTTCACAAAACAAAGAAAAAATGACACAATTTGACCTCCAACCCGGTACCTTGTAGCGGTCGACCCGATGGGTGCGTGCGGCCCGTTTTTCTCACTGGGTCAGGGTCAAAGTGGGTCGACCCGTGAGTTGACAACCTTGCAACCGACTAGTTATTGGGCTACTAATCCCGAGACAGGAGCTACTTATTGGGTTATAGCTAAATCAGAGTTTGTGATTCGTAAATGAGCATTTATTGGGCTTCATTTTGACTTTGTGGGCTTTTAGTAACAACTATTTCACTAATTATTGGCCTCATGGTTTCTGTCCTTTGAGCTTGGTGTGGTGGGATTTCCTTTTTTGCCAAATAGTTTGGTTGAAGTTTTATGACCAATTGACCATGCAGAAGCATCCCAACATATTTTTCTCCTTGACCATCTCAAAACATAGATTGGCGGTGCAATAAGAAATGCGAAGATAAAGTAGAAGTGAACTTAATGATCTGCAAGGACTGAAAAATCGTATTATATCGGCGGTCGATAGACGGTATTTAACGGTATGAAATAGACGAATGATTAAACCACGCGTTTAACACAAAATACCTACTGCTGATTTTTTCGGTACAACCTCCGATTTAGTTTTTCAACCCTTAATGATTTGTTTTTGCTGGTGGGGAGATGATCATCACCTAAAATAAAATAAGAGTGAGTGAGGTGAGTGAGGAAAAGAAATTAAAAGGAAAGAAGAAACAACTATCATTATAGATGCTCACAACAAAGAGAATCAAATACCAACCAACAACCATAACAACATAATAGGTAACCATTCCGTGGCAAATTAAAGCACGCTTACATACCTAGTATATATATATGGAGAAAACACGATTTCATAATAATTTTCAGAATAAAGCAGAAGACTTCGTAGTCTTATTTAATTTCTCAACGAGATAGCTCTAAAGGTTCCTCCGTTGAATTGTTCCTTATTTCTCCCCCAGATATCTCTAACCCAGATATCTCTAAGGTTCCTTATTTTATATATACTAGGTAGATTATGTGCCGCACTTCTCTGCGGCTTTTCATAGAAATAGAAGTATTGTTTGCTAACCCGTATTTGATTTTTGACCGTGTTTAGTAGTCGTATAATATAAACTCCTAACAAAATATAACTTGATAGGTGATTTTAGCTATATGTAATGATTTAACCATGACTGAACTACAATTTTAGGATAAAATGTCCTCATTCTACCTTTATTGGTACGACTTTCGGTATGGTTTTATAATTTTTGGTATTTTCTCAATACACATCAAGGCTCGGGTTGGAGCAACGCGTAAAGCATGATTTAACTACGAATGAACTATGATTTTAGCACAAAATATCATAATGCTAACTTTATGGGTAAGAACTTCGGTGTGGTTTACAAATTTTGGATTTTCTATGTACATCGAGGATCGGGTTGGAGCAACATTTCAAGCCTTATTTTAACCATGGTTAAACTACGATTTTAGCACAAAGTACTCTAATGCTAACTTTTTCGGTATGATCTTAGGAATGGTTTTACAATTTTTGGTTTTCTGAACATAAATTGATGCTCGGGTTGGAACAACTGGTCAAATCTGATTTAACCATAGTTGACTTACAGTTTTAGCACAAAATACCCTAATTCTAACTTTTTTGTATGACATTCGGTATGGTTGTACCATTTTAGTTTTTTTCTGAATATAAATCGAGGCTTGGGTTGGAGCAATGCGTCTAGCCTGATTTAACCATGGTTGAACTACGATCTTACCGTACTGGTAGTCCAATAGAAAAACTACTAAAGGAATCTAAATCGGTAGGTGATTTTAGCTGTATGAAATGATTTAACCGTGACTGAAGTACGATTTTAGCACAAAATGACCTAATGCTAATTTTTTTGGTACGAACTTCGGTATGATTTTATAAATTTTCTATTTTTTATGAACATTCATCGAGACTCGGGTTGGAGCAACGTGTCTAGCCTGATTTAACCACTATTTTAGCACAAAACACCTTAATGTTAACTTTACCTGTACGACCTTTATTATGATTTTACAATTTTTGATTCTTTTCTCAACATAAATCAGGGCTCGGGTTTGAACAACGTGTCAAGCCTAATTTTAACCACGATTGAATTATGATTTTAACACAAAATACTCTAATACTAACTTTTCCGGTACGATTTAGATTACTTTTGATAAAACTCTAAAACGTGGCCAACTCTCATCATCAATTAGCCAAAACTAAAAAGAAGAAATAATAATTATCCCTGATTACAATATATTCATAAACATAATAATTCTAAAATCCCCAAACCTCCCTTAGACCGCCGACTTCCCCAAATCTAAACATATTTTATGTAAAAATCCCACCGGAAGTGCCATGCTACGGTGATAAGTCCCGCGGGTCATTAAAAAAAGAATGACAGTGGTACAAAATAGAAAAGCTCTTAAGCAACAGTGTGATAATCACACTGTAGCTTTAATTATATTTAGGACAGTAATACAGCATTGCTTCAAATAAGATTGACAAAATTTATGTTATGACTAAACTGAGTGGCACTTATAAATTAAAAGAAAATAACCGACGACATGCCAGTCTAGCTAGTTCTAGTCACACATATGATCATTCCCGACCCGATTGCTTGGTATATATCCATCAGACTTAATTATTTGACAGTAATGATCGTCATTCATAATTTTTCCATTTTTAGCTTTGTAAGAAGTTTTACCGTCGTCTATTTGATTGTGGAATAAGAGGCAACGATACTGGCACTCATTTCATCACCAAAAAAATAAAAAATAAAACACATCTTGTCAATCTTATGATTCAAGCTCAAACGGCACCTACTAATTTTTAGCATTCATGTTTCGTCCCAAACATATAATACGGACATGACCAGCAGAACATGGAAAAGAGTCGACAACCGTATATAAGTATATGCTTAATTATCAGCTTAGGTATAGCTAGGTAGTTTCCATATAATATATATAAAACAAGGGAAATGACAGAGCTTATATATAGTTTCAAACTAACTACTACATATTTCTATTGGGTACAAACCACGATCTAACCACTAGCTTAATTTATTGTAAACGTATATATGTGTACTATTATGAGCTCGCTAGCTAGCGATTATTATCAGTATGACAGTATCCTCTCTCTCTCCGTATATTATACCTCCTCACCAAACACGTATACGTACCCTAAACAAACCCTAAACAATAATATCATCATAGAAACACCGCTTGAACGCCTCCATATGGTCAACCCTCAGGCAAATGGCGAGCACGATGGAACCATCCCCATCCTGACTTTGCAACAGCATCGTGTCACCGTCGAACTCATGGGTCGAACCCATGTACACCTCCTTCCCGAACCCGAAATCCAGCCCTAGCAACGGCAGCCTCAGCCAGCTGATCACACCCAGGTTCGGCATCCCGAAGAACGGCCCCTCGTCATCGTCCTCCTCCTCGCCATCATGGAAGTCCTGGTATCAGAAGAGATATTACAAGTTATCGTCAAGACTCAAACCAACAATAATGAATGTCAAAGTAAATCAATAAGGTCTAGAAAAAATTATCGTAATCATCTAATTTAGTTTAATGCCAATGTTTAGTTCACACTTTAATTTGAGTTGTTAAAAGTGACTCAAGCCCAAATTTCTAGGGTTTCAATTTCACAACTCATCTTTGTCGTTTACCTGGAACTCGGTCAAGTCGGGTTGGTTCTTCAGGTAGTCGATGGCCGAGGTCAGGAACTCGCCGTCGGCCTTCTCCACGGCCCTCCTTATCTTCCCGGCGGCGTAACCTAGAGGCTTTGTGATGAGGTCGGCGGAGCGGCTCACGGCCTTGATGTCGAGCACCGCGTTGCCGAAGTAGGCGTTGGGTAAAGGAGGGTTCATGCGCCGGCGGGAATCGACGCAGACGCCGACGGATGTGAGCTGTTCGGGTTTGAGTTTTCTTGCCTTGCATGCGCACCTCCAGATGTGGGCGGTTAGGGTTTCGTAGGTGGAGTATGGGCGGTGGTCGAAGGTGGTCTCGTTGGCCATGTCTTTCAGCATCTGGACTTTGGTCTTGGTCATCTTCAGTTTCGCCACTTTGGTTTCGTAGTGTGGTTTGTTTCCTGCAGAATATCCATATGTGACTGACAGTTAGGAAATTTTCAAACTTTTCTGGTTCCGGCCACATCGTACATGGATAATGAAGTTAAATCGTGGTCAAGTTGATCTCTAATTACTATTTTATTCACATACGAGGTCGCCAATGTTTTCTAATCAAGATATTGTTAAGTATTTTTTTAAGTCCGTTCCGCACAATTTTATTTTTGGGTGCATTAGAATGACTTCCCTAGCTAGAAGCCACTCATATATATACGATTTTACTCTGGACACGTTTAATATTGGATAATTACAAAAATCATCGACCACGAAAAAGCAAATAGACTAGATCTAACTCCTATGTTTCAGCCAAAACGCATATTATGAGTTAAAATAAAATTATTTCACGTAAATCATGAATCTCTCAAGTGTTTGTCTCGGCGCGAGATTTACCTAAAATGTCACATTTATTATCATCACTTTAATATTAAATGAAGAAAAGTTTAACCCTACTCAACGTGCTATATTTTATGCCATGTTTTTTGGTTGTACATTTTATAATATACATCATGTGAGTCGTGTGTACGTATAATTTTCAGAAAGGAGGAAAAAAAACTTGTTGAAAAAACAATGGACAAACTTTAGGTTATGTTTGTTCTACTATTTAAATTCTGAAACTTAATTTTATGTAGGAAAATTGCAAAACAATATATTTCGTATTCTACTATCATTTGTTCGTAACAACTCAAATGGTTGTGATCTTAGCACGAGATAAAGATACAGATTTTGCATCGTATTAACATAATGAAGAAGAAGAAAAAAAAAATCCTTGCTCTATCCCTTTTTTCTTTTGATAAGTCGAAAAACCCTTTTGTTAGTTGCCATGGAATACTATATACCTTTGTTATTGGAGCAGCCGGCCTCGGGGAGAAGCACCGGCGGTCGCTGGAACTCAGCCGGATCAAACCTAGGATGCCTACTCACCGCCGGCTGGCCGGCCCGGAGAACCTTCCGATCGAGAAACGGCACCATCCCGATCCCCTTGCCACGTGCCACCCGGGCCCACTCGTTGAAGAAATGGAGCGCGCTGAGCCCGTCCACGACAGCATGGGAGATGTTGAACCCGAGGCCGATCCCGCCGCACCTGAACTTTGTCACCTGGACCAACAACAGCGGCCACTCGCCGAACGGGCGCGTGTAGTCCACCTCCGGGATAAGCGGCTGGAAATCCGTGCAGCTCGACAGGTCCTCGTCGCCGCCGAGCTCATCAAGCGACGTCGTCCTGGCTTCCGCCTCGATGAACCGGACCCCTAGCCCGTTGCAGTCCAGGTCGAACCGGCCTCCCCCGACCGGCTCGAGCCGGCCTGCCAGCGGGTAGAACGTGACCAGGGTTCGGGCCAGCGAGTCCTTGAGGTGGTCGAGGAGGTTCGGGTGGGAGGTGGAGGAGGTTGATTTGTAGAAGTAGACCGTCGGGACGTGGGTTATGGCTCCGATCATGTCCCACTCGGAGAGGGACATCCGGCCGGACCATGTCCGTTTGGCCGGTTTGACCAGGGTGGAGCGGTTTATAGTAATACTAGTAGGAGTAGCCATTGGTTTGGTTTGTTGGGTTGGAGCCTTGGAGGGAAAGGAGGATTGGAAAATTAATGAGAGAGATGGATGTGATGTTGTGAAGCTGCGAATGGGAAGTGGGTGTTTGGGGAGTTTGTCTATTTATAACGATGGTTATATGTTAAGAAATTGGGTTGTTGAGTGGCAATATTTTTAATGGACTAATAATGCAATTAAGTCATCTAATTAAACCGAGTAAATTGAATTCTGAGGAAAAGGGTATTGTTGTTTACTAATATAGTCAAGTTTGAAAAATTAATTATTAAATTTTGGGGATGGTGGACTGACTGAGGTTAACATATAGGATTTTGGGTTGAGATCTTTCTTTTTTCTTTACCTTGAGAAAGGAATTCAAATGCCAGTTTGACTCCTGTCATATGTAAAGTGATAAAGGGCCAAATTGGCAAGGACAAATAATAATAATAATAATAGAGATATAAACAGGGGGAAAGTTAGGCTTGAGTGGGGTTTTGATTGTATAGTGTGGTTTGTAATTTACATGACATGAATTTTAAGGTTCATAATCTATATTATAAATCAACTTGCATGTATTCTATATAACATATAAAACCGCGCATAAAATCTTCCATGGGTTGGTTGTTGTGGAAACTTTGGCTGTGGTCTAATTAGGACTTATAATTTCAAGTAAATACAACAGTTTATGTCCAATTTGGATCCTTTTAACTTTATCAAAACTGGAGGATCCAAGAGATTAAAAGCACCTATACATGTTGAATCATCATCAGCTACCTTATGCCCATGATTTCCGTTTAATGCCGAACTTTTCTGAACAAGAAGTTGATCTAGTGGTACTACTACTAGTTTTGAACTTAAAGGTTTTATGTTCGAACATCTTCAGTAATACCTTCAGTGGCGGACCCAGGATTTTAGCATAGGTGTGTCGGCCAATAAAAATAATTTAAAAATATTTAATTAATTAAAATAATTTAAAATAAACATAAAATTTTTATTCATAAAGTTCACCAATTTCATTATTTTTTACAGTGAACCACGACGAGTTTTCATATTCTAACAAATTTCGTAATTACATTTGTCCATTAGGTTGCAATCAAATCTTTTTTTATGTACATGATTAAACAATTATTCATAAACTAGTCACTCACCTTATACCAAAGATTGTTCTCGATTAAACTCATATATGGAAAATGTCATTTTGTAGCTAGCAGTTGCAAAAGGTAAAGTCATCACTAATTTAAGATGGGAAAACTAGTATGAGTATTTGGAAGGGTGGCCAAAAGTGTCAATATGAAAGTTTGAATGAGGATGTCGCCGGCTCGACGCCGATAATTGGAGTGTGGCGACAGATGTCAACGTGGAAAGAAATAACTAAACTAGAAAGCAAGTTGAAAATTAACTTAAAAGAAAAATCTATGGAAGAAGCTACAGGGAAATACAGTCTGGAACATTATCTAGTTACTTCTGAAGTCCAGTAACTCTTATATATACATATTTTAATAAAATTATGACAACAAAATTTTTGTTATGTAATAAGATGTGTAGGTTACAATTATTATAGGTGTGTCGGAGATCCCGTGTTCAAATTTTTTACAGCGAAATAATATAGGTTCTTCACAAAAATTTCGAACCAAGGTGTGTCGTTGACACACCTTACTTAAAGGTGGGTCCGTCAAAATAAACCAATAACACTCTTAACTATATTAAAAAATCTGAACTTTGATGAAATCAATCCTGGAGATTTCAGACTGTACTAGATTAGAAAATTCAACCCGGTAGAAATTTCAACTTTTAACATTTGATAATTGTATAAAAGTGCATCAAATCTCTATACATTGGCCCTTTTGTTCTCTATTACACATAGTGTAGTTCATCCAAACCTTGCTTAATTATAGGCTATGTTGAGTCAGAAATTCAAATGAGATGGTAAAAAAATTCAAGTTCAAAATATTTTAAACCGTGATAACTGAAGAGAGGGCTAAGACCTCATTAACTACTTTGTTTATGAAATTTATAACTAAATTTTACAGTACTTCCTTAATTCACCTAAATGTACATATCCAGTCCGGTCAAATTAATTATAACATACAATTCAATATTAGCCGTTAATTCGAATGCCATATTAGATTGTTTATTAAATCCTAACAGAAGTATAACACTCACAACACGACTCAAATTAATTGATCAATTATTTACTCACCCATTCCACTATTTTGCATAACATAGTGGCGCGCAAAATCATAATTTAGAGTGAGCAGAGACTAAAAATAACTAATGACAATAATTTTCCACGGTTCAACCTAAATCTTAGAGGGGGGCTAATAGCTCATATCCTAACACTTTATTTTTCTTCAAAATACGAATACACAAATTATTCTCTTACATAAAAAATTGAAAGAAAATTGTAGCCCATTTTGAACTACACGTATCTCTACCGCAAACCTAACAAGTAATTCTTGGGGACCTGAACCTCCTATGATAATTTGAGTATAATTTCAACTTATGTAACTTGATTTGTATTGTTAAAATAAACTGAAATACTATAGTCATTAGGACCGGCGGCTACTTGGGCAATTTCGTGCATGTAGGAAACTAGGACCTAATTTTACTGAGTACCGCCACTCTGGCCAATTGCCATGCCCATGCATGCACGATATTGCCACTTTTTGGGTGGAAAGCCCAATATATATGCACACGTTGCCTAATTCCGGCCGCCCACAATCACTTAATCATTTATCTCATCCACTTCGGTGGATTAATATATAGCTTAATTAATTATATTAGCTTCACGTTTCTATTTTCAGTGGGATTATTACGGCCTCTATGTATAATTTTTAGGAATTACCGTTGCAAAAGGCAGGCCGCCGGCGGGGGGCCTTAATTGATTGCCAGTACCACGGCCATTAATTTTCCCGTGCATGCATATATATGCACTTGGAAGCTGCATCAGTACTTGCCTTTAGGTTTTACTCCGGCCGCCCACGACTATTTATTCTTATAATTATCTAGCTAGCTGCTTCACTTTTTCTCTTGCTTTTGGTACGTTTGTCTAGTGATTATCTCTTGCTTACAGATAGATTCGCCACGTTTTTATTTGGAAGTGCGGTTTGGATATTAAGATACATTAACTACTGTAACAAGTTGAGGGTAACGGGACACAATAGGTCAATTCTCAAAGGGAATATGCCCGTGGTGTAATTCGGGATGGTGGAAAACGACAAAAGTTAAAAGGGGTAGTTGATATATTATCCAAGTTGGTAACCTCTTTTTCTTCTTCTTCTTTCTGATCAATTGGTTAGGTGGCTGATAGGGTGAGTAACCTTAGGGAATGGATGTAATCTTATGGTGAGTAACCATGAGTAACCAGCACGCATCAGCATGATATTAGCATCCCTCTCTCCTAAAAAGTCTTTAATTTTCCCCTTCTTAATCTTTGATGGACAATTTCTCACTCGTTTTAAGTCAAAATTTATTTTTTTTTTAACAGTTAGATCATATTAATTGTGTTCTTCAAAATGATATCCACTTTGATATATTTTTTGAACAAAAAAAAATTGAGCCATTTTTTACCAGTCTATATCATATGGTATTGACTGGTATTGAAATAAGAACATACCTATGGTAAGCAGTTGGTACAGAGAGGCTAGAATTTTTTTTCTCAAAAAATATTGAAAATTGATCTCATTTTGTAGAGCAAGATGAACTCGTTCCATCTGTGCAAAAAAAAAAAATTAAAATCCGAGTTAAAACAAAAAAGATATGAGCTGATTAAAAAAGCTAGGGAAAATAAAAATGATCTTTAATTCTCCATCCTTAGATCTGGATTTTCTAAATGAAGGGTCCAGATTTGGTTATTGAGCCGTACCCTTAGGGTGAGTAACAACGAGTAACCAAATCTGAACCCTTCTTTTAAGTGACTGCAGATCCAAGGGTGGAGAATTAAAGAAATTTATTTTCCCTAGTTTTTTTAATTGGATCATATCTTCTTCATTCTAACTCTGATTTCAATTTTTTTTTTTTTGCACAGATGGAACGAGTTCGTTGTGCTCTACAAAATGATATCCATTTTCAATATTTTTTGAGAAATTTTTTTCATCCCACTCGTTACCAACTCCATACCATATGGTATCTCCTTCGTTGTTTAGTCATTTTCGGAAATTTTTGTACAAAAGGAAAGATTTAATCATGATCTATTGAATTTCATAATTTTATGGGGGAAAAAGTTTCATACCTCTCGTTACCAACTCCATACCATACTATACCACCCTGGTATGAGGTGGTATTTTTTTTTTTTTTTTGACAAAAGATACTCATATATTGAATCAAAAGATAGTTACATCCTGGATCGAAGCCAGGCCTGAAAATCAAACAATCGACAAGAAGCCGGATATAAAGTAAGGGCCTTTCTAGCCACCCTATGGGCTACCCTATTGCTATCCCGACCAACAAATCGAATACTAAAACCCATATGACTCCCCAAGCACCGCACAATCTCTTCCAGAACCACCCCAATCCTGTTATCCCTGGTCGCAGCCTGATTGACTTTGTCAATAATGACCTTAGCATCCCCTTCGAACATATGGTATTGACTGGTATTTTTCATATCATATGGTATGCTGTTATTTAATACCAGTCAATACCATATGGTATTGACTGGTAATAACTGACAAAGTTTTTTTGTTCAAAAAATATCAAAGTGGATATCATTTTGAATCGTTACCAACTCCATACCACACTATACCACCCTGGTATGAGGTGGTATTTTTCATACCATATGGTATGCTGTTATTTAATACTAGTCAATACCATATGGTATTGACTATACCATATGGTATTGACTGGTAATAACTGACAAATTTTTTTTGTTCCAAAAATATCAAAGTGGATATCATTTTGAATCGTTACCAACTCCATACCACACTATACCACCCTGGTATGAGGTGGTATTTTTCATACCATATGGTATGCTGTTATTTAATACCAGTCAATACCATATGGTATTGACTGGTAATAACTGGCAAATTTTTTTTGTTCCAAAAAATATCAAAGTGAATATCATTTTGAAGAGCACAATTAATCTGATCTAACTGTGCAAAAAAATAAATTCCGAGTTAAAACGAGTAAGAAATCGTCCGTCAAAGATTAAGAGAGAAAATTAATGATTTTTTCAAGAGAGAATGAGGCGCTAATGGGGCAGATTTTTATTGGGTTATGCATGGGGTTACTCACCACAAATTTACTCACCGGATCTGCTCCCGGCTATGGCTGATGCCTAATTACCAATTAGAGTACTAATGTTGGAGAGTGCATAACCTAGTTTCACATTTCTATGGAAATAATTGAAAAATTGGAGTTGAGATAAATGCGAAAAATCATTATACATCAAAGTACTTCTATTGTTGTTGAGCTCGAGAATGGATCAGGTCAGTAACCTTATGGTGAGTAACCATGAGTAACTCGTCCACATCAGCATTACATCAACATCCTCTCTCTCCTGGAAAGCATTTAATTTTCCCCTCTTTAATCTTTGACGGACGATTTCTCACTCATTTTAAGTCGAAATTTAAATTTTTTTGCACAGTTAGATCAGATTAATTGTGCTCTTCAAAATGATATTCACTTTAATATATTTTCGAACAAAAAAATTGAGCCATTTTTTACCAGTCTATACCATATGGTATTGACCGGTATTGAAATAAAAGCATACCTATGGTTTGAAAAACGTACCATGGTGGTATGAACAAACCAATACTGTAGGATGGTTGAATACATGATAGTAGAAGTATATTAATTGTCATTTACGACTTTTAACATTGTATACCACACAATACCACCCCGTACCAGGGTGGTATTTTATGGTATTGTGTGGTATTTTTTGGTCCTGTAATTTGTTCACCCAGAAATTTGTAGATCCGATAGATCATGATGAACTCGTCCCTTCTGTGCAAACGTTTTCAAAAACGAATTAAAAACGAAGAAGACACCATACAATACCATCCCGTACCAGGGTGGTATTGTATGGTATTGTGTGGTATTTTTTGGTCCTGTAATTTGTTCACCCAGAAATTTGTAGATCCAATAGATCATGATTAACTCGTCCCTTCTGTGCAAACTTTTTAAAAAACGAATTAAAAACAAAGAAGATACCATATGGTATGCAGTTGGTACCGAGAGGCCATAATTTTTTTTCCTCAAAAAATATTGAAAATTGATCTCATTTTGTAGAGCACGATGAACTCGTTCCATCTGTGCAAAAAAAAATTAAAATCCGAGTTAAAACGAAAAGGATATAAGTCAATTAAGAAAGCTAAAAAAATAAAATGGTCTTTAATTCTCCTTCCTTAAGTCTGAATTTTCTAAATAAAGGGTCCAGGTTTGGTTATTGATGGGTGCATAACCCATGGTTATGTACCCTATCTTTAGCCGGTTAGGACGGTGGAGTTGATTAATTCTATTATTAACGATATGTATCAGCATTAGATGAGTATTTTTGTGTAAAACAAATACAACAGATCCTTTTAAAACGAAATTAATTTGATCTCTAGCTAGGGCATTATTGGACGAAGAACATGACTAAATCCGGCGACGGCAACCAATATATTCTGGACCGTTTTGGTGTACCTTTAGTTGGGAGGTGCCCAAACATACAAAAAAAAAAAAAAAACTACACGTATGAGGTAATTAACTAAAAGGATATCAGGCGATATGAAAGTGTATTTACGATCGCCAATTTACGTAATTTGATAGGATTATTTTGTGAATACTCTTTGTCATCGTCAACTAATCTTGTAAAATTTCAGCAATTCGAATATACATTTAATTAACAAAGATTAAAAAAAAATGATAGATCAGCGCGAATCGATCCCTATTACAATATTTAGTTTTCTATACCTCCTTCTTAACATAAAGGTCGATAATGTAGATGATCATCGTGAGCTGATGATCAACAATGGTGAGTCATGGAAATTAAAGTTGTAGCCAGACCATCCCAAGTATAAAAACAGGCAAACCAAATTTGTTTCTCTTAGATTTATATTTATGGGGGAAAACAAGATATGGTCGGTAGCATCCCATTTTCTTCTACCAATATCGATTCTTTTAAGCTAACTAATACCCAATAGAAAGTGTTTATTATTATAGCGTAGCTAGCCAACTCTTCTTTTTAATCTCCAAAAATTTGAACAGATCGGCATTGAATTGGGATAAGGCCGGCTACAGAGTTGATATACTCGGTTCTTTCTTCCCCAATTTATTTAGCCAATAATTGAACTGGAGCAAGTGGAATATTGTTATAAACGCGGTGCTACGGATCGGGAAATCGCTGGAATCGACAAAGCAAGAATACGAAAGCGAGAATCGAAAAACACAGACACACGATTTACGTGGTTCACTAACACGATGTGTGTTAGCTACGTCCACGGGCGAGAACGAGCCAATTTCACTATATCGAGGAGATTACAGATTACAGAGGAGTATGAGAAGTATTTATAGTACTTCTCCATGTGGGTCTAAACCTAATCCAATCTGGCAAAGGAAACGGTTACAGACCAGGCCTAGAACCCAAACCCAAATAACATTGAGCCCATACACCGTGGGCGTTGTCCCTGGACCCCACTCACTGACCAAGCAGCGAGATCCCCGATTACCAGTCGTAACGGCTGATAGTCCGATTCAAGTCACATCAACAAATATAATTCTCTCTATTTGAATTTAGGTTGGAATATTGGATTGAATCTCATCCTTTACAGTTGCTATGTAGCACAGCAGCAGCTAGCAGAGGGAAAGATGGAATTTGTATTTCCCCTGCTGCTGGGGCAATTTTTTCCTAGCCTTGCTCTTCGATTTTCTTTGCGGCGTGGAATTATTAGTAATAATATGCATGCTTTTATTTTAGATATCTTGCAAGTTTGATTTAGTCTCCCGTTTCTGCCAGAAGGTTCTTCCAGAGATGAAACACATGCACGCACTTAATTGAGAGGAAGGTCGTTGCATGTTGTAGAGAAGTTTCCTCAGTAGAGATAGATAGCCCGAGCATGGACAAAAATATATAGATGACATCACTGCTGATGCGTTGATTGAATTTTTTTTTTTTTCAAGATATTCCGAAATCGAAATGGAACAAAACTGTATCAAAATGATAGTGTGTATACACTAGAATAAATGGAAGGGTTAATATATTAATTAGGCCCGAATTATACAAAAAATTTCTATTTTGGCCATCTTACTTGACCACGTCAGCGAGCAGATAATAAAAAAAATGTTTTTTGAATTTTTGAATTTTTTCCTTTCTTATAATAATAATAATAATAATAATAATGCCTTTATAAAAAAAAAATTATTTCCTTTCTTATAAAAATATAGAAATTAAAAAAAAAATTTAATATTTTATTTCCTGCTCGATGATGTGGCCAAGTGAGCTGGCAATTGAACGGTCAACTCAATGGTCAAACTCGCCTCCAGGCCAAATAAGGAAGTATGGTACATAGTTCAGGCCAGAAAAACAATTTCCGAAACCACGGACCAAAGTAGAAAATTTGTGTATAGTTCGGGCCAAACTAAGCCATAAACCCTAAAAGGAATGAGGCCCAAAATAAAAAATAAACGGGTTGGGTTGGCAAAGATCCAAACGGCGAGTATTGGTAAATGTGGCCCAGTAGAAGAGCTGAAGAGGTATATGATGTTACCAGCAAAGGGCCTATCCGAAACTGAAAATTATGAGCCAGCCCAGAAAATTTATCCGGCCCGTAGCAAATTGATTAGGTATTCGAGTGTGATCATTCGCGACGAAAAATCTGCCACTGAAAACGGCCGAATGTGCACACACTAGTACTTCATAACGTAAACTTAATATTAGCAATCAACAAGATAAATTAACTTGCACAACATTATGCAAGCTAAGTTATTAAGACAGTTTCACATTACAAACACTTAAAACGATCGATTATCGACCCACATTTGAAATCATTAGAGAATCCAATCACGACTCACACAATTTTCCCTTCCAGCTCATATCACTGAATCGACCTCTCAGACGATTATGTCATCATAAAACAACCGTTCAAACTCGTCCACATGGTCCGACCTGAAACAGATCGCGAGCACAACCGACCCATCTCCATCCTGACTGTGCGACAGAGTGGCGTCGCCGTCGAAATCAAACGTCGTGTCCATATAAACTTCCTTCCCGAACCCGAAATCCAGCCCCAGCAACGGCAGCCTCAGCCAGCTACTCACCACCAGATTCGGCATCCCGTAAAACGGCTCCTCGTGATGCTCGCCGTCATCCCTAACGCCGTCAACTTCATGGGAGTCCTGGAACTTGGTCAGGTCCGGCTGGTGCTTCAAGTACTCAACGGCCGAGCTCAAGAATTCGCCGTCCACCTTCTCCACCGCTTCCCTTATCGTCTCCGCCGCGAATCCTAGCGGCTCGTTCACGAGGTCGCCGGAGAGGCTTATCGCCTTCACCCCGAAAACGGCGTCGCCTAAGTAAGCATCGGGCAGCGGCGGGTTCAGCCGTCTGCGTACGTCCACGTAGACACCAACGGCGGTGGGTTGGTTGGGTTTGAGTTTCCTTGCTTTGCAAGCACACCTCCATGTGTGTGCCGTTAGGGTTTCGTAGGTGGAGTACGGTCGATTAGGGTTTCCTTTATTCGCCATTTCCTTCAAGAGCAGTAGTTTCGTTTTGCTTAGCTTCAGTCTCGCCACCGTGATCTCGTCGGACGGGCCTCCGGCTCCGTTACCTGATTCATGCAATTCAGCACAAGCGAAAGTTTTAATGAATGTCGTGAAAACTTGGATAATCGAATGGTCTTATTATTGTTTTTGGAAAATGTCAGAATATGTAATATTCTATTGAGAAATGTATAATACGTTTTTAAGTACTTTACATGAAATTAGTAACTCTAATTCTATCAGATTGGCTACTAGCATTGATGTTTTCGATAAAAAAAATCCTATTATGCTACAAACGAAAGTTTGTAGCTTTTAACATTTCGAACGATTTGTACAAACCGAACTTCTTTATGATACAAACAGATTTTGTACATTTAACGTTTTGGTACAAACTCAGTTTGTACAAACCGAACTTCTTTATGATACAATCAGATTTTGTACCTTTTACGTTCTAGAATAATTTCAAATTGTATCTATACATTTTCGACAAACTTATTTACGATACAAACTGAACTTGTATCTTTGACGTTGTGGTACAAATTGAATTTGTATCGAAATTAAATAACCACTTGAGCATTGTAACATTTATTGACATAGAAAGATGCATACATCTGTTTAGCTATCAATTAACAATTAAATAGAGAAGAGGCTACATCAAAGACTGAGTCTAATCCATCCATCATCCTCAATCGATCGTCATAATCTATTATCAGCCACAATTAATCATTCTTGTGCTGGTTGCAACTAACCAATACATGTCATAGACGCCAAGTCATTTATACAGTGCAGCAAGATGAGATATAATGGACGTCGTTGTTGTAATGTACGCAACATGCAGTCCGTAGATAATTAAACAACTGATTAAAGTATGCATTTAAGATTCTAACACGAAATTAGAACAAAGTACTAGGTATTTAGTAGCCAACCTATTCCAACAACCAGGTTCAAGGCGTACGTAGAGCTATTTCAGCTACGTGAATTAATAATAATGCATTAAGATAATGAAGTTACTCGTGGAGGACACCAACTACAAGGACAATCGAGGATTAGTGACTAACGAGGCTCCTTAGCAAATCAGTACAAGATTATGGTAACCTTCCCGGTATCGATATGTAGCTTGTGGTGAAGCTACATGTAACTTGGAGTGGGTTGTAACCTTTTTAATATGGGATTTTAGATTATAAAACATAGATCATAGGGTAATCATACATTCAAATGTGGTAGGATGGTTGTCTATATTATCTTTCCTCATTCACAGCGGCGGATCTAGGATGGGGTAGAGCACTGGGCCAAATTTGAAAAAGGGGTTAAGAGGACTGGGCCGTAACCCATCGAACACTAAAACGAATACCTAAAATCGAAAATCTATAGGGCTATACAAGCTCCGGATCCGGGGAGGGCTGGGCCGTGGCCCGGGGGCGGCCATCCCTAGATCCGCCGCTGCTCATTCAAACTCCGAGTTCAATCAAATAGGTTGCTGTAATTTTTTTAATCTATCCCACTAATCTACCTTGACCCGTTATATTGCACGATAAATAATTATCGCCTTACGTAACAATTACTTTTGTATCAGAATTTTGACCGGACGAAATAGACCGATATATAATAAAGTTTCTCATTTGAGTGTATATCTCTCCATATTCAATACTAGTAACGAATAAATAACAATGGCTGGATTTCTACCTTGGAAATTTTGTTAAACGAGTGAAGTCTGCACAGATTAAAGTTGAAAAACACAAATAATAAAACAATTTAACCATTATAAAAATAAGTTTTAGATTTTTTCCCCTTTTCGTATTAGATTCAGACTGAGATAAGCACTCCCACCCATGCAGAAAACCAATGTTATCACACTGACGTCAACTTACCATTGTCATCGGTGCAACCCACGTCAGGAAGCATCACCGGCGGGCGCTGGAACTCCGCCGGATCGAAGCTAGGCTGCCTCCCAAGCGGCGGCTCCCCAGCTCTCAAAACCTTCCGATCATGAAACGGCATCGTACCTATCCCTTCCCCACGGGCCACGCGGGCCCACTCGTTCAAAAAATGAAGCCCACTGAGCCCATCAGCAGGAATATGTGACATGTTGAAACAAAGACACATCCCGCCGCAACCCAACTTGGTGAGCTGGACAAGCAGCAACGGCCACTCCTTCATCGGAAGCGCGTAGTTCACCTCCGGAACCAACGGCTGGAACTTGGTCCCCCTGCTACGCGCCAAATCGCCAACCCCCAACGCTTCCAACGACACCGTTTCGGCTTCCGCCACGATGAACTCGACTCCCATGGCATTGCAGTCCAGCTCCAGCCGGCCGCCTCCTATGGGGTCGAGCCGGCCAGCCAGCGGGTAGAACGGGACCAGCGTCTGGCTCAAGGCGTGGCGGAGGCGGTCGACGAGAACGGCGTCGTTTTGTGGGACGGTGGGCTTGGCGTAGAAGTAGAGTGTGTCCACGTGGCTTATGGCGCCGGTCATGTCCAGCTCGGAGAGGGACATTCGGCCCGTCCAGGTTTGGGCCGATGGTTTCACGATCGTCGAGCTCTTGATCGTAATGGCGAACTTGGCCATCTTTTTTGGTTTGGTTTGGTTTGGTTTTGTAGTGTTGTGATTGAAGGAAATGGGTGTTTAGTTTTGGGTATATATAGGCAGAGGGTTGGGTTTGCTTCCGTTCGACTCCCGACACAAATTTCCTTTTTATGTATAAAAAAAAAGGTGATACGAATAATGTAATAAGCTGATGTTCAACTGATCTTCTGCAGAGTATTGACCAATCGCAAGTACGCAACCACATAATTAATACGCCACTACTTTTGGTTGTGTGTATAGTTCAATTTGCGTCTTTCAAAATTATAAGACGTTTTCAATTAAGTTTTATAAGAACTAGGTCGTCATGATCATTTCTCTTCAAGTGCTTGTGTGTGGAGGTTGTGACTTGTGATGCGAACGGAATCAGTTTGGATAGAACTGTGTGGTCGCGGTATGGCTAAGTACTATAAATGCGCACTTTTTGTTTCTTGATTTTTACATGGTTTTTTTTTCTGTACGACGAGTGACAGTTTATTTCGATGAAGGTGATGTAAATCGTAGTAATCGATGATCACAGACTGGTGAAATTACAAGCAGTACACAACTTGGCTATTGTTCTTTGTATGTACCTAAGTGAGGGTTGGAACCAGAAATTTCTATGCGTAAAGTAAAATATTATAAAACTGTGGGACCCAGGGGCGTAGCCAGGATTTCGATCAGGGTGGGTCCACTTTGAAAAAATATATATGATGAAATAACTTTTGTTAATTTTTTTAATTATTCATAATATAATTTTATATTTAAAATTTTTTATAAAATAAAATACATTAATAGTCAAAACTATTAAGAATATCACTCTCTCTATATACCAAACATTTATTCATAATTTAGTTATTCGGTCGCTTTCGAATGATGTTATTTGCCAATAATTATTTACTATAGGTTTAATAATGAATCTTATACAAATAATTATTCATGATTTAGTTATTTGTTCGCTTTCGAATTGTGTTCTTTGTCAATAACCATAGTATCAATAACTAGAGTTGTTGGTTGAAGTTCAATAATATATTTTATACCATTTACCAACATACCCCGTTATAAGAAAATCAAATTATGTGGAATTTAAGTTTGCACAAATTCGAATACTATATGTGCTTAATGAATGAGGTCGTCAAAACTAGAACACAAAACCTTTCGATCAACGATTATCAATTAAACATACTCTAATTTTCCGAATCAATTAATTGTTATACCTAATTTAGTCCTTTTTTCCCCGAACTAGGGTGGGTCCCGGGACCCACCCATTTGCCCTCTCCCTCCGCCCCTGGTGGGACCCAATAACTTTTGAATTGTTGAGAGAGGTTCATGTGCAGATCGAGACCGTACTTTCTAACACGCTCCCTCAAACGAAAGCCAGCTTATGTGGTGCTGCAGTTTGCACGGGTAGAACAATACAATATGCTTATCAACAGTTAATATTGGGAGCACCGGAAACTTGAACACGAGACCTCACAGTCAAACCAGCTCTCATACCATATTACAAATAATAATTCATTACATCATGATTAAAAATGTATAAGTAGTTTGAGTACATTATGATCCATATTAACTAGGGCAACAAACTCGATATTTGTACAACAATAAAAGTTTATAGGTATAATACATTTTTTTAATTATGTATTTTTATCAAATATGTTCCTCTATTCTTTGTTATATCAAAAATACACATATATTTTAGAAAAACTACCAAACATACTCTTTTATATAAAAAGTAATTCATCCAAAAATTATCAACCACGATCAAGTCGTGGTTCATACAATCCGATTGCCAAAATGAGAGGGAACATGTCTTTTTTCCCTCAAATATTTCTCTAAGTCTCTTGAAAGTGAAAATATTAAGGGTATTGTAGACATTTGTGTCGTTCGAACCATAATTAACTATTTTGGGTGGAAAATTTTAATAAAATAACATGTTTGATAATTTTTTAAAACTACAAGGGCATGTTTTATATAAAAATAATAGAGAAAATATTTTATAATAAAATGCATAATAACGAAACATATACCTATAACCCCACAATAATAAAGCTAAAATTTTAACATCCTTTTAATAGGAAAACATATCACTTGGCCCAACAACATTGTTTTGTAGTGTGATGAGATTCTTGTATGCAATCTAAGCTTTATGTTATGTTTGTAGTGCGGTTTAATGTGTTTCTCAATTGTGTTTTGTGGCACCAATTAATAGTTTAATACAACACATGTGTGTCTCTCCTCCCAATTTCTCATAATGACCATCATGTCATTTCTTTATAAATCTTCATCAGTTGCGGTCAAGCCCTTTCAATAATAAAGTAATCAAAACGAAATGTATTTATATGCCGGATCTAATGTTAGTGCCTTACTAACAAAATGTTACCATTCTTTCTTTAAGATTCATAAGATAGGACGAGGCAAGACATCATCAGTTGTACCTCACTAAGAAGTAGAAAGAAGCTATTGCAATCACTAACTGTAAGAAAGTGGTTAATACCATATATCGACCTCTCTCAACAACTCGGGTTATTGTGATCAGTTGGTTTATGACACGGTATCAGAGCTGGTTTGTTATTGAGTTCACGTGTTAAAGTCCTGATGACCCCCCAATAATATTAACCATTGTCTTATAACACATGGTATGGGGAGGCCTGTTCGAACAAATTGTTACTAGTTGATGATTTATGACGATATCTCAAATCCTCCCAAACATACACCATCAAACGTAGTGGAATAGTAGAACCTAAACTGATCAAAGTCATTGTGGAGTCGGTTGCCGATCTGCAACCGTTCTCTTTATAAAAAAAAATGTAAAATAGTACATTTGATCAAATCACAAATTAACTTAATTAATTCGTTACCAAATACCAAGCAACACATTAGTTTCCCTCTCTTGGGCACATACGCTATTGAGTAATATACAATCTAAACCTGGTTTAAAAAAAAAAAAAAAAAACTAGATCAGTAAATAATCCACTGTAGCCAGCTAGCGAGGCGGTCGCCTCCAGAAAGGGCATGAACGAATTAAGAATCAGTATATATATTTCTTTCCTTCTACATTTTGATAATATGAAACGACGGTTACGAAATTGCAACTGATGTGACTTCAACAGCTTATTAATTTGTCATCAACGACTTGATCTCACGGCCGATGGGAATGGTTAAGCAACTCCAGTTCTAGAGGGTCTGCTACCGCCCATGGTTTAAGAAAGTTTTCTAGCTTACAATGAAAGTGTGCATTATCATGAAATGGACAGTTTTCTAACTGCGCGGAGAGTGGGATAATCCCGAACCTTTTCCCGAGCAAGATATTGTCAGCTTTGTGCCTCTACATCCGCACGGATTTCGACTTGGGGTGCAATTCAGGGTGACTTTTCATAAAGTCATCCATTCTTGTTGTACTCCATGCTGAGCACGTTTAACTTCGGAGTTCTCACAAGAATTCCTCCATATTACACCCCAAAACGCGTCTTGTCAGTTAAGGTCGATTTCTTACTTATGAACCATGGATCTCTCATGGATTTTGTCGATGTTGGTTTGCCTGTTACATACTGATTCATCGAACAACAACATGGAATTTGGATAGATTAACAAATCAGATTGGTCAAGCCTCTCGAAACAAAAAAACAAAAAAAAATTAAGAGATCTCCACCAAGTAATAATTAAGTTAACCAGCAAGCAAGGGACTGAAAAAGACAACGGTTAGTTAGACCAAATCTTATTAACAAAAACATTAATTAAATGTGTCATTAATATGTGATTGGCCAGCTTCTTTAGTTGAAACCTAGCTAGACTTATATGCTATGGATAATTGGATATTCCATCCTTCCAATTATTAATATTCAGAGTTTTCCCAGCTACTTAATAACCCAACAAGAAACTTTATTCACTATTTTGATGAAACGATTTTAATTAATTAAGTTGACTTCTAGTCAAGATGAGGGAGATCTAAAATATACCATAATAATAGTAATAATTCAGCTATTCGAAAACGTTTGGCAATGGTCTTGTTGAATGTTGACTTCATTAGAAAGCGTTTATTAGCCGCCGTTTGTGTAGTTAGTTTTCCGCGAGCCTTTGTTACACAGCCACACAGGCCATCTGCCTCGGGACTTTTTTTTTTACAGTAATTGTGGATAACTGATTTTTCTCTTATCTAATGAGAAAAATCTATACATTGATTGGATGTTTTGCGAGTACGGTGATTCCTCATCATAGTCACACAAATTCACATTCAACATACACGTAATTGCATCATTCCTCTTTTGTTTGTCCATGTTAAAATTGAACCGAAGCATCATGATTAGAGGTGATAAATGAACTGGATATATACGTTGGTGGTGGATCCATGGATCATATGAATTTTGTGAATTGGATCATAGATCCAAATGACATCTAAAATATTGTACCAATATGTATAATAAAAAAAATCTTAACTATCAAAATATAATTTTCCAATAAAATTTTATCGCTAAATATTAAAAATACAAGATTATCACCACAAATCATCACCAACCATTTTCAGGTCTTGAGAGATTGACTCGGAGAGGTATGCCCATCTATAGCCACTAGGGTCCAAGTCCAACATGTTAGCGACGGGACATCTATAAATGGGCTTTCAGAATCTGGGTCGTCATTGATGCAATCAAATGGGTTTTATCTCCATGAGAAATGGAGGTTTGCGAATAAGCCCATTTTCCACATGGAAACCCAAACTACGCATTTGTTGGGAGCCTCCTTCCTTTAATTACGGTCTAGTGGTCTACGGCTAGTGGGTTGGTCTTATATTTTTTTGCTGGAGTTAGGGTTGGAAGTTTGGTACCGGTATTTGGGATATGCTGAATACTTTACCGAATTTGTCTATATTTAGTATTACCGAATACACATATTATTTATTGGGATTGAGATTGTGATTCAATTTCAATTGTTATTCGGTATTAGGGATTGCATAATTGAGATCGGTATATACCGAAATACCGAACAATACAGAAATATAAGATAGTGTGTATTTTATCCTCTCAAATAGACTCTGTAATTCACTACTACACTACCCTCAACCACCAGTCAATTGTTATTTTCATAACACCAAAAAGCAAACACTAGTATCAGTCTTCTGTCGGCCTCCAATTCGTCAAATTAAAGATTACCAATGACAAAAACTTGAGATGTCACCTCTACTTCATTCTCTCTATCCATATCCTAGCTCTAGCCAAACTCAAAACTATTTGTTTAGTCTCTTTGTCCTGTATTAAACAGTCAAATCTAATTTATATATTTAATTAGTAATTGTAAATGTAATTAATTTCGTATTCGATAATACCGATTGGGATACCGAAGTACCGATTGGGATACCGTAGGGAGTTCTCGTATAACTCTTTTCTTCTCTTTTTCTTTTCATGAGTGCATAACAAGGCGCCATTATGTTTTTATTAGGTGTCCACGTAGTTCATGGGTTAGACAATACTCATGTAAAGCATCTCGTCATAAGCCCGTAGGCACACATATCATACCATATACTCATTGATGCTATACACAATCATCTCAATTGCACATCAATACATTCTTCACATAGCTCATTCATCAATGCATGTTGAAAATAGCAAACTCATACATATCCACATTATCAATTCTCATCATATAAGCTTATACTCATTCATTACCTGAATACCATGCACATACTCATTCATATAAGCTATCTATCACAAGTCCACTTATACGGGCCGCTTTATTACCCGAATACCATGCACATACTAAAACATATATTAGGTTAAGAATTACTCACAACTCGATTACTCTGATACACCCTTGCCCTTCTCCGCAGCTCTTGCTTGACTGTTACCTTAAAGAAGCTAGTTACATGGCAACGTTTAATACAATAACAATTTACTCATTAATCGTAGCCAACCCATTAACTAGTCATAATATCATTTATAAATAAACCATGTCATGTAATTGACTTGTTTTCTATTTTGTCTTTATTTAGCACCCAACACCTACATATCACTAAACCCACGTTATCATCCTATATATTTAATTAAACTACCTCCACCTCAAACTGTTTCCACTTCCAGGTTAAACACCACCACCCCAACTAACCTTTCCAATTGAGAAATCATCATTATCATCATCCACGCATAACAAAATATATTCTCATACATAATAATTTTGGGAACCACTTTAAAACATGCATATCCATGCATGATTATACCGACCATACCATAATCATTTCAACCCATTATTAGCACTTAACTATCCAGTTACTTTCTTTACCCCTCCTTGAATGAGATGACTAATTCTCATACTTATACCCATTTAGGGGGTGGCTATACGGTCTGGTCCGGTTAAATTGGCCCAAATTGATCTGGTCCAGTCTTTTTTGAAAATATAAGGATCAAAGATTGGATACAGTCTGGTCTTGATCCGGCCAGGTCTTGACCCGGTCCGCCCAATTCGATCTTGATTTTATATTGAGCTGTTGGGGATTTAAGTGGCCTAAGGCCTGAAATGGTGAGGAGTTGGTTAAGTTTTGTACTAAGTGCAAAGGTTTGTGACTGTTTATGCAAATTACCCTTAAGTTTTGGGTGTTGAGCTCTCTTATCCGGTCTTTATTCAGTTTTTTATCCGGTCCCGAAAGATTTTTTACCTCAAATCTAAGCCCAAAGATTGGATTGGATTGTTTACTATCCGGTCCCGATCCGGTCTCGGTCCGAGTTATACGGTTCGGTTTCGAGTAAAACAAAAAAACCCTGACCAAATAACCAGCCCTACCCATTATGCATCCCCAAACGGGAGAAAACCCTCCCCTGTAACTCTTAAACTTCATCATCCTTCTATCACTGAAGGACTTGGCGGAACCCCAAATTACCACTGCCAACCAACCACCTTCCTTCCCTTTCATTTTGTTCCATCATTAAAGAAAGAGGGTCTTACCTTTTAGTACGTAGTTAAGTACCCGCCTACCAAACCCTGCGACTTCAATCTATCCTACTGATGCAGATGAAGCTCAAGATGGAGATAAGAAAAGGAAGGTTATGAGAAACTTCTGTCGTTCTCTCTCTCTTGAACCTCAAGGAGGATGGACGGATAAGGAATGCATGTCACTCTTCTCCCTCAAAGCTAATCTATCCAGACACCCACCTCCTAGTTCATTTTATAGACTGTTGAAGGGCAGGCTACGTGTGACATACTGACATTGAATCAAACCAATGGATGGATTGGACCATAATGAACAAATTATAATGCGTTATGGTCATTGGTTCAATGAATTTAATTAATTCATAATTTTTTTTTACCGAAACGACACATTTGAACCGGACCAAACCGAGTTTAACCAAATACAATGATGATTTGTATACCCCTACTTATGAATTATGATGCATGCACGTCTCTTTTGTGTATTACTCATTCACTCCTCTGTTGATGTACACAAAAGTAGGGATGGCAAATTACCCACCCATGGGTAATTATACCCAAACCCAAGTAGACCCATTGATAATGGGTTGGGTATGGATGAAGTGCATATGGATTTGGGGGTTTATAGATGGGTTTGGGTTTGGGGCTTCCATAATCTAAATGGGTATGGGTTGGATATGGATATCCATTTACTTGAGGGTGTTTTAACTACACAAGCAAAAATTGGACCTATTTGCAAAACTTGAAAAGTTTAGGTACCAAAATGTAAGACCAAAAAAATTTAGGTACCAAAATGTAATTTTCCATCGATATTTTGAGGACTTATATGCAAAAAAAAATTAAATTTAGGTACTAAATATGCATGTCTATTAAGTTTGGGTACCAAACTGTAATTTGTATTTGGGCATAGGTACAAACCCAAATCCATTTAATATAAACCCAACTCAACCCAAAGTAAATGGGTATGGGTACAAACCCATCAAACTCTACCCATATCCATCTATTTGGATTTCATACCCAACCCAATTGGGTTGGATAGTAAGAAACCCATGGGTATGGACAAAGTTGCCATCAAAGTGTTAAGTGTACAAATAAAATTGGTAAAAAAAAAGTCCACATCATAAAAGAAAATGAAAATGATGCACAAACAAACACCTTTTTTTTTATATCATTATTTTAATCCTCACTTTGGATTCCGAATCGTCGTAGGTGAGATTTCAATGTCTTCCACGTTCCACATGTCTGTCTCTACACAAAATTAACAACAATTATCATCCAACTCTGCCGACAAAAAGAGTTTCTGCTTTCTGGAAAACTTGGAAATGGATTCACCGCCGCCGCCGCCGCCGCCTTCCGCCACAAAATTGGTGGAGATCTGCCGCGTCACTCCGCCGCCCGACTCCTCCTCCACCGGAATCTCCCTACCCCTCACGTTCTTCGACACCCTCTGGCTCAAGTTCCACCCCGTGGAGCGCATCTTCTTCTACAAGCTCTCCTCCACGTCATCATCACCATCCGAATTCCACGCCGCCGTCGTCCCCCGCCTCAAGCGCTCCCTCTCCGTCGCCCTCCGCCGCTTCCTCCCTCTCGCCGGCAACCTCACCTGGCCGGCCGACGCCGACGTCCCCCTCATCCTCTACTCCCCGGGCGACGGCGTCTCCCTCACGATCGCCGAGTCCGCCGCCGACGAGTTTGACCCGCTCGCCGGGGACGGGCCCCGCGGCGCGATTCTGTCGCGAGCCTACTTGCCAAAACTCTCCGTTTCGAAGTCGAACGGCGCCGTTTTGGCGCTGCAGATAACGCTGTTCCCGAACAAGGGATTCTGCATCGGGGTGGCGGCTCATCACGCCGTCTTGGACGGGAAGAGCACCGTGATGTTCCTCAAAGCCTGGGCGCATATCAGCAGCAAGCTGGGATCGTGCGATGACGGTGACGGAACTTTGACGGAGGGATTGACGCCGTTTCTTGATCGGACGGTTGTAAAGGATCCGGAAGGGATAGCGTTGGAGGATGTGCAGGCGTGGATGTGTCTCTGCGGAGGTCAGAAAAGCTTGGAGCTTTGGCCGGAGCCTGTGCCTACTGATTCCGAATCCAATCAGGTAAAAAATAATAACTAGTTTGATTCTTTCTGTTTACTTGGCCGCTTATAAGAAAAATAGGAGGGGTTACGGTGCTAATTGTATAATAGTTAGCATCGTCCTAACCAAGGGAAAAACTACTACTAGTTTAAATTAGTAGTGATTTAGCTTAGATGTTGTATTGATTTTATAATAATCCGTAGTGATTTTTGCTAGTTATCACGGTGCTAACCCCTATAAAAGTTAGCACATAATCCCATCCCGCAAAAATATGATTTTACGTAGAAATATTTTGATTATTTAAAACCGGAAGAATATAAATTATTGAATTTTAAAGTGCAATTTCGACTTCATTGCAACCGACAAACCAGTTACCGTCTATCTACTCCAATTGTCGGTCACAGAAGATGCTTAAAAAACTGTCCAGTTCGATCCAATTAAAAACCGGAGAAATCGGATGGTAAAACTCACAAGTCCAACCCAATACCTGCCTGTTCCACAATCCACGTAAAACCCAACAGCAGCACACTAAAATTAAAAGCCCACTACAAGTCTACAACCCAGCCCAGCCCTACACGTCTAGCCGCCCACACCAACGTCGTTTGAGGGAAATGGGGCTTTTCGGTTTTTAGGTCAAATTCGAACCGGACCGTCTCAATGCAATTCGATCACAATTAAACTTGTTTTCAATCCAATCCATCCTCCAATTACAAATATGGAAAAAAAATCAAATCCGGTTAACCAAATCAATATGATCCGATTTGGCCGGACCGTTTCTCAGCTCTATGATACTAACGAGTTAATTAATGTCCAAGTTAATTGATTTTCTATATGCAGTTACGCGCAACATTCAAGCTATCAAAACAAGACATACTGAGACTCAAGCAAAGCGTACTGCTTCAGTTGGAAAGCAACGATAACAAGCTGGAGATCCATCCTCGTAATATATCGACGTTCGTCGTCACATCCACATACGCTCTTGTCTGCATGGTAAAAGCTAAAGGATTAGTGCTTGAGGAAGATAAGAAAAAGGCATTGCTTATTTTCTCAGCGGATTGCAGATCCAGATTAGAACCGCCACTGCCTTCGAACTACTTGGGCAACTGCGTCATGCCCTTCAACGCCGATCTAACTATTGGAAATCTGATCGATCACGAGGCTGGGATCACGTACGCTGCTCACAAGCTTGTTGAGGTACGTACGCAGTTGAAAAATGGTTATTGATAGATGAATTTTATATCGAATTACCGTTGAATTTTAAACCTCTTCCTAATTCGAGTTGACATCCGATCAAGGTTTTGACAACGTTGTTGTTTTATTCGTGAAATCAGGTGATAAGAGAGTTAGAGAAAGGTGTGATTGTGGGGGCGAAGGGGAGGCTAGCGAGGTTCTTCGGTGAGATGGAGGAAAGGAAAGACGAAGTACTTATCGGAGTTGGCGTGGCCGGGTCGCCCCGGCTTGGGGTTTACGGTGTGGATTTCGGGTACGGGCGGCCCGAGAAAGTGGAGATCACGTCTATAGATGGATCGTCGGCTATATCCATGGCGGAGAGTGGTGATGGAAGCGGCGGCGTTGAGGTCGGCGTTGTTATGCGGAGGCACGAAATGGAGAAGTTCACTTCTTTTTTCACTGATGGGCTTAAACATATTTGAGCTGAAAACAAAAAAAAAAAAAAAACAAAAAAACAAAAAATTGTCGTTTAATATTGTTGATTTTATCCTCCTAGTGATCAATAAACTTCAACCTAGCTGAGAGATTTTCTTCTTTGATCATGAAAAAAAGAAATGAAGGTTTTATTTTTTACCCTCCATGGTTGATTTTTGTGTGAAAACATTGGTTATGCGGTACAGGTTTGTTTGTAAACCCTAATCCCTTTCACCCTTTTTTCACTGATTCGTGCCAACGTCATTGTCGCATTCGCTAAAATCTCTTCCATTTCAAGAGATTTAGCAAAATCGTTGTGGACCCCAGCAATCTTACTACAAAATTGTTGCGGATCATTGCGCGGTTTCCACAAAATACATAGCAATAGACTATCCAAACAATATACGTTCAAAAATTGAAAAATATCTACAAATTAAACTTATCCTCAAAACATAAACAATCCAAAAAAAGTACTTCCATATCGAAGACCAGGCATATAGAACGGTTAGACTTTAGTGAGACTAAATGTTGGCTCAGCTGAGGGTTCCACTACTTTCAATTTCCCCAACCACTAGTCTTTGACTCTTTATAGGCCTGCCCCATAATTTCCAACTTTTTATTTCAAAACTTTGTCGGCTGTGGTTGTGTTTGTGTTAGGACTGCAAATGGAAACTTCAGCTGAAATGCTTTCCCCGCCGCCGCCGGCCGCCACAAGGTTGCTCGAGATCTGCCGTGTCACTCCGTCAACGCCACCTTCCGCCCAGTACACCCTACCCCTCACTTTCTTCGACACCCTCTGGCTGAAATTCCCTCCCGTGGAGCGAATCTTCTTCTACAAGCTCTCCGCCACGTCATCATCATCGCCGCCCGAATTCCACGCCGCCGTCGTCCCCCGCCTGAAGCGCTCCCTCTCCCTCGCCCTCTCCCGCTTCCTCCCCATCGCCGGGACCCTCACCTGGCCGGCCGACGCCGACATCCCCTTCATCCTCCACACACCGGGCGACGGCGTCTCCCTCGCAGTCGCCGAGTCCACGTCATCCGACGGCGACGACTTCGACCTTCTCTCCGGGGACGGGCCGCGCGACGCGGCTATCTCGCGCGCTTACGTGCCGAAACTCGCCGTTTCGGGGTCGAACGCTGCCGTTTTGGCGCTGCAGGTAACTCTGTTTCCGAACAAGGGATTCTGCATCGGGGTGGCGTGTCATCACGCCGTTATGGACGGGAAGAGCTCGGCGATGTTCCTCAAGGCTTGGGCTCATATTAGCAGGTGTGATGACGGCGACGGGACCTTGACGCAGGAATTGACGCCGTTTCTTGATCGGACGGTGGTTAAGGATCCGGATGGGATAGCATTGGAAGACGTGAAGACGTGGATGGCTATCTGCGGTGCAGAGGATGACACGAGAAGCTTGGAGTTTATGCCGGAGACTGTGCTTAATGTTTCCGGATCAAATAAGGTAATTACAAGCTAGATTAATACACTCATCTTTTTACTGCTTACACCATGCAAACAAATGCTTGCAATTTTTTTCCTCCATAGATAGTCATGTAGAAAGAGAGATAACTATAAAGAATGGAGTAACGAGTGAGTAATCATGATCGATAATCGATAAATAATCGAACTGTTGGATGTTTTATGTTGTTAGATGAGCAACCCTATTAAGTCTATAAATAGAAAGACAGCAAAAACACGGAACTGGGCTTAATTTGACTAACTTCTTGGCAGATCTGGAAGGCTACACCGACAATTTCGTTTTGTTTTCTTCCATTACAATTTATTTTTCAGTACTAATATTCATATATCTGGCTATCTGCTAGTGATGGGTCTATTGAGCTTCTTTTTGTGGACCTTTGGATGATAGGACAATGGATCGGATCAGTAATGTAGGGTTATACAAGTTGGTACAGTAATTTCTTTATTATTAATATTTAGGAGATCGATTGTATCTTTCTATGTATTTCAAATTTTCGCGAGAAAAATATTATTGTTTATGCCAACTTTGATATATTTTGAAACAAAGAGATCCGAGTTAGCTTTTACCATAGAATCTTTTGACATACATTAGTAGATTGTGCTGGACATAATTGGCAAGATTGTGCTGGACGTAATTGGCCTGAAATTTTTGACTAAAATTATGGATAGGTTCGAGCAACGTTCAAGCTGGCCAGACAAGACATCCTAAACCTCAAACAAAGCACGATGTGTCAGTTGGAAAGCAATAATAATGATACTTGTCTGGAAATCAAGCCGAACAATTTATCAACGTTCGTCATCACGTACGCATACACACTTGTCTGCATGGCAAAAGCCAAAGGGTTGGAGGACGACAAGAAGGCATTCTTCGGATTCTCGGCAGACTGCAGATCCCGATTGGAGCCGCCATTGCCTTCCAATTACTTCGGCAACTGTGTATTTGCCTTTGCTGCTGACCTTGCCATTGGAGATTTGGTTCATGAAGCTGGGATCGCATCTGCCGCTCACAAACTTGTCGAGGTACGTACATATATATATATGTGTGTGTGAATTTGTTTTTTTAATCGCATCATCATCTTTCTGAGCAGGCAATTCATATATCAAAACGATGCTAATCATCATTTGTTATATGATGAATAAGCAAACGAAGGAATTTTCACAAAAGTCGTTAAACATATACTTTGATTTGAGAGGTTCAAGGATTTCAAATTAGGTTTAGGTTTAGAGGTAAGAGTTTAAGGTTTAACATATGGGGTAATGCATGGATTAATTGCTATTCTATGTTGTATCATTATACTAAATTGATGTTGCCAATTAAAATTAAAAATTTGATGTCACTTAAAGCTAGTATTAGAATTGGGTACAAAATATATAGATGTATAACTTTTTTTTTGTACTGCACCGTTGAGGTCACATATACAATTATACATAGTTGATAAATTAATAGTACTTTTGGCAGAATGATTCAATTTTATCAATAAAATGAAAAAAGAAAAATACGCGCGTGACTTCGACACTGATTGCTAAGATAATATATACAAAAACTTGTTGATGCAATTACAGAACTATACTAAAAAAAGAAAGAAAACATATTTAAAATATTCACAAATGTACATGATTAATAACTAGATCAGAGGAATTCGCTATTTTGTTTTCCCAATATTAGTGACTTGGAATTGTACCAGCGGTTCAATCACCAATTTTTTTTATGGGAGATCAAATAGGTATATGACAATTCGACGATATAAAATAGCCTTCAGTAATTTAAACTAAAAAAAATACCTATATTTAATTACTGTTTGTTATTTTATTTGTATTATTATTCTAATCCATGTAAACAGATGATAAGGGAGATAGATCAAGGTATACTTAAGGAAGCCAAGGGGAAGCTAGGGAGGATGTTCCGTGTGGCGGCGACAAGCTTAGAGGGCGGACAGATCTGGGTCGGGGTAGCCGGGTCGACCCGGTTAGGGGTTTACGGAGTGGATTTCGGGTACGGGCGACCGGAAAAGGTGGAGATCACGTCGATTGACAGATCGTTGGCTATGTCAATGGCGGAGAGTGGTGACGGAAGCGGCGGCGTTGAGGTTGGCGTTGTTATGGAGACGCAGGAGATGGCGGACTTCACCTCTGCTTTCATCGACGGGATTAATAAAGTTGCCTGAGCTAGGAACCAAAAAAAAGAAATAAAAAAAATTCTGGTGTACTATTGTTAAAAAAAGATTGATGAATATGTGGTGTGAGGGAGGTAGCTGAAACGAGCGGCGATGGAGTATTTAGTACCCACTGATAAAGAAGAGCAAAGTGGGCCGCCGGCTGCCGGCGAGTTAATTGAGGTTTGGTTTGGAAGTTGCAAGTTAGAATTATTTTGTTGAGATTTTTTTACGATGGATGGGTTGGTTTGATTTTGGTGATAGTTAAATTGATGTATTGTCATCAATATATGTATAATAATATGCATGTATATAAGAAAATTGGTGTATTGTATTTAACATCGTTTGGTTTTTGTGATAGTTATTGTAGTATTTAAACAAGTTATATTAGTTTATGGGTGAAATGTCACTTTTACCCTTTATTTTTAATATTAAAAAGTAACACACATAAAAAGGTAGGACATAGTTGGAAGAAAAAATACTGAATGGTTAAAGGTCGTCCTAATAATTACTAACCATCGTCCTAACTTAATATGTAATTTACCGAATTGCCCATTTTGAATTTCAAAATCAAACAACCCCTCCCCTTCCATAAATCTAAAAAAAAAAAGATAAACCAAAATTCAACAAATTATCTTATGGACCGAACCATAAATCGTAGTAAAAGAATAGAAAATTATTAATATTACCAAACAAATCCAAAAAAATTCCAAAACCCCTCAACCGAAGCCAATTTTCGGTTGTACCATGGACCAACCGAAAATCACCTTCGGTTGCACCATGGTACAATCGAAAATTGGCTTCGGTTGAAGGGTTTGGAATTTTTTTTTGAAAAAAAATCGGATTTTTACCTAGTCGGAGTTGCTACTCATGATGCGGACGTATTCCCAACGATTACGACTCGAGAATGTCAAAGATGAATTCGAGAGTGTGGGAAATTGAGTGTTTTTCATATATTTTTTTAGTCAAAGTGATGTTTGTTTGCTAAAGATGCCAAAGGATTAAAAGTGTAGCTTTGTTATTTTTTAGGACGATAAATAGTAATTTTAAGGACGACCTTTATCAATTCCCAAAAAATAACCCAACAATCTCACCAAAAACTTGAGATTTAACTATCACTCATTTTGAGTGATAGTTTGTGTCAAATCAAGCAAACAATGCATGTATTATTTGTGCAAAAAATTTAAAAAAACAATGCATTGTAACTATCCCCATCAAACAATCACCAAAACCAAACGACCCCTATATGTATTGTTTTTATTATTATTTTTTTGGAAAATTTATTTTTTGAATTGTTTCTGTGGTGTGACTGAAACTGTTGGACCGCATAGTTGAGCGTACTTGTAATTTATCGACGTTCGTCGTCACATCCACATACGCCCTTGTCTACATGGTAAAAGCTAAAGGATTAGTGCTTGAGGAAGATAAGAAGGCATTGCTTATTTTCTCAGCGGATTGCAGATGAAGATTAGAACCGCCACTGCCTTCGAACTACTTTGGCAACTGCGTCATGCCCTTCAACGCCGATCTAACTATTGGAAATCTGATCGATCACGAGGCTGGGATCACATACGCTGCTCACAAGCTTGTTGAGGTTAGGCCTGTCGGTTCGGTTCGGGTCGGGTAACCGAACCCGAAAACCGTGAAAACCCAAAAACCCGAACCCGAGCCACACAACCCGAAACCGAAACCGAATTGTGCTTTGTGGGTTTTCGGTTTCATAAACCCGAAACCCGATAGAGAACCCTCCTCGGAGACTCCTACCTCCGGAACGGAGTCGTCGGCCTCACCCGCGACGTCAACATCCCGACCTCGAGCGCCGGCACCGTCATCTACAACGACCCAATTCCCTTCTCCGACCCGGAATCCGCTCCGCCGTCCGCCGCTTCATTCTCCACGAGATTCACCTTCTCTATCGGGAACGTCAACCCGAGCTCCTTCGGCGACGGCCTCGCCTTCTTCCTGTCCCGCGACAACAAGTCACAGTCTGTGAGGGAGAAAAAAAAAAAAAAACCTTGGTGGATGAAAGATTAGATTCAGATTCAGGAGGGCTATAAACATAAATAAATCTGGGGATTGAAAGCACTCCCTCTCCCGATTTGTTCCCCTCTCCTCCTGACCACTGCTATTACTGCGCTTTTTCCTCTGCGAGGGAAGGGAAAAGGGAGAAGGATCCCTGCTCAGACCCAGATCGACGAATTCTCCCCACAACGTCTCCGACAATTCGATCGTCATCCCCTCGCCGTAGATTCCGTCTTCCGATTCCGGCAGCAAGAACCACAAGAAGCTCGGATTGTGGCTAGGAATCGCCGGTCCTTCCTTCTTCTGCGCGTGCCTCGTGATTTTCGGGTACATATCCGTCAAGAAATGGCAGAGGACGAGAGGAAGTAGTACCACTACGGGGAAAACAGAGCTGGTGGTGGCTTCCGGGCGGCCGAAGGAATTCAACTACAGGGAGGTGAAATCGGCGACGAGAGGGTTCCATTACTTGAGGTACGTACGCAGTTGAAAAATGGTCGATGATGAGATTTGATGATATGATTAATCAATATATTATTCATGATTTTGTGTAAATGAATCAGCTCATTGATAAATTAATGCAGTTAATTGAAAATAAGTTATCCGATCTGGACCGGTTCGAATTGTTTCAAATCATCCATATCATAATCGGTTTGAGCGGGTAACCACCCAAATCCGTCTGCTCAAACCACCGGTTTTGTGCCTGAATGTCTTTTATTTAATAGCAAAAATGCAATTCATTTGCTGACTAAATAGTGTCGGACAATCATAATATTTTATTGCAATTGTAAGTAACAGAGTACTTTCTAAACCGTTTTATATCGAATTACCGTTGAATTTTAAACCTCTTCCTGATTCGAGTTGACATCAGATCAGGTTTTGACAACGTTGTTGTTTTATTCGTGAAACCAGGTGATAAGAGAGTTGGAGAAAGGTGTGCTTGTGGGGGCGAAGGGGAGGCTAGCGAGGTTCTTCGGTGAGATGGAGGAAAGGAAAGACGAAGTACTTATCGGAGTTGGCGTGTCCGGGTCGCCCCGGCTTGGGGTTTACGGTGTGGATTTCGGGTACGGGCGACCCGAGAAGGTGGAGATCACGTCTATAGATGGATCGTCGGGTATATCCATGGCGGAGAGTGGTGATGGAAGCGGCGGCGTTGAGGTCGGCGTTGTTATGCGGAGGCACGAAATGGAGTTGTTCACTTCTTTTTTCACTGACGGGCTTAAACATATTTGAGCTGAAAACAAAAATTGTCGTTTAATATTGTTGATTTTATCCTCCTAGTGATCAATAAACTTCAACCTAGCTGAGACATTTTCTTCTTTGATCATGAAAAAAGAAATGAAGGTTTTATTTTTTACCCTCCATGGTTGATTTTTGTATGAAAACATTTGTTATGCGGTACAGGTTTGTTTCATTGTTTGTAATCCCTAATCCCTTTCACCCTTTTCTCGTTTTCCCCCTCTACACTATTTATTAACAAAAATTCCACAAACACTGCTAATAAAGTTTCCCAATCTATTCAAGTCCGGACAAAAACATTTAGAACTTCAACGATTCGTGCCAACATCATTGTCGCTAGGGGTGTGCAATGGTCCGGTCCGTACCGGACCACACCGGACCAAACCGTTGTTAAGACCGGACCAGACCGAGTAAAATACGGTCCGGTCCTTGGTCCTAATGAATTTTATAATTACTGAAGAAATGGTGGACCGAGCTCATATTTGGACCGGACCGAACCGGACCAAATGGACCGAATGCAAGAATGGTCCGGTCCTTGGTCCTAACATGTCTTTCACTAATGGACCGCGGTTCTCATGAGTTTGGTCCGGTCCGGACCGAACCGAACCGTTGCACACCCCTAATTGTCGCATTAGCTAAAATCTCTTCCATTTCAAGAGATTTAGCAAAATCGTTGTGGACCCCAACAATTTTACTACAAAATTGTTGCGGATAGTTGCGGTTTCCACAAATACATAGCAATAGACTATCCAAACAGTATACGTTCAAAATTTGAAAAATATCTACAATTTAAACTTATCCTCAAAACATAAACAATCCAAAAAAGTACTTCCATATCGAAGACCAGGAATATAGAACTGTTAGACTTTAGTGAGACTAAGGGGTCGTTTGGAAGTTGCGATTGTTTTGTTGAGATTGTCATTATGCATGTATTGTTTATGCATCGTTTTTTTTGTTTTTTTAGCAGAAACAATACATGGATTGTTTCTGTGATGTGACAGAAACTATCATTCATTTTGAGTGATTGTTATATCTCAACTTTTAGTTGTGATTGTTGAGATAGTTGAGTTGAGATTGTTTGGTCTTAATTTTTAGCTGATGCGACATACACAATCACACATACCAAACGTTGTATTCTACAATGCATCAAATTCGACAATACATATATAATATTATACATACATTCTCAACAATTTATCTATTTAACAATCGCAACTTCCAAAAGGACCCCAAATGTTGACCTAAATATTGATATCTACACAGCTCAGCTGAGGGTTCCACTACTTTCAATTTCCCCAACCACTAGTCTTTGACTCTTTATAGGCCTGCCCCATAATTTCCAACTTTTTATTTCAAAACTTTGTCGGCTGTGGTTGTGTTGGGACTGCAAATGGAAACTTCAGCTGAAATGCTTTCCCCGCCGCCGCCGGCCGCCACAAGGTTGCTCGAGATCTGCCGTGTCACTCCGTCAACGCCACCTTCCGCCCAGTACACCCTACCCCTTACTTTCTTCGACACCCTCTGGCTGAAATTCCCTCCCGTGGAGCGAATCTTCTACAAGCTCTCCGCCACGTCATCATCATCGCCGCCCGAATTCCACGACGCCGTCGTCCCCCGCCTGAAGCGCTCCCTCTCCCTCGCCCTCTCCCGCTTCTTCCCCCTCGCCGGGACCCTCACCTGGCCGGCCGACGCCGACATCCCCTTCATCCTCCACACCCCGGGGGACGGCGTCTCCCTCGCAGTCGCCGAGTCCACGTCATCCGACGGCGACGACTTCGACCTTCTCTCCGGGGACGGGCCGCGCGACGCGGCTCTCTCGCGCGCTTACTTGCCGAAACTCGCCGTTTCGGGGACGAACGCTGCCGTTTTGGCGCTGCAGGTAACTCTGTTTCCGAACAAGGGATTCTGCATCGGGGTGGCGTGTCACCACGCCGTAATGGACGGGAAGAGCTCGGCGATGTTCCTCAACGCTTGGGCTCATATTAGCAGGTGTGATGACGGCGACGGGACCTTGACGGAGGAATTGACGCCTTTTCTTGATCGGACGGTGGTTAAGGATCCGGATGGGATAGCGTTGGAAGACGTGAAGACGTGGATGGCTATCTGCGGTGCAGAGGATGACACGAGAAGCTTGGAGTTTATGCCGGAGACTGTGCTTAATGTTTCCGAATCAAATAAGGTAATTACAAGCTAGATTAATACACTCATCTTTTTACTGCTTACACCATGCAAATGCTTGCATTTTTTCCCCCTCCATAGATAGTGTTTGTACCATCTAGCTCGAGGTATGAACAATGATGATTGTTGTGTGGGTCGACTCGTCATCCGTTCGTCTGATCTCGTGGGAAGGGAGATAATCTGTGGAAAGTCGGGGATGCCCCCTGATTAAGCTTCGACGATCAAGTCAGTATATTGTGTGTAATGAGTTGAGAGAATAGATAGAGAGATAAAGTGTAGAGAGATAGTGGAAAGTGGAAAGTGAGGGGAGAGGAGAAGTCCCCTCTCTCTGGAGGGCTTCAAGCCCTTATATACCTTTAGTGGGTATCGAGCGTTGGGCATTGCCGATTGTGCGCCCTACTACTTAGTCTGTGCGCGGAGTATCTTAGTAACACCCCCAACAATTGCCCCCCAAACTGGTGGTGAGTTTTAACTCATCACTAGCTTATTATTTATTTATTTTTTTAAATCTTCATCGGTAATTTTGGATGGAGCCCTATGTACCCCTAGTTGCCCCCCAGCTGGTGGCGCACTTGGCTGACGCGGTGCCAGCATCCTGCGTCATGCCCCCCAGTTGGTGTGTTTCATTAAGCCGTTGAGCGCTCTTCTATGGGAATCTCCAAGGCGCTGAGCCATTGCTTGTTGAAAATTTTCCAAGGTATTGAGCACTCTCCTATTGGAGTTCTTCACACACACACACACAAGTGTGTACTCTTTCATTGGCGCGCTTATGACAGCCGCACGATTACGTTACGGGCTTACCGCGCACATTTAGTGCCCTTTATTGGAGATAGAGGTAGTTGAACACTCTCATATTGTAGATTCACTGATGCTCTTATTGAAGTCTTATTTGTGTGCTTCGTTGAGACTTATTTGTAGATCTTCGATGCTCTTATTGAAGTCTTATTTGTGTGCTTCGTTGAGACTTATTTGTAGCTTCTTCGATGCTCTTATTGAGTCTTATTTGTGTGCTTCGTTGAGACTTATTTGTAGATCTTCGATGCTCTTATTGAAGTCTTATTTGTGTGCTTCGTTGAGACTTATTTGTAGATCTTCGATGCTCTTATTGAAGTCTTATTTGTGTGCTTCGTTGAGACCTATTTGTAGATCTTCGATGCTCTATTTGAAGTCTTATTTGTGTACTTCGTTGAGACTTATTTGTAGCTTCACCGAGGCAATGTGCCCTCTCCTCGTCGGGGTTTTTAACCCTCAGTTTGGAGTCTTCAAGGCTATGTGCCCTCTCCTCGTCGGGGTTTTTAACCCTCAGTTTGAAGTCTTCAAGGCGTCGAGAGCTTGGTGAGTTTCTCATCTCCCACATTGTTGGGTACGTCTTGCCCCCCATTAGCGCCATTAACGCTCAGGAAAGTAAAATATTTAAAAATTTAATAATGATAGAGGGATATAGTGCTTAGTTTTATGTTGGCGAAGCGGCGCGAAGAGTTGTTAAAATAAGAGTGTTGCGCCTAAGGATTACAAGACTCGTATGTAGCCTGCTGGTAATGTTGCTTGTCTAGCGGAGGAGTGATGCGGGTTTGAGGACTGGCGGCGATGATTTTTTTTTTGAAGAGTTCCGTGTCTGTTGAATGAGGTTCGCGAGTGGGACGGACTTGGATACGCGACTTGGGCTTCATCTATGCAGGAAGCTGGTTGGTGCAAGGCTAGCGCGGTTGATCTGGGGCGACGCGGGCTGGGGGAGGGTGCGGCGCGGGCCGCGAGTTGAATTGTGTGGGCCCCTGTGGCGTGTACTTGGTGTGAGAAGCGGAAAAGAAGTTGATATAAAAAATATCCTCGCCTTTGGGATCAATAGTTGTTGTGTAGTCCATTGGTTCCATTTGCCTACAGGCATATCCTCGAACCGAGGTTCGAATCCCCACACCCGAGAAGTGGGGCGGGCCGGAGGTAGGACGTGGGCTAAGACGCGGGAGCTGGTCTTGATAGACGGGTCAGATGGAGGACTTGGGCCTCGCGGGCTACTCTTGATAGACGGATCAGATGGAGGACTTGGGTAGCGCGTTTGGGTTTGCTGGCACATGTGATGCGGGATTGTGGAGTGCGTCGTCGCGGGTTCAGTGTCAGGCGGGCTGGAGGTGAAGCGGACAGCGAGTTGTGTGGGGGCCCATCTTGCTGCGCGCTTGTGAATGAGAAGCGAGCCCATGTAATATGGCGGGTTGTCAAGCGGCTTGAGGACGCGACGACCCATGTTGCGCGTCTTGTTGAGCGGTGGTTGAGCCCGCATCAGGTGGTGGGCCTAATGGATCCGCCACCATTAAGCCATCTTCTTCTTCTGGAGTTGAGCGGGCTAGATGGTTAACTATAGTTGATCGCGTGGGTAAAAAAATTACTTGGTAGATTAAGAAGGGTCGAGATTTGAGTTAGTCCCGAAGAGGCCGGGAGTAAGAGGCGGGTTTGCTGTGGCCAGGTCTTCGGCGGATAATGATCTAGATCTCTGGCGGTCCGGATCGGCGATGGAGACACATATAATTTTTAGCTTTCGGTTCGCGGAAGATTTCGTTCTTCTTTGGCGTGGGCTTTTTCCGTTGCTTACGCGGCGGGAAAAGCAGACTCTCAACGACCTACGGCGCGGCGGAGAGGGTGAAGCGCTCGAAGAGGGTGGGAGCGCAGCATCAGAGAGATCTCAGGGGAATGATTAGCCGCAAAGCTTCTTTTCTAATATTTCCAGGTCGGCATCAACTTGTGCAATCTTGTCTTGGGAAATACACCCTTTCCTTCTGACAAAGAGAGAAACTTGCCTTGTCTTTTCACTCTTTCTCGACTGCAGGTCACCAAATGTAGCAAAGTAGTCTGATTATTGTGAAGCAGGTCGTGATGACGATTGAAGGGAGCTCTGACCCTGAACATGTCTCCAGCTAGCCAAGTTGCCGGGAACTGACCATTTTTTCCCAGTTTTACAGCTATCAAGTGCTAGCTTGCTCACCTCTCTTCCTAGGAGAAGAACTTCTCGATCTAGAACTTCTTTTTGCTTCGGCCAGAGCTCCGGCACCGCAAGCGTCGGCGGCTAGCGAGAATGTCGAGATTTGGATGGAATTTCTGCTCCCAACTCTTGGTTTCATCTTCTCCATTTTACCATACCTTTCGCAATTGTGGGTTTCATCTTCTCCAATCTTGCCGTCTCTTCTCTATTGTGGGTTCGCCTAGTAGAGAAGTGAGTCTCTGTTGCTGGTGCTGGTGTACTTGTAGGTAGGGAGGAAAATGATTTCCTTTTCGGTGTCCGGCGCCAACGTGAGCTGACCGGAGTTCCTTCTTTCCTTTTTTTCTAAAAAGTTTCTGTCTTCTCCTCTAGATTTCTCCTCCTTGAGAAATCAAACAAACGAAAGCCAAGTCGTGCCCCACGGTGGGCGCCAATTGTTTGTACCATCTAGCTCGAGGTATGAACAATGATGATTGTTGTGTGGGTCGACTCGTCATCCATTCGTCTGATCTCGTCTGGAGGGAGAGAACCTGTGGAAAGTCGGGGATGCCCCCCGGATTAAGCTCCGACGATCAAGTCAGTATATCGTGTGTAATGAGTTGGGAGAATAGATAGAGAGATAAAGTGTAGAGAGATAGTGGAAAGTGGAAAGTGAGGGGAGAGGAGAAGTCCCCTCTCTCTGGAAGGCTTCGAGCCCTTATATACCTGTAGCGGGTATCGAGCGTTGGGCATTGCCGATTGTGCGCACTACTACTTAGTCTGTGCGCGAAGTATCTTAGTAACACCCCCAATAGATAGTCATGTAGAAAGAGAGATAACTATAAAGAACGGAGTAACCAGTGAGTAATCAGGATCGATAATCGATAAATAATCGAACTGTTGGATGTTTTATGTTGTTAGATGAGCAACCCTATTAAGTCTATAAATAGAAAGACAGAAAAAAATACGGAATTGGGCTTAATTTGACTAACTTCTTGGCAGATCTGGAAGGCTACACCTACAATTTGGTTTTGTTTTCTTCCATTACAATTTATTTTTCAGTACTAATATTCATATATCTGGCTATCTGCTAGTGACGGGTCTATTGAGCTTCTTTTTGTGGACCTTTGGATGATAGGACAATGGATCGGATCAGTAATGTAGGGTTATACAAGTTTGTACAGTAATTTCTTTATTATTAATATTTAGGAGATCGATTATATCTTTCTATGTATTTCAAATTTTCGCGAGAAAAATATTATTGTCTATAAAATAATGCCAACTTGGATATATTTTGAAACAAAGAATTCGAGTTAGCTTTTACCATAGAATCTCTTGACATACATTGGTAGATTGTGCTGGACATAATTGGCAAGATTGTGCTGGACGTAATTGGCCTGAAATTTTTTTACTAAAATTATGGATAGGTTCGAGCAACGTTCAAGCTGGCCAGACAAGACATCCTAAACCTCAAACAAAGCACGATGTGTCAGTTGGAAAGCAATAATGATACTTGTCTGGAAATCAAGCCGAACAATTTATCGACGTTCGTGATCACGTACGCATACACACTTGTCTGCATGGCAAAAGCCAAAGGGTTGGAGGACGACAAGAAGGCATTCTTCAGATGCACGGCAGACTGCAGATCCCGATTGGAGCCGCCATTGCCTTCCAATTACTTCGGCAACTGTGTATTTGGCTTTGCTGCTGACCTTGCCATTGGAGATTTGGTGCGTGAAGCTGGGATCGCAACTGCCGCTCACAAACTTGTCGAGGTACATATATGAGAATTTGTTTTTGTTGCATCGCATCATCATCTTTCCGAGCAGGCAATTCATATCAAAACGATGCTAATCATCATTTGTTATATGATGAATAAGCAAATGAAAGAATTTTCACAAAAGTCGTTAAACATATACTTTGATTTGAGAGGTTCAAGGATTTCAAATTAGGTTTAGGGTTAGGGGTAAGAGTTTAAGGTTTAACATATGGGGTAATGCATGGATTAATTGCTATTCTATGTTGTATCATTATACTAAATTGATGTTGCCAATTAAAATAAAAAATTTGTTGTCACTTAAAGCTAACGATTCAATTTTATCAATAAAATGAAAAAAGAAAGATACACGACTAAGATCATATTTACAAAAATTTGTTGATGCAATTTATACAGAACTATACTAAAAAAAGAAAGAAAACATATTTAAAATATTCACAAATATACATGATTAATAACTAGATTAGAGGAATTCGCTATTTTGTTTTCCAAATAATAGTGACTTGGAATTGTACCGGCGGTCCAATCCCGAAAATTTTCTATGGGAGATCAAATAGGTATGACAATTCGACGATATAAAATAGCCTCCAGTAACTTAAACTAAAATATTCTTATATTTAATTACTGTTTGTTATTTTATTTGTATTATTATTCTATCCCTGTAAACAGATGATAAGGGAGATAGATCAAGGTGTACTTAAGGATGCCAAGGGGAAGCTAGGTAGGATGTTCCGTGTGGCGGCGACAAGCTTAGAGGGCGGACAGATCTGGGTCGGGGTAGCCGGGTCGACCCGGTTAGGGGTTTACGGAGTGGATTTCGGGTACGGGCGGCCCGAAAAGGTGGAGATCACGTCGATTGACAGATCGTTGGCTATGTCGATGGCGGAGAGTGGTGACGGAAGCGGCGGCGTCGAGGTTGGCGTTGTTATGGAGACGCAGGAGATGGCGGACTTCACCTCTGCTTTCATCGACGGGATTATAGTTGCCTGAGCTAGGAACAAACTGATAAAGAAGAGCAAAGTGGGCCGCCGGCTGCGGGCGAGTTAATTGAGGTTTGGTTTGGAAGTTGCAAGTTGAATTGTTTTGTTGAGATTTTTTTTACGATGGATGGGTTGGTTTGGTTTTGATGATAGTTAAATTAATGTATTGTCATCAATATATGTATAATAATATGCATGTATATAAGAAAATTGGTGTATTGTATTTAACATCGTTTGGTTTTTGTGATAGTTATTGTAGTATTTAAACAAGTTATATTAGTTTATGGGTGAAAAGTCACTTTTACCCTTTAGTTTTAATATTAAAAAGTAACACACATAAAAAGGTAGGACATAGTTGGAAGAAAAAATACTGAATGGTTAAAGGTCGTCCTAAAAATTACTAACCATCGTCCTAACTTAATATGTAATTTACCGAATTGCCCATTTTGAATTTCAAAATCAAACAACCCCTCCCCTTCCATAAATCTAAAAAAAAAAAAAAAGATAAACCCAAATTCAACAAATTATTAATATAACCAATTAAAAAAACAAATTATTAATATAACAAATTCAACAAATTATCTTATGGACCGAACCATAAATCGTAGTAAAAGAATAGAAAATTATTAATATAACCAAACAAATCCAAAAAAAATTCAAAACCCCCCAACCGAAGCCAATTTTCGGTTGAAGGGTTTTGGAATTTTTTTGAAAAAAAAATCGGATTTTTACCTAGTCGGAGTTGCTACTCATGATTCGGACGTATTCCCAACAATTACGACTCGATAATGTCAACGATGAATTCGAGAGTGTGGGAAATTGAGTGTTTTTCATATTTTTTTTAGTCAAAGTGATGTTTGTTTGCTAAAGATGCCAAAGGGTTAAAAGTGTAACTTTGTTATTTTTAGGACGATCAATAGTAATTTTAAGGACGACCTTTATCAATTCCCAAAAAATAACCTAACAATATCACCAAAAACTTGAGATTTAACTATCACTCATTTTGAGTGATAGTTTGTGTCAAATCAAGCAAACAATGCATGTATTATTTGTGCAAAAAATTTAAAAAAACAATACATTGTGGACAATATATGCATTGTAACTATCCCCATCAAACAATCACCAAAACCAAACGACCCCTATATGTATTGTTTTTATTATTATTTTTTAGCAAAAACAATACATGAATTGTTTCTGTGTTGTGACTGAAACTGTTGGGTCGCATAGTTGAGCGTACTTGGGCCTCGGGCCCAAGAGGGACAGGCCAGCAACTAAGGCCCAATAAGAGAACCTGGTCCAACCAGAAAAACCGGGTCAGCAGGCGGTCCTTGACCGACTCTAGGCCCGAAAAATAGCCAGGAACGCCTGACATAAAGCGATTCGCTACAACAGAAAAGTAAAGATCCGTTGAGATACGTATTCTGTGTCAGGTAAGACTGAGCATTTATTGCCAGCCACATGCGGCCTGCAGAAAGGCTAAAAGCCTGCTCAGGGCGCCTGACACGGCTCGGGACGCCTGACGCGACATTTAATGCCCCAACCACCCTCAAACCAGATATAAATACAGAGTGAGTGCATTAATGGTAAACTCAACTACTCTCTATCTCTCTATCATAAATTCATCTCCTTTTCCCTTCTCTCTCTAACTTAAGCTTCGGAGGGTGTCTCGGGCCACCGCCCCAGACCCTTGTTTTGCAGAGTATCTGAGGCGCTCCCCTGTATCCAAGAACAGACGCCTCGCCCTAGCTCCACAAACCGCCTAGTACTTACTAGGCACAAACAGAAACTATCACTCAAAATGAGTGATTGTTATATCTCAACTTTTGGCTGTGATTGTTGAGATAATTGAGTTGAGATTGTTTTGTCTAAGTTTTTAGCTGATGTGACATACACAATCACACATACCAAATGTTGTATTTTACAATAAATTAAATTCGACAATACATGTATAGTATTATACATGCATTCACAATAATACATCTATTTAACAATCGCAACTTTCAAAGCACCCCTCAAAAGTCCAGCAAACCTGCTGCAGAATGGGGCCATCACCGGTTGACCGTAGAAATTGTCACACCAGATCGCCGACAAGATTATGATGAATTAAGTTCCCAATGATAAAAAACAACAAATTAATTATTATTATTAAGTCCTGAGTCCTGACTCTAAGGGTGTCAATCGGTCGGTTTCGGTTTAATCGAAAACTGAATTATCGGTTATCGGTTAAACCGAGCCACCCTCAAGGGATTCCGGCAACCGACCGTGAGAGGACTGCGGTTAACCGGCCAATCAACAGCCCGGTTTCGGTTTTAGGCTCGGTTAGCCGCATACCAAAAACGTTAGCAAAAACGTTGGCGTTTAGTCAACAAAAAAACAAAAAACAAAAACAAAAGTCAGTGGCGTCTTCAGAGGCCACACCAACTCCTATTTCTCTCTCCTTCCTCCATTTTAGATCTATTCCTCCTCCTCTCCATTTTAAACATGCAGACATGGGCAGCAGCAATCGCAAAGAATGGACAGAGCAGGGGAGGCGTTGAGGAGGGGCTTATGGTCCATGGGCGAGGAATTCGACAGCGACGACAGAGCAGCCAGGGTGGGGCCAACGGCAGAGCGAACAGAGGCGGAGATAGTGGAGAAGCTCGCTGGAGTCGTCCCGGTGCCTGTCGCGGAAATGATGGACGGCTCTACTTGGCGATGCAGCCACTCGATGGTCTGGCCGTCAGACTTGTGCCCCAGCTCGCGGGTCAGCTAAAAAACCTTGGCGGTGCAGATGATTGGCATCCGGATTCTCCTCCCCATCCCGTCGACCTTGCTCTGCCTGTCCTTCGAAGGTGGCTTCTTCACCGCGAGCGCGCCGTTGGTTCCGCCGCCAGCGGAACCAGGAACGATGGTCGTGGAGGAAGTTGTGGTGGCGCTGGAAGGAGGGGGAGCAGAGGAGGCAGGGGAGGGCGGCGACTGGTGCTGGTGGTGGTGTCTGTGGAGGTGAGGGTGGAATAGAAGGTCGATCATGGCGGCGGCGTCGGAATTGGACATGGTTGATGGGTGAAGAAGAAGATTTAGGGATTCGAAAATTTAAGGAGAAGAAGAAGATTCAGGGAGAAGTGGATTCGAAAATTTTGGGATTTAGAGTTCGTCAGATTGGGCAAGGGAATGGTTAATTGGATTCAATGCATGGTTTATTCCTCCTCTTTTTTATATTTTTCGGTTGTGGGTCGGTCGGCCGGTTGACCGCCTTCGGTTACTCGGCTAACCGGAGAACCCTTCAGTCTTGCCGAACACCGACCGCGACTAATAACCGGCCGGTTTTCGGTTAGTGGTTAACCGACAGTTAGCGGTTAAAACCGCCAGTTAGCCGCTAACAGGAAACCGATCTGCCACCCCTACCTGACTCTTTAGTAATTTCGGGTTGGATCCGGTCCTTAAGTCTAAAACTTAAGGAGTTTCTTAAGTTATTATTGGCCAATAGGAAGAGGAGAGAGAAAGTGAAGTCTAACCACCTAAAAGGACAATAAAAGATATTAATTAAATATTAGTATTTAACGGTTAATGGAAGTCCAAATTAAAAATCACAATTCGTAATTAATATTTCATGTATTAAAAAAGGTAATTAAAAATGTTTACACTCTCTCCATGCCGACTCCCATTGATATTATTAATGTTTTTCAATTGCATTATCAACTATTATAAAAAAATTATTATTTTTCAATTGCATTTTTTTCAATTGTTTTTCAATTTCATTTTCAATACCCCATCATTATTAACCCTTTCAGTATACTTATCAATATTTTACGGATACATTATCAACGAATTTAGTTCAATTGGTAACGAGCTATATTTTCATTATCAACGCTTATTAATGTATTATTAAAGTTATGTTATATCGTTAGTAAAGAGTTGAATAATATTACCATTGATTTACAATATCTTTATTATGATTCAATATTAAGTGTTAATATACGACATTTGGATATTGAAAACCATTAATAACAACGTGCACACCATTGATAAAAAATTGAATTTCATTGAGAACCAACACAAAATCATTAATAATGTTTGGATTCAATATTAAGTGCCAAATGACATTAAAAATGTTCAAAATATTGGTGTCTTTGTTCAAAACTAAAACAAAGACATTAACAATAATCGGCTTCATTATTAAAAAATGACATTAGGCCGTTAAAGATATAAGATAAATTGTTAATCATAAACAATTTCATTATTAACATTATATAATATCATTATTAACGGTTCAAATAACATTATCAATAATTTAAAATATATTTATTAATGATTCATATTTTTACGTCTATCCATAATTAAATAGTCGAAGAGGCAATCGAATGAAGAACCAACGCCAGGGATAAAAAGCTTACGGTACGGATTTTGTAGCTTTTAAAAAGTGTGTCATTTGCATAGCTGCATAGGAACTGGGAAGGTATGAGTGCGACAGGCTTTTAATTTTTTAATTAATTAATATATTAATTACCAGTAACCACCAATTAATTACTAACAACTTATTAACTAACTAAATTCTATCCGCCAATAGAAATCACTTAAGATAATTCTTAAGTTATGACTTGTGAGCCTTAAGGACCTAGCCCTAATAATTTAAAACAACTAATTAACTTATCTTTCAACTTGGGAATAGGACGCGCCCATGACTTTTCGTCATTTTATAGGCTCTCCCCACACACTGATTTCCAGTCTGTACTGGGATCGAAAACTGAAAAATTCAGCCGAAATGCCGTCGCCACCGCCCTCCACAAAATCGCTCGAGATCTGCCGCGTCACTCCGCCGCCGGACTCACCGGAATCCTCCGCCCAATTTCCCCTACCCCTCACTTTCTTCGACACCTTCTGGCTGAAATTCCCTCCAGTGGAGCGCATCTTCTTCTACAGACTCTCCTCCTCCGCCACCTCATCACCTTCCGAGTTCCAATCCACCGTCGTCCCCCGCCTGAAGCGCTCCCTCTCCGTCGCCCTCCTCCGCTTCCTCCCTCTCGCCGGCAACCTCACGTGGCCGGCCGACACCGACGTCCCCTTCATCCTCTACACCCCAGGGGACGGCGTGTCCGTCACGGTCGCCGAGTCCACGTCAGCCGAAGGCGACGACTTTGACCTGCTCTCTGGGGATGGACCTCGCGACGCGATTCTGTCGCGGGCTTACGTGCCGAAACTCGCCGTTTCGGGGCCGAACGCTGCCGTTTTGGCGCTGCAGGTCACGCTGTTCCCGAAAAAGGGATTCTGCATCGGGGTGACGTGTCATCACGCCGTTCTTGACGGGAAGAGCACCGTGATGTTCCTCAAGGCTTGGGCGCATATTAGCGATGATGATGATGATGGTGAAGGAATGTTGCCGGATGAACTAACGCCGTCTCTTGATCGGACGGCGATTAAGGATCCGGACGGAATAGCGTTGGAAGACGTGAAGACGTGGACGGCTCTCTGTGCCGAAGAGGACAGCCCGAGAAGCTTGGCGCTCTTGCCGGAGGCCATGCCTACTGCTGACAAATCTAGTCAGGTAATTATTAGAATGAATGTCTAATTTTTTTTCTTTCTTTTTCTAGAAACTACTTCATTTCTTCGTGTCAAAATGATAAATTCTTCACGTAGCTATCATTTGATGTTTGAAGACACGTTATTAGAATTAGTCAATTAGGTTTAATACTATCTATATATTTTTTACTGTAATTTATATTTTCTCAAGTATATTCAAACTGATATTTATTGTCCGTGAATTAGCTAATACATTTCGTATCGATTGTCCTTATTACTTACCACATATTTGCTTTGTATTGGTTGTCCGTATTTCTACATGGATTAACATTTGGCGTAATGAAAAGTAATTATTTGTGTAATGAAAGGAATTTGTCTGTGTAGTTACGAGGAACGTTCAAGCTGTCGAGGCAAGATATTCAAAAACTCAAACAAAGCGTAATACGCTACTTGGAAAAGGACGACGACGAAAAGCGATTGGAAATGAAACCCAATAATAACCTGTCAACTTTCGTCATCACTTACGCATACACACTTGTCTGCATGGCAAAAGCCAAAGGGTCGGAGGACGAAGAGAAGAAGGCATTCTTCGGGTTCACGGCGGATTGCAGATCCAGATTGGACCCACCGTTGCCTTCCAACTACTTCGGCAACTGCGTCATGGCTTTCGCCGCCGGCCAAATCACTGTCCGAGATCTGGTTCACGAGGGTGGAATCGCGGCTGCTGCTCACAGGCTTGTCGAGGTAATCATTTAACATGTTGTAATATACTATTTTCTACATATAGTTTAGTTTTCTCCAAAGAAGATATTCTTTCCTAATTCATTTGAATATATTTAATTAGTAAAAAAAATTCTCTCTCTTTTTTTTTCCTTAAAAAAAGCTATTTATTTCCCCTTGGTGCATGGTTGTCATGCCGGTGGCATGCCACCCGGTTGAATCTGGTTCAACCTGTGTCGGTCATGAAACCGGCATGACACACCGGTATGACCGGTATGATCGACTTAACCATTCTAAGTAAAATGACATCATTTTAATAAATTTAATGAATAAAAAAATTAATTTATTATTCATTTTATGAATGTAATAGTTAAAAGTTGATGATATTTGTTGGATTGTAACTAAATTGTCCACAAATAGGTTTTATATATGATTAGATACATTGGATATTAATTGTTTTCACATTTTTTTAAACCGGCATGAACCGACACAAACTGGTTATACCACCGGTGAAATACCATTCCACTTGCCAAACCGACACAACGATATAAACCGATTTGACAACCTTCCCTTGGTGACAAACTGACAATTGACTGGGTTGTAAGGCCAAATCACATGCTACAATAAATAGGTTGGGCAGAGTACGTAATCCTGTGCACTTGCCAGCATATGCTTGTGTCGGATCCTACTGAACGATCTGTGACTGTCATATGCATGAATGAATTTCTCCAACGATATCTTATTAATTAATTATTGTCTATTATATTCATCAATCTTAATTCTTATTATTATTCAAATCATGAAAATACGAATTATGTCAGTGAATGAATTGTGTACAAATCATGGCAATGATGCAAACACAGGTGATACGGCCGTTAGAGAAAGGCGTCCTCGTGGGGGCTAAGGGGAAGCTGGCGAGGCTGTTCGGTGAGGCGGCGGCAACGAAAGAGGTTGGGGCGCTGATCGGTGTCGGCGTGGCAGGGTCGCCCCGGTTCGGGGTTTACGGTGTGGATTTCGGGTACGGGCGGCCCGAGAAGGTGGAGATCACGTCCATAGATAGAACGTCGGCTATGTCGATGGCGGAGAGTGGAGATGGAAGCGGCGGCGTCGAGGTTGGCGTTGTTATGGAGAGGCATGAGATGGAGGAGTTCACCTCTGCCTTCTTTGATGGGCTTAAACATATTTGAGAAATGGTGTATTATTATTATTACTGGCTTATAACTCGGCCCGTTGGCCGGAATGTTCATATTTTATTATTTATAATTTTATGTTAAGTTTAAGTCTATCAACTTGTTTAATTTTTTTAATAATCTTTCGAATGAAATGATACATATAAATAGGTTGTGTTAGCTGTAAACACCATAAACCTAAAGAGCCAATAGCCACCACTCTCCGTTGAACGACCAAATTTTTATCCACTCTATCTTTAATCTCAAGAGGCATATGTTTCAACCAAACAACTTCATTTCCTCGGGGCACTTGTAATAAGTTCGCTAAAAACAACACTCATCTCCAATTCCATCAATATGTTCATCTCCCCCTTGACTGCCTTTACCTGCTTTCGTCCACTTCCATCCTATCCATAACCTCTCCATTTTCATTATTATCCTCATCATCTCTCACTTCTCTCTCTTTAACTGCTCCAGTTTCTCTTCCGTGTCTTTCAACACCCACCTCAATTCATTCACTACCCTCTCCAACTCCCTCTTCTTTGCCTTCACCTGTTGCGGTGGAACTTTACCTTCTACCAAATCCAAACACAATTTCTTCCCCCCCCCCCCCCCCCCCCCCACGTCCATTCTCAAACTCAATTCCAACTCTTCAACTCCAAGTTTAAATTCATAACTACTTGATTGAAATCCATTCTATTCGCCATGGATTGATATCGGATTTGAAATTTTCTATTTTCCTAGCTTAAATCCCAAAAATAAAACTGTCGTGCCAAGAGAAACTGGAAGATTAATTTTCAAATGCGTTCTTGTACTGGGAAGTGAAAGGGCCAAATTATTGCACGATGGAGGGACTTTCGGAGGAAGTTATAAAGAGATAAGAACAAAGATAAATAATTTCTTCCATGTTAGCAATTACAAATTTACCTAAGCAAAAATTAAGGAGAGCATGAATTTTAAAATGGATAAAATTACATGAAACTCTACTATGGAAATTGAAGCATTAAGCATAAAAATAAATATGGTAGATTTAGTGGGCTTGTTGATCATGATGTAAAAGTCATTAACTTTCCAGAGTTTAGTGTATGTTTTGTATCAAATAGAAACAACAAATTCGTTTAGTGTAGTTGGTTATGATTGTTGTCCTTGTTTGAAGAGACCTGGGTTCAAATCTTGATATTGATATTTTTTATTTGAAATAAATAAATAATTGTAAAGACAAAAATGTCCTTCCTACTTTCACTCTCGTTACAGAAAATTTGAAATGGAGAAAATTACACAAAACTCTACCATATATTAATGGGGATTATTATTATTATTATTATTATTATTATTATTATTTGGTGCTCAACTTTTTGGATATTTTCTTTGATAACGACGGATTTGAAGGTTTCCTGCCTCGCCATCCGTGGGTTTGTTTCACTAAAATATCGTTTCGTCGTAGGATGACAAAAATATCCGTAACCGTGGATATCCACCCGAATCCGATCTAATCGGGTAGGGTAAAACCCGAACTCGAAGGAAATTTAGTGGGTACGGGTAAAACTCGAACCCGAATATTGCGGGTAATGGGTGGGCATGGGTTTCTAACTATCCAACCCGAACCCGCCCGATTATACGCATGCATGTGTATTTTCTCTAGAAATAATAATTAATTTTCTCTAACATATTTTATATTTAGCATATAAATATAATATTTTAATGAAATTATGTTGTTTTAGTTAATTTTCTTCATTCTAGTGAACTATTGTCGTACTTTTCCTCTTACGTAATGTGAGAATACGTGTGAATGTTAACATATTGGTTGGAGTTATAAAGAGAAATTATTATCCATGAATAACCGTGGATACCCGAAACCCGAACGGGTATGGGCATGATTTTATTTTTGTACCCGTTTCACATGTAGGTATGAGTATGGGTAAAACCCAAACTACTTTGGGTAGAGTAACGAATATGCACTATCCGTCCCCGACCCAACTCATTCCCATCCCTATTTCGCCGCTTGTATTTTGGTTTTTGGACGACGTTTGTTTTGTTTGGGAATTCTGAAAGGTCGCCATTTGGTCCAAATGCCAAACAAAAAAGATCTCATATTACACGATAATATATAAAATACGTGCCGTATGGTTTCTTCTGTTACATGATTGGCGCTGCCAGCTTAGCTGCATGGAAACGTGTCAAAGTTTGCCACAACCCAAAACAACATTAGATCTAGAAGCATGCATTTTGGCAAAAATATCGACATTCCCACTTCCGTTCCCCTTTCAAACTGTTCTTCCTAGCGCCGGTCGTCTTCTCCTTTTTCTCCCCTACGACTAGGGATGACAATGGATCGGGGACGGATAGTGCATATCTGTTACCCTACCCAAAGTAGTTCGGGTTTTACCCATACCCATATCCACATATGAAACAGATAGAAAATTAAAATCATCCCCGTACCCGTTCGGGTTTCGGGTATCCACGGTTATCCATAGGTAATGATTTCTCTTCATAACTCCAACTAATATATTAACATTCACACGTATTCTCACATTACGCAAGAGGAAAAATATAACAATAAATCACTAGAATGAAAAAAATTAATTAAAACAACAAAATTTCATGAAAATATTATATTTATATGCTAAATATAAAATATGTTAGAGAAAAATAATGACTATTTCTAGACAAAATACATATGTATGTGTATAATCGGGCGGGTTCGGGTTGGATACTGAGAAACCCATGCCCACCCATTACCCGCAATATTCGGGTTCGGGTTTTACCCGTACCCACTAAATGTCCTTCAGGTTCGGGTTTTACCCTACCCGATTAGACCGGATTCGGACGGATATCCACGGTTACAGATATTTTTGCCATCCCTACTACGACTTGTCCATTCAAATTGGGCTTATTTCGAAGGTTTGCAGACGGGCACAGCGAACAAGAGGCCCACTACTGAGGCCCAAATCCAGAGGCGAAAATTATTAGAGCCCATGTGTAGTTAAATGCCAAGAGGCACGTGACATACTGCAGGTCCCGTTCGTTTCCCGCTCGTCACGGCACGTGATACAGTGACCGAACGCAGTCGTTGTAGACTAAAGTGAAATTATCAGCCAGCCCAGACTGCCAGAGACCGCTTGATTTGGCGGGGCCCACGCCTTTCCTCCTGGGACCGAAGAGTGAATTTTCCGTCACGGCTGTCATTCAATCAAAACCCTAATAATTTCAATTATTCTCCTTATTCTTCGACCTCACCGCCAACCACCACCACTACCGCCAATTCGATTAGCCAGCAACCGCCGCCTTCTTCCACTTCCCGTTCCCGATTCAGATCCCAACCGATTCCGCGGCCGGTTTCCCCAACTTCACGAAGAGCTTCCAGCACGCGCGGCAATGGCGGAGGGCAGGAATAATGGAGAGCGCAGGGAGATGAGCGACTACTCGTCGTCGGAGGATGAGGGGACTGAGGATTACAGGAGAGGTGGCTACCACGCTGTGCTTATCGGCGACACATTCAAGAACGGCCGTTACGTGGTGCAGAGCAAGCTCGGCTGGGGACATTTCTCCACCGTTTGGCTCGCTTGGGACACTCAGGGATCTGTAAGTTTCGCCTTCCTCGTATGAATTGCCTTCGGGTTCTTTTCGCCTTTTGTTTTTTGATTGTGCTGTGAATTGCTCTTTCTTCGCAATCCTGTTCAAAATGATGCCTGATTAGGGTGGTATCTGCAAATCAGCCCAGTGCCGTGTTCCAAGCTCTTTAACCGCGCTTAGATATTCATGTGTTTGTAGCGTTATGTAGCTTTGAAAGTTCAAAAGAGCGCTCAACACTACACCGAGGCAGCCATGGACGAGGTAAAGCTCCTGAAGCAGATTGCCGAGGGGGATCCCGAAGATAAGTACTATGTCGTCAAGCTTTTGGACCACTTCAAGCATTCGGGGCCGAATGGACAGCATGTATGTATGGTCTTTGAGTATTTGGGGGATAACTTGTTGACCCTAATTAAGTTCAGTGATTACCGTGGCGTTCCTCTGAGTATGGTGAAAGAATTGTGCTATCACATTTTGGTGGGATTGGATTACTTGCATCGGAAGCTGTCCATCATTCACACTGATTTGAAGCCGGAGAATGTCCTGCTCTGTTCGACGATTGACCCGTGTAAAGATCCTAGGAAGTCGGGTGCCCCTTTGGTACTCCCAAGGAGCAAGAGTAAAATTGTAGAAGAACCTGTGTCTTCGAAAGATGGTAGTAAGAGTTTGAATTCGTGTTTAACGAAGAATCAGAAGAAGAAGATACGGAAAAAGGCTAAGAAGGCGACCACTAAGGATTGTGTAGGTGGAGAGGAAGACGTGGAAGAAGAAACCGAGAAGCAAGTTGGGAGCTCCGATGAAAAGGAGAAGGATGCTTCTGATACAAAGAAACAGGATCATAATAGGAGAAGCCCTTCTGTCAGGAAGAAGCTATTGGCAACTGCTGATCCAAAGTGCAAGTTGGTTGATTTTGGGAATGCATGTTGGACGCACAAGCAATTCACGAGTGACATCCAGACAAGACAGTATAGATGCCCTGAGGTCATCCTTGGAGCTAAATACTCTACTCCGGCAGATCTATGGTCGTTTGCTTGTATTTGCTTCGAGCTGGCTACTGGAGATGTCCTTTTTGATCCTCATAGTGGTGACAACTATGACAGGGATGAGGTATGCATGCTACTTGAAGTTCCATTGTGTTTTATCATTGGCTTTCTGCTGTCAAATGTCACTTCACGGTGATGTTCGCAAGTGTAGCTTCTCACTTCTTTTGAGTTCGTACGTTCTCTATCTCACCCTTGTCTGGGTGATGGTGACAGGATCATCTGGCATTGATGATGGAGCTTATTGGTGTTATTCCACGAAAGGTGAGTTGGTACAATACAGATGGTAGTAGAAGTAAAATTTAGTTGTCATGTACACAGTTATAATCCTTTCTAAAACTGAATTCTCCAGATAGCTTTGGGTGGCAAATACTCGAAGGATTTCTTCAACAGATATGGAGATCTGAGGCACATCAGAAAGTTGCGGTTCTGGCCTCTCGACAAAGTGCTTGTAGAGAAGTATGGTTTCGGTGAGCAGGATGCACAAGAATTGTCCGACTTCTTAGTGCCCTTGCTTCAGTATGCACCAGAAAAGAGGTCTACTGCAGCTCAGTGCCTTAGTCATCCATGGATTACTTCAGGCCCTCGTTTCGTCAAGCCTTCTCCTCCGGCTCTTCAGTGGCCGGGAGCCAGTGGAAGTAAGTTGGACATTGAGGAAGATAAGGGCGAGAGGGAAGCCATGGCTGATGGGGTAGAGAAGATAGCAATCAATGGGACTTCAAAAGCCTCTCCACAACCCCAGAACGAAACCGTCCAGAAGATTTGATAGTGCCAAGAATTAGAGATTATTTCCCCGTTTCCCCACAGCTCCATTTTTGCAGCTCCATTTTGGACTTATTGCGATTGCAGTTGGGTTTGTATCATTATTCTCAATAGATGTTAGCATGGGAGACGTCTGTTGAACGTTTCAACTTGTACACTCAATTTGATTTATTGTTTCACCAAGTTCTTTCATACATGCTAAGGGATGGTAATTATGTTCGCGTTAATCGACAATACACGTCACCAGGTAAACATGACTGCATGATGGAGATTGCCGCAACATTTCTAAGGTCGTGGCTGAGAATGTAGTGTTCGAACGAATAGCTTCACACAACTTATGACACTATATCATAGCCCGACTCCTGCAGAAGGCTGAAGCCATTGGAGGTCCTCTTAAAACTTGTTGCCATCAAATTCGACCAACTATTTTATCTTCTCTTTCCTTCAAGGATCTCTGGTGCTGATCTTCTATAACAGTTGCAGCAGCAGCAGCAGCAGCAGCAATAGGAGTCTACGTACGAGCAGCAGAAGCAACACCAGGTTCTGCCTACAAGTCTATAGGATGCTGCAGGTATGTGAATAGAGTCAAGTCATGGAAATTACCAGCAGTAATTAAGTTGTCAGAATACATAAAGCAACGATATTTACCAAAAGCTCCCGAAAATGCTGAGTCAGTGTTTACAGAATTTTCTTAGTCCGGAGATAGGTGTACATGAGGAAGAAAGCCACGACAGCGCCGAATACTATTCCACCTGTTGTTAGCCAAAACGCAGCCTGCATCAACAAGGTGGGAGTAGTTACATTATGACACTGTTCTGTAAGCATATCACATTATGCAAACACTATTCTGTAGCAGATCTACCAAGATGTTAAATGTTGTTAACTTACCACATGCTCTTCCAGGTAAGATTTTAAGTTCATTCCAAAAATGCCTGTAACACCACCAGAATGATTTTATCAAGGCATAGCTTAAGAAAGCAGATTTCAGTTCAGTTTAAGGCGCAGGGTACTTGCACAAGATATTAAGTTACATGGATGCTAGAAGCAAGGGATTTACCTGCAACGAGAGCGCCAACTCCCACACAAAACGTTCCAACCTGGAGTAGTAACTCCACTCTGCTCACTTCAAGCCTCCGTGAGCTGAAAAAGAAAAGCCACATGAAATTTTAGTACCAGCTTCAAACATCACCATGCATCAGATTCAAATAACCCCTTCCATTTACAAACCTCAAGTGAACAGCAATTGAATCTTCCATTTCTTTTGCCGAGTCGAGAAGTCGTTCTGCCTGTCCATGACAAGATTCACATCTGGAAAAGCAACTTAGACTATTAATTTCAAGATTTCGAAGATGCCAACTTTGATTGCCATGTCAAAATTGTAGGTAATCCATGAACTGAATATGAAGGGAAATACCTTTGAAGATAATTCTCCAGTAGCATCTCAATTTCTTCCTCCTCCTCTGAAAACGATAACAGTTAACCTCCAAAATTAGCTATCAGTCCACAGAGAAACCAACACCACTTCAACCAAAAACTAACTCCACCGTACAATTTTCTATAATTAGCTTACCCTCGGCAATCTGCTTCTCTAAAGGGACAGGGCATTCCATATCATCATTCCCCTTTTTAAGAGTGCAATTTCTTCCCATGATACACATACGCCGAATTTCATGAGTGTCCTCCAACAGATCAAGCAACATTTGTCTAAGAGCTCCTGCTCGAGAACCTAACTCGACCTTCAAATACGAGTGCTGATGTCAGCATGAGAACAAAATTTACTTCCCTACAGCAGCAGCTATAACAATTTCAACAATTCATACGATACCAAATTTTGCTTGCTGATCCGTAGCTCCTCCAATATATTAGCTGTTAAGCGGTTTGGAAGTACTTCAAGTAGAGCTTGAACCTAAGAGCCAAAGCAACAGAGCCATTCTTAACGGTTCCAAATTGATACTCAAATATTAAAGAACATTAAAAGCAGTTTGAAGAAATTTGTTTTTAGCAGAACCTTCCACTTTACAGAAGACTGGTGCAGCAAAAACAAAATAGAAAAATATCTGACAATATATATACACTCACTAGGATTCCATACTCACACGGGGTTCAACTTGCATAAGCCTCTGCTCCAACCGCTGTACTCGTGAGAGCAATGCTGCTTCAACCACCTGTAATTTAACACTTCAAGCAACTTCAGCAACCCAACAAATGCAGCAGAGAAGGCTTTATAACATCAGAAATGGCATCAAGTTCCAGTAATGAGCTATTTCCAACACATCAAAACTAAAAAAAAATTGGGTTCGAAGTGCAGAAACTGCACACACAGACCCACCTCTAGCTCAAATGGCATGCACGGCCCTCCATTCATGCCTCTAGGATTTAATCGCGGCAACAATGTATCTAGAAATGCCTTCCCACCTCGCCTGCAAACAAGTTCACACATTGGAGGAAGAGAATTATTCATTCACCATCCCCATTGGTAGCTCAATCGAGAACCAGTAAACTTTTACTAACTGGGTTGCATGATGTATTACGTATTATAGTCAAATATGAGGACGCATTCTTGCATTGCGATCGCTCGCAGAGAACCCAAGTTCAGCAATATAGCATGCTCCCGCACCTGGCAAGTAAGATCGCATATATAGTCAACAAGATGGTAGAGGTTTCATTGCACCATTAATGACCAAATAAAACAATTGATGCATAGTATATATCTGTCACATTTCACCAGCAAAAAAATGAAAAGACAAGAAAGTAATGATACCAGCAAAGATGGCATTGAGTTGGTCAGGAACAGGGATGGATCAACACTACGAATGTCCCGGGGACGAAGACCTGGCATTGGCAAAGGATAAAGATGTCATTACCGCCGATTACAGCATTTTGAATTAATTAATTTTCCATTAATAAGTTCCAATTTTCTTTATTAAGTATTTAATCCAATGATTATTGATTAAGAAGCTTTGATTGAATCAAATCGAACATGCAAATCAGTTACGACAGATAATATAAATTATTATTACTCACTAACCGCTGGATTTCAGCAAGTGACGCCTGCTAATCTTCCTGGTAGACACCATCCCGCCGGCCTTCACTTCCACAACCTTCACAACCCAAAAACACGGCTCGAGCAAATTCAAATTCAAAAATCAAATAGCGAAATTGAGAAGGGGGAGTACTGATTAGATGTTACGGTTTCAAGCTCGCGAACCTCATACACCGGCTCGCGAATACCGAGCGAGAGAGCGTCGCCATACGACGGCGCCGGCGGTGGAAGTCTCTCCTGTTTGGGCTCCTCCTCTGCTGCTACCACCGGATCGTCGCCACCGTCTGGAAACAGAGTCCCCGGCTGGGTTGACTTGGTCAAACATCTTACTCTGGAGGAGACCTTGATACCTAAAGAAACCAGCAGCGCGGGGGGAATCTGTTGCTGGATGAGGAGCGAAGGCGGTTGCGGCGAGAGTAGTGAGGAGCGAGAGACGAAGATGAGATGTTGAGAAGGAGCCTGCGGAGTAGGAGAAAGCGACATTGCTGCGAGCAATAGTAGTGTCGGACTTCGATCATGGACCAGCTGCAAAACAGCGAGCGAGGCGGAAAAGATTCAATGGATTAGATTGGATTTCATTGCAGAGAAGTAGCGGATTCTTTAGTTTAACGTTTTCAGTTTTCACGCAGATAGAGCAGGTTTACTCGTGTTGGAGAGATGCGAGCGATTTCTGTGGCTCGCGTTTGATTTGGGTCATTTTCTCCAGTTGTTGGTAAGGACGGAGTAAGGAAGCAATTTTACTTCTAGGGCCACTTGGTGGGGACACGTGTAGTGATGGCTATAGGTGGCAATTTCAATCCAATCCACCAATCCAATTCATCAATTCATTAAAAATATCTACCTAATCCAATCCATTTAAATCCAATCCATTTAATCCAAATCCAATTGGATTGGTGGATTCATGGATTGGATCCATGGATCATTGGCAAATTACGTTTTAGTACCTATAATTTTTATTTTTTACATTTTGGTACCTAAAATTTAATTTTTTATACGAAAAATACCATTGGAAAATTACGTTTTGGTACCTAAAAAATTTCATTATGACATTTTAGTACCTAAACTTTTTACATTTTACATATTGCTCCTTGGTTGAGGATGTCATTTGAATTCATGGATAATCCACCAATCCACTTGATCCATGGATCCACCAATACATCCATCAATCCACCAATCCAATCCATTTGCCACCTCTAGTGATGGCAATGGGGCGGGTATATCAATTCCCATGCCCGCCCCATGCTACTACGAGTCGGGACGGGTAAAACCCGCGCGGGTATGGGGCGGGGCGGGTCGACCAACTCTTACATGTTGTTCAAAAAAAATACAAGTAAATTTTACTTTTTACAATAAAACTTAGGGAAAAACACTTTAAGAATGAAAAACATTGATAAAAGAGTGGATAATTGAGCATAACAAGTTGAAAGATCGACTCTAACTAGTTGAAGAAAAGTCAAAATAGGAGAAATATGTATAGATATTGTAAGAAATTAAGATAAAATGGGTCTAGAACGGGGCGGGACGGGGCAGGGCGGGTCGGAAATAGATATTCATGCCCCACCCCACGCTACTGTGGGTCGGGTAATACCCGCCCCATCGCGGGTCAGATCGAGTAATACTCGCGGGCGGGTTGAAATTGCCATCACTAGACACGTGGTTAGGCCTTTGTGGTAGGAGGAAACAAATTATGATGGTCCCGTGCTGTCACGTCAGGATGGGATTAGATTAGATTATGGATAAACCCGCTAAACGATGGACTAGTATATACGTTGCGATCCTATTTTTGTCCGTGGCCCATGAAAAATGTATCAGCTACCGACATAAATGGGCCGAGGCCCAAACCGCTGGGCATCGCACTGACTCATGGCCCGAAGATACACGTCAATTTTTTCCACCGTATAAACCCCGCGAATCTAACCTGCGATTTCGGCTGTTAGGAAAAGCTTCCCGCCTTTTCATCCGCCATTTCCAAACACGGTGAACTCTTCCGGGACACACACCAGCCCAGCCAGTGTCATTATTTTGTCTAAACAGAAGCTGGAAATGGCGCTGAGTTCGAGGTTGAATCCCGCCGAGGAAGAAGAAAATGAATTGGACGATTTCGAACGTCCAGGAGAAGAAGAGGAAGAAGCAGCAGCAGCCGGGGAAGAACCAGGCGACCAGCCTTCGCATAATCCTTCTGCTCCGCCTGACGAGGTCATACTCTAGCGATGCCCCCGTTACAATTCGATTTTGCTGGTATTTTCTTCATTCTCTCTTTTGAGATTGAAGATTCGGTGTTCTGGTAGCAATCTCTTGGAGTCCAACTACGGAGCTAGGGTTTCCTTTTAATTGATTTTGTTCTGGTAGTTTTATGGCTCTTCCTTTCGTCGAATTTCTGCTACCGGCGATTGATATTTTCTCTGTGAAACTTTTATGTTATTTAGGGAGTGAACCATTCTCTTATTGCAAATTGCAATGAATTTTAGTTTTAGACGTCATCCTAGAAGATAACACCTCTGTTTTCAATGTTCTCTTCTGCAGTTGTTTGATATTTCAACGACGGTTGATCCTGCGTACATAATATCATTGATAAGAAAGCTTGTACCGATTAATGCAAGTGAAGCGGTTTACTCTCGCGACAACGGTTTAAGTTGCAATGATGGTGTTAGAGGAGGTTCAACGAGCGGTAGGATGGATGATAGTGGAGCTTCGTTATCTAGGGAGCTAGTTTTGAATGAGTCCGACAAGAATGAGCCTGAAAACATGGACGTTGGTGATGTCGACTCATCTTGCAGATCTCAAGTGACTAGTGTTTCACAGGCAGATGATGTCTGGGAAGAGCATGGTTGCGTTTTGTGGGATCTTGCTGCTAGTAAAATGCATGCTGAATTGATGGTGATGCAAATTTATCTTTGGAGATGCTTTACAGTATTTGTGGCTATTTGATGGGTGATTTTGTTGGAAGTTCTTTTTGGCACTTCGAGTACTTTTGTGGTTTGCTTAAAAAATTTATAGGTTTATGCTTTTGTAAGTGCTTATCCATAGTTTTTGGCCCATGCCATGTCCTTGCTCTGCATATCAACTACATTTGAACTACTTTGCTGCATATTTGCTGTCTGTAGCAATAATAATAACAGTACTTTGTCCATTTGTGCGTGAGCTTATACATGTTAACTTATGCAACCAGTCCCAATTTCAGTTACATCTAAAATACAGTTGCATATTTAGTCTTGAATGAATATCGGCTGAAAGATATTGACCTATGAGTCTGCAGGTGCAAAACCTTGTCCTTGAAGTGCTTTCCGCTAACCTGATAGTATCCCAGTCAGTACGTGTCAAGGTAAGTTTGTAGCTTCATATGTTGAATACCTAGCTTTTGAGTATTTTGTGTTTGTTAAATTCATTATCCTTGTCATTGTTGCGGATATTGTTTCCATGCATTTTAGTTTTCAGTGAACCAATCATAAGTAAGCTGCTGCTTCGCTGTTTTGCAGGAGATCTGCCTCGGAATTATCGGAAATTTGGGATGTCACGAACTCCCAATGATGCATATTGTGTCCAAGGAGGGGTTGATGAAAAGTATTATTGATCAATTGTTTCTAGATGATACTCAGTGCCTATGTGAAGTTTTTCGGTACGTCTTTGCTTTTATTTTTGGAAAAGAAGCTATTTGGTGTTTCAGTATAATAACTATCCACTAAGGGTTTTTACTTGAATATTTGTGAGCTTTCTTCCTGCTATTGTCATATTCTACAGTTTGATACTGTATTTCTTTTGATTTACTTCTTGACTAATGCCCGTTTTAGTTCTACCCATTGCATCAACATTCTACACTTTTACCAAATAATAAGAAGTTATGATCATCAATCATGGTAGTTACATGTGTTGCTCCACACCTCGCAAAAATAGTCTCTTCTATTCCCTTTAGTATTTGTCTTCATTAAACAGTTCACTTATTGTTCTTTTGTCTCCTTTTTTCTCTCCTTCGTGATTTGTTTTGTGATACTGCAGGATCTTTACTTCGGGTCTTAAGAGTAAAGAATGTGGTACATGGTGCGAAGCACTTGAGGCTGATCATGTATTATCTCGTATTATGTGGGTTGCAGAAAACACCTTAAACTTGCAGCTTTTAGAAAAGGTGCAACTGTTGTTTTCCTCTGTATGTTATGTAATGTAATTGTCCACACTCCACCTATCAGTTCTTTATGTTGCTATTTCCACTAATCTATAAACTTGTTGTGTGGGCAGAGTGTGGAATTCTTGATAGCTGTTCTTGAATGTAGAGAGGAGGTGTCAAGTGCTCTTATTCCACCTTTCATGAAGTTAGGATTGTCGAGTTTATTAATCCATCTCTTAAGCACTGAAATGAGTGTTGCAACTGGTGACAAGGTACCTGAAAGGTATTACCCAACTCCTACTTGTTATTCATATTGTTGGATATATGCATACCAGAACATATCCATGTTTAAACATGTATTTGTTTAATTTAAGTATCAGTGTCAGTGATGTTCACAATGATAATTCGGAGAAAGCTATATGATGCAGTTAGATGCTCCGGCTATGTCTGCCGGTATAAATGTTGCTTAAAATCTGGAGCGAACGTTTTATGTCCTAATAATTCCTTTTCCCCAACATGCTGGATGCATATCTAATTCTCAGACCCTGTATCTGTTACAGATTGCCTATTCTAGATGTAATTCTTCGGGCAATTGAGGCTCTTTCGTCATTAGATGGCCATTCCCAAGAAATTTCTTCCAACAAGACACTATTTCTACTTGTTTGTGATGTACTTAAGATGCCAGATAAAGCAGAGGTAACTTGAAACAATACCTGCACCAGTTGTAAGAAATCATTTGCACTGCTTGTTCTCCATTACTTAGGATTGGTGATGCACAGCTGCTATTTGCTCAAGTACTGGTCCATCTTTTGTATTCTAGTGATCTAGTTAGATGAGAGTAGTAAGAGCCGATTTCTGCAGGTTGCCAGTTCTTGTGTCACTGCTGCAGTTCTATTCGCAAATATGCTGGCTGATATACCTACTCTGTCGTCAGAGATATGCCAGGGTAAACTCTGTTTGACCTTAAACTCCCTCCATTCATAATAGTGGAACATTTTTGCTAATTTGCTTGGGATCATATACACGATCTCAAGCTGGTATTTGATAATATTTTCAAAAATGCTCAGATGTATCTTTGTTAGAGGGTCTGCTGGATATATTATCATTCGCTTCGGACGATTTGGAAGCACAACATGCAATCTGGAGCACCATTGCAATATTACTGGTGCAAGTCAAGGAAACTGAGATGACCATCTCTAGTCTTCATCAATATGTTACGGTCCTCGTAAGCAAATCTGACTTGATTGAAGACAACTTTCTTGGCCAGCAAATAGATCATGTTACAATGGAAAATAGTGATAGCAGCAGACGAAATGCTAGAAGCATTGCCGTATCCTGGTTTCGAGTTAGTTTGATTGTGGCGAACTTTTACCTACAAAATGTTTCATCACAAAAGTTCCACTGTGGCTTCTTTTCCTCTTAACTATTTTCACAGCTTCTGAGTATTGTCGGTATTTTAACCAAGTGGACTTCATCAAAAGATCGCCCCAAGAGAGATGGTACATCATCTGATGAACACAATGCAGAATACGAAAACATTCGTAGATTGATGAGATGCTGTCATAAACATCTTGGAGTAGGTGGGTTCTCTTTGTTAATCATGTTGGTTTTGGAACATCTCTTTCTTTCATCATTTAAAGACCAGTCTACCCACTAAGGAATGCATTTTGCAGAACTATCCCCATAGCAGCTAATCTTCTCGTCGGAGTAAGTGACTTCCAGTCATCCAATAAAAAACCTTCAGCAGAGCGAGAGATTTCTCCCACGAACTCCAGTGTCAGCGATAGGGTCACCGAAGCGACCACCAAGGAGTCACCATTTTGCGACGATGATATGGAACAGCACCCCCAAGCATGTTGGGCAGGATTCCAGAAACAACTGGGGATCTCCATGATGGCTTCTGATTTCTTGAGTGAGCACAGGCATATCAAAATCACATACAAGGCAGGTCAAGCTATAACCATCCATTCAGCAAACTTTGTACTAATTGTTTCGAACGACTGAACACAGTTCTGGCTCGATCAACAGATCGCACAATATATTGTAACTGTTAATCCTTGATGACATTGAGAACAATGTAAGGTCAATTGCATCAGAAACTCAGAGGAAGTCCTCGATGAGCGGCTGGTAGAACAGCTTGTAGGCCTCCAGGACTTCCAGATACCACATGGCTTCCCTGTCTGGAAATGGCGAGAGATCGACGATCTTATGTACCTGTATGTTCCAGAAACTACGTTACTGTAACAAAGCTCAATCAATACTGTGGTTACTGCAGCAAACCTTTAGGCAGGCTTATTACCTTGATCATGGCGGTCTCGCCTGTACGGATGAAATACCCTCCCACCACCATTACATACATCCCTGGACCGAAATCACGGGAATCAAATGAGAACTAAAAAATTCGCATAGAACAATGCAATCCCACAGAGGGCGGAATAACGAACCGACGTCAAACTTGCGTTGGCGGAACTCGCCGGCGAGGGAGAGCTCGATGACGCCGGTTCCGTCGTCGAGAAGCAGACGGCCGTCGCCGTCGTTGGACACAATGATTCCCTGGTGGTAGGGGAGTTAGAGCGTTGAAATGGGAATAACTAAAAGGGTTAAAGAGAAGGAGAGAGAGAGAGACCTGTAGCCAGGCGCGCTGGAAGAGAATGCCGCCGAGAGTCAAGGCGTTCTGAGTAGAGGTTTGGCGAGCATCTTTCAGTTGGACGCACAGAAGCTTCAGCGCCGCTAGACTGTAATCCATTCCTTCCTTTTCTTCTCCGTTCTCCCGCCGCTGTCCTTTTTACCTAATACTTCTCTGGACGGCAAAGCGAATTTGTGAACCCGACTAACATTGCAAGTTTGTGGAATTTTGTTTAGTAGCTTTTATTACAGAAGCATCTCAACAAATCAGAGTGGCGCAGCGGAAGCGTGGTGGGCCCATAACCCACAGGTCCCTGGATCGAAACCAGGCTCTGATAATTAGTTTTACTTTTTTTTTTTTTTTTTTTTTTTTGCATGATATAGTGTTGCTTGCTCTAGTACCCGGCCTTTCTGCAACTTCTGGATTCTGTTAACCAAGTTGTTGAGCTTCTGAAACGGTGGTTGGGGAGTTATGAAGTTCAACTGATTCTGATACCGTCGAGTCTATTTCATTAGCTTGCAAATGCTCATACAAGGAAGGCATTACCAGAGGAATAGGCTGGAAAGAAACAGAATGTTGACAGCATGTACAATTTGTGCTTCCCTTTGCTTGATTTGTGTAAAGAAGGTGATGCGATCCACGAGAACCGAAATCGAAGTCTGTTTTGATAATACTGTGGATGGTGTTATTGATACTCAAACTAATGTCAACAACGGGACAATCCCCAGGTATCATCAACATAGCTTGGACAATGGTTGATCCAAAACCCTGAAACAGTATGTATCTGTTTGAATTGCATTAAGCTGGACTCTTTTGTAATATCACCTACAGGTAGAGGTGGCAATTGGATCGGATTCGTGGATTGGATTGGTGGATCCATGGATCAAATGGATTGGTGGATTCATGGATTGGATCAAATGGATTGGTGGATTGGTCCATGAATCCAAATGACATCCAAGGCTTGGATCAAAATGTAAATTTTGAAAAGTTTAGGTACTAAAATGTCATAATGAAAAATTTTAGGTACCAAAATGTAATTTTTCAATGATATTTTTCGTATAAAAATATAAATTTTAGGTACCAAAATGTAAAATATAAAAAATATAGGTACCAAATTGTAATTTGCCATTTGGATCAATGGATTGATCCATGAATCCACCAATCCAATTGGATTTGGATCAAATGGATTGGATTTAAATGGATTGGATTATGTGAATAATTTGGTGGATGGATTGAATTGGATTCATGGATTTGGATCATAATTGCCACCTCTACCTACAAGAGCATCAGAATAATGTAGCTCAAGGATTTAGTAAAGAGATGCCTCAGGATAAGGATGTTGGATAGAACAATTACAAAGCCTGGAAACTATATACTCTCATTGATCAATCCTCTTTCATTGTGCTGAGTGCAATTACAAAACCATACATTCCCAAGATAAATCAAATTTACAGTACATGGTAGATACTAGATGCCATACGATACAGGTTCATAAGCACCATTATTGGGACGAACTGTTAGTGACTTTACGCACTACAAGCACAATACACTTATTACAAAAACCCTCTCCTTCCCCTCTCTGTCCTTCAGGAAACAATACTGGGAACTTACTAGTTACAACAACTGATATTGCTCACGCTACATATACACCTAGATAAATAATGCCAACCATCTCCATTCCCGCCCCTTGCCAAAGCATGTTCGAGCATTTTATTCCAACTCCGTATGCCCATAAGTTTGCCTGGAACCCAAGAAAGCTCATTGTCGACAGATATGGCTGGTTTTCTGCAGAATAACCTAGTTTGCTCAGCGCAGTAGAAGGTCCAGGACCTCATTGTCCGTCTCAAACTTGTAGTCGCATCGCAGGCTGTTGGCCAAGGACTTGAACTCATCCATCTCTGATGCTGCCACTTGGAAACCCACCAGCACATTGGCACCACTCTCCCCCTGTCCAAAAAAACGAAAGAAAAAGCCAGTGCATTTGTTAGGCAAGCTGCAGGAGTTATGAGTGGCAGGGTAACCTGCTCATGCAGTTCACAGGGAGATTAAGGATAATAATAATCACCTGATCTCGGTAGTGGAATAGTGTGATGTTCCAACGGACACTAAAAGAGTCCAGGAACTTTCCTAAAGCGCCTGGTCTCTCGGGGAAAATGAACCGGCATACAATCTCATTCTCAACATTGGACCGACCACCCACCTGAAATCATCAGATTACTAATTGTCATGATCAGAAACAGGGAGAAACGCTGCTCAACCATGATATGTGCTATTGTCAGGGAGTACCAGAAACTGGAGATGGTCTTTGACAAGGTCATTGTCAGTGAGATTAAGTGTATGGAGACTAGCAGATTTCATCCAGTCCTGCAATTTCTCGAGCTCGAAGGTTGTACCAAAGCTGACACTGCAGGTGCGAAGAACAAAGAAAAGGATAAGCAACCTATACTCACTGGTCAATTTATGATTAAGCTACATTGATCACTTGCCTGTAGAGAATGAGAGCTTGTTCTTTGTGAGCGTCGTATCTGTATCTGAACTCGGAAATATTCATGGGACCAACCTGTAATTCCCATGGTGAGCTGAATCTGTAAATAAACTATAGAGAAGTAAAAAAAAAAAGGTTTTGCCTTTAGCAAAAAATGGCTCACCAGTTTATAGAACTGGATGAAATTCCCCCACTTCTCAGGCACGAAAGTAGCAAGAACAGCCTCAGATCTCCTGCCTACATCTGCAAGCTGAGAAACCAAGCCAAGTCTGTCGAAATTCATGTTCGCTCCACTGGTAATCGCCACCACACTTTCGCCTTTGAGCCCGTAGTATTTACAGTAGGCTTCAGCTCCAGCCATGGCCAGAGCCCCTGCTGGCTCAAGTATGCTCCTGTTCTCTTCAAACATGTCCTGACACCAAAGAAACAAAAACGCTATTCTTTCAGGCATTTCATCGAACACTTAGAAGTCAACCAATCTTACATTTTAATTTTGTTACCTTTATTGATGCACAAATGGCGTCGCGGCTCACTAGAACAACACCGTCGATCAGTTCTTTGCACAACCCGAAAGGTTCTTCCCCAACAGCTTTCACGGCGACGCCATCGGCGAAACCTCCCACCTGATCCAGCATTATCCTCTGTCCATGATACAGCGAGAGCGCCATCGCGTTGGCGTCAAACGGCTCCACTCCGATGACCTTGACCTCGGGGCGAACTCTCTTCACGTAGGCAGCGATTCCGGCGATGAGCCCGCCCCCACCGACGGGCACGAAGATCGCGTGCAGTGGACCGGGCATTTGCCTGACGATCTCCATCCCGACTGTTCCTTGTCCGGCGATGACATCGGGGTGATCAAAAGGAGGGATGAAAATTCTCCCTTCCTCCTTGGCTCTCTGTTTCGCGTACGACTGAGTTTCGTCGTATGACTCCCCGACGAGCACCACCGTCGCGCCCATTCTCTCCACCGTCTTCCACTGTTTTTGTCCACGATTTTGAAGGAAATGAATTGAGAAATCGAGAAATCTAAAAATTGGTGTTAGGGTTACAGAAGAGATAAGAAGGTTCACTGACTTTGATTTCTGGGGTGGTGACGGGCATGGCGATGACGGCGTTGCATCCCAGTTTCTGAGCAGATAAGGCAACGCCCTGAGCGTGGTTGCCGGCCGACGAACAAATCACTCCCTTGGCTAACTGTTCTCTGGTTAGCTTCGCCATCATGCTGTAAGCTCCCCGCAGTTTGAAGGAGAAAACCTGACCACCGCCAACACATTTTTGGGTTTCGTTAGGTTCAGAGGAGCTCTTCTCGGCGACGAACGATTAGTCTCAGCCCGCCGGTCAATAGGGGAGAAAGGAGATTAGACAAACAAGTCCACACAATGAGCTTTTCAAGATATGTCGCAATGAGCTTTTCAAGTTCATCAATTCTAGTCCCCTTACTATTTTATTTAGACAAACAAGTCCACACACTATGAAGGTTCCAAAGATATTATTGTGTCCTATTCATATCCCTTCCTAGTTCCTATGCTAAAAATTCATGTTTTTTCACCCACATTTCAACTCTTAAATTTCATGTCTTCACTCTGTTTACTATATTTGGCATCCATACTTAATCTGACACAAATTGAATGGGTGAAATGGGTTCTAGTAGACCTGGCAATCAGGTCGGGTTGGATAATTTCGGGTTGGAAACTTCGATTACGGGTCGGGTCATGTTTGCTTGACTTATTTCGGGTCAAATATTGACTCACCCCATTCAGTTTCGGGTCGGTTTACAGGTCATTTCGGGTTATGAGCGTTCTCATAAACAATATCAAACATGGTTCATATTTTCTTAAAGAACACAAAATTTCACATATGCATGACAATGGTTTACCTAACACATGTCAATTAACATATTCTCAAATCCTCTCACGCTAATGAAATGAAATATAAATTGCGCAAATCGTCAAAAAACAATCACAAGAGTAATACTAATACAAGAAACACTTGATATTTGATTATTCTTAAACTCCAAACATGTCATTCAAATACTTATGATTTTTTTAAACATCTCACCAATTTATGAGTGATTTTTATCATATTTTGGGAGTAATATACGATCCAGACCAGACCACCCATGTGCGGTCTGGTCCGGTACGATTTGATTCAGATAGACCATAATGAACGAAAAATAAATAATTTAATTAGTCAACCGCACAAAAAATTAAACCAATAGGCAAGAAAAAATATTTTTCCCTTAAAACATAAATTCCTACATGCATGGATACTTTTGACACCATAAATTTAAGTAAATAATAAAAATACAAAGTCAAAACATCACAACTTGCACCATAACGTGATAAACATTTACATAATGTCATATGGAGACATGATCGTCTCTACTCTCTAGTGAAATGTGGTTGTGAATGAAAGAAGGGACGAGATTCTCAAAATTAAGATTGAGATTTGGGTATCATCTTGGGAGTTGGGAGAGTGTCCGAGTGGATTGCTAACACATATTGAGAAGTTAGTTGGGTCCACAATTTTTTTTTTATAATTTAATTGTCACCATTATAAAAAAAAAGCGCAGTCTATACCAGACCAGACCAAGACATCAAAACATCATACCATAGAGACAAATGGACCAAACCAGGCCATACTTAACGGTCGATTATCCGGACCAAACAGTGCGGTTCGATTTGGACCATAATTTTTCAAACGGTCTGATCTACTTTCCCAGCCCTAGTGCTTAGTGGCTGGTGCTGACAGCTGAGAGGCGGGAAGTGGTAGGCAGGCTGGTAGCCACACATTTGGGCTCGGTGGAGATATGAGCCCAGTGGACTTGACGGTTGATGGACAAAAGATACCCATCCCGTGAATGGGAGGGAAGTAATGGGTCCTAATAATAATCCGCTCATTTTAGGGCCCATTGCGGTGGGTCCTATCTATGTCTACTACATTATCGCCGCATCCATACAAAATTACAAATGCACGAACAGGTGATTCGCGTTCCTAAAAACCTCAACTACATTTCCTTATAAGAAATGGAGAGAAGGGAAAAAAAAAAAAAAAGTCTCTCAACTACCTACTTTTATTGTTAAAAAAGAATTAGAACAAAACTTGTACTGGCGAGTTAGTTGTAAGGATTTGTCCAGCCATAAAATGCAATATTATTGGACTATTATAGTTCTCCACTTCACAGGACGGAATGAGTTCTGATTTTTTCACGAGAAACAAGTAAGTTTTGATAAAAAAAACAAGGGTTATACTTATAGGTATAATATCCCCTTCTATTATAACGTTTTATCAAACATGTCCCTCTACTTCTTTATACATCAAACATGCTTATGTACTTTGTAAAAATGATCAAATATGCCCTTTTGTTAAAATTTTCATCCAAAAACCATTAATCAAGGCCAAACTTTGGTTTGAGCGACACAAATATCTAAAATATCCCCAATAATTTCACTTTATAATTTATTTTGATTCTTTTGCATACCAAATAATTCAAATAATTTCACTTTGAAGAGACCTAGAGGAATAAAACGGGGGACAAAACTATCATTTTCCCTCCAATTTGCCGATGTCGGGTCATCTAAATATCGGTTCAACCATGATTGACGATTTTTTTCAATCAAAATTTTAACAGAAGGACATGTTTGATAATTTTTTCAAAGTACAGGGGCATGTTTGATGTAAAAAATAGTAGAAGGACATGTTTGATAGAACGTCATAATAGAGGGGCATATAATAATAATACGAATACCAAAAAAACAATTAACAGATTTTCATATTTGCTTATGGAATGGATCAAATCAAACTCACCATTTCAGGACGACATAAAAAATATTTGTCACTCTATTACACCTCACTTTTAGTTATTTGGTTACCATAACATTGATCTATTGTACTAATAAAAAAAAATTCTCAATTAAAATAATTTATATTCTAGAAAAATAGCGCATCTAGTTTCAACTGCTGGTACCCACTATTCAGATGATTGCTCTCGGACATACATGGTGGATCTTGTACCTACTTATAATAATCTAAACCGTAACTCTGTTTTTAGCATGGGTATCAGTCAAAGTATATAATAGAAAGATGCTATATTCAGTTTAGATTATGGTAATTAATTAGCTGCATTTGTTAATGATTTGATGTCTGTCCTTGTTTTGTTGATGAATGTAGGAATTGGTTTTGATCTAGAACTTCCAGACCATGAATGCCATGCACACACACCAGTAATACCATTTTCGATCTCCAAATTGGTCAGATCAACTAGTGACTCACAAAACCTATTAATGTTCCATCTGCAAGTTAAATAATATAATCTTGATTTTCTTAAAACGTTTCCATGACTCGAGTTACTGAAACATTATGATATTACTTCATATAATCGTTTGATCGATCGGGTCTTATTATTCAAATTCTCATCATTTTTAGAGATGATTTTAGTATACGACGACGGATCCATGTAAAATTTCCGCATTATTTGTTAAATTTGCTTATTGTTTAAAATGACGTGCAAGAATAAGGAGAGCGAAATTAAAGTTTGGGAGAGAGCTCACTGGCTGGAGGTCTTCTCTCTTGAGCCAAACATGGACGCCGAGCCTCTCCGACAGCTTGGGAGCCGAATCCAACGGCGACTCTATCGCCACGTCGTACACTTTAGACGACAGTATCCTCGTCAGGTAGCTCATCGCATTGTGGACGCCGCCGTCTCCCGCCGCTCCGGCCGCCTTCTGCTTCGGGACGGCGCCCAGCAGCCCGCTCTCGTACTGCAGCGACTCCGCCGCCACTCTCATCAGCGGCGGAGGAAACACCGGCGCCATCAGGGTGGACATCTCGATCCTCTCTTGCCGGATAACGGCGTCCGTGACGGCTGCAGCTGCAGGATTATTGGCGGCGGACTGGGCCGTTATCTTCAGCTGCTTACGTAAGCTTCTGGGTTTGGTGACGTCCTTGTTGGCTTGGCCGCCGAGGGGGAGTACTGGAGATACCGTGAAGCATAATGCCGCCATTGTTAATTGTTTGTGCCGGCGAGTTGGGAGAAAGAGAGAGAGAGAGAGATCAAAGGTGTGGATAGTAGATAGATAGATAGAGAGAGAAAGCTATGGAGTTTTCAGGCTTTCTCTGAGTTTCAAGTAGGAGATTTAATGTTTTATTTATAGGAGGTTGAAGGGAAGTATATTGTTTTGTTGCAGTATGGTTGAATGGAATAATGTTTTTTTTCAAGAATAAATTGGTAACAAGAAATGAGTTTATGTACGTCCAACCAACGTTCATGTCGGTATGGTTAAATGTGTTAATTCAAGTATAATTTTTTCTACAACATATTCCTAGATTGTTTTGGTGTTTTATGGACGTAAACGAAGTGGTAATAATGTATGTACTTGGGTTGTTTCGAGCATTAGCGGAACTACGTGTATAATGTGTGTATTTGGGTTGTTCCAAGTATTAGCGTAACTACGTGTAATTCATATCGAATTGGTTATAGTACCTCATCGATATTTGAGTTTAGGTTATAAATTGTTGACCATGTAGTAAATATTCATTGAAAAGTGGCAGAGGAGGAGTAGGCTATCAACTCCCATCATCCAGCCCAGGTCTAATTTCAACAGATTATTGTTGTTTTTTGTTTATAATTCTATTTTGTTCACTGTATATGTTGAACTCGCCCCAATTCTCTTATTAAGACGATTCAGTTCTCGTTTTTGTACCAAAACATAATTTAATAAAGAAAAATATCTTAAATTCAAGTCCTCACAACCCAAATATTAACACAAAACAATAAACTCTGATATACATAGGATAAATAAACAACAAATGATTTAGCATTCACAAATTTAGTTCCATGGCCGACGCCATATATGTGCATGGGAAAGCATCTAAGGGGATGATCGAAGGGGGGAAATTTGTAGAATCTTTTCGGCAGAAAAGAATAGAAAGGAAAAGTAGTTTAGATTGTTTCCCAATTAATTACTAGTATCCGATTTTAAATATGGCCTTATCGACGATTTTAATTACTCTTCCCCAATGTAGAAGATAAAAAAGTCCAAGTGAGCATATAGTGGAGAATGAACCGGGATTTTTGCCTTGTTATTATTAACTAGGCAATGCCGCTCGTGTTTCACTGCTGGGTTGAGAAGAAGTGTTCTATCGTTTTTTGTGCTCTCATGTATTAGGGCCAATAATAAAATGATCCCAAACATTTAAAATGTAACAAAAATATTGAATAAGTATCAAGATGTAACAGAACAATTATATCATTTTTTTCATCCAAAATGGACAATTAGCTTGCTTACGACAATAGGGAATTTATAGGTTAGTTAGGTGTATTGTATTATCATATCATGATGTCGTGAATCGTGATATGATGATATGAATGGTTTTTGCAGATCGATGTTTTGTACTTATCCACCCTCTTAAAAATATATTGAATTCCAAAAAAGCAAGGATTAGGCTTCAGAACATATGTGACAGATACACTTTTCTAAAAGTTTCGCATTGTAAAACCATCCCCATGGGGTTAAGCCCAAAAAATTTAGAGGATTGTGTGAACCACTGTCATTAGCACTCGCTTAGTGTCTGATTATACATGTGCATATATATTTTGTTTAAAAATTATCATTACTTTTCGTAACATACTTCATATTTATCATGCATATATAATATTTTCCTGAAATTGTATTTTTCTCACTAAACTTCTTCATTTTAATAATTTATTGTTGTGATTTGTCATTTATATAATGTCGGTATATGAAGAGTTGTTAACATTATCCGTGGATACCTGAAACCAGACAGGTAGGTATATGATTTGATATTTTATCTGATGCTTATATGGGTATCGATATGTGTAAAACCCGAACTATTTTGGGTTAGGAAATATATATATCCATTATCTGACTCCGAATTGTTATCATGTCTACCCATATTGCATTTTAATGAAAATATTATTATACATAAAACCTAGATTTTTATAAAATAAAATATATAGAAAAAGTCAACAACAAAAAGAAACACATTACTCCAATAGCACAACCCCAATGAAAAACCCATTTTGATTTGACATTATTATTATATGATGGTAATAAATGTAAAACTGAAAAAAATAGGTGACCAAAACTAAAAATTTTAGGCAACAGTAATTTGGATTCAAGTTTATATATAATAATAATAAGGATTGAAGAATGGTTAATGCATATATGGTAATTAGTCGACTAACAACACTCCTAATCGTTCGTAAACATCGATATATTACTTGGTTAATTATTATTCCAACAATAATCAACAAACTTTTTCAGTCTTAGTATGTTAGATGATAACAAGTTCGAGGTTGAACGAATTACGAATTTTGGTATTGAAATAGTAACTGGTGTTTTCCATTTTTTTTTTTTTTTGACAACTGGTGTTTTCCCGTTGTATATGAATGTGACCTTTTTCAGGTACAATGCAGCTATATTCAATTTTCACATATGTATTAATTTCCATTTCGTTCTTCCCGTGATTGGGGTCTGTTATACGGGAAATCTAAAACGCAATGCATGGTTTGCGTTTAGAGAGAGAGAGAGATGGGTATACTATGGAGTATGGACTGTGGTATAAGTATAACAGTAGTTCCACAGTACTACTAGTCCATATTATCGATGATGATATGTCTGTTGGCATCTTGCTCTCAACAACTCGACCCGCAGCGGCAAAAGAATATGCTAAAAAACGTGCACCAAAATCTCACCCAACTACCTTTTTCTATTTCAGGGACCAGGGGCAGGGGGCATGGCAAATGATAAACCGCACTAGCAGTTAACAAAAGAAGGGAGGGAAAATCTAAAACGCATTAAACGATATTTGGTTTCTGCTCATCATGGTTTGTAAGACTTGGGTCGAGGCAGCGTATTAAACTCGGTTCGATCGACCATAACCGAGCATCATATATCTGGTTTTATGCGCTCGGTTTAACTCTACATTACCGTATTCCGTATATGCAGTCAAGTCCCGGTAAATCGATCAGAACCGGTCGGTGTTAATTTAACGATGTGATTGAGCAGCCAAGTCGTTGTGATTGCAAAATCGTACCGTACTAACTGTCCGATCGAGAGAGAAAAATTGGAGCCTAAACCAATAGGTGATTTTACGGGTATGAAATAGTTGAACCACGATTTAATCATAAAATACTTCACCAGTGAATTTTCCGATACGGCCATTTTACAATGCCCCATCAAGAGCTCCACGAGATTATCATTCTGAAAATGGGAAAAATATCACGAGCTCCACTAACGTTAAACGATCAAGATAACATTTGTTTTAGCATGGTTATACTCACTTTTCTTACCGTTCGAATTTGAATTCGAAGTTTTGAATCGGATTTCATATCATTTTTTTACACACTCCCGGTACTTAAAATTTGACGAGTATAAACCTAAGTTCTAATAATTAACCTCCTTCAGCTACCCAGTAATGGTGGGAATTTGATCAGTAAGCATAGATCTTGTACGTTTTTATCACGTTATCTGTTATGTATCAGTGTCGAGATGTGTGACGTACAATGGTGGGTTCCGCATACATGCATGCATGCCCCATGTGCATGTGTGCCTGCTTCCTCTACACTTCTGCTTTTGATTTCAGCCTCCCATCGTATCTTTTACGTTGCGCCTCTAGAATAACGCAATAATGGAGGAGTATTTTTTTATATACAAAATAAAATTATGTATAGGAACGATTTCAGACGTATTACTGCCTTTTGTTTTGATACCAACTATATATATAGTTGTATGATTGTTCACCATTTCATTGGCAGGAATTAAAACTTATAATGAACCAGTAGAGGTGGCAATTTCAATCCAATCCACCAATTCAATCCATCAATCCATTAAAAATATCCACTTAATCCAATCCATTTAAATCCAATCCATTTTATCCAAATCCAATTGGATTGGTGGATTGGTGGATTCATGGATTGGATCCATGGATCATTGGCAAATTACGGTTTAGTACCTATAATTTTTATTTTTTACATTTTGGTATCTAAAATTTAATTTTTTATACGAAAAATATCATTGGAAAATTACGTTTTGGTACCTAAAATTTTTCATTATGACATTTTAGTACCTAAACTTTTTACATTTTACATATTGGTCCTTGGTTGAGGATGTCATTTGGATTCATGGATAATCCACCAATCCACTTGATCCAATCCATGAATCCACCAATCCATTAGATCCAATACATTTGATCCATGGATCCACCAATCCAATCCATTTGCCACCTCTATGAACCAGACAAGAGAAATACCATGCCCCGGCTAGCTTTCTTCTAAGGCCAAGACTACAGTGTCGCTGTTAAAAATGCGGTACCGGTGCCGCCTCTTTTAATTGGGCCAAATGGCTACTTATCCAATTTGATTATATCTTCTAAATAACCCAGCCCAAACCGATTGCACATCAATCGGGCACCGACCAACTGACCAATAAAAGCAAACACACTGAATCCGAACAAAAGAACCACCATTTCATCCTCACTATACCTCAGTGGCAGAGATCTAACGTTGAATATGCTAGCAAACGAGTATGTGAAATCCCATCGATCCATGGATAAACTCCAACGCCGGCTGCGCTCTCTCAATGCGCTAAGCTATCTGTCATGAAGAACAGATCTGGGCTCTGGACCGAGACAGATCTTGAGTTGAAGGGGTGGAGCGAAGTCGCTATCGTCGATGAATGTAGTCAGCGCAATTTTAACAACGTCGCACTTGGTTTGAATTGAGTCATGTACACTCGGTTTGAATCCAAATTGGGATTTGCAAAATTGGTTTCTAACTAGGATCCAAAAACTTGCCCTGAATCATTGTTGACCATTTTTACCTCTTCAAAACTTGCATTGAATTTCTGCATTCTCTGCATGCTAAAAGCCAATCCTTTGTCAAATCCCAAATCGCAATTTTAGGTGCCTTAATTGATGATGACGATTATCACTGGTTCAAAAATTAGCTACGAGTTCCTTTTGCTTTCATCTCACGTTCCTCTGATGAGATACAATTTATAAAGGAAAATAATTCCTTCAGTAGGCGTTCAGCCAAACTTGATCAATTCTGGGCGTCAGATGAGTGGTTTTCTCGAAATATTATCTCATTGTTGTCTTAGAACTTGATTATACGTTTGGTCGATTTGCTTGTGTAGACAGTTATCTCCGCCGGGCCATATCTTACTCTGTTTTCATTGTTCTGGGCTCCTCCGGCGTTCCCGACTGAATCTTCCCATTATTGGAGCCGGTTAACGGGCGACTGGTTCGGTTAAGTTTTGAGAAAATGCATAATCGAGTCATATAGGCAGTCACGTGGCCCAATCAAATGAGGCTGCACCGGTGCCGCAATTTTAATAGCGTCACCGTAGTTTTGGCCTTCTTCTAATCATCTAGCCCATTGCACATTCTCGAGGCTTTGGCCCCATTTCAGATTTATCACTGTTTTTCTCTGGAACTTGGGCCGTTGGATTTGGATTCAATTCTAGTGGGCAGACCTTTACATTTACATGGTATTGGGCCTTACAGCTTCTTACACATGCACACACGTGTATGCTGGCCCATTATGAGTTGGGTACGCCTAACTTAGGCCTTGATTTAGAAAATTGTTCGACGGATCCTCATCGAGTGATTTGAGTCATTGTACGATTTGGGAACAATTAGATCTTCATGTTTTAGATCTGCTACCGCCATTTTGTGATGATGGTACATTTTGACTTAGACTTAAGGATGTGATTGTATTTAGTAGGATAGGATTGTTTTGGTTGCATAATCTCCATTTACTGACGTATAGTCCAGTGGAATCATCATGATAACAATACGACTTAGCGATCTAAGTGTTCCACAAACATTCATTTCCCCTTAATTATTAGTAGATGATTACAAGATGGAACATGGGAATTTATTTCAAACCCCAACTTTTTATTTGATTACAGGGCACTCCAGAGAACTTGGCAGCAATTAACAAAAACCCAAAATTGACACTCTTTCCTACCTCCTGTCCTTGCTCCACAAATCTAACAAGTCAAAGTCATAACTTCTTCTAGCTTGGCAGAAAGTCCACTTCAATCTTATGCACAAAAAGCCCTCCCTCTCTCTTTTCTCTAAAAATCAAATGCTGCAGTTCAGTTCTCCTCTTCCCCTTGTTAGTTTCTTCTCTACACCTCAACCTCAGTCCTCAGCATGTTTCTCTTCCGATGACCACCACCCCTCACAGTCTGATGTTAATCCGGTCCGACATTCCAACGATGTCGGAATGAATCCTGTCACCACCGATCTCCAAACCGGTGGCGCCAGCAGCAACCCTCATCACATCTTCTATCAGACCAACATTCCCCATGATGTCAACATGGGCCCCGCTCTCGACTCCCCGCCCTTCGAGCAGGCTAGCCGGGGGCTTGTGCCGGTACTCCCTCACGTAAGTCGAGGCCCCGGACGGATTGAACCTCGTCCTGCCTCTCCAACCTTTGGCACACATGAACCCTGCGCTCAACACGGGCACACTCTCGTCGCCATCCACGAAGTTCACCCCGCCTCTCAGGCAGCTCTCTCCGTCTCCATTCACCGAACTGTCGATCCGGAATGGGATGCTCTTGCACCTGCTGATGGGCGATTGTTTGTACACGTACGATCGCTCCGTCGGAATTCCTACTCCGTACAAGCAGTAGATCTCCATGTCAGGAGCATCCGGCAGCCTGTGGAAAAAGGGAAGGATACAGGCAATTTTAGAATGTTTCTTAGTGTAGTCAATTGTTCTAATCTATCTTTAGCAATGTAGTGGTTTAGGAGGATGGCGCCTACTTTGTCTCCAGTGGGTTGGACCAGTACTTGTAATGTTGTGTGTACTTCGGATCATCGAGATTGTCAGCTATGCCATGGGAGAAATGAGCTTCGGCTCGTCTCATCATCTTGGGAGCTACCGCCCTTAGTAAATCGAGAACCGTTCGAGCGGTGTATGCTTTGTTCTCCGCGATCTTTCCAATGATTTCTCTGTTCATCTCGTCGTATTCTGTCCGGACCTCACTGCACGACGAAGTGGAATTCTTCTTCGTGGTAGTTTGTGCAAGTAGTAGATCCTGCAAAGATTGATGTTTCCTTATTACAATCAGCCAAATTAGATCAATGTCAAACACAGGACATTACTGGGATCGAAACTATTCCTCGCAGTACCTTCGGATCGAGAGATGGAAGGAGCAAGGATGGTAACTCCGCTGCTGATTTGCCAAATGAGATCATCCTTCCATACTTAACAGCCTCTTTAAGTGCAAATCTCTTTGCATTACGGTCAGTCGAGTTTTGATCACCAATTGCCTTCTTCTTAGACAAATCACAAGCATGGTTTTCCTCAGGAGACCAATCTAGGTTGCCCCAGATAGTTTCTCCTCCCTTGGGAAGCAAGGAAACAATCGAATCCCAAGTTCGACCCACCCTCAAGAGATGCTCCATTGTTTGCAATCCAAGCATCTCGGAGTCCAATAGACCAGGATCCATAGCCCTACGAAAACAAGCACACATAAAAGGTAAGTATGCCTAATTGCCTATGATAACTCCAATTAGCAATGCCATTTCCTAAAACTAAAGGATTGTCACCAACCTTAGGAATGCGACATCTTTCGCCTCCCCAGAGAACAAGTTGCTAACGGTCTTCGGAACTCCGAGGAACGTGGGTCCGATGTTCATCACAGTCTTGATGTGCTTGGCGCACCAGCCCGGACCGCCCCCTCCTCCCGTGGGAGGCGGGGTTTCGACCCATTTAAGGAAGTGAAGGAAATAGATAACTCCCATGGAATGTGGAACCACCACTACTTTCTTGTAGCCGTTCGTCACATACATTAGCTCAATTTTGCTCTTCAATCTACTCAGTGCCTGGTCCCTAATCTGTTCAACAAAACAGCACCAATACTTTGTTCATCATCTCTAGACCCAGGAACTGCATTATATCACTGTTAAGACTTGAGAATGTCACTTTCTTTACCTCTGTATTCTGGAAAGAGAGCCGCCAATCATAAGCTGCCATGTACAAGTTCTTCCCTTCGTACCCAATTTTGGCCAAATTCTCAATAAGAACAGCCCAGACGAAGTATCCCGGCCCAAAGTAGTCGGCGGCGACCAGACCGGGAACTGCTCGGACTCGGATCCCCGGCGGGTCGAGCCCGGTTTCATTGTCCAAGGACAAATGCTCCAACCAACACAATGGTCTGGGCCAAGAAAATTAAAAATTGATTCTTTCAGTCCCAATCTTGACCAAAATGTAGAACAATTAAGAACCCAGCAAGGCAAAGGTAAAAGAAATTGATTCTTTGACCATATTTAGCAATTATTTAAGTTCTACTTAAAGAAAGACAATAAATTTGCACCTTCTAATGATTTCAGTAAAGCCACCGCCCCAGAGGCGCTTCCGGAAGAGATCCTCAGCACAAGGCTTTCCTTCCCAGAGCTCGAGACCGCCGGTGACGATTCCGGGGATCATGACGACGGGATGAAGTGCGGTTAGGCCTTCGCGCTTGAGCCGAACTCCGGGGGATTCGGGTACTTGGAATCCGGGCAGAGTCGCCGGCAAACAGTTGAAGAGGAATAGACAGAGCCACCAAGTGGTACAGAGGAACCCAATCGTCCAACAGCAGTTGTCCATGCACCTCCATTCCTTCCCGCCGGACCTTCTCGCGGGAGGCGGCGGAACCCTCTTTGTGGGTTCCGGGAAGAAGCAAGGTTTGGGGACAACAGCAGTTTCTTTATCCGGTTCAACCTTCTTCTGGGTGTCATCGTAAGACTTCAATTTCACCGGCTCCAAGTAGCAGAGCTTCCGAAACCGGAGAATCGAAGCCATTGAAACGAGGATGTGACAGAAAAAATTCCAAATCGAATGAAGGTTCAAACCCTATAGAACTACAGGATCAAGAACAAGACCGCCATTGTTGGGCGGAATCGGAAGAGGAGTTGAGCTGAGCTGAAAACAGAGCAGAAACAGGGGAGAGGGAAATGGACTCGAAGAGTGATGAGAGGCTAGGTGGTGTACATATACCCGTTGAATTAGAAGAAGCACGTGATGAAGAGGAGAAACAATGGTGGTGGTGGTGTGGAGGAATCGGGGAAAAAAGAAAAGAAAACAAACAATTTGGGCGTGGAAGCACCCGGGAAAATGAATGGAAAAGAATGGAACAGAGTGTGCCAGAGGTCTGTTTGTGTTCAGGCAGCAAAAGGCGATGGAAAGAGAGATGGATGGAGGGAAGGGATGAGGTGTTAAGAGGCGGCGTGGGCGGAGCAACACTTGGAAGTGAATTTGGCAACTTCTCCCAACACTTGTCTTTGGAACCTCCGCAGCTTCTCTACTACCACCACCAGGGCAGCAAAGCCAAGACAGACAGAGAGACGAGAGAGGGGGTTTGTTTCTTTGGATCCTCTGTTTATATGGAAGGAAGGAAGAAAGAATTTTGCATATCTTTTTCCGTTACTTTTTTGTGTGTGCATCCACGTGGCTGTCCCTCTCCTTCCTCACCAAGAAATTCTCCACTCCCTTCCGCCATAAACACTGTTCTATTCGGGAGTAGAGAGTAGAAAGTCTCGCCTGCATCCGAAACAGACAGTCTGATGGAGCAGAGAGCGAGAGAGGGAAGGTGTCAGCCTCTGAAAAGGAAATGGGGGATGGAGGCGAGAAAGAGAGAGAGAGGTGAGTGAGACAAACCAGGAAGCAGGATTTGGTAAGGAGGGATTTTGGTCATTATTCATCATCTTGCTAATTGATTTGAGGGGTGAGTAGCGACTGATATCTTTGTATCCCGTATGTGATCTCAATTGCTGAATTGATACAATGTTGTATATCAATTCTATATGTGAACACATAATTTGATTGGATCGGTATATTTTTACGAGATTGTCGTCATAATAGTTAAATCTCTGATAAGATAAATTTAGTTGAATTCTCTTAGTTTGATCTCTCGTCAATTCGGAGAAATTATAAAGCATTCTCACTAGGCATTTACACACAACTCAAGGCCTGCAAGTGATTGTTCATTATTCGAGCTACATATTGGATACATCTCAGTTTTCTAAATGTTCTTGTCGTTTTGAAGGATAAATAACCTCATTATCCAACACTTTATATGAGTTTTTTTCTTGCATCCGACAAATGTGTTGTGATGCATGCATTTCGAAGAAAAGTCACTCAACGACATCAGCAAATTGAGTCATTTGTGGAATTCTTTCGGTCAAAATATTGATTCATTTGTGTTGCACATTACCAATTGACTATCATTTATCAATGAGCAAGATCCTAATATATAATGGGATTCCATCACATGTGAGTAGTGGACATCCAATTCTTAGATTGGTTCGACCTAGGAAAAATACTAGAAATATTTCTCATACTTGTCTGTAATCTATATATGTTAAAGTATATATAGTGAAACTGGTTTAATTTTCTCCTGTCCGTGGACTAGCAAACACACATTGTGTTAGTGAACCACGTAAATCGCGTGTCGTGTGTGCACTTTCATTTTCTTGCATTGTAGAATCCTCCAATTTCCTGAACCGCACAGAAACAGTCCGTGAAATAAACATACATCCTCACCAAGCCATATGTAAAATAGTTAAGTCTCAAGGTTTCAAGGTAGTACGATATTCCCCCCAACAAAATGAACTAGCCCTTGTGCTCTCAGTTTCGCCCTGGCGGGTGAATACCATACCAAGATGGTGAGTGAGCGTCCAAGAAAAAAACCACGCAGAGCAAAATTGGCAACAATTTAACAGGTTAATGGTCATTGAATTACGTATTTTGCAATTGATAATCAATTAATTGCATGCATAAATTTTACTACCCGGTACATCTAACCATGCTGAAACATGATCCAACGACTACGAACCACGTGAGAATAATCATATGGTCAGATTGGCCAGCAGCAGTACGCCGTAGCTAGTTGTACGTTGGGCTCCTTTTTATCTGCAGAATGGCTGAGCCTGGACAGGAAAATCAGGATAAGCAAATCGATATAGGGAAAGAATCCGAAGGCCGTCCTCAGTCCAAAGACACCAAACAACCAAAGAATATATCATCATCAGAAGAAGAGCACACACTACGAAAAACACAGAAACCCAAACTGCTACTGTCCTATATACTTATCCACCACAGTAGGCAACAGAATAATACTATAATGAAGCTGCTGGGTGGTGCCGCAAGTTTGCAGCACAAGGCGACATTTTGGCTTCTGCGAGCTGGTCCAGTAGTCATATATAGGCACGGTGTTTAAGGAGGCATGGGCTTGCTTATGATTGATCGTAAAAAAGTTTACGGAGGGAAATGAAATGGTCTCTCTGAATTGCATCGAGTTGTCATTCTCTCCATTTTTGGCTGCAGGTTTTGGTCCTCGGACGCACACACCGAGCTAGCTAGCTAGCGGACATGAAAACAAGCTAGCGCTACCCGATTAATTTGCCTGGAATTCGCTTCCCACAGACCTATTACCGATACTAAGTAGCAATCAAAAATTTGTATTCATCAAAAATTTGTATTCATTTTTCATGATATTATGCATGAATCAGATATATCATGGCGAATTCTTCAGAAAAATTGCGTCTTCCACAATGGAATATGATAAGTGAGATTTTGAGCAAGTGTTTACATATATAATCTTCTTCTGTTCGAAAAAATGAATATTCATCCAAATAATAAGCCATCGTTAATATCGACACATCTGAGATCACCATAACTTGGCAATGAACAACCTTCACAAGTACCTAATATGAGATCAATTAGTCATTGACGTTGCGCAATTATGAATTCTTTTTAAAATAAAGAAAATAATGATTAGGAAAATCAATCTTTCCACTACAAAATTGGGGCATAGTTGAAATTTTTTTTCTTTCTCTTCTGATGTCGCTTAATTAATTATTAATCAATTTTAATTTCTTTGTGTCAGAAATATTTGTTTTTACGCATTGTATTGACACTATTATTTTCTTTGTCTCTATCCAAATTTTAGATGTCCTATATTGGTTAGTCCAACATTCACAAGAACCAGCTTTCAGTTTTGTATTTATTGTACATATATTTCGTTTACGTGTTACGCTTGCGGTTTGTATTTGTTGAGGCCACTTGAGGGGCTCGATATATCTATACACTCTGCCATGGCTAATTAAAACGTCATATTGGCCGTAAAAAAGAGACCATTCACGAAACCACATTATTTGACGTTATATGCTTCATACTATGAAAAAGACTGTATATGTGAGGTTTGAAAATTGGAACACTATGCTTTATAGCGTGGAGCTAGCACCTTCTGCCTTCTCGACAGTTCCCGTCGAGAACAGAATGTTAATAAAGCTAGCTTCCTACCACATTGATTAAAGTTCACGACAGCAATCATCTTAAAGCCATCCTTTTTATGGACACATCTAAGGTGAAATGATGACAACTTGTAAGGTCCCACTCAAACTATGACGACGTACTCGTCTACTAAGTTTGATGAAACCCCACATATAAAATTTAACCCGGTGATCGAGAGGTTATAGGTTCGATCCTCACTCCTGTCAAGGTGATCGAAGGCACCCCGTATTTGCACGGACTACGACTACGGTATGACTCGCACGAAACTACACCACGAATTTATCTTGACTAGAGCCCAAGTTTTTAAACTCTATCCGGGTGCAGTATAGGACAAGTATTTAAAATGTCGATCAGGGTCGGTCTATGTAACCCTACTTCAATCGCTTAGTTTGTTATCTAACAAACGTTTTTTGGTTTAAAACTAAGAAAACTACAAAATGAACAGACAAGGAAAGTAAACCGAGGAGAATTCTACTTGAGAGGACTTCACCTGGGTAATGCTTCCCCTAGACTCGTGCTAAGAAACAATGAAGGAAATCCTAGTGTGAAGGGTATGTTATACACCGTGAGGTGGGTGCAACAAGCTAGGAGCAAACCGTCCTAGGTCGACCAATCAAGGATTAATACAATAATCTGGGGAACCTAGCTCTCTTAACCTCTCGGCTAAGGATTGCAATAATAAGCTAGGCAATCTAACCCTCTTAACTGATCAAGTAAGGATTGCAAACCAATCCCTCGGAACTTAATCCGGACGAAGTAGAGAACAATCATGAAAGAATCATGGTACTACTCCGATACTTGAGGTTTTGGTCTTAAATCGACCTAAAGTAGGTTACCCAAGTGGCTAAGAAGTCTAGCTTCCTATTGGACCAAAAGGGGATTTCCAGTTTTCCACCCTCTCGGTCAATTTTACCCAATATTGAGTTAAAACTAGCACACTCAATCATTCATGAATAACAACTCAAATATCATATAAACCTTCAATCAACACAATAGGTTCATGTTCTTACATCCTAACACATAAAGAGATTAGGATTCTCAATAGCCAAGTGAGTAGGTAGACTATTCCATAGCTAAGCAAGAGATAACAACAAAAGGGGAAGAAAGAATCATGAAGTGGTGCCAATCTTTCCTCCTTGTTGTTTGAGACACCCTTGAGATGAAGGAATCTTCAATCCTCTAGCTAGGAACAAGCTCGAAGCTCATCTTCCTCCTTTGATTTGCACTTTCTCACTCTAGAAGAAACCCTAATCTCTCACTAGAATCCTCTTTATTCCGAAAATGAAAACCTAACATAAAAATTGAAGCTTCCTTTCTCCTTCAGCTCCCTTCTCCTTTTATACCCAGATCAAGCTGAGTTCATGGCCTTCCAGTTCACAGCCATGAACACATAAACGCGTCCGTGAACTCAGTGTCGTCGCCAAAACTCACCGCTTCACTCTACATGGTTCACGGTTTGTGCTCAAAGTTCACGGTCTTAGCGACCGTGAACTGCCTTGTCGTCAGTAACCTCTGGAAGCCCCCTGCACGCCTCGTTGTTCACGGTACTCAGATGCTGCCTCCCCCCTCATGGTGCTGCTCCTGATTCTCGGTCAACTAAATCAACGGCCAACTACTAACTGAGTAAATGTAAACTGGATCAATAGGAAGAAGTTGAATTCCGTGTCACGGTCCCGGCGACCGTGAACTCGCAGCTCTGACCGTGAATTGCGGCTGGTTCCTGGACGCCCGTGCTTCACTGTCACGGGGCAATTGTCACGGTCTTTGGAACTTTCTTCGGTTTTTTGCGCTTTTGACTTCCAATCATCCCAAAACTCGTCCTTGACCCTTCCACACGTGCTAGGACCTGAAATGTATCAAAACAAGCACAACCTAGCGTTAAATATGTCGAGGAACGATGAAATGCATCGCCAAACTATCAAGAAATTATGGGCAAAATGTGTACAATTAGACCCGAATCACGACATCACTGAAAGTGGTGACCGTGTAGAGTGTTCCTCGTCATAAAAAAACCCGATTATTATTTTTGAGCATTTTTATGATCCATATAATTGAAAATATCAAAATATAAATTTTGCATCACTTTCTTTACAGCAGCACCCAAGCGATGGATAGGAAATATTAATGCGCTGCGCTAGCTATATATATTCCTTTCCAGTAAAAAGGATGGGCATATAAATGGGAACCTAAATTCAGCTCAGCTATATTAAATATCATATCGGAGAAGAAGAAACTTAATTGTGGGCATGGACAAGCAGTCTCAGAAGGAAAAAAGGGACATTATTCTACGCGTATAGATCCCATCTCATCCTATTACTCTCACATTATATATGCATGGTTCCTCCCTTTTCGTCGGATCATCATCGACTCCCCTTTCCCCTTTGTCCCCTCACACAAACTACTTTTACGCACATTTATTAGTAAGGGTGTCAGTTCGGGTCGGGTTCGGTTACCTGAACCGAAACCGAAAAAAACCCGAAAAACCGAAACCACTAAAATCGAACCCAAACCTGATAAGGACTTGTGGATTCCGGTTACCCGAAATCCAAAAATTCCTTATCGGGTTCGGTTAAAGCAAAATCGAAACTCGAAAACCCGAACGCCTAAGAATACGGGCTGAGTTCTATTCATTGGAGGTTTTTAGACGAAACCCAAAAAACCGATAAGCAAAACCGAACCCAAAACCGAAAAACCCGAAACCCAAAACGAACCCGAACCTGAAAACCACAAATGTATATAATCGGATCGTTTTCGGGTAAATCCGAAAAACCGAACCCGAATGGACACCCCTATTTATTTGAGCGGCGATCGATGAATGAAGGAATGTGATGAAAAGGTGGCTCCATTCCGGTATCTATACTCGCAGTTGGCTGTTAACCGACCTACGTACGTTGCTTAGCATACTACAATGAAACAGAAAATATATTTTATAATCCCTTTTTTTTAATTCATTTCGATAATAATAATAATACACTAATAACCAAGTAGCTAGATAGGCCAGCAAGCTGCAACGAACCTTATCCAAATCAAATTCAATTTCATTGCGACAATACCACTTCCTCAAAGCTTCTCATTCTGTTCCATTAGCTGTTAGTCATGTATCCGTTGCTCTCCTCCTTTCCAGCAACAGATTGTTGTATTGTGCATAGAGGTGGCAATTGGATCGGATTCGTGGATTGAATTGGTGGATCCATGGATCAAATGGATTGGATCCAATAGATTGGTGGATTCATGGATTGGATCAATTGCATTGGTGGATTGATCCATGAATTCAAATGACATCCAAGGCTTGGACCAAAATGTAAATTTTGAAAAGTTTAGATACTGAAATGTCATAATGAAGATTTTTAGGTACCAAAATGTAAAATATAAAAAATATAGGTACCAATCATTTGGATCCATGGATTGATCCATGAATCCACCAATCCAATTGGATTTGGATCAAATGGATTGAAATTAAATGGATTGGATTAAATGGATAATTTGGTGGATGGATTTGGATCCTAATTGCCACCTCTAATTATGTATTATAAATACCATTCATCAATGAGATACACTCCAGGTTTTGCACTATTGTTACAAATTCATGTGTTTAACTAATTAATATTCATGGAAAAAAAAATACTTGTATAACTAAAACTATTTTCAATATTTTTCATGATGGTACTGGCGTAGCTCGTCTTAACTCCCACGATGGGCTTGCGGTCCGTTAATCGAATGCATAATAGTAAAGCCTGTCCAGCCCAAAAGTGAAACTGGCAGGAAAGACCGAAAAAAGAAACAAAGAGGCCCATCACGGATCACTCAAATGAATTCAGCTCCGATTATGAGAGTTCGGCCCAAAAGTGTTGTGGTCGAGTTGGGCCAATCAGCTGATAGGCCTAATTATATAATCAACGGTGGCAAGAACAGACTCCTACACGAAATGAAAGGAAGCCACAACCCACAAGCATAAACCCTCGCAGTAGGACGGACTCCGTCGAGGTAAATTTGGTTCTTGACATGGTATTATGGTGTTTGAATAAAATAATTTTATGTTTGAAACTTCAAAACTCATCGATTATAGTATTAGGGATTGCACTTTATTTTTTGGTAACACAGGAATATCCCCACACACATTGTTTGGGCGATTATGGAATTTAGGGGTTCACCTGCTTGAGCCCTTTGAGAGCTTCACTAAGATTCCCATTTGGTGCCTCCGGGAAAACCACAACTGACCTCGAGGTGAGTCGAACACAAGGCTTTACACTTTCTAATCAAGAATTTCTTTGGAATTTTACCAATTGAGCTTATGTGACTTTTGGCTAGGGATTGCACTTCCAACATAACAAAAGCGTGTGCATGCAATAGAAATGCGATAAGGGGGGAATGGGGCCGAAAAAAAGGACCGGCTTTCCCTTACGGTTGCATGATATGATCCAAAAAAGGCCGGCAAACCATGGGTCTCGTTTCCCCTTCGGCCTCGAATGCATTAAAGTAGTAGTCATGTCGTGTCATTTGTAATTGTACCCAAACAAAACTGTCGTGTCATAGAGGTATTTTTCCATTTGGTTCCCCTAACATAGGAGTGTGGGTACAGTATAATACGGTCAACCAAAATTGTTTACCCCAAAACTATACATAAACTCTTTAACAACAGTCTATTTTCCAAACTGGTTTATACCGTTGTGTCGGTTTGGCAAGTGGAATGGTACAACCGGTGGTATAACCAGTTTGTGCCGGTTCATGCCGGTTTAAAAAAATATCAAAACAATTAATATCCAATGTATTCAATCATATATAAAACATATTTGTGTACAATTTAGTTACAATCCAACAAATATCATCTTTTAATTATTATATTCATAAAATGAACAATAAATTATTTTTTTTATACATTAAATTCATTACAATGATGTCATTAAACTTAGAATGCGTAAGTCGATCATAATGGTCATATTGGTAGTATCATACCGGTTTCATGACCGACACAGGTTGAACCAGGTTCAATCGGGTGGCATGCCACCGGCATAACAATCATGGTTTGGATCCATTACCGAAGCAGGGAGTGAGAGAATCTGGTTCGCTTGCCGAGTACGAGAACTTGAGATGGGCAATTGGGACAACTCGCTGACAACATATCCTAATTAGGGATAGTGAAAAATACTCATTCTTTGGATACTCAATTGAACTCAAACAAATTTTATTAGGGAAAATACTGCCAACTAAACTTTTTTTGGGTTTTCCTCCAACTTAATAAGAAATGTAATCATTTTGTTATGTGCTTTTGTATTTTAAGTATTCACATCTAGAATTTGAATTAGTTGATCTTGCTACAACCAACAAGTATACGATTTTGCATTCCCTCGCCTCACCACTTAGAGCATCCATATCACTTCAAAACAATGCAAAAGGTAGAAAGGAAATCAGTCGACGTCCACATCATAATCAAATGAATTTTTTTTACATTGTAGCAGGAATTTAAGACACGATTGTGCATAAATAATACGATTGAATTTTTTCCATCAATCGTATATGAGTTAGTTTGGCATGTTATATCGTAAACCTACTCTCTTTCGACAACACCTATGTTTATTTATTCAAAAGCGTGATTCGATAATAATATATAACAAACCTGTCGTACATGAACTCACGGCCGTCCCTAATCACGACAGTAGATAATATTCCAAAACAAATCTACTTCCATCTAACAACTGAAATAGTCGAAAAAATCCATCATTCCCATATCAAAATTACTTCAACCAAAACCTACTGCCATCATTACCATATCAAAATTGCAAATGTGCATATTTTTTTTGTGGGGCGGGACAGCTGGGAGAGGATTTTTTTTTTTTTGGTAAGAAAAGAGAGGATATTTTTAGGCTAGCAAGTCTGGCTGGAATCTCCGTTCACCGTCAAATAGAAGGCGATAGACCTATTTTTCCTTTCTGATTAAATATTAATCGATCTTAATCATGAAATTACTCAATTGTGTTTTCACTAACCAGCGCGCGTGGAGCACACCGAGCGTGAGGTTACCGCTGTCGGTGCTGATTGGGGAATTTAACTCCTCCGGGGACCCACCTCACTTGCACTGATTTTGGTGCACTGTATCGTATATCGGGCAAGCAAGGGCTAATAGCAAATCTGGCCCTAAACTTCCGCATCTGTATCGAACTGGTCATTGGACTTTAAAACGTACGAGAATCAATCCCCAATTTTTTTTCCTTCTTTTGTTGCATGATCGTTCACCGTAACTCTATCTATAAGTCCGATTCAGCCAAAAACAAACAATCACTAATTTTTATTTTTGTTTATATTACTCATCTTCGTTACTAAATCGATTCGAATTCATCGGTCAACCACTTCCCAAAAATTTGTGCTTGCCTTAAATCAGAATCTATGTGGATAGCTCACCACAATGCATTACTAAATCTCCTTTCTTCTAGGTTGAGATCTAAACTCTTAAAATTCGATCAACAACAGTGTAGACTATCACATGTAATACTACTACTACTACTACCACCTAACATCATCTTTGATGAAATGGAGAACAACAGGCCATTTTGGTATTAATTAATAATTTTAATTAGCATTTGGTTGAGCTAGATGGTACAAACACTAGACAACTTTCAGTTTTATATACATACACATGGGACAGGACGATGGTTCCATCCAAAGCATGTGATGCAATTTTGATAGATCACAAATCACAATGTGGCAACAAATAATAATCCATAGTTGGTGTGAAAATATCTGGAAATGGCATTAACGTACCACGATGCTGCTTAATTACTGCTAATAATAATTAGTAAGGGATAAGAAGGGATTACTTCGGGATTTGGGCTTAGATACAATACAACGCGTTCAGAAGAAAGTGTGGGAATGGAATTTTTTGTTTCGTTTCAGTTTTGCCCTCTGGCTGGGAAAATCAAATACAAAAGATTGGAGGCCCACGTGAGTATAGTGTAGAGACAGCTCATTACTTGCGAGACAGCCCTTCACATGACCAATTTACAGAGAGATTTATATTCCCCGGCTACTTCCATTCCTGTTTTCCCAAATAAAGCTAAAAGTAATCCCCCACCACCGAAGCTTCTCCCCATTTGATAATTTGGATTAGTCGGATGATTAAGAGTGTACAAAGGTTAATCCCAATCAGAGAGATCACCCAGAAAAAATGAAAAATATCCCAAACGAGGCAAGAAGAGCAATTTCCTCGAGTGCTCATCAGTCACATCCCAAACCATAAATATACCCAATCCTTCTGTAGTTTTAATAGGTACTTAAACCACGTCAAGTTAAGCTGCGAACTTTTGCAATTGTGGATGGAGATTTGCAAAGCAAAAGGTTTGCTAGCCACAAAATGGGGTATAATTTAGAGAGGGTAATGACTCAAGATATATAGATATCGATAGTAACAATAATCCAACTCAATTGTTTGGACGATGCCAATTTTGTGGTATTATAATTGTTAGAAAGTAGATTATCACCGACATCAAACTTAATGATTGAGTAAAAAACATTAAAATACCTATCCGAATACAACATACAAAATCCACCAACCCTTTCTTGTATAATCCACCAACCCTTCAAAATGAAATTCATCATACAAAATCCATCTCCAATTTTTGCTTGCTCAAAATAGTTGATTTTGAGTTTTTGACCAAAAGACCATCGGGTAACAACTAAAAACCAAAAGACCATATGGATTCCATTACTAATCATTGTATGCTCCTTTTCTTAATGGCAGAGGTTAAGAGCTAAAACTAACACACACATTCAGTAACATGGATCCACGTGGCGGGCCACATGAGCGCGTGTCTCAGAACACAACGCGTATGCGAGTGGGGAAAACCCTGCAAATGACCACAGGCCTCAAAGGTCACAGCTCAGTCGCCTCGCCTCGCCGCCCCGCACATAATCCCCCATTCCCATCTCTTTCTTTCTCCTTTCCCATCCTTTCTTCCTCCTCTGGAAAATATATAACCATACAAACCTCACATTCTTCCCCAATCTAACACCGATTGCCTCTCTCTCTCTCTCTCTGAACTTCACCTCTCATTTTCTGCTGCAAGGGAGAGGAGTGAGTTCTTGCATTACCGCGTTTCTTTCTCTTCTTGCTCGCGTTTTCTTGCAACAATGGCGGCAGCTTCGGCTAGGGTGGATCTGGACGGGAAGCCAATCAAGCCGATGCAGATATGCATGATCGGCGCCGGAGGCTTCATTGGCTCGCACCTGTGCGAGAAGGTCCTGGCGGAGACGCCGCACAAGATCTTGGCTCTGGATGTGTACAACGACAAGATCAAGCACCTCCTGGAAGGAGATAACGCGTCCTTCACTGAGCGGATTCAGTTCCACCGCATCAACATCAAGCACGACTCTCGCCTTGAAGGCCTCATCAAGATGTCAGATCTGGTAAGAATCGTTTCGCCATTTTCTATTGCACTCTTCTCGTTTCCTTCTCTGTTTCGCTTTGTTTGCTTGCTGCCTGCTAATGAAGCGGCGGAATTGTTTACCCGGTGCGGTGCAGGTCATAAATCTGGCGGCGATCTGTACTCCGGCTGATTACAACACTCGTCCGTTGGACACAATCTACAGCAATTTCATCGATGCGCTCCCTGTGGTAATTTGAATCCGGATTCAAACTTCTTCTAGAATCGAAACATGCATTCCATGGAGGGAAATTTAGTTATACCGTAGTCGTTTCTTCTTAAGATTAGCCTGAATTGACAGTTTTGGGAAAGATATAGTGGCTGGAAGTTGATGTAGCCGAGTTTGTTTGGTCAATTCAGGTGAAATACTGCTCTGAGAACAACAAGCGTCTCATTCACTTCTCGACTTGTGAAGTGTATGGTAAAACCATTGGGAGCTTTCTTCCCAAAGACAGTCCTCTTCGTGAGGTGAGCCTTCGCTTTCCTGTCACTTTATTTCACTTCCCCTTTTCACAACTGTTATCCTCCTGATTAGTTGCCGACATTTATCAATGGCGTTTTAATCTTTAGATTTCTTGCTTTATGTTCACGTGTTGTTTAGGCACTTTTGGCTTGAAAGGCATATATGCTAATTTTATATTTTGGATTGTGTCACTAATCTGAAATCTTGTTTGGAGCACCGACTGTTTGCATTCTTGATCTAATGAGTCACTCCTAAACCAACATGGGGTAGACTAGTTTTACGTGTGTAGAATGTGAGTAGGTGATTACTAAATGTGGGGAGTCTGTTGGGTTGTTTCTACCTTGTAGTCGGGATTCTTTTTCCTTCTCATTTTTGGTCTTCCTTTTTCTCTGTACACAATTCAGTGAATTTTGTTGTACTTGGCTGCTTCTTGTACTGACAATGTTAATCCAATTCCAAAGAATGCTCTGTACAGTATGCTGGTCATACTTTTAGCCTAAGGACAGTTTTATTTGTCATGCTTGCTGAATTTATATACATTCCTTGTTGATTCGGATAAAACTGGTCTTTGTCGGAGGCTAAATCACGCATTTATCTGGGGCAGATAATTGTAGTAGTAGTAGTAGTAGTAGTAGTAGTAGTAGTAGTAGTAGTAGTAGTAGTAGTAGTAGTAGGCTCTCGTTCTTTGTCCGAACATGTGTGTCGAAGAACATTACTCCCAGTTTTCTTATGTCATATTCTAGCTACTGTCCATTTTTGTGTGCTAGTAGTCACACTGAATTATTTGGCGATGTTTGTTGCTTGCTTCATTACCTGTTTTGTGCACTCTCATTGACTTGCTTGCTAGAACTGATCTCTTTAACGTTTTCCTCCGCTATGATAGGATCCTGCCTACTATATCCTTAAAGAAGATGAATCGCCTTGCATCTTTGGCTCAATTGAGAAGCAAAGATGGTCTTATGCATGTGCCAAGCAGTTGATTGAAAGGCTGATATATGGTAAGCACAATCTCTAATTATCTGGCCATTTTTAATTCTTCAAAGCATTTTCTTTTCTGATTAAGAAGTTTCCTTCTATATCACAGCTGAGGGTGCTGAGAATGGCCTCGAGTTCACTATTGTGAGGCCCTTTAACTGGATTGGCCCCAGGATGGATTTCATTCCTGGCATCGATGGCCCGAGTGAGGGTGTTCCCAGGGTTTTGGCATGCTTTAGCAATGTAAGTTTCCAGCTTCAGCTACTCTTGGAATTAGTGGTGCCTGTGGCAATAGTTGTGCTCTCAACTTTTTAGTAAGGTTCTTGATTGTGTGGGTTTAATTTTACATTTGACTTTCAGGCTCTCCTACGACGTGAACCACTCAAGCTTGTAGATGGTGGCCAATCTCAGAGGACATTCATCTACATCAAAGATGCCATTGAAGCAGTTATGCTTATGATTGTATGTCATGATGATTCCCTTCCTTTCCTCCCACATTTCCCCCCCTTGTCATGTGGCAAAGTGCTCAACATTCTGTTCATATGTTGTTTCATACAGGAAAATCCTGCCAGGGCTAATGGCCACATATTCAACGTGGGCAATCCTAACAATGAAGTAACTGTTAGGCAGCTTGCTGAAATGATGTCAGAGGTGGGGAAGTTTTTCTCTGAACTTGGTTGATAGTTTGTTCCATTCTTTCGGACTGTAGAGCTAATGCAATGGTTTATCCGCAGATCTATGCCAAGGTTAGTGGTGATGCTGCTTTGCAGTCACCAACAGTGGATATCAGCTCGAAGGAATTCTATGGAGAGGGATATGACGATAGTGACAAGAGAATCCCAGACATGACCATAATCAATAGGCAACTCGGTACTACTTCTTGCTTTGTTTTACTTGAAACTTCTCACATTGACAATTCCTCTTGGCTAATAGTTTCTTGGTAGAAAGAGAAATTTTTTTTTTACCCCAAACCAATTTGGCGACTGGTCCCTGGAACTAATCTGTGAAGACAGATTGGAAGATTCATATATAATATGAGAGCTGGAGTAGTATTGTATTTTGAGTTTCCATTTTCTTGCGATTTTATCAAAATGACGGTTTCCTGTCTCAGGTTGGAACCCAAAGACATCACTGTGGGACTTGCTGGAGTCGACTCTCACCTATCAGCACAGGACATATGCCGAAGCTATTAAGAAGGTTATAGCGAAACCCACAGCGATCTGAAGAAATATGCAAGAGAATGTTTGAACTATACTCTTCTGAGAAGTGCCACAATTCATTGTAATGAAATCCTTTTGAGAAATCCCGACTCTATAGTTTGATCCCTCCCTCATATAGGCTTATGGTTTAATTTTTTTGTTCTTTTGCCCCATCCTGGGGTTTCCTTTTGGTCTTGCCTAGCAATCAGCAAGAGTCCAGGGTAGTAAGAAACGTTTCGTTTGTATGGGAGGGCGTTAGTTCCGGACATAGTTATGAATGTGCTGCTGTTCTTTTAATGCCATAAACTTGTAAGTGGAGCTTTCGAGCTTTTGGGCTGTTGCTAGGTAAAAGAAGGGAGGAAATGTACAAGTTGGTTGAGTTGTTCAGATGGAATGTTTGCTCTTTGCTTGCCAATGCAATTCCTTGTATTCAGCTTCTTCAGGAATGTTTTGTATGAAGGAATTTGTTGACTCTGTATGAAGGTTAACTTCTTTATATTGTTTGCATTATAGTATGATTTCCTTGTGATTTCTTCTTCAACTCAAATCCCCTTGGTGCATACTGTCCACATTGTTGTTGCGGCCGGGCGATTCTTGTCAAAGTCCCTTAGCTGCTCATTGTCTGTCTTGGCTTGAGGTTGCGCAAGTGCCTTGGCTGTTGATTCGACCCAAGATTCTCTGATTGTGAACTTCCTGTTTTAGCAGCTACTGTGTCGTTCGTTTTGCCGCGTTGTTGGACGTTACCTTCTCCACCCATCTCGCCTTTCAGGTGACTGTTTCCTTTGGTGGCGATTGTCTCTTCCTCCTCGCATCTCTTGTTGGCGGATCTTGTTCCACCATTGTTCTCCCATGGAGAAATGCTTCTTCCAACGCGATTGTCTTCTGGATCTCTTGGTCTTGTTCCACATTGGACATTTAGACTTTCGTTTCTCCCTGCTTGCACAACTCTACACTCCTTGTCGAGTTTAGGGGGTCTACATTTGCCCCCATACACTTCTTTCGTAGAGATTTACACCCTCTTCCCACTTCCCAGTGTGCACGAGGGCTGTCAGTTGTGCAATTCAATATAAATCCATAGGATTCTTAAAAATTCCCCACTTTTCTGCAGTTTTTAAGTTGAGGAGTGAAGTTCAAGTAATCTTTAACTCACAAGAATTTCCGTGTACATCATCAAAAGCAACATGCGAAGTGGTCTCCACTGTCGAGATATGAACACAATCAATTAGCAGTGTACTTCTACCTGTTGACACAGTTATTCCATTAGTTTAGAGTTTAGACGACCAGTACCCACGAAACAAAATGATTACTCTTTTCTTTGAGCACAAATCGCATTTGTAATTTGTTACTCTGGTGTCAATCTCTTCTTCTACCTTTTCTTTAGCTTTTACCAACTTATCATTAGTCTCGGAAACGTAAGACCCAGCAAAAGAATAATGCTCAATCATGGATCCCCAAAAGAGTCCGACCCATGGCCCGAGGAATGAAAATGAACCGCCCCATGGAATGGAAGCATGAGAATTGAGAAGTGACAGTGAGATCTGAGAAGACATGCTTCCTACAACCTCCAATGTCTCGCAGGTTCTGCCAGTCTGGGTTGCCCAGCGATATAATTGTTACTGTAGATGGAGTTCAGTTCAATCTTCATAAGGTAAAGGGTAAAAAACTTCCCTTTCTGCAGAATCTCCAGGCTCAATAGTTTTAAAAAAACTTATTTTGCCAGCTCATTAGTGTATATCAGTATATATTTACTAGACCCTTGTCTGATTTTCTCTTTTGCTTTGCATTTGTTCGTTAAAGTATTTACCTTCCTTGTTTTTACTTTGAGATGAACACATTTGAGGGTTGCTAATTGGTTTTTAAATGGGGACTTCTTTGAGTAGGTCAGCTTGATTTCTTAATCTCAATCAGTTTTCGAGCAGTAGTGATGGAGACAATAATTGCCATCCACCCTTATGATTTTTAGTTTGGCTACTAGTATACTGCAGGTATAACTACCTTGCTTCTAAAGATAGCTTTGAAATTTCCTAGTGATTAGGAAAGTGTGCAGGGATTACTATTCTAATCCGACAGTCTACACGACAGATAGATTGCATTCGGTTCTGCCAGCATGAGCATCTATTGTGGCCACATTTGTTAAATGCATTTTTTGTCTTAAGCAAAGCAGTTCTAAGTGCTATTGTAAATTCTAAAATTAATCAATGATACAAATTACAGAGTTCACTATCTGAAGATGCAATCTCAAGTATTTAGCTATTGTTCCTTATGACCTCATATATTAATACTTGTGGATTTAGTGCAAGAAACAATTTCACAAGTTTGTGCTGTTGAACTGTACTCTCATGATGTTTCTAACATGTTCTTCAATTTCTCCAGTTTCCACTAGTATCTAAGTGTGGGGAGATATGTGAAATCTGTGAGGCATTTCCTAACAAGAAGACCTTGATTACAGAACTCGAAGAATTCCCTGGAGGTCCTGATGCTTTCTTCATCGCTGTGAAATTTTGCTACGGCATGCGAGTGGAAGAACTGTCGCCAAAGAAACATAGTAATGATCTACTGTGCAGCTGACTACCTACAAATGACAGAAGAGCTTGGAGAAGGCAACTTACTATCAAAATCAGAGAACTTCCTTCACAAGAATGTACTTCAGAACTGGAAAGACTGTATAGACCGTGTTGTTCATCACTAGATGGTCTTCTCATTCCGAATTATTCGGATTCTGATACTCTCTATAATACTGATTGCATAGACCGTGTTGTTCATCACTTCTTGTCTTCAGAATCAGGGATACCCTCATTCTCTCCTGCATCCATGGACTTGGGAGAAACAATCACCTTCATTAGAGCCACTGCGGAAAGTTGGAAAACTTATGGATGTTTATCTTGCGGAAGTTGCTTCTGATGTGAATCTGAAACCTGGGAAGATTCGTTCGCTTGCTGAAGCTCTTCCAGAATCCTCTAGATCGTTCCATGATGGGCTGTACCGAGCATTGGACATATATTTCAAGGTTGGGATTTAACTTAATCTTGTTGAATGAAATGAACTCTTGTATGTATGTCTTTATCGTCATTATTTTCCTCGCGTTGATCTTTTGTTCTTTCCTACAATAGGTTGCAGGCTCAGAGTTTCTGCTGAGACCTTTAAAAATTTATATAAAATATTTTATGATTGAAGGAACAACGAAGTCGCTTTGGCCGAGTGGTTAAGGCGTGTGCCTGCTAAGTACATGGGGTTTCCCCGCGAGAGTTCGAATCTCTCAGGCGACGGTTTGTTTTTTCCGTTCTTCCTTTTTGAAACGGCACGTATTTCTGCGTTTTTACATAGTAGAGAGACTCGACCGCACCGAATACACAATCGAAAACCTAGGACCTCCGCGCGCCGGAACTGCTTCCTCTCAAAATCTTTCCTCTGCAGATTTTCGTCTTCTCTCGCCTTCTCAAATTACCACCGAACTATTGGCTTGCTTGATTTCTCTTTTACTTTACTTCCCATCTGCTGTACTGCATCTGTATCCAACTCGTCGTCTCTCCGATCATCTTTTAGGGAAGTCGCTTACGGAGGTTTTCTACGCTAATGGCGATTGCATCTTCTTCCGCCGGCTGCTTCCGACCATCGTCTCTCTCCGACGAAGCCATTTCCCACAACCAATCCGTTGCCGTTGCGTACAAAGCTAAGATCTTTTGTCGCCGTATACCGTCAGTCAATCTCAGAATCAAGCTATCAGTCTCATCGTCCCACTTGCACGGTCATTCCGCCGCTGACTCTTCCTCCTCCAGCTTCCGCCGCGGAATCAAGTGTCTGAACTCGGAGTCAGTGGTCAATCCGGTCGACAACTCGTTGGAAGACGAGGTTGTCCGAATTGACGACGGTGATGGCGCCGATGATGGTTCTGGAGGAAACGGAGGGTTGCCCGGCGGCGGTGGAGGTGGCGGTGGAGATGAAGGAGGTGATAACGGGGAGGAGAAGGAGTTTGGGCCGATAATGAAATTCGAGGACGTGATTAGGGAGACGGAGGCACGTGGAGCGAAGCTTCCAGCTGATATGCTGGAAGCTGCGGAGACCACCGGAATCCGAGCAAAATTTCTCCTTCGCTACTTGGAATTGCAGGAAGCCGACTGGCCGCTAGGGTTCTTGATGAACCACTGCTCGATGCTGCGTAACCGGATGATGGCTGATCCCGATTTCCTCTTCAAAGTTGGAACAGAGGTTTGTGTCATTGGCGGAGAATTTTCTTTTATGGTCTTAGAATGAATGAATACTTGCATAACTGGGTGTGACATTTTGGGAACTTTTTGGGGGGCCAATTCTGGGGTGGACGGAAAATGCAATGCAGGTAGTAATTGATTCATGTTGTGCAACATTTGCTGAAGTTCAGAAAAGGGGGGAAGATTTCTGGTCAGAGTTTGAGTTGTATGCAGCTGATCTTTTGGTTGGCATTGTTGTTGATGTTGCTCTAGTTGGCATGCTAGCCCCTTATGCTCGTATTGGGAAGCCTTCCGTGTACAAAGCTGGCTTATTTGGCAATATACAGCAAGCTTGTGCTGCTCTTCCCAGCAGGTTATTGCTCACTGCTGTTTGTTTCTCTTGATATATCCACTTACTGCTGAAGTCTTGTTATACAGCAAGGTTTTTGGGGGAACAACTGAGAGTATTTCTTGATTTGCTAACGATAAGCTTACTTCACTGCAGTGTTTTCGAGGCTGAAAGGCCGGGATGTAGATTCTCTGCGAAGCAGCGAGTGGCTACTTACTTCTATAAGGTATTGATAATTGAATCCTGCTAGATTTGTTTGGACTGAACATTCTACCATATGAACTTGATTTTAGGAACTAAGTTCGGACTTGATTCTTCTTAATTCTTATATAAGAGCATATTGTTGTTTTTGGGTTCAGGGTTTATTGTATGGTTCAGTTGGATTCGGGTGCGGACTTATTGGTCAGGGCATTGCAAATATGATCATGAATGCCAAGAGGTATATTTACTTCCTCTCTTCCTCTCTCAACTTTTCTAGCCTGTGTAGCTTCATACCAGCAGAAAGCTTTGGGTTATCTTATTCTTAGGTGTCATTAGCCTTCTCCGACCGTGATATTTGGGAATGATTTGATTGTGTTTGGATAAATAGGAGTGTGAAGAAGTCGGAAGAGGACATCCCCATACCACCTCTAGTCGAAAGTGCTGTCCTTTGGGGTATGTTTTGTCTCTCTTAGTCTTCTTTCACTTCATCTACATTGCTCACTTTCAAGTCAATGCTTTAACATTCGTTTGCATGCTCTCAGGTGTGTTTCTCGGTGTATCTTCCAACACACGGTACCAAATCATTAACGGTCTGGAGCGAGTGGTCGAAGCATCGCCATTGGCGAGGCAAGTCCCTCCTCTCTCCAAGGCCTTCACCGTTGGTGTTCGATTCGCCAACAACATCTACGGTGGGATGCAGTTTGTCGACTGGGCAAAATGGAGCGGGGTTCAGTAATTTCAAGAAACACCACTTCCCCTCAAACTCAGTCGTTTTTTTGGCTGAGTGTGGGAGGTTTGAGATTTGGAGCAGTTTAGATCTTTAGTCCATTCCAGCTGTTGTGCAACTGGTGTAATCTGTCGTCAACATTTTCTGTTATGATGGGCTGAACAGAATGGAGAACTGTAGTGTAGTAGGTGACCAGCCTGGCATGGCATCTGCTTTGGTCTCTCTCCTAGTATTTGTCAGCACTCGGTTAACGTACAATTTAAGATTTGATGAGTTGTTAGTTTGGCTTATGAATAGACAATAAAGTTGGGTTTGGAAGTATGAGCATTTGCTCTGGTTGTAGCTGGCTATCTTACTGTTTAGAGCCACATAGTTCTCCTTTAGGTTTTGCATACTCCTGTCTGCTCACAGTTTGACGATTGTTTCATCGTCATAACGATTGTTTATCGTCATGTTACCAACAAGTCGAAATGTGAAAAACACATGATCTTAAACGTCGCTGAATTACAGTCTTTCAGTGTACTTGTAAAGCCAACTGTGAGTTTTGAAGCAAGTCGTTGGAGATAGGGTAGCTAAATTAAGATCCTAATTACTACTTTAGGTGGAGAAAAAGGGCAACAGCAGTAAAATAGAGTGATGAACTCGATAAAATGAAAAAACAACATTAATGATTAAACCAGTAAAATGAGGAAGGAAGAAGAAAAAAATAAGTCGTCTCCTCCAACCACTGGCGCCGACGGCTTTTCCAAAAATTTCCGAGTCCACTGTCCACACACCTTCTCTCTCCTCCACACTTCTTTATTGTACAAAAACGACATTTCAATCCTTCTTTCTCTCTCTAGATCGCAGCAATTCCTCTCTTTCTCCCTCCTCGACTCGACGCTACTGCTGCTGACAATCTTCCTTCAACAACTCCGATCTGCAGTCAACTACCCGGCCGGGGCTTCGTTCGTTTGTCGTCGTCGTGTTGGATCTCGCCGTCGCAGCTCGGGCTCCACACTTTGTTAGAGGAAGGGAAGGAGGAACTTGAGGTTCGGGGTGATTCCGGTTAAGCTGAGGAAGGGGCCGCGTCTCTCTTCTTACTGGATCTGAGAGGGGGAAACAATGGCGCTTTCAGGCATGAGAGGTCTCTCCGTCTTCATCAGTGACGTTCGTAATTGTCAGAACAAAGAGCAGGAGCGGCTTCGTGTAGATAAGGAGCTCGGTAACGTCCGTACCCGCTTCAAAAACGAGAAGGTTAGGGTTTTTTCGAAATTCTACTGGTTTTTTTTTGGTAATAGCTTGATTTTCTGGTTTCTGGGAACCATGGAAATGGCTCCATTGCTTGTTGCTCATTGTGGATGTCCAAGAATTTATTCGACCGTCTCCGCTTTGAATTCTGGAAATGTTGGATAGTTTGAGGTGATATAGGTGAACTGCTGCTGAAGTGAGCACAGTAGTTCAAATTGAGAACGTTTTCCCCACTGAAATTAGAGCGTGTCCTGCATAGGTTATGGTTGAGTGGCATAGAATTAGGAGTTAAGATAGGCATTCCAGTCATGGATTGATCCTTTGTCTTGCCCTGAGTCCCTGTGAAATAGTGTTGACCTATAAGTGGGATTCCAATTTTGAGATTGGTGACAAAGATGGACTAGTGAAAGGGAAATCTGCTTCAGGTGTTCATGTACAAGCTGTGAGACCATAGAAGGATGCCACCGCTTCTGCTGTACTCCAAGTCATGTTGGATCATTATGTTGGTGTAAGTATGTGCAGGAGGTTCTGACCTTTGATTTACATGCTAGCTTCATCACAAATACACAGTGATGATCTTCAGTATCTTGTATGAAGTTCTCATACTTGCAACCATGAGGGAAAAACATTTCGTAAATGCATTCGTACTTTGTAGTGCAGCTCAGGTGGTAGCTGCCTGTTTCCTGCTTCTGGTAACCACATAAAGAACAATTTCATGTGGCTGCTGGCCTGACCATCTGCCTTCCTTCTTTTCTTCAGCAAATATTTCCATAACACACTCTTTCTCTCGTCTGTAGTTTCCAGTGTCTATTTGATATCTATGTCATCCTCTATCATCAGACCTAAAAAAAATAAAAAATCAATTTCTATTAGAGATCATGTGTCATATTATTGTTCTTTTTCTGTTTTAATTTTCCTACAGGGCTTGAGTCCATACGAGAAGAAGAAATATGTTTGGAAAATGCTCTATATCTACATGCTTGGCTACGATGTCGATTTTGGTCACATGGAAGCTGTTTCCTTAATATCTGCACCAAAATACCCAGAAAAACAGGTATTGCCTTTTGGCACTTGTCTGATCCATGTACTTAATGGTTGCATTATCAAGGATAGTTATACTGTATGGCTTAGTACCTGCTTCGTGTGTCCTCCCACCTCTGATTCATTTGATGACCTTCTAAGAGTTGAGATCATATCGACGAGTCTGATAGGAACATTACGAATAAATATCATTGAATGTGGTAGAGACCTTCTAGTTCATGTAGTGTGCGTGTTGCATGACGTATCAGGTGGCATATTCAACTGGTGCATTTTGAGATTTGCTAATATTGTTCTGCTGCTTGGAGATTTGGAACGTAATTTTTGAACTTTCTAAAATTAACGCAGGTTGGCTACATTGTGACTGCGTGTTTGCTCAATGAGAACCATGATTTTCTCAGATTAGCTATAAATACTGTGCGAAACGACATTATTGGCCGGAATGAAACTTTTCAGTGCCTTGCATTGACCCTGGTAGGTTGACGATGATCTTACTGCCTTACTTTTGTAGACATCATGATATAATTCATAACTTGCAGTCCATTTGTTTTTTGTGTTCTCCAACCCGGTGTCTTTTTTTAGTCCATAAGGGACATAATAGTAGTTATTTGATATACTTCCCGTACAATGTAATGCAGAATGCCATCTATTTTATGCATTATACTGATGTCCCCTTGCTGACAGAGAATGTTCCAGCAAAATTTCAAAACCCTTTTCCTTTATATGTTGACATCTGATTTCCATATTGAAAGCATGTTTCTCTCACCAATTAGTATTCTCATTTATTGTTATAATTATTTCCTTTTACTCAAATACACCAAGGTTTCCATTTGATATACTTCAAGTTCTTACGAGTTACGACCTTTCATAGCGTTTCATTCTTATTGAAATTTAGATTTCATAGCATCTCATTCTTATTGAAAATTTTCTCTAAATTGAATAGCAGCCATTTGCTTTTGCACTGTCACACTTTTAAGATCTGGATTCAACCTCACCTGCATCATCTTTCATCTTCTGCAGGTTGGAAATATAGGTGGCAGAGAATTTGCTGAATCATTGGCAGCTGATGTGCAGAAATTACTTGTGAGATTAGAACAGTCTTGTGACCTTTATAGGGATGTAAGACACTGGTTGATTTGATCTCTGACATAGCTCTTGTTTCAGATTTCAAGCAGCTGCAGACCTCTTGTAAGAAAAAAGGCTGCTTTATGTCTGCTACGGCTGTATAGGAAAAATCCTGACGTTGTGAATGTTGATGGCTGGTAGGTTTGAATTGTCTATGATCTATCTATATAGAGATCTGTTGGACAGTTCCAAATTTGATTTACTCCATTGTAATCTCACCAGGGCTGATCGGATGGCGCAACTCCTTGATGAACGTGATCTTGGTGTTCTTACATCTTCAATGAGTCTACTTGTTGCTTTAGTATCAAATAACCATGAAGCATACTGGAGTTGTCTGCCAAAATGTGTGAAGACTTTGGAACGACTTGCTAGGAACCAGGATATACCCCAAGAGTACACTTACTATGGTATCCCATCTCCTTGGCTTCAGGTCTGTCCCTTTTCCTTTGATCTTCTTTTCTTATTGGTTCATAGTCAGGCAGACGACTAAAAGTTCAATTGACTAGGGGCTATTTGATTTATTAGACGAGTTGAAAAACGACTTACGAGCTATTAGTAAAATATATGAAACAATTTCCTGATGTTTGCAAGTGTGAAACAATTTCAGAAATGATAAATATAATAGATCAATTCAAGAGCCCCTCAAATTTGCAAGGAGGGGTTTTCAAATCTTTCTACCTTTGTCCTGTGGTTGGTAAACTTGTATGCTGTTAATTATAATGTTTCTTAGAGTTCTGCGTTGAAAATACATTGCACTTTAATATTATGTTGAAAGAATCATCGAAAACCTTGATTATGATCTTCGATTCCAGTCACAAAGATGACTTCTATTTTCGCCCTATTTTATAATGTTCAAAGAACAGAAACTACTGCTTTAATAATTTTTGCTAATAACATGATCTGCATAGACAGGTTAAAACAATGAGGGCTCTTCAGTATTTCCCCACGGTAGAAGATCCTAACACCAGAAGATCGTTGTTCGAGGTCCATATCTACATCCAAGATCCCCTTATGTGTTCTCAAATATATATAGTGTGATGAATCTTGAAATTATTTATTTCAGGTCTTGCAACGAATTTTAATGGGAACCGATGTTGTGAAAAATGTAAATAAGAACAATGCATCCCATGCTGTTCTTTTTGAGGCTCTTGCACTTGTAAGTTTACCCAAAATGTGTTGTAATGCCATACTTCCAAGGGTATTCTTTCTGGAACATCATTTTTGAACGGATGACAGACATTCTACGTTTGACGTACCTTGTATTTCTTTCTTTAATTTTATTTCAGGTCATGCATCTTGATGCTGAAAAAGAGATGATGTCCCAATGTGTGGCCCTCCTTGGAAAATTTATTGCTGTCCGGGAACCAAATATTCGATATCTTGGCTTGGTTAGTTAACGGTTTCATATTGTTGAATTGACTGAACAGCCAACTATTATTTGCTTGATAAGAGACTTGACTGTTGTGTTTACTTGCCGGTCATGCCTAATTATTGACTGTTACATTTTCTCAGGAGAATATGACTCGGATGTTAATGGTGACAGATGTGCAAGATATCATTAAAAGACACCAGGCTCAGATTATCACCTCATTGAAAGATCCAGATATCAGGTTAAGCTCCAATATATTCCCTTAGTGTGTAAGAATTCTTCTGGTTGTGTGGTATATGTTTGCCAACACATACTTTTGAATGGTAAACGAGATATATTATTGTGGGTTTCAGAAAGCTTCTCTTGTCTAAATCCGACTCTAGGGCGTGGATGTTTAAGTGTCAATTTGATTCATAAATTTCTTCTCAACAAATGTTTATATTATATTGCGGAGCACAAAATGTCCAATTTAATATGGGGAGTCAATCAATATATCTTATGCTATATTTTCATCTTCAATTTGTCATCCGAGCTTTCATTTTCTGACCTTTTTTTTCCGGCAGCATACGTCGTCGTGCTCTTGATCTGCTCTATGGCATGTGTGATGTGTCAAATGCAAAGGATATAGTTGAAGAGTTACTACAGGTGCATATCAAATGGGCACCCATTACTTGCACTGGTCAAAATTAATTTTATTTACTTAAGGTTCTAATGTGCTATGGCTAGACTTTATGGTTTGATACGTTAACTTGGCTCTCTGATTTGGTTTAATTCGAATGTCAGTACCTCAGCTCAGCAGATTTTGCAATGCGTGAGGAATTATCTCTAAAAGCTGCTATCCTTGCAGAGAAATTTGCCCCTGATCTATCCTGGTAAGGAGATCCACTTGGTATACAGAACTCCAGAATTCCAATGCTAAAATAGCGAAAAGAAAAACCGTTTATCCAGAGAACTTTAAGTGCAATTCTTGACTAGAATCCCATACTTTTATGCCTTGTTTCATGGAGATATGAATGAAGAGATTGCAAACATAATAATTCGATTCTGTCCTGGCGACATTGATGATGACTCAACCGTTTACCATATTCTAGACTAGGTTCTAATTCATATAATTGTAAAAAAAAAAAAAAAATTCGGTCTATATAATTGTTTGCATTTTCCTTGTTTTATTCCTTGCCGCATTTAAGTTTATTTGTCCATATGCATATCCTATGCCCATTTATGGGGTTGTCCTACTCTTCTTAAATGCAGGTATGTGGATGTAATACTTCAGTTGATCGATAAGGCTGGAGACTTTGTCAGTGATGACATTTGGTTTCGGGTCGTACAGTTTGTTACTAATAATGAAGACCTGCAGGTATAGTTTCTATTACAGAGACCATATGCCCCTTTCCTGTTGCAAAAGTTGATTTTTGGAATGGATAACTGAGATTTCATGCATTTGACCAGTCTTATGCAGCAGCTAAGGCGAGAGAGTATCTTACCAAACCTGCCATACATGAGACGATGGTCAAGGTCTGTGTATAACTGAAGTGGCCCCATTTCAGATAGAACACCCAATTGTTTTGTTGATTTATGCAAATGCTTGTGGGGTTTTTTCCTGCTACAGGTCAGTGCATATATCCTAGGAGAGTATGGGCACCTTCTGGCCAGACGACCTGGATATAGTCCAAAGGAACTATTTACCATCATACATGAGAAGCATCCTACTGTCTCGTAAGATCAGTCATCTTAGCATTTGAATTTTGACTTTATTTGACTGAAAATCCTCTATGTTAACCTTAATGAGTATCTGTGCAGAACCTCCACTATTCCAATTCTTCTCTCATCTTATGCTAAGATACTAATGCACACTCAGCCACCAGAACCAGAACTACAAAACCAGATTTGGACTATATTTAACAAGTAGGATTTCTGATTACGCCTTATCTTGAATTTTTTGATCCTCAATTGTTGGTCTTCGTAAGCTTTGTCTAACACATTCTTATCTTTGTCTCTGTTTACAGATACGAAAGTTGCATCGATGTTGAAATTCAGCAAAGATCAGCTGAGTATTTTGCCTTGAGCCGAAAAGGTGCATCTCTAATGGACATATTGGCTGAGATGCCTAAATTTCCTGAACGGCAGGTAATATGAGCAGATGCAGTCAATCAATAGTTCTGAACTTTACTTGTAGCAAATTTCATTAGTTTTAGTAAAATAGAAGCCCATTCTGTCATCAGTAATATGGTCTTCGTTATTGTATTATTCAGTCTGCACTGATAAGAAAAGCTGAAGATGCTGAGGTTGATACGGCGGAACAAAGTGCAATCAAGTTGAGGGCTCAGCAACAAATGTCGACAGCCTTGGTTGTAACTGACCAACGCCCTCCCAATGGGATGCCAGCCCAACCCTCCATAGGGCCACTGAGTCTAGTCAAAGTTCCCAGTGAGACTGTTGATTCGGTTAGTTCCTATCCTTTCTTGATTCAGAGATTTTAACATTTTTACTTTCCCCCTTCAAATTGTGAATCAAAGTGGTGGTTACCACACTTGGAACTCATGTCTTATATACTTCTTTATGGGATCAGAATCCTGGAGACCAAGGATTGACCCATCCAAATGGTGTTGTATATAAAGAAGATCCTCAGCCACCGTCACAGGATATTATTGGTGACCTTTTGGGTACATTGAGTATTGAAGGTCCTCCAGGAGCTGTTGCTCAATCGCCTCAGAATGCAACCTATGAAGCAGAAGGTGCTCCAAGTGCAGCTGATGCTGCAGCTCTGGTACCCGTTGGAGAAGAGTCGGGTTCCGTGCAGGTGTTAATTATGACTCTTCATTTTATTAAACATAAATTCATTTGAAATTGGAATTGGAATTCTAGATAGAACTGTGAATTTAATTGAACCAAACACGTTTTTTCAAAATGTAAATTGGTTGAACATGTATTCCTTGGCAAATTCAAATCTTTGCTGACACTATATTACGGTGTTGGATTTTAATGAAGCTAAGGACAAATTGTGTGCTAAATTTGAATGAAGAATTGGTTGCTTTGATGGACTGCCATAGACATCAATAATTTTGCTAGGAGTAATTTTTTGGGCTTTTTGTTTGCAGCCGATAGGAAATATCAACGAAAGGTTCTATGCTTTGTGTTTGAAGGATAGTGGTGTTCTGTACGAGGATCCGAACATCCAGGTATGAACTTTTGCCTTCTGTTTCCTTTTCCTGCTTTGTGCATTACATTTGAAGTCGGTTTCAATTTCATATTCTATAAGGCTTGACTGCATCAAATGTCCTGATGGAATTATTATTATCACCATTGCAGATAGGCATTAAAGCGGAGTGGAGAGCACATCAAGGGCGTCTTGTTCTATTCCTGGGGAACAAAAACACCGCTTCTCTTGGATCGGTTCAGGCTCTCATATTACCTCCGACTCATCTCAAGATGGAGCTCTCATTGGTACCAGAAACTATTCCTCCCCGAGCGCAGGTAAGCAACTTACTTTAATTGTACCCTAACCTTAGTTCCTCATTCAGAACTGGGACTTGCTTTTTGCTGCTTCATTTATTTCATTGTTGCTCTGTGAATTTCCTAATATGGTGGTATAGGTACAATGCCCTCTTGAAGTCATGAATCTCCGGCCAAGTCGGGATGTCGCTGTTCTTGACTTCTCCTACAAGTTTGGTCCCACCATGGTAAATTTTATAGTGCTCACCTAATCCCCTAGTTAAATAGAGCTCTAATATATCTGAGGTTGCAACAATGTCTTATCTGTTTGTGCATAAAATTTCCTAGGTAAATGTCAAGCTTCGCCTACCCGCTGTTCTCAACAAGTTTCTTCAACCCATAACAGTGTCCCCTGAAGAATTTTTCCCTCAATGGAGATCTCTCTCAGGGCCTCCTTTAAAGCTTCAAGAAGTTGTATGTATATGATTCATTCTTGCTTTAAGCGTTTAACAATCTTAATTTTCCCAAGAATGTAGAAAGAATTTTACGCTACCAAGGTCATGTACAGATACCTCTAGCAAATGAAAGATGCTAACATTTTCCTGCCGTTTGATCAGGTTAGAGGTGTAAGGCCATTACCTCTACCCGAGATGGCAAATCTCTTCAACACATACCGGTTGACAGTTTGTCCTGGACTTGTAAGTGTGATTCCTTGTGTTTCTGACCGATTTATGAATTTACTCAACATTTTTCTGCTCGTTGAAGTTGAGTTAACAGGTGTTCCACTTTCTCTTGTCTAGGATCCTAATCCTAACAACTTGGTTGCAAGCACGACCTTTTACTCAGAAACCACAAGAGCCATGCTTTGCTTGGTAAGCAGCCAGCTTTTTATAGAATCCAGTACGTTGTAGTGAGCTACTTTGTGATAACCATTTGTTTCCGTGTGTTTCAGGTGCGGATTGAAACAGATCCAGCCGATAGAACACAGTTGCGAATGACTGTCGCCTCTGGTGACCCAACACTCACATTCGAGTTAGTATCCACTACTTTCAAACTATTCACTTCTCCATTGGTCAAGTTTTTTTAAGCTTAAATCAAAATATATCAATTACCATTATTTTGTGAACAGGTTGAAGGAGTTCATCAAAGAGCAGTTAGTTAGCATCCCCACAGCACCCCAACGCCCACAGGGACCTGCAGCACCACCTCCTCCAGTAGCCCAGATTACCGCACCACCGCCAGCTGCTTCGCAAGATCCTGGGGCCTTGTTGGCCGGTTTATTGTGACCCCACAGGGACACTAGGCACCTGTCAACAAATGACGTGTGAAGGATTTGTTGAGAATATATACACCTTTGTATAGCCGGGCTTAACACGAAGGTCTCTTCAACCATCCTATGGATGGTTAAAGCAGATGGGAAGAGTTAGAATATCACAGTGCCAGGGCTGGCGGCGGGGATAAGGGCGAAGGAATTAGGCCTGAAATTGGAATCCATGGGTTTGCGATGATTCATCGGGAAGGGTAGTGGAGTCTGTTGAATAGTACAGGTAGAAAGAGAGGAGGTTTTGAGTCGGAATTTTGAGATTCTTTGTGCACAACTTGTAAACGTGCATTAGTTGAGCCGAGTTTTCGTGTTCATTTCATTTCTATGTTTCTTCTGGCTCTTTCTTTGTTGTTTCCTTTTGCTCTTGGTTTGACAATCAATTGGGGTCGAAGTGAAGTGAGGGTTTGTTGGTGGTGGCGCCTTAATCTTTGCTCTTTCCCTCATTGCTCTTGCATTTTCTAAATTGTTTTTTTGGCAAGCTTTGCTGCTGGGATTGATTGTAGAGTTCAGAGGTTGACTAGAGCTTTGTAAGATAGCTTATACATATGGGGAGTAGACGATGAATAGTTCGTATAGAAAGGTGTTGTATTTGATACCTTTCTGCTTTCTTCTTTCACGTCGTCAATTTCTCTTCACTCTAATTGCGTCACCGTCACCTTTCGCAAAATGTTCAATCTTTCTCTACAAAGGTCTGAAAATGTTCGAGAGAATTTTGAATAAAAGGCCAGCCACATTCTCATGCGAAAATGCAGGCTAATCACTCGCGGACACAAAACTTAAGAGTAAAATTCGACATACATTGATGGTTCCGTATCGTTTGAAAGGGATAGCAAAGGTAATAGATCAGTGCAAGCTTCGATCTTCTATCTATACAAATGGCAATATCGGCTGGATATTATCGAAGACGATGGTTTTCTGGAAGCAGATTAATACGATGATACTAAGTAAAACTCATCTACCATCCTCTTATGGAAACATGAAAGGAGCATTGCATGGCATCCATCAATGATACCCAACTGGTGCAGGCGCCTCCCTCAATTCCTTGCCCTGGTAATGGATATCCTGCAAGAGCCACCAGGGTGAATACCATTAGCAATCAGCTCAGACCATTAACCATGGGCTGAAAACTTATGCACTGAACTTATTGCAAGAATATGCATACGCCCAGAAGTTTGATCAATAAGACAAGTACAACAGAACAAGAATGGGCAAATAAAATTTTTAAATTTCGAGATTCCTTTTCATACAAAAACAAAAATGAATGAGTTTACTAGATCTCATGAAAGCTTCCTCCTACTCCTAGTTGGGCTTTAACTAATTTGTTAGAGATCCAATCTCCTAAGTAGAATAATTGTCAATATTCCCACTTGGTGTTAGAATTTGAAACATTATTTGCTTATTAAAGCATTCAAACCACTAAAACATAAGTTAGAAAGTGGAATCCAATTATTGCTCATCATTGAACATTCACGCCCCCTAGAGCGTAGGTTAAAAAACGAATCCAACATTGAATTCTTTAAATTGTAGTGAGGGACAAGATATAAGTCCTTACTAATTATGTTGGATCTAACATAATTACTGTAAAATAATACCACTAGATGCATCTAATTGATGAAATTGTGTACGACTTGATTCAACAATGTCAGCCAGGAATGACCCCTAGCCCATTCAATCAAAACACAAACGCTGTACCTATAGGAAGGGATAGCGAAAGAGGACGAAGATGATAGAACAGAGCAATACTTACAGAAGCAAAGTGGTTGACATCACGATGGTGAGCCTCATCAGCACGGATGACAACGATAACATCCTCCAGAGTAGCATCTTTGGGCAGCCTCCAGTAATCAATGGCAATAGCAGGAGCTGGAACGTTCTCGATCTTCCCTTCCTTGATGTCTTTCAGATACTCGGTGTACGAGTGAATAGCTTCCTCTTCCAAGTAACCCACGACTCTATGTCCCAGTTTGGGCGAAATCATGTACAGCAGAAAGTAGGCATTGAAGAACACCCCTTGCACAGCTAGAACCAGGGCCCTCTCATACCACTTGGGCTGCACCAGCTCCACCATTGTCATCAGATGCATCCTCTCGTTCTCTGCCTCTTCGAGCAGAGCTTTGATCCACCCGCCACTGGGCTGGAACTTGCGAAGCGAGCGTAAGTGGAGCAGCATCCCTCCTACCATTCCAGGGACTGCTGCCACTGTCTCTAGCATCATTGCACGGCAGCCATACCTCCTCTGCATATACGTACGTTTTCACATCAAACCCTAGCTAGTTTCGGTTCAAGAAAGTGGAATCGCAAGCTCTACATCCTAATGGTCACAATTTCCCCTAATCAAAACTCATTCTCTCTATTCAACAATGGTGGAAGAGTTGAAAAGAGGATTTCCTAACCTGGAAGAATATGTCGGTGGGGATCCGGAGGATTTTGACAGTTCTGTAAGCCACTTTGTCGAGGAAGGTCGTCGGGAGGTGATGCTTGCTGAGATCAATTGAAGTATCGGAACGATAGGTTTCCCACGGCTACACAAAAATCAAAATAATCTCAATCAAAAGCTACAGATCGCCATTGATGAAGTTCGTTTCTGTGTTCAAACAATCAATCAAGGCCTACTATCAAGTATCAAGCAAGAAAGTCAAACGAAATCTCCAGTTATTGAAGTCCGTTTACCATGAAGCAGTTCCACGGCCACTCCGTCCCGTCTTCTCTGACGATCTTCGGCCTCGCGATCCCCCAGTAGCTCGAAACCACCGGTACAGTACTTTCAGCACCGCCGCCTGACTTACTCTCCGCTTCCGCTGCCTTCTCCTTCTCGCCGTTCTCCTTCTCAGCCAGAGCAGAGGAAGAGGAAGAAGAAGTACTCATCATCCTGCTCCAACCAGAACCGCCAAACGACGCCGCGTTAAATCTCTTGATTTGCTCCGCCTTCGCCGTTCCCGCCGGCGGAACTTCCACAAGCCGCATCAGGACACTCGCCGACGACTGCGCCGGAGACACGTAGTGCCGTCTTGCTTCATTGACCAGCAGGCCGCGGAGCGCCGACGACCTGGCAACGAACTGGTTCATCTCGATCGGGTTCCTGGAAAATGAAAGAATCTGAGAGATAACAGAGACGAATGGTATGACTTCTCAGGAGGATTGGGCTTTTTGTGTGACTCCGGTTTTATGGGAGAGGAAGAAAGAATTGAGAAGGTGACAGAAGTTTCCAAATCCAAGTACGTTCTTCCCTTGGAGGTCAAGAAAAATTCTGGACGGCCAAGATTGTATTTCAATATCTGACGTGTTTTTCTCTTTTTGTTGTTTCTTTTTTGACCGAGGCGATGTCTGGTGGTCGAAAATACATATACGTATATAATTTTCTAAATTGGATAATACTATTTCAAGTCACTTAGCTATAGACTTCGTTCCATTTTGTTCCTTAATTTAGTTTTAGTTCCATTTGGTCCATCTATATATTTGTCTGTCATCCTAAATAAAATTTCCTATGAATGTCATCCTAAATTAATAATAACTCACTTCCTCTACATTTCCTACTTTCAGTTGTTTAAACATTTAATCAAATCATCACATCAACGACTTCGTCAACCTTGTAACCATAGCCACCAAGGGGTCGTTGGATGTTGGACTAGAAATCGAGAGATAGCGTCTAATCCTTAATTTGATAATTGAAGGATTGATGATGAATTTGGTTAATTATGGATGTAAAAAATATGTGGTTCGGATGTCATGTTCTGGTCATAGATTTTATTGTTGGATTTCAATGACGCTGACCAAATCATATTAAAAAAAATGAAGGATTTGTCAAATTATGCCTTAAGGTGTGAATATTCTAAATTTAAGGGATCCAAAAATATAGTAGTGTCTCTAAAACCCTCGTACATTTGAATATGGATAGCGAATCTCACCCCTCTAAATCCAACATCCAAACCATACCTTCCCATTGAGATGTCATGCATAAGGATAAGGTTTGTGTCATAGCTAATGAAAACTGGCGGTAGAGTGGTCAACAAACATAATTTGTTGGATTTAGTAGAACAAGGAGTCTAATTTAGCGTCCATTTATGTTATTTACCCTTTTAATTTGCTTGTTTATCATCTCGTCACGTAGTGTGGCGGCTTTTGGCTTGCCAGTTTGCTACGAGTAGAGTGCGGCGGCGATCGTCTACGGTCAAACACATGACACATGCACATATACCTGAGTATATCAAAGGAGACCCGGCTCATAGCAAAAAGAGCCAACAGTGAATGCAACAATCTACGACAGAATTTAGGATTTGGTTCGTATTAAATCGAATCATATCGAATTAATCAAATGCAATGTTGGTCTAATACTTGATCACAAAATATCTCACTATTAAACCGCGATTCTTGTAAATTTGATCCGTACCATTACACAATCCTACAAACAACAGCAATAGTGGAATCGGATATGGGATCTGTACTAGACTAACCCTCTTTCGCTGCTTGAAATTAACATATATGTATTTTATCACTCCAGTCAGATTAGCACAACAATTCCAAAAGGAAAAAGTACACGGCTGCTTATCTGCAACAAAGGGCAACCTTCCACCATTAGAGCCACCACTAAAGATTCTTCCCCCGTCTCCGACAACCCTCCACCTCCAGCCTTTCCAAAAAATATCAAAGAAAGTAAAAAATTCGATTGGAAGGTAGATCCCAATTTCATCTGTAGTAGATTCTGTTATCTCCCCCCGCCTGCTATATACACCCACCATCCGCGAGAGAGAAAAATAAGATTGAGGAAAACAAACCCTCGTAAGAACACTGTGCCGCGCGGCCTTATCGCCATTCTCGGCAATTCCCACACCTCCACTTACCTTCTTCGTCGGGCGGAAGCTCAGCCACAAACGCGCAACTACTGTGCATCGTCGTGCCACAGATCTCACAAGATAGATCCGAGACGGGCTCTGCCAATGAACAGAACTGGCATGGAGGAATAGTTGTACTAAAACAAGGATTTTCATACTCCATTGCGGGTTCTGTATCATCCCAGGGGTAAGCAGCAGCAGCAGCCTGATGATGACCTACATCAACCTCAGCAGCAGCCTGATGATGACCTACATCGACATCAGCAGCAGCAGAAGCCTCGTCCTGTTCTAGTAACTCGGTGAAGGAGAAATAGGTTTGGGGCTCAAACTCCATGTCCTCGAAGTTATAACCACCTTCATCATCGTTCAATATCAACTCCCCTTCACCACCACCACCACCGGCACCGCCACCACCCCCCAAATCATCCCAGTCCATGCCAGGGAGAGACACCTCTGTAGGATGATTATGCACGAGGAAGCCGTTCGTTTCTGGTTGAAAATCGGTACCAGAGGAAGTAGATTCCCCGTCGTGATACTGCTTTGTTTGTCTTCTCACCTGGAGCTTTTGTGGGCCCAGTAGAGTGGCACTCCATTCACCATCCACAAGTCCGGGCTTCTGATCCGGATTAATTTGCTCCACTTGCGACAGATTTGGGAGAAGAGGATCGTTATTTGGTAGCACCAGTTGCTGCTGGGTAGGAAAAAACATTGGAGTTGCAGGAGCGGAATAATTCGTGTCGGAGTCCACTGCTGGGTCTACTTGTTTCGCAAGTTTCTTGTGATACTTCTTTTTGCAGACCTGAGCAACCACAGTGGACGGATCTTCATCCTTGTAAGGGCACTGTGGATTTTTTATCCGGCGGCATCTACAACACTTGAAACCGACAACTTCACGAAGTTTTGACTCCTCCAGTTCAACAGCATCGGCATGAAGCCATCCTGAAAAACACAAAGGACAAACACATGCACAATTTATCGACCAGAACCTCAAGAAGAATGCCCCCAAGAATTTAAAAGGGAGAGAGAAGTAGCCTTACTGTTGCAAGTTTCACAGGAAATATACATGAGATTAGGATCATATATTTTTCTGCACAACACGCATTCAGGGCTCAACCTGCTACCATCTCTATGGCCCTTCACAAGAACTTTGTTACGCCTAAAAGCAACACCTGTGTCATCTCCGTTCTTCATCCATATGATACCCCAACTGTAATTTTTACTTGCTTTTGAAGCAGAATTAGCTTTTTGTTGCGTCTTGGGAGGAACAGCATCCTTGGCATTTTTAACAGCTGCTGGATCTGGCACCTTTATTTTGACTCCAGCATCTGCATTCATTTGACAATTTATAATCTCCTTTGTTTTACCAGCCGCCAAGTGCTGGCTTTGGATGTTGGGTTTTGTGACCTGGCTCATCTTGATATTGAGTTTTGTGACCTGGCTGAACATCGATGAGTTATTATATTCCGGACCTCTGGAAGGGAGGGGAGTGGTTGGAGACTTATTGCTGAACTGGATGTAGGGAGTTCTCGCATTACAACACCGCTTGCAGGTGAGCAAGAGCTCAAGCACGTTATTTTTGCAAGTTGTTGAACGCAGAGTACAGTCCTTATGACAGTAACCTGATCACAGCACACATGAAAATTGAGAAACAATTGCACCAACAATACAAAAACCAGGACGCATATCTTTCCAGGGAAACAAGAGATGAGATTAAAATGTTATCTCACAGTTTATTAACCAAATTATAGCATCCATAACTCTTTATCAAAGGGAATACAAGAGAAGGAAACAAAACAAGGTTGGTGATTCATAATAGAACAAGCTGACTCAATTGCCTTGTTCTTTCACAAAACAAGCAGCAACTATAAAAACGACACTGCAACCTGCCTACAGATTCATCAAAATGTTTGCTCCTTGTTTAGCAGGAAACTCGATGGACTAAATAGCTAGACTCTGCAACATTTGACATTAACTTAATAAACACAGATTCAGCCTATGGTGCTCATACAATCCCCCCACCCCCCAATATCACAATGGAATTCTGAATTTCATATTATTGCATCTAGCATGCCAAACATATTTCAAGGAAAATGATAAATAGCGAAGCTTAGAGACAAGCATACCGTGGCAAGCACTGCAGATAACTGTATCCCTGTAGATGGCAAAACAATAAAATCCTGAGCTTACGAACAGGGAGTTTAACTTTCAAGTGCTATAATGAGGAAGCATTCAAGATCTAATCATTACCTTAGAGGAACATCGAGTTGACACGAAGCACATGAACACTTTTCTACGCCATCTCTCCGACACACAAGATATGAAAATGTATCCCTACGAGAAGCTTTCAGTTGTTGTCTTTGCAACTCAGACAGTGCACTGTTTGGCTTTTTAACGGGCAGTAAAGCAGCTTCTTGTCTCTTCCCTTCATACTCTTTGATCAGATACAATGGTACATTTGCTTCAGAAAACCAGTACTTGTCATTACCATCTTCATTTTTTTCTACACGGATCACATTCTTCATGATCCTAGAAGGCAGATGCTTCTGATTCCCAAAAGCAACTCCGTAGGTGATCTTTTTTTCTTCAGCTTGCTTATCGCATATAACTGCATTCCTGAAAACAGAAGCTTCTGTCTCTGGACCTTTACTATCCTGAAGATTCAACTCAGGCCGGGAAAGGTCATTCCATCTTACATGCAAATCTAGATACCTTACCTAATGCAAATTCAAATTCACAAGTCAGCCTTGAACCAAAAAAAAAAGTAACTAGAGAAAGCTATAACAGCAGTACATAAAATGAATATTTACATACCTGAAGTGCCAATTGGGATGAGTTCTTACACTCCTCAACAGCAGCTCTCCAAACAAGTTGTCTGCTTCTTCTGGGGATTTCAGAATCATCAGTGTAACAGATGCTCGAAAATTTTCCTGAACCACCTAGTAACCAAAAGAATTAATTAGGTTGCGTTACTTTTTGAATTCTGATAACTAAAAGTCTGTATCATCAATTTATTGGAGGGTGAGATGATTTCGCCACAGAGAGAGCATGAGACTAATGCCCTAGCAGACAATGCAAGGCACATTACCTTGACGGGCAACCTTTTTCATCATAGACCCAGGCAAAATTGCATTATGGAACACATGCTTTAAGAGATTTCCACCTCGCCACCAGACAAAACTCTTATCGTCATAACCGTCAACTTTCCTGTCTGACAATGCAGATTGTTTCTTGTGACGCTTCCCCGCTGGTCCACGTCTCTGGACACTGCGAGTTTCAGTTGCAGCACTCTCAGAAATAAAAGTGCCAACCACCCAATTATCCACAGCCTTTACCCAGTCCCCTGACAGAGCAATACGACGAATATTCTCCTCAAGCTACAATTAAGACAACAAGCCACAAGCAGCAAGAGTTTTATTACTAACCAAACATAGATAAGTGCATTGAATTAAAACAAAGCAAAATAGTTCTGCATTTTAATGATTCAGAAAAGTGGGAAATTATGTTTACCTCTAACAGCGGACCTTTTATTGCACTGCACGTTGAAGCAACTTCAACTCGCTTAAGCCACTGCTTTTTATAACTTGCACTCAGGAAAGGTCCGATTGTAAGCCCGGATAAAGCATCCCCTACGTACATGATATAGGTTGAGATAGAAGGAAGACTTCCGTCCCCCACAATTGTTGGACGCAAGCTATTAATGATCTTCATGGCGCTCTTAGTCAGAATCAAGCCAGCTGAATTTAACATGCATCCTCTTTTGCTATTAGTGGTAAGCTTACAGGAATGACACCAACCACATCTCTCCCTTGGAACCTCCATAAGCTTCTTTTCAGAAGATGGCCAGAAGAAGCGTGAGGCTACTTTGGAAAACGCCCTCGCCTGCAATAGAATATCAGCACTTGCTTTCTTGGTGCCACTTGACTTATGTACATCTGAAGCCCGTGTTTCCTCAGGGGAAAGGGCAGCCAGAGTAGCAGCTGCCAAAGCCGCAAAATCACCATGAGCGTAATGATTTATGTAGGCTTTAGGTTTAAAAGAAGCCCCCACATATTGAACATTTTCACCCACATATCTGCCCACCGTTCCAGAGTTAATAAGATTGGCATCCTTTCCTCCGAAAGATATAATTGTAGGTAAAGAAGTACCGCTCGCTCGCCCAACATGGCTACTGTCACTATTTGCCGAGTTACATGTAGTGTGTGTCACACCTGAGGGATCAGCTTGCGTACTTGACATGGTACCATCCACTTTAAACTGACCAGGAAGCTTAGTGCTTGCCCAATCCAAGTCTGAAGTTCTTGTGGTGTTAATACTGCTCAAACTGCAATGCATTTCAGCCGGAGTGGTTACCTCTCCCAAGGTGTCAACACATGAGACCGAAATCTTCCCATTTGAACTAGTTTGATTTTCAGCCTTAATAACATCAGGAACTCTCTGACTAATCTCCCATGCAGGAGCCGACGCACTTGGAATATTCAACTCTTCCTTCACCAAAGCAGGCTCTAAATCCTTCTCTACCACCTGAGCAGGGAAGAAAGCAATTTGAGGAATATTCCAGTATTTTGCAATCAACTTGGATATCTCCGAGTACATCAATCTATGTTTCTCAGATGCAGAAAGAGCTCGCAGGACGTTTGGGATGTCTTTCTGACCATAATATCTAAAACAATGTTCTCTGTCGGCCAAAGCTCTGAGCCTGAAATCAATTCAAATACGAATGAATAAGTAGCAAGATATGAGAGATTCAAAATAAAGCGAATATTGAACTAAAGGGGATTTGAATTGGGGGCCGTAATATTATGATTCATTTAGTTCAGTAAACTAACTTTAACCACACAGAGAGAATCGTAAAACATACACCAACAAATGATCGCAAGTGGCCACAAAGACCTGCTGGTATAAGTCAATGCCAAAAAATTCTGCTCCTTTTAGCGACGTTCCCACGGTTACTGAAGGGCTCATTCGATTAATGATACACTCTGGACAGTACCATGGCCCATCTGGTATATACATTTTACCAACACCTATACATCTTGAATGGTATGCTGCTGGGCAACCATCACAGCACAGCAAGGTTCCATCCATGCCACACAATCTGCAGTCGTCGCTATTCCAATCTGAGTTAGAAATCGGAGCATTTGAATTATTTTCATTAGAGCGCAAACCCACACATGTTGAACCCTGGGAGGACTTAATTCCATGGCTTTCTGAGATGCTTCCTGTGACCCCTGTGTCCTTGCAAGCTGAAGTCTTTGAAAATCTAGGGTGCACTCTTCTCGGTCCACTTTCCAGGAAACCATTTGCAACCGAATCGGGATCTATTCCAAATTCTGCTTCTTCACGACTATCAATTTCTGCTCTTACCTCCACAGAGTCCAATACATCATCACACAGGACTTGTAAGATCATCAATTTCTTACCAGCAGTTAATAAATAATACTCCTTTTTCAAAAGATCGTCATGAAATCCTTGCCATTCAGAGCCCTTTGCATATCCCATTACTGTTAAGTAATTGACTAGAAAAACAGGCCATGTGAATAAATCAAGCAAGTTCCAGTCTATACTCCTGCAGAAATCCAAAAAGAGGTGTTAGTCTTAACTAACGAAAGTCCTAAGCAGCTAAGGAAGTTCACAATAATATCCTAAAGCTTGCAACAGATCTCTTTCAGAAATAAAGAGCATGACAGGTTGTCCAACAAAGAACTCTCGGCTATTTCGACAGTGGCTACTTTCCAGCTTACATTATAGTTTCCCAATTTCCCATTATAGAAGCAGCAGTAACCATAAAAAAATCTTCGCAATTGCGAATACCAATGAGAACTTAAATATACAATCTCAATACTTACATCAAGCATTTTGAAGCAAGCTCCAAACCCTCAGTAGCAAGCGTCTCCATACGGCGTCTTATCACACGCATCAGAGCAACATGAATGGAATCCAACAATGTGTTCTGCACAAGGCAGTTAATTGCCCCCACCAGATCGTCCAGCGAAAATGGGCTCAAGAAAAGCTGAATATTGAATGATCTCAAGAATGCATAGACTGAAAACAGATGTGAAACATACTCCTCTGGCACACCTAGATTTCCTGAAGAAGGTGGCAGTTCCGGAGGGGGAAGAACAGGGACCTCTTCCTCGAGACCCAGATCCCCTTCCTGTGCATAGTCACATGAGTCACTAGAGGAATCTGCATCGTTTTCCAGTTCAACATCATTCCCAGCTTCCAACTTACCATTCATCTCGCACAATGGAGTTGCTTCAATCACGGCCACTTCATCCTTGGAATCTGCAATTTGCTTCTCCAACTCCTTCCGAGCCTCATGCTTCTTGATCAGAATTTCATCTAGTCTCTCTCTCCTCGCAACTAGTGCATCATCAAAGTCATTGTCGCCTAAAATGATGCTACGAAGTTCACTACTGTCCAGGTCTTCGCAATCCCCATCCTCGTACTCAACTCTATACAATCCCGTATCATAATGCACAATCTTCCCCAAGAAAAGCCCATTGCCCTCAAACTCTTTCAGCACAAACCTACCCAGCAGTGGCTTACACCATATGTCAGAAGCCCGCTTCTTCAACGCACCACCAGTTTTCTTATCATTCTTCTCACTTTCTTCCTCGCGCCTTCGTTTCCTCGGTCTTCCTCGACTCCTCTTTTTGACCTCAGTGGACTCCATTGGACAAAACTGAACCACAATGAAGTGAACTAAGCCTAGACAGATGAGAGCCAGAAATTTCTAGTTCCAGCAAACGATGGCATCGGTACAAAAGATCTGACCCTCATGCGGATCCCTAAGAACCCAATGAATACGAGCGAACACCAGAAAATATCTCGAATAGTCTAATCCGATCGAGGAGGAGCGAGATAAACAGAATCGAAGGTAAGTTGCTGGTTCTGTACAACGAAATCGCGCATCCCTAGATTCTAAAAATTCTGGATGAACAAACCCCACCCAATTGCGGAGACACGCACGGATTGGATGCGTAGCCCTATCCTTTGTGCAGACAAAGCAAAAAAATACCTGCTCAAGGTGACGCGACCACCATCGAAGACCAGGATTGGAGGTTTCACTGGTCTGAGAGTGTGCAGATTGACGGGCAGAAGGATGCAAGCAGAAAAGTGGAGCCCTAATAGGGAGAGAGAGAAAATAGAAAAGGGGGAAAAATAGAACAACGCCATCTCTCTCTAGTCGCTACTTTTTAAAAAACTAAGGAAAAAAGCAACGGCGAGTTACGTTCCGGGTTTGACTCGCAACTCGTCCCCTCCGAGTCGGCGAGTCCAAACGTGGGCCTACGGTGCTACCCGCAGCTAAAAGTTAATTTTTGAATTTTTCTGTTACTGACTTTTTTCCCCTTTTTTTTTTTTTTTTTTTGACAAATCAAATCAACTTTTATTCCACCATAACAACTTCACGCTAAAACTATTACAATTCTAGAGGAGAACAGAAATTAGATCAAGAATATTAATCCAGTCATCTGGCAGATTAGATTTAGCTTTTGATCGTGCAACCCAATCAGCTCTGACGTTCAAAGCCCTCGGAACCTCTTCCACCGAAATAGCTGGGTTATTCCTCAGGATATTGACCATTGTTCTAATCCAGGCTGCGCATCTCCAGGGCCACCGAGACTGATTATGATTCAGGGCCTTCACCAGCATTTGACAGTCTGATTGAACTGTACACACCGATCCATATTCTTGTGCTAATTTAATTCCTTCCAAAAGTGCCTTAGCTTCCGCTTCCATCGGGGTGGAACAAAGGATATTTTCAGCTCTCCCATCGCTCACTTGTCCATGGTGGTTAACAACAACAACACCATATGCCGCCGACTGGGGGTCGCTAAAGAACGACCCATCACATTGAATCACAATCGAGTGACTACTTGGCGGTGGATTCGTAGAAGGATGGGATCCCCTGAGCTGAGTGGGTCCATCAGAACCTTGAGGTGGGGGCCTCGGGCAAGCAATCCATTCCGTAAGCTCTCTATAGGTTTGCAGACAAACGTTTGGGGGCCAGGGTGTTCGATTCTTGAACGTGCATTCATTCCTTGCCTTCCAGATGTTCCAACAAAGGTAGATAATATGAATTAGGTAGTTTTGGGGGATGGTATCTTGGAGGGAGCAAAACCAATCAAAAAAGGAGGTGCCCGGCGGAGGAATCGGAAGGGATGGGAAAGAGCTAGTCCAAGCTTCACTGGCATGCGGGCAGTAGAAGAGGCAGTGGTTGAGGGATTCAATAGGGTTATGACACACCTGGCAACTCGGATTGGGAGCACATTTGCATTGAAATAGTCTTGCTCTCGTTGCTAACCCGTCTCTGGAGCATCTCCATATAAAGAATTTAAGCTTTGGTGGGATATTCAGTCCCCAGATCCATTTCCACTTCTCTTCACTACCATTCGATTGGAAATTTGTATTGGCTTTGTGAACAGCGTGGTAGGCTGTCCTGACCGAGAACTCTCCCTCTCGGGTGAGACTCCACGCCCATACATCCTCGGATCCCTCCTCCCCAATTGGAACTTTAAGAATAGCCTCCTCTTCCTCTCTCGTCACGTTACCTTGCAGCATATCAACGTTCCAGTTCCTGCTGACAGGGTCAATCCATTCCTTTACCTTCAGGTTTTGCTGGGGACCACTTCCAATGACAAAGTTTTGGAGGTTTGGAATCCATGGATCTTGACCAATCCAAGTGTCCTCTCCCGAGCCAATAACTCTAATTGCTCCCATGTTGATAACCTTCTTTGCCTCCCACAGACTTGCCCAAATCCAAGAAGATCTACTACCTTTTTTCGATTGCATGAATCCCCCTCTCGGGAAGTACAGGCCCTTCAGGAGCCGACACCACAAGGCATCAGGGGAGTTAAGGATTCTCCACGCTTGTTTTGCTAACAAGGCCATGTTAAAATCTTTGAAGCTTCGGAATCCCAATCCCCCTTCTGCTTTTGGTGCGCAAAGAATATCCTTCCTGCACCAATGCATTGTGCTTTTCTGCATTGACCCTGACCAGAAAAAGTTGGTTAGGAGAGAGTCCATCTTTTTTGTCAGGTTCACCGGTAGGTTAAACAGGTACATGATGTAGGATGGGATAGCTTGAATGACAGCTTTGAGTAACACTTCTTTCCCTCCATGAGAAAGGAGGAGGCTTTTCCATGCTTCACCCATCTTCTCCATTCTCTGAATCAGGAATTGGAAAGTTTCCTTCTTCGAATTTCCCCATTCCGTCGGAACTCCTAAGTATTTGGTGTGGCAGTTAGAAGAGGCAAACCCGATGTGACCAATGATTGCTGCTTTGTCTACATCGGGTACATTCGCACTGAAGAAAACAGATGATTTGTTGATATTCACTTCTTGACCCGTGATAGCCCCATACTCTCTTATAAGATCCAGAATTTTCTCCGCTTCTTGAAGATCAGCCTTGCCAAAGATTACAGTATCATCTGCGAACAAGCAGTGTGTGAGAATAGGGCATCTGGCATTCAACCTTATTCCCTTTAACTGGTTTTGGGAGACCGCTTTATCAATCAGGAAGGTAAGAGCATTAGACATTAGAATGAAAAGGAAAGGAGAGAGAGGGTCTCCCTGTCTGATTCCCCTTGACGGTTTGAACTCCTCTGCTGCTTCCCCATTGAAGAGGATGGAGAAATTGACCGTCCTGATACAAGAGCTTACCCATCTACACCATCTATCATCAAACCCATAATTTTTCAACAGAGCTTCTAGACAGTCCCAGTCCACCATATCATACGCCTTCTTCATGTCCAACTTGAGCATCATGTCCCTTCTCCTTCCCCTCTTGTGGTTTTTGAAGTGATGGAGGGCCTCGTGGACAATAATGACATTGTCTTGGATAAGTCGGCCACTTGTGAAAGCAGTTTGGAGCTCCGAGATTAGATCAGGCGTCCACATCTTCAATCGGGTTGCCATAATCTTCGATATAATTTTATATCTAAAATTGCAGCAACTAATGGGTCGAAATTGGCTTATCAACTCTGGGTGGTCCACTTTAGGAATCATGACGATATGTGTATCATTCCATCCACTCGGCATAGTTGCCGTCTCAAAAAACTCCTTAACCTCTCTACACACTGATTCTCCAATAATATCCCAGAATCTTCGGTAAAACCTACCCGAGAAACCATCTGGGCCTGGAGCCTTTTTTGCTCCCAATGAGAAAACCGCTTTCTTAATTTCCTCTCCTGTCACTGGGGCACAAAGAGCTGCATTCATCTCATCTGTAACCTTTTCATGGAATCCGTCTAAGAGGTGGGCAAAGGGGAAAGGGTCTCTAGCTCTAAAGAGCTCTTTGTGAAAGTCCTGAGCCAAACCTTTGAGCCTATCCTCATCCTCCACCCATTCCCCTCTTTCATCCTTGAGTCTAAGAATTCTATTCCTATGTTTTCTGTGAATCGTGCTAGAGTGGAAAAAGGAGTTATTCTGATCCCCTTTCTGCAGCCAGTTAACTCTTGAGCACTGATTCCAGAACTCTTCCTCCTCCCTCCATATCTTGGACAATTCCTCGATTAGACTTTTTTCCTCCTCCACCCTTTCCTGGGTTCTTGGAGGCCTTTGTAGAATATCCAGTCTCTCCAATATATCCTTTTCTCTTTGTAGACTGTTCCTATGAAAGTCTCTTGACCATTCCTTAAGATCTTGTTCACATTTGGCCAGTTGGTTCGACGATTGCCCTCCTGGTTCCCATGCTCGGACCACAATCTCTTTACATTCTTCCTTATCTAACCATCTTTCATCAACTCTGAATGGTGTCTTTCTCCTCCTATTCCCTCTATAGCAGAGCTCGAGCCTGATCGGGCAATGATCCGATGCCACCATCTTTTCATGGAAAACAGTTGCGTCCCCGAAAAGGACTCTCCAAGAAGTCGAGCACAACACTCTGTCCAGTCGGACTCTCGTTGTATTTTCACCGATTTGTTTATTGGTCCATGTGAAGGGATCACCTTTAAAACCTAGGTCAATAAGTGCATTGTCGAAAATGAACCTTTTAAAAGGTTCCACATTCTCGTACCTAAGGGGGCATCTTCCCTCCTTCTCACTTTCATAGATAGCAGCATTGAAATCTCCTACAATCACCCAGTTATCCTCCCTACTACTCCGAAGAGAGCTAAGGTGCTCCCAAAATTCCCTTCTACTAACCGCGGTAGAGGGTGCATGAACAAAAGTACAGAAGAACTTCCTACCCATATCGATACTACAATCCATATGATAGCTATCACTACTTAAAATATTAATACTAATACCCGCTTTCCACCAAAGCGCAAAACCCCTAGAAGAGTTAACCGGTTCAACATACTCTTTGTTGGGGAAAATTTTGAGACTTCTTCTTTGCTCCTCCATGAATGCTTCATTTTTGCTCGTTTCCATGAGGAAGACAATCGAAGGGCCTAAACGTCTACACAGACGTTTCGCATAACTTCTTGTAAGGGTTGGGCCAAAACCCCTACAGTTCCAACTTACCATACTCATTCTTGAAGAGGTGGCTTCTGGCGAACCACCGCTGCCTTATTCTTTCCTCGGCCCTCCTGCTCGCTTTCTGCCTGATTTCCCATGGAGGTATTATTTTTCCCAGCCTTAAACTTCATATTCTTCCTTCTGGGCCCAACTCCCAGCCCACCCATTTCAAATTCCCCCACTGGCCCATCAAAGGCTGCTTCTTTCTCCCTACACTCGGAATTGGGCCTGAGGCCACACAACAGGCCCATACCCTTCCTCTTCTTTTGTTTTCGGCCCAGCTCTTCTTCTCTTCCATCTTGGGTATGTTGATAATCATCCACCTCAATTGGGCCTGCTTGAGCTGGACATTGGCCTGGATTGGTTGGTTGGGTTGGCCCTAGAGACAAGGTGGTCTCAACCATCCCTGGGTTCCGCCCAAAACTCCGGTCGGCCCTCACCTCTTCCAATTGGAGCCCTGCCTCCATTGCCGCCGCCGCCCTCTCCATCTCCAAACTCAGGTTCGTCGCCCCCATTCCATCTCTGTATCTGCCTCTCCACCTCCCCCTCGCGCCATGATCCTCCTCGTATTGAACCGGCTCTTCGATTCTTCTCACCGTAAATCCAGGAGGGATTTGAAAATCCCCTTCTGAGATTCTGCCATCTGGCCCCGTCGATTCTTTCCCTTCTGCCCCTTCCCACCTACTCTGTCCTCCCGAGCTTGCCTTCTCCCTTCCTGTCGAGTAGCTCTGCGAGCCTTCCCCCTCCCTGCTGCTTCTATTATTGGTCGATTGATGCCTGTGGGGTGAATCGATTCCCGCTTTGAGAGACGAGTTGTAGACTTCCGACAGGTACGCGACTCCATTCTTCTTCCTTTCCTCGTTCATCCTCCAACAGGTCGGCCAATTGTGGCCAATCCTTCCACAGAAATAGCATAACTCCACTAACCTCTCGTACTTGAACTCGATGATGTCGCAGTGCTCGTCTCCCGTGGTTTCGTCTGTGAAAGGGAAGTCGAAGCCAGTCGGGATTGGATCTTCAATGTCGACCTCCACCAGGATTCTCAGGAACTTCCTATACCCGGTGAATGCCAAGCTTGCTCTGTCCAGATCGAGCATCCCAGGGAAGTAATGATTCCCAATCGCCACCATGTTTTCCTCGTTTCTCTGGTTTTGATGTATGCCATGAATCTGTACCCACATTGCTACCTTGTCAATGGGGACTTCTTCTGGTTTCCCTCTTCCGTTATACTTCTCGATAGCCGTTGTAGTATTCGATAGGCTCCATGGCCTGTCCCTCCATATCTTCTCCCTGATCGCCTCATTGTTGAAGGTGAATATGAAGAGGTTCTGCGTCTCCGTTGGTTGTACGTTCACCTCTCCATATCCTCCCCAAGCGTAGCGAGCCGCCCCTGCCGCCTTTGCTAGTGCCACTCTGTTCTCGGTGAGCATCTTCCCCAGCATCATTGATATGCCTCTGCCTCCATTGGATGAGAGGAAAGGGCGTTCACCTCTGCTTCTTGATGCTGCCAAGGTATTTCTATTCTCATCTCGAGCTCTATTTGGGGCTTGGCTGTTACCTCTTTCCATGGTGCTTGATTTGGGTTTTCCTTTGGCTTTCCGTTTGTTGTTGTTGGCAGGGGAGATCCGGGAGGGATCACTTGGACTTTTGGTGGTGTTTACAGGGGAGACCAGCAGAAGTTTTGGGGAGTATTCAGCTATTACTTTGGGAGCTTTCTTGGAGCCAGGTGCTCTTCTCCTTTCTTTCTCGCACTCTTTAAAGCTACTTTCAGTGAGATACCAATAAATTTTCACAAGTTGGTGGTGGTTCTGCGTCATGTCTCTGCTTTCAATTTCCTTCTGCACCCTGACTCTGCCCCTGCTCTGCCCTTCCATTGCTAGCTCGGCTGCACTTGGCTCAAGGTATAAGACTCCCTTCCATTTATTGCTTTTGGCTATTCCCGGATAGTCTCCTTTAGCACTGCTATTCCTTTGTACTCTTCCTCTCTTCCTCCTTCTCTGATATTGGAAGGCTGATTTCGGATATTCTGGTGGCTTCCATCTCCTTTTTTCCTTTCTTCCATCTGCAGCCCCCCTGCCCAGTCCATTCACCTTTTGAGTTGTCCCTGTGATTGATGTGCTGCATCTTCCTCCAGCTTGGCTGGGTGGTAGAGGGGTGAACAGAGTGCTCTCATGGTGAGCTGGAAGAGTCCCAGCGGCGACGGTAAAAGAGCCGTTAGGCTGAACAGCGGAGTTTTCCGTTAGAGAGAGAGAAGAGAGAGACATATCTTTTTTTGTTAAGCACATTTTAGTCCTTGTACTATGCAAAGTTCTCAGTTGGGCTCTCGCATTAATATATAACTTTTTTAGTTATCACAAGATTTCTTTAGATGTATTCTTCCAACCCCCAAAATCTTATAAAATATTTGTTAGTTTGAATCTCATTCATAATTAATCTATATATGCCTCATTCCATTTCACATGCTTGTTATAACTATCATGGTCCCATAATATTTATAGACCCTGTTCGATAATTTAATATGTGGCCCAAAAATTTTTCTAAAAAATTTGTTAAAAATAAAATTTATGAAATAATCATATAAATTACATGATTTCAGAAATAATTAGAAAAATAATAATATTATCTATCATTGTTCAAAAAGTAACAATCATCTAGTATTTTTTGAAATAAAATCCTCTACTAGCCCGTCCATCTTCTCTATAACTTTTGAAAACGAAATCAATCTATCTATTTCTAAAATAGCATATCTTTGGCTTGTGAATGTTTACTAACCGAATTTGTGGAGTGCAATATCTCATACCAAATATCTAATGAAACAATAAACTCAAAACCACCGAAGTTCATTTTACGTCAAAAATTTAGCTCTACTTCTAATTTTTGAATCGCCATCAAAATCGGCCGCTAGTATCTAAAAAATTTCTCAATTTCCCAAAATCATCCAACGCCTAAATATTCCAAAATTTTCAATTGAGATTAAGTTCCCTACAAAAGAAAAAAAATGTTAGAATTTAAAACAAGTTGATTAGGAGCCTCAATAGTAGGGATGAGTGAATATTTAATATTTAGGCGTTGGATGATTTTGGAAAATTGAGAAATTTTGGGAAAAGAGAAGAAGAGAGTCGTTAAAGGCATTAGTTGTTAGATTAAATCATAATTTCGTGTTGAGCTGATGAGGCCCAGTTTGCCTCTTGCTCCGCCCCGGGCTTATGTTGAGCTGGCAATTAATCCGCCCCGCTTATAAGGGCCCACGTTGGCGCTGGCTCCGCCTCCGAGCTGAGGCTCAAAAAAATTAAGGCCTTGTACTGTGGGTCAGACCACCTCTAACCCTTTTATTGTTGGTTTAGCATTCGCTGTCTAACGTCACAAAGTGAGGACTATCGTTGGTAACTCCAATAAACATTTGAAATTAGGAAGAACAAAGTGTTTACAAGGAATTTTTGGACATTTGGAACGGATAGAAAAGTGAAACGATTGGAATTCTAAGCAGAAAAATAAGTAGAAATGGTTTAGAGAGAAAGATTTAAATCTAATATGGACTCTCAGCAAAATCAACGGTCAACTTGGACCGACCAAAGATGCACAAACTAATAAAGGTGGCAATGACAAACAAGTGGGGGTTGCAAGACAACAATAATATGAACAATGACAGCGCCAAGAATAATTTCAAACAAATCATACTTGAAAGTATAAACTATGAAGGTGTCTAACGATAAAGTGCAAGTACATAAACCTCATTTAGTTAACCCAATTAAAGGATATAACTTATGTGTAAAATCTAGCATATGCTTACATTTATGTCAGATAGCTAGTTTAAAAAATCCGATGAAAATTTCTTAGAGAAGTTGATACACTCTTCACAAAGGAAGAAATGATGTTGACCATATACATGCATGTATATGAACGACATTCCCAGTATCAAAACGTTGATTTTTCAACAACTATGGTGAAATAGTTAAAATGTGGGGATATATTGGGAGAAGCGATGTGGAATGTTACACATTATTAGCAAATAATAATGTCCAAGTGAAGTGACGTGAATATATAGGAGCTTTACCTAAACTCTAAGCTAAGTCATAAATATCACTACACTGAAACAGATACTTGTGAAGTTCAAGTACTCTAAGGTTAATGAAGTAGAAAGACTTCAACACCTTTGTCATGTGTTAGATTATTGCAAGGCAATAAAAAATCAAGTCAAGCGCACATGTTGTATAGTGAATCAAAAGAGACAAGTCTTTGGTATATTATACCCAAAGGAACTCATCGGATGAACTAAAAGCCATAATCCATTAATGGATACGCATTTTGGTTAATGGGGAGTAGTATCATGGAAAACATCCAAGTTGAACTATACACTCACTCTAAGACTGGTGATGGTATAAATGTTCTTATTGTAAGGGCTAGAAGTGTTATGTGAAAATCTCGTCATAGATAATGGAACATAACACTATTGATCGATTAATTTCCAGCGAAGTTATCTGAATTGATCTTCTTAGATAAAATGATAACAAACATGGGGCCAACCTAGAAATTAATTAAAGCATCGAAGGGAATGGTCTCTTGGTCTTGGACAAATTATCATGCGGTAACTCTACCTAAGTAGGATTGACAAACCCAACCTCTAGGTGCAAGGAGCAAACAAAGTTGTGAATGATGGTCCGACATTCTAAAATCATTCAAAGTACATTCTCACCATGAGACAATGTCCAATGATAAGGGTAAACCTAAATATGAAAGGTTTTTAATGGTGTGTTCGTAAAACACGTTTAGAAATCACTTATGTTAGTGTGAAGTAGAGTCATTTTCAAGTAGAATAAAAGAAGACCAATTTTCTAAGCACTCCTGAAACCAGCTGGTGTTCATGGCTAAGACGAACACAACAATGAGAATCAATGAACGAATAAGAGTTAGTTGTGTGACATATGTTGTCTTTAGTATACAAGAAAATTTGACAATTCAAAGGTATCATATCTACCGATTGTTGAGTATACTCGATATATGTTCACTATGGAAGGTACAAACGGAAACCCACCTATCCCAATACAACTAATTCTTAGTTGAGAGTCACCCAACTTTTTGCATAGTTTTCAAAACTTAGCATTCTCCATTCGTGTGGGGGATTGTTTGAGTTTTAAATGGTGTGAATGGAAACGAGAGGGGAAGTAACCAAGAATTGGTGAGATGAGAGAAGGCGCGACCTTGGATTCGGTCGGACATGATCTAACACGTTGGTATTCGGTTAAATTAGTTTATGTAGCCCCACCCGAACCACAACGAGTTGAACCGAACCGCGATGTGGCCAATGATAAACCAATTTCAGTAATTTATTAGTTCCCTGCTCCTCAGCCATGGCAACACATCCAACAATCCATCTTTCAGGCCTCTGGGACTGTAACCCAAATCCCTTTTTGCCTTCTCACAAGAATAAGCCCACTGGCATCTCAATACATGTACGACCTGGAGGGTGCAGAGAAAACCAACCAGCTAATAATGATCAATAACCAAACAACATAACTATATGTACAAGAGGCAACCCATGCTTAAATAGCCCGCAATTAATAAGTTTAACGAAGTCTAGTACTGTTTATGATGTACATACGTACCGATGGACTGACAAGAGGAGGTCGCCCTGTGATTCGAGAGACAAGTATCAACAACCATCCAAGAATCTCAAAGACCCACAGAGGGATTTTCAAGCTTGGCTTTCTAGTCCCAGCAATGGCGGCAGCCATGTCGAGCAAGCTTGCAAATGATGCGTTCTCCCCAGTAAGCATATACGTTTCGCCTGCCTTGCCTTTGTCCATTGCAGCGATGTGTCCTTTGACGACATCGTCGATGTGACTGAAAGAAAATATATCCTTCTCAAACCCAGCCCGCGCTAGTAGGCCTCCTCCAAACAATTCTACCAGCTGAAACAAACAACAACAGAGTTTGCAGAAACATCAGAATCTTGGAGCATGCAAGTGAATGAAAACAAGTAAAAGCTGTTAAATTGCTAATAAAAAAAAAAGATAAAAGAATATAGGGATGAGAGTTGTCTCACTAAATGTGCCACGACATTGCTGGCGGTGAGTTTTCCGGGACCGTAAACGATGCCGAGGTAGACCACAACAATTGGTACTCCGTCGGAGGCTGCCTGCTGAGCCACCTTTAACGCTGCAACCTGCGACCTCTCGTATTCGCTACAATACGTTTTCTCAGGGTGAACCTGCACATATATACAAGTTGCCCAGCAAACCCCAAAGCGTAGTAAGTAGTCATCCATTCATATTGGTGAAAGGATTTGGGTGGTGGATTTAAGACTTTTCTGATTTGCATAAATCCAATGTTTGCTAGTAAAATTCGGCAAAAACCATCTGTAAATTTAAAAATTAAACAATTATTTCTTCAAATTTATATTATCCGAATTCATGATTGATCCTTCATTTCTTAAATTCGAAAATTTGACACCGATATATTTTTTTTTAACTCAACAAGCATATAAGAGCTAACCGTATAGTCGGTTCTCGGTTAACCGAATAACCGTTAACTAAGTGATTCGACTAGGTTATACCAAAATAACTGATCGATAACCTAACCAACACAAGAGCTACTTCTTTCAATTGTGAAATTTTCTATAATCTTTCATACATACGCGCTTGTGTTCTTTTCTTAAGTTGTTATCATTGAATAAAAAATAAGTTAACTTAGATATATATCAATACATAATCAACTCAATACAACACAAGTAAACAATAATATCATTCTACCGTCATACTTTATTAAAGAAGCATCCAACGATACTCAATAATAATTACTCAACTCGTAAACCCCATCAAATTACACGAAAGTTTAATGTTACTAATTGTTGTCGAGCAACTGTGCGCAAGTCTGACTTTCTACTTGTTCTTTCTAAAACTCTTCCTTTAAATTATTCTCAATTGATTATAAGTCACTATTACAACTAGGATACGCAAGTGGTTTTGTAAGCCTTCAAACACCCCCATTATTTTCAGCCTATGTTTGCAACTCATGTAGGTCTATTATTTTGGCTCTGACTACCAGGAAGTTCGTATCGGTTAGTTGGTTAATCATTTAACCGTCGGTTATTAATCGTTTAACCATCGATTAGTTATTAACTAAATTTGGCTACCAAGAACTAACCGTTTATCATTTAATCGATTATCGGTGTAAACGTTAAACATGAATTTTGATTCGATTATCGGTTACACAGTTATAAAAACAAATGAGAAGCCAGTTGCAACCTTAGTTCCAACTCCAAGTGTAGTTTCCTCCTCTGTTTCCAGGGGCGGAGCTACACTATGGCTCAGGGGGGGCCTCGGCCCCCCCGAGAATTTTGGAACTGACGTATAAGTTGTTTACGATTTGGGAAAATTACGTATAAATAAATTATATGATATATCACATAGGTTGAAAATTATGTCACAATTGTTGTTGTAGTCTAACGGATTACCATACTTGCATTAGAAGGTGTTTAGGGGTGGTCTAGGTTCGATGCTCCATAAAGAATATTTTGTTCATTTTTCGCTTTTAGTTGTACTTGGCATGATAATCGCATATAATCATCTGGTTTTCATATTTTAGTTTACTTTTGCTGTTAGCTTAAGGTAAGGATTAATTTTCAGCTCTAAAAACAGTGAAAACTTTGTATTTGCAAGTTTAAGGACTCTTTTCAATATATTATGAGTAAAAAAATTTCTAGTGCACATTGATTTTCAGCTATAAAGATAATGAAACATGTTATCATTGGAATACATTATTAATTTTGTGGATAATTAACTCGTTCATAGTCAGAATGACATGATATATTTTTTTTATCTTAAATAATATTTTAAGTAAATATAATTGTCTCAAGCATGTAGCTAGGAAAATTATAATGATCAAAATAATTAGTTTTCTTTACTTTGATAAATTGTTTTTTTAGTTTGTTTAGCTTTTTCGATAATACGAACAAAAAAATGTCGGCCCCCCCAAAGCTTGAATCCTAGCTCCGCCCCTGTCTGTTTCCTCCACTTTTTAATCTTTCCTAGTTAATTAATTAATATTACATCACCATTATAAAAAGGGTTAACAGCTTCCTTGATCATTGAATAATTTGTTCAGATTTATTTGCTTAAGGTGTTAACCACACCATTGGTCATTGAGTTTACCAATCTATTTTAAGTTTATCACCAAATTTTTTTGGTTATAGGTATAATACGCCCCTCTACTATGACGTTTTATCAAACATGCCCCTCTACTATTTTTTACATCAAACATGCCCTTGTAATTTGGAAAAACTATCAAACATGCCCTCTAGCTGAAATTTCCATTGAAAAAAATCGTCAATCATGGTTGAACCGAGATTTAGATGACCTGACATCGATAAATAGGAGGGGAAATGTCAGTTTTGACCTTGCATTATTTTTCTAGATCTCATCCAAGTGAAATTATTATAATTATTTGGCAATACAAAAGAAGAAAAAAACTCTAAAGTGAAATTATTAGAGATATATTAGATATTTGGGTCGCCCAAACCAAAGTTCGGTCTTGGTTAACGGTTTTTGGATGGAAATTTTAGCAAAAGGGCATGTTTGATAAGTTTTTCAAAATACAAGGGCATGTTTGATGTAAAAAATAGTAGAGGAGCATGTTTGTTAAAACGTCATAGTAGGGGCATATTATACCTATAACCCAAAAAATTTATAACAAAGCACTATAGCAGTCAACGAATAATTTGTTCTATTATTAACTAATATTATTACCAATTGTCACTGAGTGTTAAATTCACTATACGTTTGACCATTGAGCAGGCAGTGTAACATATTAAGAAGTAATAATAATATGAAACTGCAAATCAAGGCTTTTAAACATCATCACCCCCGGCCTTTTCGGTTTCTTGTATCGATTTATCTTATCACGAGGATAATCAGTTCTTTTTTCATCAATTATATCACAGTAACAGTAGGATAGATATAATTTTGTACAACATTTTTTTACAGAATTTCTCAAAATTGAAATTAAAATAAAAAGGGTACGAAAATTAGAAAAAAAAATCGTCTAATCTCAATATATAGCTCTAAGTGCTGAAATATAATTCCAAATTATTATAATCACCGAAAACCTTTTGTGGCATATAGTTGCGGGACATTATTTTCGTAATTGATTACCAAACAGACTCCCGTACCTGTTCCTCGTCGGCGACGTAACCGTCGGTAGGCCCAAGCGCGGAAGCCGACAACGTGCACACGAGCTTCTTGACTGTTCCAGTTGCGGTAGCTGCTCGCACTACGTTCCTCAGCCCTTCCACATTAACCTGCAGACATACAAATCTTTTGGATCTAAGATATCTGATTAACAATGGTTACCATCTTTAGTGACGGAGGAATAATCTTACGGCGAAGAACTGGGTTGGATCCGGCAGCCATGGCTCGGTGAGCGCGGCAGCGTGGAAGACGGCGTCGCAGCCATGGAAGGCGTCGAGGAGCGAACGGTAATTGGTGATGTCACCGTAGGCGAGCTCGAAGTTGTCAGAATGAGGAGGAAGAGAGGAAACGTCGCTAGTGTGACGGACCAAGGCTCGGACGGAGTGGCCTCTTTCCACGAGAGCGTGACAGAGCCGGTCGCCGACGTAACCGGACGCGCCGGTGACCACTACTCTCATTAATTTTTTTTTTAGTTTATTTTATCGGCTAGCTAGTTATCAGTCGATGTGGCCGGCCGGTGGAAAAAAGGCGAATATGCAACCAAAGCACCCGGCCATTTATTCCATCTAGCTACCAACCATCTCCCGTCTTCAACTTGTGTTTTTATATTGTTTCCTTCCCAGACAGTCCCAGACAAGGCAACGTGACCAGTACTCCTATTAATACTAAACAAAAAAAAATATATTGAAAATAGTAAACTAGCAAATTCCCGCTTTCACATAAATAAATATTTTAAAGAGTAATAATTATAATGTTGATCTAAAAGTGAAAGTAATCTTATTTTATTTTTAATTATTCTTTTTATAGGTTTGTTATTTACATAGCATATGGTCGACGAATTTGCATAAAGTAAAAGAGTCGTCGAATATATTATTTATGTTTAAACTTCTTTCATGCCGCTGTTGTTTCAATCTGTATGGCTAGTAGTTGATCCTGCTATAACTTTTGCAGAATGAAGCAGTTTCTCTAGATCTTCTTAAGAAGTATTTAAAAAAATGTTGAGTGTTTAGTTGAAAAACTATCAGAATTACTTTCTAATATAAGAGGTAATGTAAAATGAAAAAAAAATATTTCTAACATAAAATATGAATACAAATTCTAAAAATAAAAAGTATTTAAAACGAATCATGTTAGATTTATTTCATATTAAATAATACATTTTTTTAATTTTTTTTATAATGATATAAATGAAAGAAAAATATGTTTTCTAGAAAAAAAAAATATATGGTAAGGACTTTGAATTTTAAAATCGGAGCTTCTGCTTTTAAGTTACGAAAAACTTTAGCTTTTTAAAAAGTGAAACCTTACAGGTGTTTGGCTTGCCTTCGAACTTCGAAACATAAAACTTCTAAAATTATGGTAAAACATAGTCATACTCTTTTTTGTTGTTGTTGTTGTTGTTGGGTTTGAGGTAATCGTGGTTCTCCGTTATTAATTTTTTGAACTAATTGCAGGTTTGAGGAGGTTCAACTCGTATTGATCGAGTCAAATTAGGTTGGATACCCATGAATTTGGGTTCTATTGTCTTTCTCAAACAAAAGGAAAAAGCAAAATGAAAGACACTAAAGCTAAAACTAGCTATTGGATCAAAACTCGTCAACACCAGTTCAACTTGTTTTGACATGGTTGAACCGAGTTTTGGAAAAATTGACACATGACACAACCCGCCAATTACCAAAACAGATAAAACTCACTCCCATCGAAAACCTGTAAAATAGGTTCAAGTCGCTTTGGTCCGGTCGAATTAGATTGTATACCCATGCGTTTGGACTCAATTGTCATTCTCGACCAAAAGGAAAAAGATAAAAAAAAGATACTAAAGCGGATAAAACTCGCTCATGACCCCAAACTCTCAAACTGCATTCAACTCACTTTGATCGGGTCGACCCAGTTTTAACAAATTCACAATTTACCTAACGTGTCAATTACAAAAGTGGATAAAACTCGCTCTCGATACGAAACGCGTTAACAATAAGTCAGAGTTCAATTGTCATTCTCAATAAAAGGAAAATAAGAAGGGCTAATACCACTGGGAAACCCGAACTATTAACTTTGTGTCATTTGTGTCCTAAAGTATTCGATATGACATTTGTGTCACAATGTATGATAGTTGTGTGTCATTTATGTCCTGACGATTTCGTTGACCGTTATAGATAACGGTTGACCAAACGGAAGTCAACATTAACATTGACTTTTGTTGACGTGGCAGCCCCGTAGATGCCACGTCAATGACTCCTCATATTTTTAATTTAAAAATAAATCATAATTAAAATAGAAAAATTACAAAATAAAAATAATTAAGAAAATAGAATGTCTGTGTTCCCCTCGCACTATTCGCTTCTCTCTCAAAAAAATTCTACCGACGATGATTAATCCTACTCCGGCGGAACAATGAGGGCTCTGTCCTTCATCCCTCTCTTCGTCGCGACACAATCTTGAAGCTCGCGATAGTCAACCCGAACTGACGACTGTGATAATCCACCGGCACTCCCATATCCTTCGTTGTCTCGAGCCCCGCAAGATCCACTGCCACACTACCCTCCTAGCCACCTCCTCCTCCGGAAAGGAAGAAACCCAAATCCTAAATCTCTCCCCAAGTCCAAATCACCACCACCATCGAGTCGTTGGATACGAAACTAAAACTCAATTCAAATGAAATTGCCATTGACTACAAGGAAACCAATTAATTCCATCGGCCAGTGAGTCCTCTTCAACGCCGCCCCACCACTCGTTGGTGTCGCTCTGAGAACCTCGCCGCCGGAAAATCCCAAACATCGATCTCGCCATCTTCTCAACTATCAAGAAGGTTCAGGGGAAGGAGCAACGGAGATAGATCCGCTAAGCGCACAAATGGGTGGGAGTGATGATTTTTGGACTTAGATCTATGACGGGTTGAATATGTCTGATTGCTTTGATCAAAACTAGTGATTCCAGGGCGCTCGAAATTGAATGAGTCGGGGAGGGATTTTAAGTGGAAGGGGGAAAATCATTACCCGGTAATGATGGCGGAATCAGGACGCTATCGAGAGGCTTGGCGGGTGTTCGGCGGAGGGAAGGGGATGTTCGGCGGCGGCGCGACGCGATGAAGGGTTGGAGAAGCGGTGTCGAGTGAGGAGAGAGGAGACCAAGAGATTTTTTTCTTTTAATTTCTGTAAGTTTACTCATCTTTTATGAAAAATAAATAAAAATAAATAATGAAATTCTACGTCAGATGCCACATTAGCGCTGACTAGACTTTCAGTTAAAAACTAACGGTCAACGCCAGTCAACTCTAACGGAAAAATAGTTTAGGACACAAATGTCATATCGAATACTTTAGGACACAAATGACACAAAGTTAATAGTTCGGGTTTCCCAGTGGTATTAGCCCAAATAAGAAATAAAGAAACATTAAGCGTACAAAATCCGCTTTCGATCTAAAACGAGTCAACAACGTATTCAACTCGCTTTGAATAATTTTTTAACAAATTAACACTTGGTCCAACTTGCCAACTACAAAAATGATAAAACTCGCTCACAATACAACATTCATCACTTCAGGTTCAATTGTCTTCCCAACCAAAAGAAAACAAGAGAAATTTATAAATGTTAAAGTCGGTTTCAAGTCACTTTGACCGAATCGAATGAGGTTGGATACCCATGGATTTGGGTTCAATTGTGATCATGCTCAACAAAAACGAAAAATTGAATGAAAAAACACTAAAGCGAATGAAACTCGGTCCCGATACAAAACTCGTCAATATTGAATAGATATGGTATGGATTTTCGGTAGCGGCATTGGGATACGGTGGATGGAGACAACTTAGGATTCAGTTGATAGTGTTTTGAGAAGGTTGTGAATTGGTGAACGATGTTGATGATTTGACATAGCATATCTAGTATGGATCGTTGGTCGCGACCATGGCAAACGGTGGAAGAGGACAACTAATGATTCCACCAACATTGTTTCGAATTGGGTTGCGAAATGGTGCGAAAAGTAGATAGTTGCTGCAATAGGGAGCTGAAAACCTAGTAGGCAATAATTGTTATAGGAAACACAATGGATAATAGATATAAACCTAGCGAACACCCATGTGTTTGGGTTCAAGTTAGGATACCCATGCTATCATGCTCAACAAAATGGAAAAAGAGAAAGAAGAAAACATTAAAGATGATGAAACTCGGTCCTGATACAAAAATCATGGTAGCGGCCTTGGAAAACGGTGGTGGGGAACAACTTAGGATTCCACCGACAGTATTTCGAGATGTTCTACAAAATGGTGGGCAGAGGCGATGATTTGTGTTCAAGTTAGAATAACCATGTGTTTGAGTTCAATTGTGATCATGCTCAACAAAAAGGAAAAAGAGAAAGAAAAAACACTAAGGATGATGAAACTCGGTCCTGATAAAAACTCACGGTAGCAGTCTTGGGAAACGGTGGTGGGGAACAACTTAGGATTTTGGCGATAGTATTTTGAGATGGGCTGCAAAATGGTGGCAAAGGCGATGATTTGTGCAAAAAACAATAGACGAAAAACCTAGCAAGCAATAACTAAACACAAAGGTTGTAGAATGGAGAGTGAGATAAAAGGACTTGGAACTTTTCCACTTGCACTTGGAGGAGTGTGACTGTGTGAGAGCCACAAATGAATAGTAGCAAAAAAACCTTGACTTTTATATATAATAATAATAATAATAATTATTATTATTATTATTAATTGGCGGCCATCAATTTTGGCAATTGACTGGAGGGTTGTTTTAATTATGATTCATTTGAACGGGGTGACGGTGACGAGATCCAGATCCAGACGAGCTAGTTGCTTAATTATTATGATTTTCTTTATATTTAAAGGAACGACTTTTACGTTTTACATTTATAAAAAGGCAACCGAACAGGTTTCATTGAATACATTTTTATCTATTACAAACAAGTTATTAATCATGTTTCCAACGAAGATTAACTTCTTGTTATTATTTCTTTCGACCAAACAGTGGGAAGCTTCAAATACAGCATGATTCTCATTATTATACAACTAACTTATTGAAAGCAAATTATGTCAAAACCTTCAACTACAAATATTTTGCGTCGTGGGAGAAGGTGACTGTCCTATGGTTTCCATTCCAATGATATTTCTTGAAGTTGTTATCATCACCAAATGACATATTCCTTTTTTTTTTAATTATTCTATGATTTCGCACAAACATATGAGGCTTTGACGATCGAGTTCGACCCTTCTCCTTTCCTCCTCTCTGTTTGCTTGCGGGTAGAGTGGTAATTAGGATCCAAATTCATGAATCCAATTCATTAACCAAATTATCCACTTAATCCAATCCATTTAAATCCAATTGGATCAAATTACGATTTGGTACCTATATTTTTTATATTTTACATTTTGGTACCTAAAATTTATATTTTTATACGAAAAAAATCATTGGAAAATTACATTTTGGTATCTAAAATTTTTCATTGTGACATTTTAGTACATAAACTTTTCAAAATTTACATTTTGGTCCAAGCCTTGTGCCAGATTTAGTGTTTGCGGAAGTAAGAAAAATTAATATTGCATCAAAACAGTAGTTGTACATTTACACTGTCCAGCTTATATAGTACCTACCAAATTACCACCTAGTACCTATACAAACTACTATTACAATATCTACCCATAAAACAACAAAATTACACATTTGTTCTATATTCTATCACCCCCCCTCAAGCTGGAGCATGTATATCACACATGCCCAGCTTGCCTATCAATTCTATAAACCTATGTATCGGCAATGATTTGGTAAGGACATCAGCAAGCTGGCTAGCAGTGGAAATATAGAACAACTTGATAAGATGAGCAGCAATCTTTTCCCGAATGAGATGGCAGTCAATCTCGATGTGTTTGGAGCGTTCGTGTGCCACTGGATTTTCTGCAATTCTTATAGCAGAAGTGTTATCACAATATAATGCAAAAGGATCATCAAACTTAACACAAAGATCAGTGAAAAGATAGCTTAACCATTGCAATTCACAAGATAGATCTGCCATTGCTCTATATTCTGCTTCAGCAGAAGAGCGGCTGATCGTGGTTTGTTTCTTTGAACGCCAACTGATCAAAGACTTACCCAGAAAGACACAGAAACCAGTGGTTGACCTGCGAGTGTCAGGACAACCTGCCCAATCCGAGTCCGAAAAAGCAGACAATCCAAGAGCTGAATCGGATGGGAAAAACAGACCTTTACCTGGATTACCCCTAATATATCTAACTAATCTATGTGCTGCATTCATGTGTAAATCAGTTGGATTTGCAACAAATTGAGTTAAGTGATGGACAGCATACTTGATATCTGGACGTGTAGTGCACAAATATAATAGTCTACCAATTAATCTTCTATAAGGAGAAGGATCAGAAAGTGGGTCACCAGAATTTGCAGAATAACGAACATTAGGTTCAGAGGGTGAATCTGCAACCTTTCCAGCAAGAAGTCCAACATCTGCAATAATGTCTAAAGCAAATTTTCTTTGACAAATAGTTAGTCCAGTTGAGTTCCTAGCAATTTCTAAGCCCAGGAAATATCGTAGTGGTCCTAAGTCTTTAATCTTGAAAGTATTATCAAGTTTAGACTTAATTGATTTCATTTCTAAGAGATCATCACCTGTTAATATCACATCATCAACATAAACTAATAAAGCTAAGAATTTGGAACCAGAACATTTAGTAAACAAAGTGTGATCGGATTTAGATTGAGTAAAACCATTAGTTAACAAAAACTCAGTGAGTTTGGAATTCCACTGTCGACTTGCCTGTTTTAGGCCATATAATGATTTAGTTAGACGACATACAGGCCTTTTAATATCAGAAGGGGGAATTAAGCCTTGTGGAATTTTCATGTAAACTTCTTCCAACAAATCCCCATGTAAGAAAGCATTATTAACATCTAATTGCTCAATAGCCCAGCCCTTGATAGAAGCTAAAGCTAATAAGGCACGAACAGTTGTCATTTTAGCAACAGGGGAGAAAGTTTCTAAATAATCAATACCCTTTGTTTGTGTATAACCTTTAGCTACTAATCGAGCCTTAAATCG